TCTTTCTCTTTATGGGATTATTAATCCCTTTTACATTATAGGTAACAAAATTCAAATTGCTCATAGTATATCAAAAAAAAAAAAATTTATATGGCCATGCCATGGTGTTTCTGCCATGCCTGAAAGAGTAGGATTAAATTCAAAAGCCTGTCCTTTCCTTGAGTGTTTGCCGGAAGAAATAAAATGAAACAAAAACAAAAAACAGAAAGAAGGGTCTCCTAATAAACAATTGTAGACCTCAAAAACCCCCATAGAATGCTCCATCCAAAAAACAAAGACACCAGACGAAAAACACCAATGGAGCATCCTGGGCATCAAAGTTGCACTAAGTGCAGTTACAACGGACCTCCACCGGATATCCTCTTTGTCGCGTTGTTTAAGTTGCATTACTCATAGAGCATGCCTTCAGGGCTCCCCCCACCCGCCTTAACCCACTTAGAATTAAATTAGATGACATAGTAAGGAGAGTGCCGAAAACCCCTCCATCCCCCAATCTTACTTAAACATCTTAACACAAAACCACTGTCATCATTTTGTTGTCCCCCCCTCCCTTAAACAGCAGATATAGAAATAATTATAAAGGAAAGTTGAAGCGAGCATATATATATATATATATATATACATACATATGCACATATACATACACATACATATGCGTACATACATACACACACACATACATATATATATACACATACATACACACACACGTATGTCAAAAAAACATTAGAGTAACATAAGACGTGTCTAGGCTTGAAGCCTGACATCAATAAATATACAACTTCAGCTGCCCCCCCCCGGCACTCCCCCCAGTCAAATATCTCACAATAACTAATGCCCATGTTTTTCCTCTTTTTTTTTTTTTTTTTTTTTTGTCTAAGTATGACGAACAAATGATCCAGTTAAAGCACATTGGTCATTCAGATAACTTACTGTCCTCCTAGACGCCCTTTTGTGGGTGTCAATGTTGCCACGTACCTCACTGTCCTCTCCAGCGTCAGCAGATAGGATCAAACAATGTCAATTATTCCATTTGGCTGACCTAGTACACGATGGTTGGCTTTAATGTTCTTATCTTTCAACTTTTTAATCACTTCCCACACAGCTTTCCTCTTTTTCTGGAGACTCTGTGAGTAGTCATGATCGAAGATAACTTTCTTTCCATCATGCTGGATATTACCTTGTATTTGATGGTTAAAAAAAAAAATCAGACACACGTTTGAGCATAGTCTTTGAAATGTTCCCTGCAGCCACTCCTCTCATTACTTGCTTTTTCTTCTGCTTGTGTCTGAGCAGCACTAATCTTCATGCAAGAAATTATTCAGAAAAACTAGACAAGCTTGCAATTAACTCATCCATTCAGCCATTCACAATCAAAGGTACCTTAATCATAGCAGCATGCCCAATCAGCACTCTTCTCATCATAATCACCACTAAGCTGGCTCTCAACACCTGTCCTATCATCCTGCCCAGGAGGCACCTACGTATGTGGTTGGATGGGTGTTGCTGCTGTGTTGTCAGATTTACCTGCTACAGGAGTGACGTTTCCACAATCCCCGTGATACTGGCGAGGCAATAAAATCTCTCCTTGTTTTAAGTGGATCTATAAAACACATGTTAATTGTGTGTCCTAAATGATAAACTTCATGAAAATTGATATTTATTTAAGTCAGATTTTCCTTCAGTATTTGCACTCATAATGAAAACCACTTAAAGTCCCACTTCGATCATTTTTTAAAAAACAATTTAACGTGTTCTCAGTGGTCTTAAAATTGTGATTATGAAGTTTTTAGCAAAAATCACATTACCTGTAATTTTCAAGATCTTTCTTCTGCAGAGCTCCAGTAGCTCATTAACAAATCAACTCTGAGTCATGGACGAAGACAGTGCTGCTCTGCACTCTCATCTTCATGCTAGCTTGCACCTTAACATTGTAGTAGAAATTGCAGGTTACATAGGAGTTATTAAGCTCCTTCTTGCTGGAAATCTCACGGTATTGTTCTGTCACTCCAGATCAAAGTCTGGGATAAGCTTAAAAACATTTCAGACAGCTACTGGGTGATGAATTTAGCTTTACAGTTTGTTTCAGATGGACAAACATGGATTTGACTATGCTCAGCCTGACAGTGAATCTCTTAACTGCCAGTATGAGTCACCAGATGAAATGGACTTGCAGGAGGTCTTGTCACCTGTGTCTGTTGGATTACTGAAGATGTGGATTTGTAGAGCAGTGTAATTTGATGCAGCAGGAATGTGGATTCAGGGAAGGCTGATAATAGTGGCAGTACCTCTCCGGGTCAGCCTCATTGTCCTGAATTACCACCAGATCTTTGGCAGCTGACTACCTATGTTTCAGGTCACTTCAGCTGTTTCCACTTTAAGAATGAGTAGACACCTAAAGGGTTTTGACAAACAGCTAAAATTGGATGTTTTATGGTTAAAAAATGTCCACCAAAAAGAAATTAGAAGGCACTGCTCAACAGGTATGTTGTTGTCAGATGTAACAGAAACCCCTGCGGGGGAATTTGTATACTATAGTCAGAGATCATTTGGACAATTGCTGACAAAATGCTGTAGTATTTATTGATGTTGTGTTCACTTTTGAACACAGTTCAAGTCATATATTTTACTGAACAGACCTCATTCCTGTCTTATCTGGTTTCCACTGCAGGTCCTGAAGTTGTTCTGATGACCTGGTAAATCTGAGCACACTGGATCATCATCAGCTCTTTAAGGTACGCATTGTGCAGATATTATACAAATCCTCATGCATACTCAAACACACACACACACACACGCACGCACGCACGCACACACACACACACACACACACACACACACACACACACACACACACACACACACACACACACATTCTGTCCTCTCCCCCCGGATGACTCAGTGATTAACCCACATTGTGTAAAACAGTGGATGTGGATGGCAGTGGATGCTGGATCCAGGCTCTTGTTTCTCTCTTCTCCTTATTTGTTCACCAGTGATTCATTTGCCAAAGTTATTCAACTGCTCAGCAAGATAAATACACTTTTGTGCAACTGTTATTTACTACTGACTAACTGACTGCTATGACTGCCTGGATGATTCATACTTACCTGGTCTACTATAATGTCAAGGAAAACTCTTGCCCTGATCAGTTGTTCAATATTTCCAAAGCAATACAAGCAATACAAACTTGTTAGCTCAATGCTGCAACATACAGCAACTACTCAAACTCTTGCAGGAGTCCATGCCATTGTTTCATTGCAAAGAGCATTTGCTGAGTCATGTGCCAAGTCAACATTTTGTAACTTAAAAAGAAATTATTTAGATATTATTGCAGGTTGCATACCTGCGTGAAGGTGGCCCCCCACCCCATGTAAAATTTAAGGAAAAAAAGTCCATTTCGTTTGTGCTTTGTTTGGTTTTTGCTGCAAAAATTTTTGTTTGCGCTGTTACGGTTTTTAATCTATTAAATATTATTTTATCGGTCATCCAGGTCACCCAGCTCCCATTTGCTCCAAATGGACCCGAAATGGTGCCGTTCATTTATGCTTCGTCTGTTCTGCTGTTCTGCTGAGCAACACATGCACGCCAAGAAGTTCATGCACCTCGCGGAAACGTGCACCGCTAATAGTAGAGTGGTCCACGGAATTGTACAGTTTGAAACCCACACAATTCTTATGTGTAGGGCTAAACAATGATGAGTAATGGTCCTAAAGTAAAGTTTATCTCTTTTGTGTCTTTGAGATTAGACATTTTATCAGCCCAAACGTTTCACTGGTGTGACTTTATTTCATTGCAGAAAATGCAAACCTATGAGATCAATTAGATTTAATTGTGTTTAAGGTGTTCTGTTGTAATCGAGCCCACTGTTTTTAGCAAATATCATCACCATGGTTGGTTGTGGATTTCCGCAGGAGGAGGACACCTCAAACAGTTCCAGTGAACATACAGGGTCTGGACATCGAGATGGTGGAGTCCTACAGATTCCTGGGTGTCCACCTCAACAACAAACTGGACTGGTCAACAAACACAGACGTTCTGTACAAGAAGGGCCAAAGTCGTCTCCACCTGCTGAGGAGACTGAGGTCCTTTGGAGTGTGCAGGACTCTGCTCAGGACTTTCTATGACTCTGTGGTAGCATCTGCACTTTTCTATGCAGTGGTCTGCTGGGGGGCAGGGAGCACCGAGAGGGACAGGAAGAGACTGAACAGACTGGTCAGGAGGGCCGGTTCTGTCCTGGACTGCTCTTTGGACTCCCTGGAGGAGGTGGGTGAGAGGAGGATGTTAACAAAGCTTGTATCCATCATGGACAATCCCTCTCACCCACTGCACCAGACTGTGGGGGCTTTAGGCAGCTCCCTCAGCAGCAGACTGAGACTCCCACCCTGCAGGACGGAGCGCTACCGCAGATCATTCCTCCCCTCTGCAATAAGACTTTACAATGAACAGTAACAAAACTGATTTTACACCACCACTTTTTTTTTTTTTTTTTTTATGGCATTTAAATTGTGTATATTGTAGAAAGCTTTATTTTTTCTTCTCCCTTTTCTAATTTTTTTCTTAATTATTACATTTATTTAAGTTCTTAATATTAGGACCCTCATTGTTATAACTGCATTTTTGCACTTTTTGTATTGTCTGTGATGCTGCTGTGACAAAAAAATTTCCCCCATGGGGGATCAATAAAGGAATATTCTATTCTATTCTATTCTATTCACCAAGAGGTGAACAAGCAACTAAAATCAAAAAGTTCCATTGTTAAATTGTAGTGTAGTCAGCAGACACGTAAAACAATGAACCAGGATTTGGACCCAAAAGCTGGACTCAGGAGCCAGATAAAAGTTCAGAGTAGGTTTTAATCAAGCAAAGGTACAGAACACAGGAGGGCAGTCACACAGAAAGAGGTGTCCAAATTGACAGGCAAAAATCAGTCCAAAAACACTATCTAAGTCAAAAACAGAAATGCAAACACTAGGAAAATGTGCCACAAGTTGGCTACCCTAGTCCGACACAACATCGCTGAGAAAACCATGAACACGAAAGACATGGGACAACATAGCCTCAACCGTTCCTTTGGCTGAGGAAAGTTTAGGCATAGGAATGAAATGAACCATCTTGGAGAATCTGTGTACCACTTTAAATACAGTTGTGTTACCTTCAGAATTAGGCAGGCCCGTGACGAAGTCCACTGAGATGTTGGACCAGGGTCTGTGTGGCACAGAGAGAGGGCAGAGCTGTCCGTGAGGAGCATGTTTGGGAACCTTCTTCCGTGCACAGACTGGGCAAGCAGTCACATATACCAACACATCCTTTCCCATAGATGACCACCAGAAGTGCTGTTTCACCACTGCCAAGGTCCTTTTAACTCCAGGATGAAAGAAGATCTTAGACGCGTGAGCCCAATGGATTACCTGGGAACGTCACTCCGAGGGTACAAACAGTCTGTTCTCAGGGCAGTCTGCAGGGGGATGCATATTAAAGTTTGCTCAAATAACTTTGTTTTTAATTTCATCATTACTTGCTCTGCAATCACAACTCTACATGAGCTGTTGTTACTGTTGTTTTAATGTTGCTGCTGTCCCGTCTGTCTCTCTCATCCTTGTTCGCTATTCTCTCTCTCCTTCCCTTTATCTTGTTCCCTTTCTCTCCCCCTGCCTTCTCTCCTACTTTTCTCTCTCTCCCCTTATCTCTCTGTATTCCTCCCCAACCCAGCAGCAGTTTGGTGGCTGTCTGGCATGAGTCTGGTCCTGCTCAAGGTTTCTGCCTGTTAAAGGAAGTTTTTCCTTGCCACTGTCAGTCATGTTAGATGAGATGGGCTAAATCCCATCTTAGGTTGGGTCTTGATAATTTAAACAATGAGTGTGGTCTAGACCTGCTTTTTTTCTTTGTAAAGCATCTTGGGATGACGACTCTTGTGAATTGGCACTATAAAGAAAATTTGATTGATTGATTGAATTTCCATATGAATGACCCCACCACACAGGAGACAGGCAGGATGAATGAGGGATCAATAGAGGGTTTGTCAGACTTAGGGTCTAGACAGGTCATCAGGCTTAATGTTTTTGGCTCTAGTGTGATAGGACAATGTTAAGTTGAAATGATTAAAGAAGAGAGCCCACCTGGCTTGACGAGAATTCAACCGTTTGGCTGACTTCAGGTACTCCAGATTCTTGTGATCTGTCCAGACAAGGAAGGGTTGCTCAGCCCCCTCAAGCCAGTGCCTCCACTCCTCCAGTGCCACCTTAATAGCCTACAACTTTCAGTTACCAACATCATAATTTTGTTCTGGAGGTGACAACTTATGTTGTGGAAAGTCCAGCATAAACAATGCACAGGAGACATGATGAGATCTGAAGAACAGCCTGGGCGTCTTTGATAGTACAGATGTAGAAATCAGTACAGATGACAGAGTCTCGACCAAGACCCAAGGAAGCCTCCTCTAGCTTCTCTTCTTCTGTGTGTGTGTGTGTGTGTGTGTGTGTGTGTGTGTGTGTGTGTGTGTGTGTGTGTGTGTGTGTGTGTGTGTGTGTGTGTGTATTCTCCAGAAGGCCCCTCATGATGACATGTCTGCCCCACAACACTTTGTTTAGGTTCGTCTTGACCCTGGCAGAGATTACATGTTCCAACAGACAGATAGTTTGGGCTCCTGCAAGACAGCCTTGCTTACAATCTCATGGTCGTGGGGCAGCAGGAACAGGCCAACCTAGATTATTTGTACCTTCTTACTAAAAGATAATTACTCTATATTTCTTAACCTAAATGTATGAAGACATTCCCCTACACATCCCCCCTTTGAAAGTTCTTACTTTCATAAAAACCTAATCATCATATCAAACACTAAACATCCTTATGTGATTAAAGAAACAAAAATCAGTACCATACCATACCATAGCTAGGATCATTTCAAATTATATCAGCGCATAAGACTGAAAACCCTGCTCGGCTGTTTCAGCAGGGAAAGAATCTTACGGCCCCGCGCCCTGGCGACCATCCATTTCCTGGATGCGCTGACATAATTTCATTTGCATAGAAGAAGTGTCAACTTCTGATAATACTATTACATTGCATTGTAGCAACCTGCGACAAACCCCTTGATTAATATGTGATTAGTGTAGTCCTTTAACTCTGTGAATGAAACATGTTCAGTTCAATATTTCCAGCTCATTGAATATGTTGTTTGTGTTGCTCAAAGTCCATTGCTCATCTTCTTCTCCTTCAAAGTCCAGGAACCGTTCCGGTCCCTCAGTCCCTCCTTGATTAGTCACACACTGTGCCAGCTGTTTTGGTGGCATTTCCTGTAGTTCATGGGCCAGTGTTAGGTCCACCATAAGTCCCATCTTCTCCGTCAGCTTCCAACAATGTCTCCAAAGGATGTGTACGATGCGACATGTGAGAAAGGAAACCAGAATTAGGGCTATCGCAGCACTCATGGCTGGGCCAAAACGGCTCTCATTCATCTAAAATTTGGACCACCCAGTCCATTAACAGGCCCCCCTTACCAGCATTCTCCCACATTTTCATTTTTAGCTTTCCATACCCTCCATAGCTTTAGAAAAACCTCCCCCAGGGGCTTGTTTTGTTAGAAATGTATCTGCAACAGTACTTTCAAAACTTTTAAGACACATCTTTTCTCTTCAAACACCCAATTTAATGCTTGTCTGTATTGACATGTTACTGGACTTGTTACATGTAAATATCCGTTAATCTAAACATCTTCGCTGAATAATGAACAAATGAAATCAAACAAAATCAAATCAAACACATCTTTCTTTCACATAATTACTTAATTTTACTTAAAAAAAAAAAAAGATTGTCATGTCAATTACCTTTTCAAAACATATGGGACAAAAATAGCAGTGATTATGAATCATTTGGAAATTCAAATGACATGAGTAAATAAAAAAATAAAAAAAAAGTTTTAAGGCAACCTAAGATAGAAAAAAAATAGTTTTTTTCTATTCTTATCTATTAGTTCAAAAGATCAGAGCATGATTAAGAAGAAAAAAAATAATAATCTTTGAACATGTCCAGTACTTTTAGTTCCATATCTCTTGTTTTTGTGTGTTTTACTTTATCTTTGTGTTTATGGTCTTAGATTCGCTGCTCCAAATCCTCACACACAGTCACATCAGATGTGCCTCCCCTAGGTCATAAAAATTCAAATCCCTTGACTCAATGTTCCCATTTCTTTGTAAGTTTTTGGATATCATTTAAGTGTTCAGTATATTTACACCCTACCAATGCAATTGGAGTTAAACTAATCTTCCCTTTCTGGTCATGGTTTTTGTAAAATTTATTATTTAAATGAGCACACACATTAAAACTTGATCCCCAGAAGTTTTGTAAAATTCCCAAAAAATACACAGTATAAAGCCTTTGCCTTAACTGCAGTTCTATAGCAATAGTCAGTATTGATATTAACAGCTTCAATAATATTTTAAAAACACAGTATTTTGGCAAAAACAGCAGATGTATAGAAGCAACTCTTAGATTTGAAGTTTTAGAAGTTTTGCACTTGTGGTACCTCATTTCTTTTTCCCCTTTTTGTATCTTTTATACTTTTACAAACATTATTTCAGCAGCTTTAACACAGAACATTTGTTAAGGAGCATAAGACATGTGTTCACAACAAAAAAACATAATATTTGAGCATAAGCTAAAACCTTCATATCAGGAGTGTTCATCATGGTACTGGGAACAGAACCTCTTTCCCAGGAGTATTTAACCTTCTATGTCTCAACTGATAACATGACCGCAATGAGCACAGTATTCACATACACAACTATGAAATAAACACAAGTGAGGAAAACACAGCAATCTTTGACTAGCATAACACACACACAGATGCAGAGTCTGGCTGTGAACACTGCCAGAGAACTTAGTTGACACAGAACAAAACAGACACACACAAACATCCAATCAACCCACACACTTCACTTTTTCATCACACAATGGTATACCCTTTCACACGTGTTTGAAGTCAAAGTCAGTCACTGGAGTCAGTCAGCAGTCTTCTATTTTAATTCTTGTTTTGATTTCTTCAATTTTTCCAATTTGTGTGATTTTTTTCAATTTGTGTGATTCTTCTACAATTGGTCAGGAGATATGGGACGTGCTTGTTCAATTGGGATCCCTGAATAGGCTTTTCAGCCTATCCTTATTGACCTCTTTTTCTATCTCCTGCTCATCAAGCCACTCTGTATCTGTAATTTAAGTCCAATTATAACACTGATTTTGTGAGGTCTTCCACATATAAAAGAGATATATATATGTTCATTTCAACATGTGGCATTCCTCATATGCAGCAGCCTATAGCTCTACATGTGGCATCCCTCATATGCAGCAGCCTATAGCTCTACATGTGGCATTCCTCATATGCAGCAGCCTATAGCTCTACATATGGCATTCCTCACATGCAGCAGCCTATAGCTCTACATATGGCATTCATCACATGCAGCAGCCTATAGCTCTACATATGGCATTCATCACATGCAGCAGCCTATAGCTCTACATGTGGCATTCCTCATATGCAGCAGCCTATAGCTCTACATGTGGCATTTATCACATGCAGCAGCCTATAGCTCTACACATGGCATTCCTCACATGCAGCAGCCTATAGCTCTACATATGGCATCTTACACATGTAACAGCCTATAGCTTCACATGTGGCAATCTCACACACGTAACAGCGTGAGGCGATCTCACCCTTTGAAGGAGACGAAGTGATTCTCTGCACCCAGTCTACTATCTTCACATAGTCTCACGCATGTAGCAGCGTGAGGCGGTCTGACACAACCAACTTCAGTTTCTCTTAATTCAGCTGATATATATCCAATTTAAATTGGCTTCCTTTCCCAAATTTTCCCAAATACTTTGATCAGCTGACTGCATGCATGCAGTTTTCTCAGACTGTCTTCATTCCCACTGTCTCCTCTTATTTCTATTCTAGGTTCTTTGATTCGAAGAGGACAGAGAGCAGTAGTCCGCACCACCTCACAGGGAAAAGAACTCTCAACCAAATTTTAGGAAATCTCCTACCTTTTTCTTTTTGTGGCCACAGAGTGTCCTTATCCCATGTGAAGTTCGCAGAACCATGGCTCCTTGTCCCCCGAAACGAATTCTGGCTAAAGCTCGCCAATTATGTTGTGGAAAGTCCAGCATAAACAATGCACAGGAGACATGATGAGATCTGAAGAACAGCCTGGGCGTCTTTAATAGTACAGATGTAGAAATCAGTACAGATGACAAACAGAGTCTCGACCAAGACCCAAGGAAGCCTCCTCTAGCTTCTCTTCTTCTCTCTTTTATGCTGTTAGGTGTGTGTGTGTGTGTGTGTGTGTGTGTGTGTGTGTGTGTGTATTCTCCAGAAGGCCCCTCATGATGACATGTCTGCCCCACGACACTTTGATTAGGTTCGTCTTGACACTGGCAGAGTTTACATGTTCCAACAGACAGATAGTTTGGGCTCCTGCAAGACAGCCTTGCTTACAATCTCATGGTCGTGGGGCAGCAGGAACAGGCCAACCTAGATTATTTGTACCTTCTTACTAAAAGATAATTACTCTATATTTCTTAACCTAAATGTATGAAGACATTCCCCTACACTTACAGGAGAGAAAGGCACAGAGATGCAGCTTGTCATTGGAAGAGAGTTTCTGGGATAGAACAGCCCACAGATGAAGCAGGTCTTCAGTTTCCTGAAGACATCCTCTGCTTGAGGTGTCCAGACAAAAGTACTGTGGGGAGAGGTTAGTGCATGCAGGGGGATGCCACAGTGCTGAAATGTCTGATGAACTTCCTGTAGAAGTTGGCAAACCCAAGGAAGCCTTGAACTTCCTTACAAGTGATGGGAGTCGGCCAATCAGAAACAGCACTAACCTTTTCAGGGTCCATCTAAACCTCCCCCCTCTGCCAGCACAAACCCCAGGAACGACACTGAGGACTGATGGAATTCACACTTTTCTGCCTTCACAAACAACTGGTGTTGAAGAAGCCAATGGAGGACTTGGCAGACATGCTTCACATGGATTTCTCTTTAGGGGAGAAAATCTGTATGTCATCCAAATACAAAGACACATTAATTCATCATATCCCGAAGGACATCATGGACCAGATTTTGGAAGACAGCAGGAGCATTGGTGAGTCCAAAAGGCATTACTAGGTACTCATAGTGCCCTGTAGGTGTGTTAAAAGCACACTCCTTTATGCGTACAAGGTGGTAAGCATTACGAAGGTCCAACTTGGTTAAAACCTTGGCTCCACTAAGCAGTTTGAAAGCTGAGGAGATGAGTGGAAGGGGGTACCTGTTGCGAATGGTGATGCCATGTTATCTGTAGTCAATGCAAGGCCAAAGAGATTTGTCCTTCTTCTCCACAAAGAAAAACCATGCTCCAGCTGGAGATGAAGAAAGACGGATGATGCCAGCTGTCGATGGCTCTTCCACTTAGTCAGTCATGGCCTTCATCTCTGGACCTGAAGGAGAGTAAAGCCGCCCCCTAGGCGGCAAGGTGCCTGGGAGCAAGTCTATGGCATAGTCATAGGGCCTGTTAGGGGGAAGAGACTTGGCTCTGGGCTTGCTGAATACTTCTTTCAATTCACAATAACAGGAGGGAACACGAGAAAGATCAGGATAATCAACTTTACTGTCATCAGCATCAGAGACATTAGCAGAAGCTCTCTTATTCACACAAGATGCAAATGACTGACAGACGTTGCGACTACAAGCCTCTCCCCAGGCTAAGATCTCACCAGTAGACCAGTCTGTGTGGGTTGTGCAATTTTAACCAGGGGTGTCCCAGTATTAGCTGATGTTGAGATACCTCAAATACATGGAAACTAATCTTCTCAAAGTGGCTGTCAGGGAAAGAGAGGGTTAAAGTTTGTGTCCTGTGAGCAACCCTCCCCATTGAGTGTCCATCAACAGCCTTGACATCCAGTTGTTTGGACAGCTGGAACATCCTCAGCCCCAGCTCTGACCTTAACTGATGATCCACTGCCTTGAAGATGACATTGGACCAACAGATGTCCTAACTGACCACAGTAGATGCAGCGCCCCTCTCAGCTACTCACAGGAGAGAGTCTGGTCCTGCCAACTTGCATGGACTCCTCCAAAGAAGCGGGAGACACAGGAATCACACTAACAGGAGGCCTCTGCCAGGAGCCCAGGAGATTTGGGGGTCATCTGCTGGTAAGAGGGGTAGAGCGCTCTCTGGTGCGCTCTCTCTCTCGCTCAAACAGCCGCTTGTCAATTTTAATGGCTAGGGCACAAATAGAGTCCAAGTCATCAGGGGGATCTAAAGGTACCAGATCCTCCAGGAAGTCGTCAAAATGGGTAGAGGGGTTCCAGTCACTTTCAGCGGCAAGAGTGCGGAAGTTGATGGCGTATTCAGACACTCTTCTTCTACCTTGTCTCAGTCTCACTAGAGCCTGAGCAGTCTCTCGCCCTGGGGAGACGTGTTGAAACACTTGCTTGAATGTCCTGGTGAAGGCTGCCAAAGAGCTGCATGTAGGTGAGTCTCTTCTCCACTTAGCTGTATCCCACGCCTCAGCCTGGCCCGAGAGATGAGAAATAATGTAGGCAATCTTGGCTTGATCTGATGGAAAGACATGGCGCTGCAACTTGAAGTGGAGATTACACTGAGTCAGGAAAGGTCAGCTGTCCCCTGAGTCCCCGGAGAATCGCTCAGGTCATGAAAGTTGGTCATCAGGGTCTATTGTTGCTCAGACAACTCTCTTAGGTGATGATGGAGAGCACTGATCTGATCATCCTGATGAGCCATTCTGTGCCCCTGCTCTCCGATGGCGTTGCGCACTGGGTCAGAGTCCACTGGGTCCATAGCTAACCAGTTCGTACTCTAACAACATACCTGGATTTGGACCCAAAGGCTGGAGTTAGGAGCCAGATTAAAGTTCAAAGTACTGTAGGTTTTAATCAAGTAAAGGGTTCTGTACACAGGAAGGCAGAGGTATCCAAATTGACAGGCAAAAATCAGTCCAAAAACACTAAGTCAAAAACAGGAAGGCAAACACTAGGAAAATGTTTCAAAATAAAACAGGAAGTACACAACAAGAAACATGAGGTAGGGTAAATAAATTAACTTAACTAAACCATAGACATGACAATGCTTAATAGGCTACTAATCTTCAATTGCTTTTCCATTTACCAAAATATGCATCCACCTGTTTATGAGCTACTGAGACAGTAACAAGTTGTATTTTTGTAGATATTACACCAGGAAAGTCCACCCATTCTTTGGGATCTCAAACTAATAACTTGGCAGATGCATTTCTCAGAAATACTATGTGTCTGCCAAAACAAAACGTGAATCCAGTTAAGTTTCTGATCCTTTTGTAATTACACCAGTGAAACATTTGGACTGATAACACGTTTAATCTCATGGGGTCCGTTTCACGTAGCAGGTTTAGTGGAAACTCCGAGTTTGTTAACCCTGAAATCAGGGAAACTCTGAGTTTTCCGTTTCACAAAGGAGGGTTAGTTAAACCAGGGAGAGAGGGGTAACTCTAACCTGTTTCACAAAGAGAGGTAACTCAACCTCGCGGTCAGTTACCACAGTAACAGACTCCGTGAACCTAACCTGCTCGGGAGCAGGTTTAACTCAGTAAACCCAGAGTTTCAGGTGAGACATCGGCATTTTCTCATTTTGATCATGTTTTACATTGTCAAGTAAGTATTAAGTGGCAGTTTGATCCCTTAAAAAATGCTCTTTTCACACTCAAAACTGAATTTTACTCTCTTATTATGTTCCGTTAAATGATTAGGAATATTAAACTAACACAAAAACGGGTGGTGGTCCAGCAGCCCCACCTTTAACGGAGGCAGAGGAGCTGCCCCCCCCCCCCCCCCCCCCCCCCGTTCGACGATCGCGGCCGGTCCGATCGCAAATCCCCCCCCCCCCCCCCCACAGACACACACACACACACACACACGCACACACCAGTCCGACGATCGCTGCTACGGGGGGGGGGGGGGGGGCAGCTCCTCTGCCTCCGTTAAAGGTGGGGCTGCTGGACCACCACCCGTTTTTCTGGCATCTGCCCGCTTTCTGTTTGCTGAGTGAAAGTCTAATATTGAGTGTAGTGTGTGTTAGTTTAATATATGTACATATACATACTGAGAGTTAGTTTAATATTCCTAATCATTTAACGGAACATCATAAGAGAGTAAAATTCAGTTTTGAGTGTGAAAAGAGCATGTAAAACATGATCAAAATGATTCAAGCAGTTTCCCCTCAAACAGTCTGTCATTGTGATTGCACGAGACTAGATTTAAAGTTACGCATTGACGCGAGCAGCGATTTCCTCCCAAGCCCTCTCCCTCTCCTTTGCAGCTGCTGCTGTATTGCACTTTCTTTTACAAACGTGCTGTAATTCGCTGTTGGCTTGCTGCTGCCCCCTCCTTCTCCCTGTTTCCATTGGTTGATCATTGAATCTGCGCTCCACAGATGCTGGCTGTTTATGTCTGGCGTGCACGTGCTTAACTCCAGGTCAAACTACTCGGAGTTGTTAAAACCGTCTCAAATCAGGTATTGTGAAACCGGAAACTCAGAGTTTCCTAACTCAGAGTAGATCAACTCAGAGTTAAGGATTTAACTCAGAGTTTGTTGAACCACCTACGTGAAACGGACCCATGGTCTATTTGTTACGGCTGTGTGTTTGTTTTGCATGTGTTTTTCCCCTCTTGTCTCTCCATAGCTGCCCAGGTGAAATCACTTGAGTGACAATCAGACTCACCTGGTGCTGGGAGTCTAAAAGCCCAGAGCTGCCTGCAGTCTGGAGAGGCATTTGGTGGGGAACTGCTGCCCTGCTGCCGCTCATTTGTGTTGTGGGTTCTTCGTGTTAATTTGATGGGTCAAAAGTTGAGGATTGTTGTTAGCCCCATAGGGCCGCCTAAGGGTGGGGCGTAACACTATTCAACATAAATGACACAAAAGTTATAAACTTCACCTCTGGATCATTGCTCATAGCTGTTTAGCCCCACAAATAAGAATTGTATGGGTTTTAATATGTAAATTTCTGTGGACCACTCTACGGTAAGCAGTGCGCTTTTCCGCGAGGTGCATGATGAACTTATCAGTGGGCGTGCATTTCTTGGCACAACAACGGCACAAACGAAGCAGGAATGAACGGTACCATTTCAGGTCCATTTGGAGCAAATGGGGGGCTGGGTGATGTCACTGCCAAAAATAAAGTGTTTAATGACTTAAAGGGGACCTGCCATCAAAATTTCATACCCATTTTTATCATTTATTCATAATCCTTGATGTCTTCTGATCATGTTTGCAACATAATTTTAGCTGAAAAGTTATTTGATGGTTTGTTTTAGTATGCCTAAAAAACCTTACAGGAAAACCAACTGATTTTGGCTCATTAACATTTATGGTAATGAGCTTTGCTCTGATTGGATCGCTGCTGTGACGCCTGCTGTGCTCTGATTGGCTCAGCAGTGGAGGTTCGGATTTTGGTTTATTCATTTTGCTAATGTGTGCTAAAGTAAGGTGCCCAGATGTCTGTGATGATATCCGGGGATATTTGGTGCAGCGGCAGCGGGTGCAGGGGCTGTTTGATCACAGACAAAATCTCGGTACTATTTAGTAGCATGTCCCTTGTAATAACCCCCGTAAGAACTGTTGTTCAAGACTGCTAACTTGTGCTTCCTACCCATTCGGCTACTGTAATAACCGTTGTTCGAGCCCACACACAACATTTTTTGCTCTCATTCATGAAACGCTTAAATCTGGGACATTTTCGGGGACAGCTTTTGCCGAGGACAGGTCATCCAATACGGGGACTGTCCCCGGAAATCGGGGACGTCTGGTCACCTTATGCTAAAGGCTAAAAATGGCAGGTATTAAACCATATATTTTAGACCCCGAGTCCGAAGAGGAGGTGAAAGTTGAAGAAGAAGCCGGAGAGCTCCAGCTGTGTTTTCTCATTCATTCTGCCCAGCTTTAAGTTCATTTTCCCGGCACTGAACCCAAGGAAACACTGGTCGTTTGGAAGAGACCCATAGCGGATACAGCGGTAGCTGGGTCTCGCTCTGGAGAGTGATGTTGTCTGTGAATGAGTACGAGAACGAGAGAGTGGGCGCGGCTCACCGAGGACGCGCTCGTGAATAATAATGAGCAACGTCAGCGCGACGTCAGATGGACCTGCTTTTTCAATTGGCCTGGTTTACCCGTTCCTTTATTTTAAACCTTTACAGAATGCAAACAACGTAACGGTTTGTTTTCACATTTACAACATAAGACGAACATAATATGGACCTTATCTGACACAAAAAACACAGAAAATTACATTTTTATGGCAGGTCCTCTTTAAAAACCCTAGCAGCACAAACACATTTTTTTATGGCACAAACATAGACTCTATAAAGAATGGACAGAGTCTGCCTCCTTGTTGGGTGAAGCCACCCCGAGAACAGCACCCTCTGTTGATTGGCTGCAGTACAGGTCATAAATCCTGCCTCCGCCAGCAAAGCTTATGGGGCTCTGGACAAACTTTAGAAATTTATTACACAGATTACACAGATTGCTTCAGTGTTGACATGTAGTTACAGTAAGACTGGTTTGTGTTCAATTGCTCTTTTTCTGTGAAGCTCCGTTATTAAAAATTATTAGGGGGTTAATGTTTTCTATGATTGACACCTGATACAGCCTATGGGCGTTCAGGGATTGCGTAGCTCTCTTGGGGGATATGCTGTTTGAGCCGAGTGTCATCACAGCGACGCTCTGTGACTGCGCGCCCGAATGCGTGCACCACTACTGGTTTCAGGAAATGAAGAAAAATCCCGGAAATACTGAGAGCTCTTTGCCTTCAAATCGGTATACAGGCAGGAGGCGGAACCAAGTTGTCCATAGTATATACAGTCTATGGGCACAAACCAGCTGAAACGAACGGCAGCATTTCAGGTCCATTTGAAACAAATGGGGGGCTGGGTGACCTCTGGATGACCTATAAAACAATATTTAATAACTTAAAACTGTAGTAGCACAAACAAAAATTTATAGGGCACAAACCACCACAAACGAAGCACAAACGAAACAGGCTATTTTCCCGAAATTCGGGGGCCAGCTTCCCGCAGGGTAGGGGGCGGTACAGTCCATGGCTATGTCTGAAATGGATCCCTAACCCCTACATAGGCAACTATGAGGGGTTAGCGCCATTTTGAGGGGTGTCCGAAACCTCAGTCATCAATACCAGTGCCCTATACACTGTGTGCACAATTATTAGGCAAGTTGTATTTTTGAGGATAAATTTTATTTTTGAACAACTACAGTGCTCTCGGTCAATCCAAAATGTTAATAAACCTCAAACCTTAATATTTAAGGGAGTAAAAGTGAGATTTTGACTTCCTTAGGAGAATATCTATGTGTGCACAATTATTGGGGGCAGCTATTAGTGTGCAGAATTATTATGCAACTAAATTAAAAATGAAAAATTTTCCATCTCACTTGTTTATTTTCACTTGTTAAAGTGAGAATGATAAACAAACAACTCAATTTACAAATAAAAATTGTTGAAATTTAAAAAAAAAAAATCAGTGACCAATATAGCCACCCTTCTTTTCATTAACAGTCATAAGCCTTCCATTCATGGAGTCTTTCAGTTTCTTGATCTGTTGACGATCAACTTTTTGTGTTGCAGTAACCAAAGCCTTCCAGACACTGTTCCAGACACTGTTCAGAGAGGTGTACTGTCTTCCTTCACTGTAAATTTCCCGTTTAAGAAGGGCTCACAAGTTCTCAACAGGGTTTAGGTCAGGTAAAGAAGGAGGCCACGTCATTATTCTTTTGTTTTTAAGGCCTTTACTGGCGAGCCACATAGTGGAGTACTTTGTTGCATGCGATGGAGCATTGTCCTGCATAAAAATCAGGGTTTTCTTGAAAGATGCAGACTTTTGCCTGTACCACTGCTTGAAGAAAGTGTTTTCACAAATGGCATTGGATTTGGGAGTTGATTTTAAGTCCATCTTTAACCCAAAAGGTCCAGCTAGCTCATCTTTAATAATACCAGCCCATACCAGTACCCCACCTCCACCTTGCTGGTGTCTGATTCGAAGTGGAGCTCTGTGCCCATTACTGATCCAGCCACGGGTCCATCCATCTGGTCCGTCAAGAGTCACTCTTATCCCATCAGTCCATAAAACCTTTGAAAAATCTCTCTTCAGATATTTCTTGGCCCAGTCTTGACGTTTCAACTTGTGTCTTGTTCAGTGGTGGTCGGGTTTCAGCCTTCCTTACCTTGGCCATGTCTCTGAGCACTGAACACCTTGTACTTCTGGGCACTCCAGGTAGGTTGCAGTTCTGGAATATGACAGCACCGGAGGATAAGCGATTCCTGGTACCTTTACGTTTGAGTCTTCTCAAATCTTTGGCAGTTAATTTGCGTCTTTTTTCTTAACACATTTCTTGCGACCCTGTTGACTATTTGCATCAAAATGTTTGCTGGTTCTTTGATCACGCCCAAATATCTAAGCAATTTCAAGAGTGCTGCATCCCTCTGAAAGACTTTTTACATTTTTTGACTTTTCAGAGTCACTTAAATCTCTTTTTTGGCCCATTTTACCTGAGGAAAAGAAGCTGCCTAATAATTATGCACACCTTGATTTAGGGTTTTGATCTCCTTAGGCCCCAGCCTCCCTCATTACACTAATACACATTACCTGATATGCTTATATCCAAGAAACATTCAAGTTTATACAGCTTGGAGTTCAAAAATATGCATAAAAATGATGATATGATCAAAATACTCACTTGCCTAATAATTGTGCACACAGTGTATAGGCGACTCAAAATTTCACATAAAGCACTGTAAAATGCAGTGACTGTCGGACGGTCACTCACCGGTGGTGGGCATTCTGTCATGCATTGCGGCTTGCCATGTAGTGTCCGTAACCTCCGGTAATTGAGTTCTCTACATAGTCAACTATATAGTGAAACCCCATATGGGGCTTAGGGGTGAGGGATTGAGTGATTCATTTCGGACACAGCCCATAATGCCGACTGAAAGGAGACGAAGGCTGTCTGTCGGGATGCCCACCACCATCAGATGGATACTACATTTTGCAATGCTTTATGGGAAATTTTGAGTCGCCTACAGGGGTGAGGGATCCATTTCGGACACAACCGAAGAGGAAGGCGGAACATTTGGTCGACGCAGCTCCGCTTACGGAACTTTACTGGTGTGACACACGGCGGAAGTAAACAAGAAGCGTGGCTCTTTTGAAGAAGCTGAGATATCTGGGGACAATCCAGTTTCCACAGCGCAATCTTCTTTAAAATCTGGAACGAACCAACGATGTCTGTAGCTGAATCTCTCCGAGAGTTTGTGACCGAGCGGCTCGCTGCTGCTACTGAAGACATTTTGGGAGTTTTTAACAGAACTGTGGTCCAGTACGAGGAAGAGCTGGACCGTCAACGCAGACTGCTGGATTTGGTTTGGAAACCTCGCATTCACTTACACAGAATCGGTAAGAAAAGACAAGTTTAGATTGAATAATGAAGCAGAAGCTCGGTTTAAATCAGGGCTGCCTCTCCTCTCGGTTTCCATGTATAAATACTGTGAATAAAGACGGAGGAACAACCCTGTCTTAGTTCATCAATAACTGTACTACCCCGACCCATTTTGTTTCCCGCGAGCTGTAATAATGATCCGGTATCAAAACTCATCATGTGTACAGAAATCAGGGGAAAGAAGGGGAAACCTAAGAATGGCAGACGTGTGTGTTGTTAGGAAAAAAGGTTGTTTACTATCACCTTACGGGGTACTTTTAATTTCCCAAGCACGGTAAAGAAGGTAGGAAGGGGTGTTAAGTCTCTGACTTCAATTCCTTAACTACATCTCACCTTTTACCTGCGTGGTCGTTGATGGGAAGAAGAGAAGACGGGGTTCAGAAGAGTTCTCAGTTGAAGCTCTATTTATTGATTGTAATGAGTCAAGAATGAACAACAGAGTCTCAGGGTTCAGAATTAGCTCGCTGTAGCAAACAGGCATCTTAGAGGTCTGAGCGCTTCAGAACCTCGACTAAGGTTCCCTTGAACCCTTTATACACGCCTATCTGGACAAAGAGTTTGCTGATCTGGGTGTTGTCTTTGTGAGTAGGCTGGTTCCTTATTCTTCTTCAACTGTCACACTACTGGGTCTGTATGTCCTCTCTGCCTTCTGGCATTAGATTTGTGATCTCAGACAAAAGTAGATGCCCAGTGCACAGCACCATCAGTCCTTTTCACTTTGTGCAGAGGAAGACAGGTTAAGCAGATTCACCTCACAAATGAGGACTGAATCGCTTCTTTTTATGAAATCCTCAGTTTCACACAGCTCACACAAAAGGGCTTCATCAGCTTTCCTGACCAGTCCACGACACTGATGTTTTAAACAAGACCACAGACACACTGAGTGAAGTTGGTTCTTTCTCTTTTTGCTCTATCTTACTACTTTTTTCTGCATAGTATTAAAACTTATTTTACATTGTGTTCTTGTGTCATTTATCATGCTAGAGTCTATCAGTAAGTATTGTACCTTATCCTGCAGATCTTCCACAACAACATGACTGTGAGGAGGACGAGGTTGTCTCAGACCTGCAGCCCTGGAACCAGGAGAGGAACTCCAGTCCGGACCAAGAGGACCCAGAGCCTCTACAGATTAAAGAGGAAGAGGAGGAATTCTGCACCAGTCAGGACAGAGAGCAGCTTGAACCAAAACAGGAGACTGAACACTTGATGTTAACTCTAACCTGTCAGGAAAGTGAGAACACTGAAGCAGAAGTAAGGAAGGAAGGCCAGTTCCTTTCTCACAACTCTTGTAAGGCTGCAAACCAAGATCCAGAGAAAGACAAGCTCACAGAGTCAGAATCAACTTCAAAATCAGAACAACACCCCCCAAAAAAAGTTCACAAAAGAAGTCAGAAGACAAAACAGCCTAAGGTTCACTCTGATCCTCAACAAGGTGAAAAGACTTTTAAATGTGACACAAATAGGGAAACATTTACCAGCAATTCAAATTCACAGACATATCAAAGTGTTTTCACTGGTAAGAAGAAGCATATTTGTGAGAGGTGTGGGAAAATATTCAGAGACAAATGTTCGCTTAAAAAACATGCAAGATCACACACAGGTGTGAGACCGTACTCCTGTAATACATGTGGGAAGAGCTTCACTTCTAATTCAGATTTAAAGAAGCATATGCAAATTCACTCAGAAGAAAAGCTGTTCACCTGTGAAACATGCAGTAAATCTTTTAACAGAAAAGATAACCTGAAACTGCACATGAGAACACACACAGGTGAGAGACCGTACACCTGTAATACATGTGGGAAAAGCTTCGGTCGGAGTTCAACTTTAAAAATACACATGCTAATTCACTCAGCAGAAGAGATGTTCACTTGCAAAACATGCAGCAAAAATTTTAAGTGTTCATATAGAATGAGAATGCACATGAGAACACACACAGGTGAGAAACCATACACTTGTTGCACTTGTGGGAAGAGCTTCAATTTTAATTCAGATTTAAAAAAGCATATGCAAATTCACTCAGGAGAAAAGCTGTTCACCTGTGAAACATGCAGCAAATCGTTTTACCGGAAATTTCAACTACAACGGCACATGAGAACACACACAGGTGAGAGACCGTACACCTGTAACACATGTGGGAAGAGCTTCACTTCTAAAGCAGATTTAAATAAGCATATGCGAATTCACTCAGGGGAAAAGCTTTTCACCTGCAAGACATGCAGCAAATCTTATATCCGTGCAGATATACTGAGAACGCACATGAGAACACACACAGGTGAGAGACCGTACACCTGTGGCACTTGTGGGAAAAGCTTCTCTACCAATTCACATTTAAAAAAGCACATCCTTCTTCACTCAAAAGAAATCCTGTTCACCTGCAAAAGGTGCTGCAAATCTTTTCACAGGAAGGATCAACTACAACAGCACATGAAAACACACACAGGTGAGAGACCGTACTCCTGTAACACATGTGGGAAGAGGTTCGGTCGGAATTCAAATTTAAAAAAGCACATGCTTATTCACTCAAGATAAAAGCTTTTCACCTGTGAAACTTGCAACCAATCTTTTTACTGGAAAGGTCAATTAAGACTGCACATGAGAATACACACAGGTGAGAGACTGTACAGCTGTAGTACATGTGGGGAAAAGTTTTGTTGAAAAACACACTTGGATCGTCGCACCCAAAACCATATAGGTATAAAGCCTGTTGTGCTTAATGGAAACCATTCGGCAGGAAGATTTCTTTAGATGGTCACATAAGAACCCACGCAGGTAAAATGTGGCAGATCTGTCAGATACAGCAGGAAATTCCATCAAAAAGTGCAACAGAAGCTGGTGACTGAAATTAGAAGCAAATGTCATGGTGTGAAGTCAGAATACCGTTGGAGTTCATGTGAACTGGATTCTCTGTTCTGTGCAAGTTCAACGTTACACAAGATATGTTAGAGGGATGAGGTCTCGGCTCATAAAATACCATCTGTGTGTTCAGTTATTCTGGCAGTTAAGATGTATTTCCCTGTGGCTTTACCTGACTGAAATACTTGTTCTTTTGAGTCCTTATGAGCTACTTTGGTTGGTTGTTTTTTCCAGAATATTTTTATATGTTTATTTTTTTGATAACTTCTTTATATGATGATCTACAACAAATTTGATTTAGATGACTGTAGCTGTGATACCGATAAGGGTTGATCATGAAAATATGGCGACCAATAAACTTGGACTGTCAAAACAAAATTCATAGTAATGCATTTGTATCCTGGTTTCAGAGAAGTGAACCAAAAGAGGACAGAGCTTAAACCAAAATTGGATGGTCCTGATCTTCAGGCCCTCAGACTGCACTGCATTAAAACAGACTGGACTCTGGAGTGGAATTCACTGCATGGGTTCAAAATCACTTCAAAAACCATTGACTGTGAATACAGTTCCTTAATGTATCCATGGATGGGGTTCAAACTGAACCATGCAAAGACAAAACCAGATAGAAACAGGATCCAGGAACACCAGAGACTTCTCTTGACCTGAGCCCATTTAAGGTGGACCGAGAGGAAGAGGAAAACTGTCAAGATCTGGAATTCTTTTTGCATATCATGGAGCATTAGTTCAAAAGTGTAGAAGGACTACCTGACTTGCTCTCAGTTCACAGTTCACAGTCCCTGGGTTCCCCGGGATCTCTGGATCCCTCTTTGAGTTTCTATGAAGACTGTTGTTGTCAGACTCTCCTTCTTGCAAGAATTTATTTACAAAGAAAGACAAGTACTTGATTTTGAGTGACTTTTTCTTTGAAGAAACAGAAAATTTCTAAAACAACCCAATAAACACCTCTTTTAAACAAGAATGACTTATGACAAGGACTGAGGCACAAGCAATGTTACATGAGAAGTCTACTTTGTCATAAACTAAGAAGGTCACATTATGAAGACACCAAACAGGCAGGAAAGATGCTTGCTTTCCAATAAAAAACGAACAAAGACACTCAATTTTTCTTGATGACATGGTAATGGTATGATTACGAGAGATCAGGGGGCTATTAATGACACTTTTAGAAATTATTTTTCATCTTTGTATTAATGGGAATATCAGGCCAAACATCAAGATTAAAATTATTTCTTCAATAATTCAATTTTGCCAAAGTTGAGGAAAGAAAATTAAGGAAACTTAAGTTTACTTAATAATAATTATACATTTTTGCAAAAAATGTTAACAAAATGGCTGGATGAAACTGTTCCGAATTTCATTCATGTGGATCAAGTTGACTCTTTGTGAGCAGCTTCTATCTGATAATAATTCTATTCTGAAAATAGTTCTGATTCTGATTGACATGCAAAGTCTCTTGCAGACCATGCAGCTCTCTTCAGCATTTAGTAGGAGCAATACCATTGGACACTTAGGAAGCTTGTGATCGAACTGAATGGTCGTACCTATTTGAGATGCCCTCCAGATATGGTTTTGGTCCAAAAGCTTACAGTGGATCAGAGCATTTTATCAGGAACCTGTTTCAGCTCCTTCCAATGATGGCGTTCTACTAGAGAAGACTATCCTCGATCCCCTTTACTCTTTATTATAGCTGTTGGCATGTGCTATCTGACAAGACAAAGAAAATACAGGCATGGCTTTACTTTTCATCCAATTTATTTTCTTAACTAAAAGGCTGCTAAATGACTAAATAATTTCTGAAAGTCTTAGTATAGAGTTGGAGGGTTTGGCCAAAGTCAATAAAATGTCATCCAGATACATATTCAATTTGAAATCATAACCCCCCAAAAAATTGCAGGCAAGAAAAAAAAAACATATTTACTATTGTGAATTCGTATTTACTTAAATGTCAAACCTCTATTAATTACCATAAAGGGATACCTTAAAAGATGATCTGCTCTGCCTCTGTCCTTACAGGGTAGGGCAGAAGTGCTCAAGATGGATGTCCTCCCATGATTGAATTATTTAGTGTCCTCTATTCCTTTGTTTATTCAGAAATCTTGGTTTGACAATTTCAACGGAAAGTTCCCCTCTTTATGGAACAACAAGATGTTTAGAACTTTTTTGAGAGATTAACCCTCCCAAGAGACTTTGAACCTGATTTTTTATTTGTGTTGTCTTGCATTTAATGCCAGGCTTTCATTTCTTTAAATTTCCCAAATATTTTGATTATAATTATGACACTGACAAAACATATTCAGACTTTTATTAGCAAACAAAGGAGCAGTCTCAAGTTTATATAAGTTGCTGTGTTATGCCTCCCCAAACCAGAACTCAAAGACAGAGTCACAATGGGAACTTGATTCAGGGGTCAAATGTACTTCTGAAGAGTCGAGAAAACATTAAGCGTGGCATAAAAACAACCTCAAAATCTGTCTGAAGTAGAGTAATACAGCTGAAAATTCTTCATAGAGCATTATAGGGATAAAACCTGATCTATGCATGTGTAGGGCAATTTGGACCATTTGAATGAATTGAATACTTACTTAAGTATGAGCATGCACTGATCTCTCCTACTTGTGGTGTTGTTGTTAATATATAACTGCTGTCTGATTGTGTTTATTGTTGTAATACAAAAGTATTAAAACTTTGAATTTAAAAAGAAGGAAAAAAAGAAGAACAAAGAAACCGTGGAGGGCCGCACAGTATGCGATATCAAATGAAAGGAGACAAAGAGGAGGGCGGAACATTTGCTCGCCGCAGCTCCGCCTACGGAACTTTATTGGTGTGATACACGGCGGAAGTAAACGAGAAGCGTGGCTCTTTTGAAGAAGCTGAGATATATTTGAGGACAATCCAGTTTCCACAGCGCAACCTTCTTAATAATCTGCAACGAACCAACGATGTCTGTAGCAGAATCTCTCCGAGAGTTTGTGAACGAGCGGCTTGCTGCTGCTACTGAAGACATTTTGGAAGTTTTTAACAGAACTGTGGTCCAGTACGAGGAAGAGCTGGACCGTCAACGCAGACTGCTGGATTTGGTTTGGAAACCTCGCATTCACTTACACAGAATCGGTAAGAAAAGACAAGTTTAGACTGAATAATAAAACAGAAGCTCGGTTTAAATCAGTGCTGCCTCTCCCTCGGTTTCCATGTATAAATACTGTGAATAAAGACGGAGGAACAACCCTGTCTTAGTTCAACAATAACTGTGCTACCCCGACCCATTTTGTATCCCGCGAGCTGTAATCATGATCCGGTATCAAAACTCATCATGTGTACAGAAATCAGGGGAAACCTAACAATGGCAGACGTGTGTTTGAAAAAAAATGTGGTTTATTATTACTTTACGGGGTACTTTTAATTTTCCAAGCACAGTAAAGACGGTAGGAAGGGGTGTCTGACTTCAATTCCTTAACTACATCTCACCTTTTACTTGCGTGGTCGTTGATGGGAAGAAGAGAAGACGGGGTTCGGAAGAGTTCTCAATTGAAGCTCTATTTATTGATTGTAATGAGTCAAGAATGAACAACAGAATCTCAGGGTTCAGAATTAGCTCGCTGTAGCAAACAGTCATCTTAGAGGTCTGAGCGCTTCAGAACCTCGACTAAGGTTCCCTTGAACCCTTTATACACGCCTATCTGAACAAAGAGTTTGCTGATCTGGGTGTTGTCTTTGCGAATAGGCTGGTTCCTTATTCTTCTTTAACTGTCACACTACTGGGTCTGTATGTCCTCTCTGCCTTCTGGCTTTAGTTTTATGATCTCAGACAAAAGTAGATGCCCAGTGCACAGCACCATCAGTCCTTTTCACTTTGTGCAGAGGAAGACAGGTTAAGCAGATTCACCTCACAAATGAGGACTGAATCGCTTCTTTTTATGAAATCCTCAGTTTCACACAGCTCACACAAAAGGGCTTCATCAGCTTTCCTGACCAGTCCACGACACTGATGTTTTAAACAAGACCACAGACACACTGAGTGAAGTTGGTTCTTTCTCTTTTTGCTCTATCTTACTACTTTTTTTCTGCATAGTATTAAAACTTATTTTACATTGTGTTTTTATGTCATTTATCATGTTAGAGTCTATCAGTAAGTATTGTACCTTGTCCTGCAGATCTTCCACAACAACATGACTGTGAGGAGGACGAGGTTGTCTCAGACCTGCAGCCCTGTAACCAGGAGAGGAACTCCAGTCCGGACCAAGAAGACCCAGAGCCTCTACAGATTAAAGATGAAGAGGAGGAATTCTGCACCGGTCAGGACAGAGAGCAGCTTGAACCAAAACAGGAGACTGAACACTTGATGTTAACTCTAACCTGTCAGGAAAGTGAGAACACTGAAGCAGAAGTAAGGAAGGACGACCAGTTCCATTCTCAAAACTCTCATGAGGCTGCAAACCAAGATCCAGAGAAAGACAAGCACACAGAGTCAGAATCAACTTCAAAATCAGAACAACAACCCCCAAAAAAAGTTCAGAAAAGAAGTCAGAAGACAAAACAGCCGAAGGTTCACTCTGATCCTCAACAAGGTGAAAAGACTTTTAAATGTGACACAAATAGGGAAACATTTACCAGCAATTCAAATTCACAGGCACATGTTAGTGTTTTCACTGGTAAGAAGAAGCATACTTGTGAGAGGTGTGGGAAAATATTCAGAGACAAACGTTTGCTTAAAAAACATGCAAGATCACACACAGGTGTGAGACCGTACTCATGTGGCAGTTGTGGAAAGAGCTTCATTTTTAATTCAGATTTAAAAAAGCATATGCAAATTCACTCAGAAGAAAAGCTGTTCACCTGTGAAACATGCAGTAAATCTTTTAACAGAAAAGAATACCTTAAACTGCACATTAGAACACACACAGGTGAGAGACCATACACCTGTAACACATGTGGGAAGAGCTTCACTTCTAAACAAGATTTAAATAAGCATATGCGAATTCACTCAGGAGAAAAGCATTTCACCTGCAAGACATGCAGCAAATCTTATATCCGTGCAGATATACTGAGAATGCACATGAGAACACACACAGGTGAGAGACCGTACACCTGTGGCACTTGTGGGAAAAGCTTCTCTACCAGTTCATATTTAAAAAAGCACATCCTTCTTCACTCAAAAGAAAACCTGTTTACCTGCAAAAGGTGCTGCAATTCTTTTAACAGGAAGGATCAACTACAACAGCACATGAAAACACACACAGGCGAGAGACCGTACTCCTGTAACACATGTGGGAAGAGGTTCGGTCGGAATTCAAATTTAAAAAAGCACATGCTTATTCACTCAAGATAAAAGCTTTTCACCTGTGAAACTTGCAACCAATCTTTTTACTGGAGAGGTCAATTAAGACTGCACATGAGAATACACACAGGTGAGAGACTGTAAAGCTGTAGTACATGTGGGGAAAAGTTTTGTTGAAAAACACACTTAGATCGTCACACCCAAAACCATATAGGTATAAAGCCTGTTGTGCTTAATGGAAACCATTCGGCAGGAAGATTTCTTTAGATGGTCACATAAGAACCCACGCAGGTAAAATGTGGCAGGTCTGTCGGATGCAGCAGGAAATTCCATCAAAAAGTGCAACAGAAGCTGGTGACTGACATTAGAAGCAAATGTCATGGTGTGAAGTCAGAATATCGTTTGAGTTCATGTGAACTGGATTCTCTATTCTGTGCAAGGTCAACGTTACACAAGACATGTTAGAGGGATGAGGTCTCGGCTCATAAAATACCATCTGTGTGTTCAGTTATTCTGGCAGTTAAAATACATTTCACTGTGGCTTTACCTGACTGAAATACTTGTTCTTTTGAGTCCTTATGAGCTACTTTGGTTGGTTGTTTTTTCCAGAATATTTTTATACGTTTATTTTTTTAATAACTTCTTTATATGATGATCTACAACAAATTTGATTTAGATGACTGTAGCTGTGATACCGATTAAGGTTGATCATGAAAATATGGCGACCAATAAACTTGGACTGTGAAAACAAAATTCATAGTAATGCATTTGTATCCTGGTTTAATAGAAGTGAACCAAGAGAGGACAGAGCTTAAAACCAAAATTGGATGGTCCTGATCTTCAGGCCCTCAGACTGCACTGCATTAAAACAGACTGGACTCTGGAGTGGAATTCACTGCATGGGTTCAAAATCACTTCAAAAACCATTGGCTGTAAATACAGTTCCTTACTGTATCCATGGATGAGGTTGAAACTGAACCATGCAAAGAGAAAACCAGATAGAAACAGGACCCAGGAACACCAGAGACTTCTCCTGACTACCTGACTTGCTCTCAGTTCACAGTCCCTGGGTTCCCTGGGATCTCTGGATCTCTCTTTGAGTTTCTATGAAGACTGTTGTTGTCAGACTCTCCTTCTTGCAAGAATTTATTCACAAAGAAAGACAAGTACTTGGCTTTGAGTGACTTTTTCTGTGAAGAAACAGAAAATTTCTAAAACAACCCAATAAACACCTCTTTTAAACAAGAATGACTTATGACAAGGACTGAGGCACAAAAACACCAAAAAGGCAATAGTTCTGATTCTGATTGATATGCAAAGTCTCTTGCAGACCATGCAGCTCTCTTCAGCATTTAGTAGGAGCAATACCATTGGACACAGAGAAAGCTTGTGATCGAAATGAATGGTCGTACCTGTTTGAGAAGCTCTCCAAATATGGTTTTGGTCCAGAAGCCTACAGTGGATCAGAGCACTTTATCAGGAACCTGTTTCAGCTCCTTCCAATGATGGCGTTCTACTAGAGAAGACTGTCCTTGATCCCCTTTACTCTTTATTTCAGCCTTAGAACTGTTGGCATGTGCTATCTGACAAGACAAAGAAAATACAGACATGGCTTTACTTTTCATCCAATTTTTTTTGTTAACTAAAAGGCTGCTAAATGACTAAATAATTTCTGAAACTCTTAGTATAGAGTTGTAGGGTTTGGCCAAAGTCAATAAAATGTCATCCAGATACATATTCAATTTGAAATCACAACCCCCCCCAAAAAAAAATTCCAGGCAAAATAAAAATTCTTATTTACTATTGTGATTTCTTATTTACTTAAATGTCAAACCTCTATTAATTACCATAAAGGGATACCTCAAAGGTTATCTGCTCTGCCTCTGTCCTTACAGGGTAGGGCAGAAGTGCTCAAGATGGATGTCCTCCCAAGACTGAATTTCTTAGTGTCCTCTATTCCTTTGTTTATTCAGAAATCTTGGTTTGACAATTTCAACGGAATGTTCCCCTCTTTATGGAACAACAAGATGTTTAGAACTTTTTTGAGAGATTCACCCTCCCAAGAGACTTTGAACCTGATGTTTATTTGTGTTGTCTTGCATTTAATGCCAGGCTTTCATTTCTTAAGATTTCCCAAAGAATATTTTGATTATAATTATGACACTGACAAAAAATATTCAGACTTTTATCATCAAACAGAGGAGCAGTCTCAAGTTTATATAAGTTGCTGTGTCATGCCTCCCCAAACCAGAACTCAAAGACAGAGTCACAATGGGAACTTGATTCAGGGGTCAAATGTACTTCTGAAGAGTGTGGAAAACATTAGGCATGACATAAAAACAACCTCAAAATCTGTCTGAAGTAGAGTAATACAGCTGAAAATTCTTCATAGAGCGTTATAGGGATAAAACCTGATCTATGCATGTGTAGGGCAATTTGGACCGTTTGAATGGATTGAATATTTACTTAAGTATGAGCATGCACTGATCTCTCCTACTTGTGGTGTTGTTGTTAATATATAACTGCTGTCTGGTTGTGTTTATTGTTGAAATACAAAATTATTAAAACTTTGAATTTAAAAAGAAGGAAAAAAAGAAGAAGAAAGAAACCGTAGAGGGCCGCACAGTATGCGATACCGACTGTAGGAGACAAAGAGGAGGGCGGAACATTCGGTCGCCGCAGCTCCGTCTACGGAACTTTATTGGTGTAACACATGAAGGAAGTAAACGAGAAGAGGGCTCTTTTAAAGAAGCTGAGATATCTGAGGACAATCCAGTTTTTACAGCGCAACCTTCTTAACAATCTGCAACAAACCAACGATGTCTGGAGCTGAATCTCTCCGAGAGTTTGTGACCGAGCGGCTCGCTGCTGCTACTGAAGACATTTTGGGAGTTTTTAACCGAACTGTGGTCCAGTACGAGGAAGAGCTGGACCGTCAACGCAGACTGCTGGATTTGGTTTGGAAACCTCGCATTCACTTACACAGAATCGGTAAGAAAAGACAAGTTTAGATTGAATAATGAAGCAGAAGCTCGGTTTAAATCAAGGCTGCCTCTCATCTCGGTTTCCATGTATAAACTGTGAATAAAGACGGAGGAACAACCCTGTCTTAGTTCATCAATAACTGTACTACCCCGACCCATTTTGTTTCCCGCGAGCTGTAATAATGATCCGGTATCAAAACTCATCATGTGTACAGAAATCAGGGGAAAGAAGGGGAAACCTAAGAATGGCAGACATGTGTGTTGTTAGGAAAAAAGGTGGTTTACTATCACCTTACGGGGTATTTTTAATTTCCCAAGCACGGTAAAGAAGGTAGGAAGGGGTGTTAAGTCTCTGACTTCAATTCCTTAACTACCTCTCACCTTTTACCTGCGTGGTCGTTGATGGGAAGAAGAGAAGACGGGGTTCAGAAGAGTTCTCAGTTGAAGCTCTATTTATTGATTGTAATGAGTCAAGAATGAACAACAGAGTCTCAGGGTTCAGAATTAGCTCGCTGTAGCAAACAGGCATCTTAGAGGTCTGAGCGCTTCAGAACCTCGACTAAGATTCCCTTTAACCCTTTATACACGCCTATCTGGACAAAGAGTTTGCTGATCTGGGTGTTGTCTTTGTGAGTAGGCTGGTTCCTTATTCTTCTTCAACTGTCACACTACTGGGTCTGTATGTCCTCTCAGCCTTCTGACTTTAGATTTGTGATCTCAGACAAAAGTAGATGCCCAGTGCACAGCACCATCAGTCCTTTTCACTTTGTGCAGAGGAAGACAGGTTAAGCAGATTCACCTCACAAATGAGGACTGAATCGCTTCTTCTTGGTTTCACACAGCTCACACAAAAGGGCTTCATCAGCTTTCCTGACCAGTCCACTACACTGATGTTTTAAACAAGACCACAGACACACTGAGTGAAGTTGGTTCTTTCTCTTTTTGCTCTATCTTACTACTTTTTTTCTACATAGTATTAAAACTTATTTTACATTGTGTTTTTATGTCATTTATCATGCTAGAGTCTATCAGTAAATATTGTACCTTATCCTGCAGATCTTCCACAACAACATGACTGTGACGAGGACGAGGTTGTCTCAGACTTGCAGCCCTGTAACCAGGAGAGGAACTCCAGTCCAGACCAAGAGGACCCAGAGCCTCTACAGATTAAAGATGAAGAGGAGGAATTCTGCACCGGTCAGGACAGAGAGCAGCTTGAACCAAAACAGGAGACCGAACACTTGATGTTAACTCAAACCTGTCAGGAAAGTGAGAACACTGAAGCAGAAGTAAGGAAGGAAGACCAGTTCCTTTCTCAAAACTCTCATGAGGCTGCAAACCAAGATCCAGAGAAAGACAAGCTCACAGAGTCAGAATCAACTTCAAAATCAGAACAACACCCCCCAAAAAAAATTCAGAAAAGAAGTCAGAAGACAAAACAGCCGAAGGTTCACTCTGATCCTCAACAAGGTGAAAAGACTTTTAAATGTGACACAAATACTGAAACATTAACCAGCAATTCAAATTCACAGACATATGAAAGTGTTTTCACTGGTAAGAAGAAGCATATTTGTGAGTGGTGTGGGAAGATATTCAGAGACAAATATTCGCTTAAAAAACATGCAAGATCACACACAGGTGTGAGACCGTACTCCTGTGGCACTTGTGGAAAGAGCTTCATTTTTAATTCAGATTTAAAAAAGCATATGCAAATTCACTCAGAAGAAAAGCTGTTCACCTGTGACACATGCAGTAAATCTTTTAACAGAAAAGATTACCTTAAACTGCACATTAGAACACACACAGGTGAGAGACCGTACACCTGTAACACATGTGGGAAGAGCTTCACTTCTAAACCAGATTTAAATAAGCATATGCGAATTCACTCAGGAGAAAAGCTTTTCACCTGCAAGACATGCAGCAAATCTTTTATCCGTACAGATCAACTGAGAATGCACATGAGAACACACACAGGTGAGAGACCGTACTCCTGTAGCACTTGTGGGAAAAGCTTCTCTACCAATTCATATTTAAAGAAGCACATCCTTCTTCACTCAAAAGAAAACCTGTTCACCTGCAAAAGGTGCTGCAAATCTTTTCACAGGAAGGATCAACTAAAACGGCACATGAAAACACACACAGGTGAGAGACCGTACTCCTGTAACACATGTGGGAAGAGGTTCGGTTGGAATTCAAATTTAAAAACGCACATGCGTATTCACTCAAGATAAAGCTTTTTACCTGCAAATTTTATCTGTTGTAATAACTTCTTTATATCATGATCTACAACAAATTTGATTTAGATGACTGTAGCTGTGATGCCGATGGTCCTGATCTTCAGGCCTTCAGACTGCACTGCATTAAAACAGACTGGACTCTGGAGTGGAATTCACTGCATGGGTTCAAAATCACTTCCAAAACCATTGGCTGTGAATACAGTTCCTTACTGTATCCATGGATGAGGTTCAAACTGAACCATGCAAAGAGAAAACCAGATAGAAACAGGACCCAGGAACACCAGAGACTTCTCCTGACTACCTGACTTGCTCTCAGTTCACAGTCCTTGGGTTCCCCGGGATCTCTGGATCTCTCTTTGAGTTTCTATGAAGACTGTTGTTGTCAGACTCTCCTTCTTGCAAGAATTTATTCACAAAGAAAGACAAGTACTTGGCTTTGAGTGACTTTTTCTGTGAAGAAACAGAAAATTTCTAAAACAACCCAATAAACACCTCTTTTAAACAAGAATGACTTATGACAAGGACTGAGGCACAAAAACACCAAAAAGGCAATAGTTCTGATTCTGATTGATATGCAAAGTCTCTTGCAGACCATGCAGCTCTCTTCAGCATTTAGTAGGAGCAATACCATTGGACACAGAGAAAGCTTGTGATCGAACTGAATGGTCGTACCTGTTTGAGATGCTCTCCAAATATGGTTTTGGTCCAAAAGCTTACAGTGGATCAGAGCACTTTATCAGGAACCTGTTTCAGCTCCTTCGAATGATGGCGTTCTACTTGAGAAGACTGTCCTTGATCCCCTTTACTCTTTATTTCAGCCTTAGAACTGTTGGCATGTGCTATCTGACAAGACAAAGAAAATACAGACATGGCTTTACTTTTCATCCAATTTATTTTGTTAACCAAAAGGCTGCTAAATGACTAAATAATTTCTGAAACTCTTAGTATAGAGTTGGAGGGTTTGGCCAAAGTACATAAAATGTCATCCAGATACATATTCAATTTGAAATCATAACCCCCCAAAAAATTGCAGGCAAGAAAAAAAAAACATATTTACTATTGTGAATTCGTATTTACTTAAATGTCAAACCTCTATTAATTACCATAAAGGGATACCTCAAAGGTTATCTGCTCTGCCTCTGTCCTTACAGGGTAGGGCAGAAGTGCTCAAGGTGGATGTCCTCCCATGATTGAATTATTTAGTGTCCTCTATTCCTTTGTTTATTCAGAAATCTTGGTTTGACAATTTCAACGGAATGTTCCCCTCTTTATGGAACAACAAGATGTTTAGAATATTTTGGAGAAATTAACCCTCCCAAGAGACTTTAAACCTGATGTTTATTTGTGTTGTCTTGCATTTAATGCCAGGCTTTCATTTCTTTAAATTTCCCAAATATTTTGATTATAATTGTGACACTGACAAGTGCTAAAGATCAATGTGCTCCCAAGATTGAATTTCTTAGTGTCCTCTATTCCCAGGGCTCACAAATTGTGTCATGTATCTGCCCCTTCCTTTCCATACTTTACCAGGGAGGATCCAAGACAGTTCGCCCTGCTTAAGATGGCCCTTACAAACCTCTTGCCCAGTGATGAAAGTGAGCAGTTCAAATATCACATCTTATTAGATCACTTGAAGCTGGACACTGCCTGTCGCCTTGCTCTGGCCTATGCTCATCATCCTCTTCCTTACACTAGAGCTATGTCCGCACTGCAGCAAAGGTATGGACAGCCACAGCAGCTTGTTCTGAGGGAAATGACAGATATCTTAAATCTCCCTCCTGTGCGTCCTGGTGACTCCAGCAACTTTGCTATACGGGTCAGAGCCCTTGTGGGGATGCTGCATTCTTTCGAGAAAGGTGAGGGAGATGCAGAATTGGCTTGTGCATCTCATGTACAGCAGCTACTAGGTAAACTGCTTTCTAAGCAAGTGGCCAACTAAGTAAGTCATCTTCATAAAGACATCCAGGATCTTGCCACTGAGTCTACTACACGTCGTAGTCAGACCTGTCCTTTTTTTGGTCCCGATCACCATTTAAGTGTCTGCTCAGATTTCCGTCAGCTCCCGAAAGATGCAGCAAGGAAGTGGATTCAGGACAAGGGACGCTGCTGGAGATGTGCACGTTTTTGTGGAAGTTTTTCTTCCCGTTGCTGCTGGTGAAGAATGAAATAGAGACTTCTGCTGGCCAACAAGGTTTTATTTTCTTTGCAAAGAAAAGGTGAATCTGCATCCGAGCGGTCAGAATCCAGAAAGACCTAGAACGTGGGGAGACCTGAACATTTATGCTTGAGGACCGCCCCTCAGAAGGCAAGGAATGGGGCTTTGATGTTGGCATCTTTTGTTTTCTGTGGGGAGCGTCACTGCATTGGCTCCCTGTCCATTTCAGGATTGATTTTAAGGTTCTTTTATTAGTTTTTAGATGTATTAATGGTCTTGGCCCCTCCTATTTATCTGACTTACTTTTCTCATATCAACCCTCGCTGACCCTGAGGTCCTCCGGCACAGGCCTTTTAACCTTACCCAAAGTCAAAACAAAAAACACAACTAATTGCCATTTTATATTTTTCTCTTATTGCACGTTGTGTGTGTGTGGGTGAGTGAAGGTGGGTGTGTGTCTTTGTGTGCGTGTGGGTTCATGGGTGTGTGTGTGGATGAGAGTGTTGAGTTTGATTTGAATTTGAATCATCTGTGCTAAGTAACTTGTACAGATACAACATACCATATGTGTTTTCACTGACTCAAACTCAATCACGTTGCTGTCACAGCACCATTAGGTTGTTACCTTACGTTTACGGATTATAGTTTAATGTGCTTATCTGGTACTGGCCCTGACTCAGTACATGCTATCATAACAGACAGCCATCTCAACACCAGTGTCTAATCAGAACTGAAAACAATCAGTCTGGTGTTGTGTCAGTCTTCTCACCTCCACCCGGGATGCGTCTTTTATCCCCCCCGCAAAGTTGCATAATCGCATCACACTTGATGTGTATAGTCAGGCGTGTCAAAATTCACTTCAGAATATTTTGTAATTCCACGCCTTATATTTGCGTCATTCCCGGTGTGTAAGGACCTTTACCCTGTCCAGGTGCTTCAGAGATTCAAGCACCGACATGACCTACCCCTTCAGTCTTTCAGGAATGTTCAGCCATTACTCCTCATCGGTTCAGATCACCCTCATCTTGTCTGTCCTACTGAAGGGGTACGTCTTGGTCCAGGGGGTGGCCCAGCAGTCCATACTCGTCTTAGTTGGGCCTTGCAAGGGCCTTCAATGCTCCCTGGGGAGTACCATACATGTCCAAAAACGACTCCAAAGGTTCAGTCCTATTTCATATCCTGTTCCATCAGGTCAGGTTGTTGGCTGAAGATCAACCACTACTCCGTTTCCTATGGAAAAACATAGGAAGGGAAGAGCCTGCAGATGTGTATAAGTGGCAAGTTTTGCCATTCGGTACCACATTCAGTCCCTGTTGTCAGGGTTTTTCCTGGCTCAAATTGAGGCAGAGGTGGCACCATCCTGACCATGCACCATAACGTGCATGTATTTTGTAAATTTAACTGACTCCCTTTCTTTTACAGGCAACATACTTTAAGTTAAGAGTTCCAAAAGGAATGTGACCATTGTCACGTTAAAGCATTCATTTATTAAAACTATATGCATACACAAATCAGCTGGCAACTTTAAATTGAAAGTACACTTCATCCACACATCTCGCAACCAGACACAGAACATTTCAGCCTCCTCTTTTTCATTCTGTAGAACCTCCTCATGCACTCCTTGTAGTCCAAGGCCTCCTGGTCTGGTCCATCAATGGCCACCTTACAACAGACATCCAAGTGCCTCTCCTTCAGTCTGTTCCTCAGAGGTGTCTTCACCTTAAACAAAACAATTCATCATGCATTAAGTATTTTTGTATTTATTCTGATACAGACATGAAGTGATAGTGTTTTCAATCATACGTTACAATTTTGAGTGCAGAGAAGAGCCTCTCCACATCTGCAGTCTGGACAGGGGCTGTGAGGGCGATAGCAGCTGCAAGGCTGAGGGTGGGATACAGCTCAGCAGATTCTGCAAATACAAGCCACAGAGGAACCTCCTCCAGGGATTTGGTCCGAATAAAGGGGTGAAAACAAAGATGAATGAAATTATTCAGTAAAACCAGACTATTGTGGTGGTGATACAGTTAATGTAACTTAATATATAGTACCTTCAGATCAGGACTCCCCACTCTCAGTCTGTATGAGCTCCACTCAGACAGCAGGTCAGACTCCCTCAGTCTTGGAAACTCCTCAGCCAGTGTTCTCATCTCAGCATCCCCATACTCTGTACTAGAGTTTGACAAAATTTGTCTGGGAGAGAACACATTGAAGACAGACAGACTGCCGGTGTTTGGGAATCTGTTGTTGATGTTCTCAGTCACTGCAATCAGGAATAGCTCCATCACCTGTAAAAGATGTTGAAAAAAAGGTAAAACAGTCCTTCCGTCCACATTACACAAATACATTCTTAATACATACAGTGTTCTTGAAGCTATCCCACACACCATCCTGGAAATATGCAGGGACTGCTTCCTGTATCAGACTGGAGCCATGCCTGCCAGCGGTCTTTGACCATGTTGCTCTCTTTCAGCTGTGCCAGCGATGATTTCAGCATTGTGGCCTGAGATAAAACCCAACAGCTTTGCTAGTAACAGCATTTCAATTAACAGAAAACCCAAGGATTATGGTATTGATCTCATACCTCCTGCTCCACCTGAGAGAAGAAAAAAGTTTCTCTTTTGAAAGTGGATCTTTTCATGCACAAGTTGCATTAGGCACAGGGCAGGGGGGAAGAACTTGTCCTTTACAGAGGAATACAGTCCTTGTGCAATTGGCTCATTCTGGACTTGGAGTGAACAGGCAGTGAGCAGGCAGAATTCGACACATCACATCTGTTGCTTCCTTATTAGATTCTCATCTGATAGCATTTCCACCGTACATAAAATTATTTAGTAAATAACAAAAAAAGCAAAATTGGATCTGAATAATATAGCACTGAATATTGCTAACCTGCAGTTTGATTTGGGGGAGTTTAAAAATCCTCTCCATGTCCTTGAGACTGCTGGTCCTATTACTGGAGGCCTGGTAGAACCAGAAAATAGTTCCAACAGTCCTGGCATATTTAGTGAGATAATGAACTGCCCTCTGCCCCTTAATGCAGTCTGACACTGTCAGATTGAGACGATGTTCCACGCAGTGTACGGTTATCAGGCCAGGGAATGAGTCTTGGAGTCTCTTCCCAACTCCAGCTTTTCTCCCTTAAATAATAATAAAAAAACATTAACTCTGTCAATCTTATAAAATGTTAACTAAAAGGTAAATGCAAAAAAAAAAAGGAAAATTCACCTATCAATACTGCAGCGCCGTCACTTGCAAAGGAGGCTAGCTTGTCGGTTGGCAGCATTTTGTCATCTCTGATGACTCGCAGGATGCTATCATACAGAGTTGCAGCATCCCCAGCAGACACTCCACCCAAATGCAGCACCCTGGTTTGGACTACAGTGCTTCCCACATGGTTGGGTCCTAAAAAGCTAAACATAAAAAAAAATCACTCTTAGTTGAAGTATGGCTGCTTGTGCATTTGGTGTTGGCACTGACCTGGGGGCAAAACAGGCAGTAATTAGGTTGGCCTACTTCATTTTAAAACAATTATGTGAAAAACGTTGAATATACAATTATGTAAAAATATAACTTAAGAACTTACATTCAAACCATCAAAATAAGCACAGCCTAAGCGCTTGCATAAGAGAATGATGGGCTCATAGCTTGTGTGGTGGGGCCACTTTTGCTTGAGACACTCATAGATGATTTTGAAGCAGCCTTCAAGCGCTCTGTGGTCCATGTCCACATGTGTTGCAATAGCACGCTGCAGTGTCCTCCCTAAAAAAAACTACAACTAATTATCTATCTAAACTATATTATTTTAGTTTTTGTAACTTTATTAGTTGAGTGTTTTTAGGTACTACTATCTTCAATATACTTCTCCTTCTCTTCTGCTGCTTTGTGAATGGCTGTCACCTCATGCCTTTTAATGTGTCCAGTCTGTAGTTGGTTGATGGCTGTCTCACTAAGGAGGCAGCAATTGCCTGCTATGTTGGGGCACAGTGCTTTTGGCATAAATAGCAATGCATGCCTTCCTCAGTATGCCTGAGCCAGGTAAATTAATTGAGCCACTGCTTGTCAAAGCCACTGGCTCTGTATTTTTGAGAAGATCTGGAAAGAGAAATAAAAACCACTTACATGTTGGCATTGCATTGTTATGCTCCTAATTGGAAAATGATTTAATTACCCTTGCCTCGCCGACTCGTCCTGTCATGCATTCTGACCCTCACCATCACCAGTCCCTTATGAAGTACTTTCAGACCTGACACAAATTTCCACATGTTGTCACCACCATGAATTAATATATTTTAACTGCCTGTTACGTTTTTTCTCTGCTGTGTTTCACCTGGACTCTTGACTTTCCTCCTCGCGAGGTCCCTTTTACAAGTAGTGGCTGATTTTGCCTGCCATATCTGCAAGATCGCACCAATCCATGGGAAGGGGCATTGGGTCTGGTGTGGTACTGCTCTTCTGACACCCTGGGGTACAAACATTGACCTGTTGAGTATCAAACTCTCACCCTTCGCACTGTGTATAGGATCTTGGCCAGTCAATATGACCCCCTGGGGTTCATCATCCCTTTCACCCTTATGCCAAGATCCTCCTTCAGAAATTGTGGTCCAAAGAGCATGAATGGGATGACCCATGTCTTCCAGATGCCTTTGTCAAAGTCTGGACACTATGGGGAAAAAAGGGCTTCCACATCTGGAAAAATCAAACTCCCAAGGTGCTATGGACTCAGTGAGATTCAGGATTCCCCAGTGATCAGAGAACTTCATGTATTTTGTGATGCCTCAGAGGCAGCTCATGGTTCTGTTGCATATGTGAGAACTGTGGACTCGAAGGGGGAGGTCCATGTGTCTTTTGTCATATCTCGCTCACAAGTAGCTCCAGGACGGCAGATAACCATTCCCAGATTAGAGCTATGTGGAGCCCAAACTGGAGCCCAATTAGCAAAAATGCTGCAAAAGGAGATATCTCTTCCAGAATCCTGCCAGTATAAAATCTTTGTGGCTCACTGCATTACAGAAATCCTTGAGTGCACATCTCTTCTGACTGGAGGTATGTTGACATAACAAGCAACCCTGCAGATGATATCACTAGGGGAAAAACCCTTGCTGAATTTGCCAAACCACACATATGGAATGAAGGTCCATCTTTCCTTTACTTGCCCCCTGATCATTGGCCCATATCCCCATCCTCACCTTCAAATGAGGCAGCGATCAGAAAGTCTGTGTTTTGTGGGGTAACTTGGGCACTGCCAAGCAAGATTCCCCCAGACATCCACCACTTCACTTGCTGGGAAGATTTGGTGGTTGGCTAGATGTTGGGTCTAAAACCTGCAACATTTACCTGATAACATATAAAGAAGAGAAAGACAATGGTATATACTCAAGGAGAATGGACAGAGATAGCATCAGGTACCATCTCGAAACCACTCTGAAAGGTATTTCCGCCCAGTCTCTTTATTTAGGGTTGTCCCTGGTTACACAATGTTTCTAAAGGGTGGGGGAAAAATATGTGCAGCAACGTAAGCACTCTCATAAAACATAATAATGAACAACTGTGAATATGTGAAGATCAAGGCGATATTGTTGCATCTAACGAGCTCCTTCTGATAAGAGCGGATCCTCCTCAATACTTCCCACGATTCACAGTGGAGGATACATCACACACACCTGCTGATAAGAGAAACGAGGTCACAGAATAATGAAGAAACACTCATGTGCTGTGTAATATAGCTATTGGAGAGAGAAGTTAGAAAACACTCTTATATGATAAAAAACACTCTTATATGTGTGTAACAAGAGGTCAAAACAGTTTATACCTGTAGTAAACTCTTACATAAGAATATGAGGAATAATGATAACTTCTATATACATTTATGCACATTATTCTAACAATAGATTAGCTCAAACTCCTGAAAAATCATATATTGAAACCCTCCTTTTATAACACGCTCAACAAGAGATCTTTCCAGAGGAATATGCTCTCCTCCGGGGTAAGAAACATGTTTCCAAGCAAAGTCCACTGGACAACCTAGCCCCTGAGTTTGATTATGTCACCAACCTAATCAGAGTGGGTGGTCGCCTTCACAAAAGTGAGGACTTGGACTGTGAAAATATCCATCCTATAGCCCTTGATCCCAAAAGCTGTTACCAAACTGCTGATCAAAGATTATGACCAAAAGCTTCAACATCCTGGTCCAAAAAGAGTCTTTGCCAGCCTACGGAAAAATTACTGGATCTTCCATGGGAGGCAAGCAGTTAGGAAACATCAGCATGCATGGATTGCAAAAAATGGAAAGCAAAACCCTTGGTCCCCCAAATGGCTGATTTACCATCTGCATCTATTCAAGGCCCCCTTCTGGTCCACAGGGATGGACTGCTTTGGACCCTGTCTTGTCAAAATTGGACACTGAAAAGAGAAAGGTTGGGGGATTCTTTTTAAATGCCTCACTACTTGCTGTATCCACATTGATTTCCTCTCCAACCTAGACACTGACAGTTTCCTGGAGGAGAGAGAGAGAGCTTCAGCAGACCTTTGACCAGATGAACTCTCAATGTACAAAGTCCACTTCATAAGACATCCCCCAAATGCCCCACACTTTGGAGGAATCTGGGAGAGGGAGGTGAGAGCCATTAAATCTGCCCTACGTGTTACCTTATGTAACCAATTTGTAATAACCTAATAATAGCCAAGAGAACTGTGTTGATGGAGGTTGAGGAAATCCTGAACTCTAAACCCCTTGGTTATGTGTCCTCTGATCTGGCTGACCCTGATCCAGTCACTCCAAATCTTCTCCTCATGGGTTGGCTGAAAGCAGCTCTTCCTCAGGTCGTCTACGCTCTCTCAGAACTTATTGGGGCCAGGAAATGGCAACAGTAATGGTTGTTGACCCCAGTCTGCCTCGTGCATCATAGCCAATTGGAAAAGTGCAGAAACTCCTCCCAAGCTCTGATGGCAGAGTCGGGGTTGCAGAAATTATAATTTAAAGGAAAAACCTATGTGCAACCTGTCAGTCGGCTGGTCACCCAATCTGAATTAACAGATGATCCAAACCCCTTCCATGAGCATTTCCAAAGAGTCAAATATATATGAACAATATTTGAGGGGTAGCTTTGGATACCTCCCCCTCCTCCTATCTCTTGGCTCTCCTACCTGGCTCCCTGCATGGGAGGAGCCAAGGAGTCATTAAAGGCAGCAAGCTCACCTGCTGCAAACCCTTTCAGAACTCAGGAGACAATAGAGCTGGCTCACAGAGAAACTCCTCCAGTAGCATTCACTGTGTGTTTACCCTGTGAGTTTGATTTGTTTAAATTGCTGTACAACTCATTACCTCTGCCAATGAGGTTATGTTTTTGATAGGGTTGGTTTGTTTGTTTGTTTGTTTGTTTGTTTGTTTGTGAACAACTTTACGGAAACGTTACAGACAGATTGACCTGAAATTTTCACCAGAGGTGTGTCTCTGCCTCGGGGGGGATCCCATTACAATTTGGTGGTGATCCAGATCGCCTTCTGGATCCAGGAATTTTTTTAAGGATTCTTTATCATTGTAAGATAGAGCAAATTGTGGAATTTTTGCTTTTAACTCTAAAAAATGGCCAGAGTCTCTAGTAAAAAAATTACACAAAAGGATCTCAATGAGTTTTATGAGGTGTCAAAGGTTGATCCTGATCCAGACAAAATTCCGGATACTGTGATCCAGAACACACAAAAATAAGGGTGTTTTTGGAATTTTCAATGCTGAAGGATAACCAATGGGCGGCACAGTGGTGTAGATGGGCGGCACAGTGGTGTAGTGGTTAGCACTGTTGCCTCACAGCAAGAAGGTCCTGGGTTTGAATCCAGGTCAGGGCATTTCTGTGTGGAGTTTGCATGTACTCCCTGTGTCTGCGTTGGTTTACTCCGGGTACTCCAGTTTCCTCCCATATCCCAAAAACATGCCTAAGTGGGGTAGGTTAATTGGCCACTTCCGAATTGCCCATAGGTGTGAATGTGAGTGTGGATGGTTGTTCGTCTCTATATGTCAGCCCTGCGATGAACTGGCGACTTGTCCAGGTTGTCCCCTGCCTTCGCCCGAAAGATGCTGGGATAGGCTCCAGCCCCCCCGCGACCCCGGGAACGGGAATAAGCGGTAGAAAATGAAAATGGAAAGATAACCAATGAAGATACAAGGAAGTGTCTGCTTACAAATATTGCATAATAAATCATGCATTTATGTATCTAATATGAGCTTTGCTGTTTTAGGAACATTATGAACAGTGGACATACCAGTTTAAACACAAATAAAAGTTAACAAAAGACACGTAGCAGTAAAAGTTTTGGTGTGAATCACAATATAAGGGGGGACATGAGCTGCTTGGCGGAGGTCTGCACTCCCCGAGTGCTTTTCCAGTTTTTTACTCATTATCCTGACTAATATATAATTTTATGGATGTTTCTTAGTTTAAATGTATTAGACTCATTTTAGTTACCTTGCTTTTGATATTAATGGAAATTATGATATTGATCCTGTTTGTATTTAATTTGATTTACTTTGTTATCCCTTTCTCACCCTCTCCAGAGAAACCAGCAGAATGCATGCTAAATAAAACTCCTGTAGAGGCTTCAAACTCCTGCCCATGTGCTTATTTGTCCTTGCAGACAAACCATTGTGTCGAAATCCACCTTAGATCAGCATAATCCTCAACAGTCTAATATCATTCACTAAGATTAAAAAAAAAAAAAAAAACAGAAGATGAGAAACCTTCATCCCCTTAGGGTGGTGAAAGTTGAAGTTTTACATGTGAAACTGCAGATGTTTGACCAATGTAATGTGTGGAAATGTATTGTTGATTACCCTTGTCCAATGGAAACCTGTATGCAAAATCTTTGAAAGATACAATGTTAGAAAGTGTTTAATATGGGGAAATGCCCTGGGTTCCCCAGGATCCCTGGGACTCTCTTTGACTTTCTATGAAAACTTTTGTTGTCAGACTCTCCTTCTTGCAAGAATTTATTTACAAAGAAAAACAAGAACTTGGCTTTGAGTTACTTTCCCTTTGAAGAAACGAATAATTTCTTAAACAACCTAATAAACACCTCTTTTAAACAAGAATGACTTATGACAAGGGCTGAGGCACAAGCAATGTTACATGAGAAGTCTGCTTTGTCATAAACTAAGAAGGTCACATTATGAAGACACCAAAAAGGCAGGAAAGATGCTTGCTTTCCTGTAAAATAACTTGATTAAAAACACTCAATTTTTCTTGCTAGTAATAGTATAATATAGTAATGGTATGATTACTAGAGATGAGGGAGCTATGAATGACACTTTTAGAAGTTATTTTTCATCTTTATGTTAATCAGAATTAGGGCTGCAGCTATCGATTATTTTAGTAATCGAGTACTCTATCGATTAATCTGTCGATTTATCGAGTAATCGGATAAAAAATGTTTTGCTCTTATATACAGTCTATGGTTGAGACGCTTCTTCTTCTTCTTCTAGTTTAACGGCAGTTGGCACTCTTGTGTACGGTGCATTACCGCCCTCTTCTGGCAATTCTTATGCAAAACCCTGTGCACCACCCATTCCCATCTCATTCACTCACACTTTCATACTCCTACTGACTAAATCCTATCAATCAACCCCATCACCCTTAAAAACTCGACTAACACTCTCACATGTGCCCTGTCCCCCATCTGTAATACTCCCTTTAGTGTAAGGTCCTGCATACCCAATTCCCTCAACTTACTTCTCATCTCTCCCCTTTCCATCTCATATCTCCTACAACCCATTAGTACATGCTCCACTGACTCCTCCACCTGACATCCCTCACATAACCCAGTCTGGTGTTTCCCTATCATTTTCAGTGTTTTGTTTAATGCGCAATGACCCAACCTCAACCTTATCAATGCTGACCCTTCCTTTCTCTGTCCACTACCCAACCTCCTAACTTTAACACTCTCTTGAATCTTATAAAGATGCCTTCCTCTCTTCTCACCCTCCCATTTCTTCTGCCACATTTGAATAAGCTTTTCCCATATCATACTCTTAACTTCCGCTTTACTTAACCTAACATTCAGCTCCACTGATTCCTTCCCTAACGCCTCCTTAGCCATCACGTCTGCCTTCTCATTTCCTTCCACCCCTATATGTGCTGGAACCCATAAAAAACTGATCTGGCCCCCCTGCTGTACTATTCTTGTTACTGACTGTAATATTTCATATAATAAACCCTGACGGCTGCTTGAATGGAATGATCTAATGCTAGTTAAAACTGATGCTGAATCCGTGCATATAACTACCCTCTTTACTCTAACTTTTTCCACCCATTTCAGTGCAATCATCACCCCCAACATCTCCACTGTGTTTACCGCTAGACCGTCTGATGTCCTTCTATTGATTTCAATTCCTCTCGATGGCACCACTACCCCTAATCCTGTCACCCCCGTCTCAGGTTGTTTTGCTCCATCCGTGTATACCTGAACAAATCCGCTATATTCTTCCCTCAGGCGCTGATTAACTACGCTGACCAAGCTTACCTGTCCTCCCTCTTTCCTTTTCTTTCCCATTACACTCCAATCCACTCTTGGCCATATCATTCTCCATGGTGGCATTGCTGGATACACTATTGTTAGGTCTACCTCCATCTCCCCCACCCCAAGCTCTGCTGTTATTCTATTCCCCATCCTACCAAAATGCTCCCTCTTACCTTTCCCCTCCTCCCAACACTCCTCTATCACTCCTTTTGTGGGGTGGGTACCACTGCTGCCCTTTAAACTAACCCAGTAGTTTGCTATGAGATGTTTGCGCCTCAGGCATAGCGGAATCTCACCCAACTCCACCTGTACTGCAGGCACTGGTGACGTCCGGAAGGCCCCACTACAGATCCTTAATGCACTTGTCTGGATCGTATCTAGCTTTCCTAAAAGGGACTTTGCTGCTGATCCATAAACTATACACCCATAATCTATAACTGACCTAATCATAGCTACATATACTGTTTTTAATGCATCACAGCTTGCCCCCCATTCTCTGCCTGCAAGACACCTCATCACATTCAACACTTTCCTGCACTTACCCTCTACCCGCTTGATATGATCTGCCCAGGTTAACCTCTTATCAAATACCACCCCCAAATACTTAAATGCCTCAACCCTCTCCAGCTGCCTACCATACATACTCAATGACACATCTACTCCCACCCTCTTCCCGGTAAAAACTATAGTTTGAGTCTTCTCTACTGAAAACCTACACCCCCAATCTAATCCCCACTCTGTCACCCCATCAATCGCTGTCTGCACCTTAGTGACTAAATGTTTGGTGTTCCTCCCTCTCTTCCACAGTGCTCCGTCATCTGCGAACAGTGAGCTTCCTATATCTGCTGGTACCTCTGAAAAAACATCATTAATCATGATAAGAAACAATAGTGGGCTAACTACGCTCCCCTGGGGAGTGCCGTTCCTTACTTCATATTTACTAGATATCTCTGACCCTATTCTAACTTGAATCTTCCTATCATTCAAAAAGTCCTTTACCCAATTAAAAACTCTGCCCCCAATCCCCATCCCCTGCAACTTAATCAGTAATCCTTCCTTCCACATCATGTCATATGCCTTCTCTATATCAAAAAACACTACCACTACAGATTCCTTATTTGCCTGCGCCTTCCTCACCTCACTTTCTAGTCTCACCACTGCGTCCATTGTGTTCCTACCTTTTCTAAATCCGCTTTGGCATCTCGCCAGCGTACCTCTCTTTTCAAGCACATATGTCAATCTCTCTGTTACCATTCTTTCCATAATTTTACAAATGTTCGAAGTCAAAGCTATTGGCCTGTAGCTAGAAGGAGAGCATGGGTCCTTACCTGGCTTCCTGATCGGTACTACCTCTGCTTCCTTCCATACACTCGGTATCCTTCCCTCCTCCCATACCTTATTATACAATTCTAACATCCTGTTCATCCCCTTTTCCCCTAAATTTTTCAGCATTACATAGCTTACCTGATCTCCCCCTGGAGCTGTAGGCTTTGCCTTCCCAACCGCTCTCACAAGCTCTGCCATAGTAAATCTGGTGTCTATCTCCCCCCCTGAATCCGTCCTCCTGTCTAGAGCACCTGGATATCTACTCTGAGTCATCTCTCTTCTCCTCTTCCCCTCCATTGTCAGATTGTCTACACTATGCACCTTTGCAAATGCCCTGGCTATCATCTCAGCCTTTTCCTTATCATTTACTGCTGTCTCTCCTTCCTCTGTAATTACAGGATATTCCCACTCCCTCCTGTCCCCTCCCATCTTCCTTATCATACCCCATACTTCTCCTACTGGTGTTGTTCTCCCTATACCATTACAAAACTGTCTCCAACTCTCCCTCTTTGTGCGTCAAACTACTCTCCTCACCAATGCTTGTGCTCTCTGATATTCTAACAGACTTGCCATAGTATGGTTTTGTTTAATCTTTCTGAATGCTTTATTTCGGGCTTTCACTGCCTTGCTACACTCCTCTGACCACCATGGAACTAACTTCCTGGTCCTCCCATTTCTGCTCCTCGGAATAGCTTGAGTTGCTGCTGTGATTATTGCTGTTGTAACACTATTGTTGACTTCTTCCACATCCCTGTTTGTATCAACTACCTCCAGTAGACCCTCACTCACCTCCCTAAATTTATTCCACTCTGCTTTACTGTACACCCATTTCCGGAGCCCCCTACCCGCCCCCACCTCCACTCTTCCCCCTACTGTACACATGATTAAATAATGATCACTACCTAGCGACTTTCCTGACAACACTTCCCATTTACTGACTCCTGCCAAACTTGCTGATACCAATGTAATATCTATAGCTGACTCATTTCCTGTTCTGACATCTATTCTAGTCCCTCTCCCATCATTTAAACATACTAATTCCCTCTCCTCCATTAGCTCCTCAACTACCCTACCATCTACATCTGTGTGTTTCCCACCCCACAAAGTGTTATGTGCATTAAAGTCTGCGCACCAGATAACCTTTCGTCTATCAACCCCTTTTATCCTAACTAACCTATCCAATATTAACCTCCCCCCTGGATTATAGTAGTTAACTATAACCACCGCCTCCCCTCCCTCCCACAACTCTACCACTATATATTCCTGCTCTTCCCCACTTTCTATCAACCTATGAGAAATACCCTGCCTAATAAATATTGCGCACCCTCCCCTTGCTTCTTCTTCACTCCTATCCCTCCTGATTGTCATATACCCACTAACCTTAAAATCTAAGCTAGGTTTCAAAAAAGTTTCCTGAACACAAACTACGTCTGGCTGTATCTTCATCTTCCTTATATAGTGTTTCATCTCCTGTCCATTAGCCATCAGGCTCCTAGCATTCCACTGCAGCACCCGAACCATGAGCATGAGGTGACTTTCCTACCTCCTGGCTTCGACTCTGGTTCTTAATCTCCGCCTCTATCTCCTCCCACTTTAGTCCTTCCATCCCCAGATGATCAGCTGCTGCCTTCACAATATATTGTATATTGGTGGTCTTAGATGTAGACTTGCTTGTTGAGTTGATAGCTGCCACAATAAATACTATTAACTGCCTTTTGTCTATCCCTATCCTATCCTGATCTGACTGCTCTCTCCCCAACCCCCAAGTCCCCTTTCTTCCACCACCCCCTGTCTCCTCTACTCCCTGTGACCTTTCCTCCCTCTGTCTTACCATCTTTGCTGCCTCTGCATAACTTATCTTATCTAGCACCCTGATTTTCTGAACTTCTGCCTCCCTCTTCATAACTGGACAACCCCCAAACGTGACACTATGTTCCCCCCCACAGCTACAGCATCTTGGCTTGGTACCCTCCCCACATTTCCCATACTCATGGTCCCCAGTGCACCTCGCACATCTCCTGTTCTCCTTACAATATCTTGCAATGTGGCCAAATGACTGACACTTGTAACACCTCATCGGCTTCGGTATAAATGCCCTCACAAAATAGCTAATGTACTCTAGGTACACTTTATCTGGGATTACCTCTCCTTCAAATTCTACCAACACTGTCTCAGTTGTCTTCTTTTCTGGACCCCTTGTCATTCTTTTAACATTGGCAATTCCCGTGCCCCTAGCACGTAGCTTCTCCTTCAACTCCTCATCCCCTACCTCGATAGGAATCCCAGTAATCACTCCCTTACATCTTCTCCCCTGCACTCCAACCCGCACTACCCTCACCACTCTACTCTCACCCACCTTAGTTAACTTCCTCACCAAGGCTTCCTGGACATCACTTGAACATTCCACAATCAAATTGCCGTCTCCCAAAACCCTCGCATACTTCAGCTCTCCGCACTTCCCTGTCAGTTCCCTTGTCAGCTTAAACAGATTCATTTTCCCTATCCCACCTCCCTCAGCAAACCGTATAACCAACCTAGTTCCTTCCTCCCTGCTCTCTCCCTCAGAACTAAAACTCTCCATGTCTTCTTCGTTCGATGAATTTTGACTGTTCATTCTTGGTCTCTTTCCTTCTCTCCCCTGTCCCCCATCCCCTTTCCCTACACTTCCATCCTCCCTCCCAGCCCTAGACCCCCTCCTACCCCTACCTTTCATCCCTATCCGCTAAGGTTATAGAAAAGAAAGAAATAAAGAAAGAAAGAAATAAAGAAAGCAAGGTAACGGGCACCGGTCCGGACCTATACAGGCCGTCGGTCGATACCCGTCCCCGGAAACCCTAACGTTATTTTAATCTGACCGATTATCTAATTCACCCAGCTACATCTCAGACGTAACTTTGCTTTATCCTCCAAAGTACATTCATACACTCCAGTCACTTCAATTCTCGTGCCCACACCGAACCACGATGACGATCACTTCCGCCCACCGTTGAGACGCTTGTGGCCTCGTTCCTTTTTAAATCCTGGCCCCGGCTGCGTCGCTGTCCTCCAGTAACGCCCACAACGCAATGAATTGTGGGCAATTTCATAGCCAAAGTCCTCAACGGTACGGACTTACGGAAAGGGTGCAGAAAGGGGCGTTCCCGAGCCCTCGCTGACTTACCGATTTCATTTGGAACAACCCTCAAGCCCTTACAGAGCTCACATGAGCGCGCACCTAAGTCAATGAGTCAGTGAGGGGGTGGTTTGGAATTGGGCCAATGTCTATGAAACGCGCGGCAGCGGAAGGAGCGGAAAGAGCACGCTGCTGCGCAACAGAAATAACCGTCCGTGTCAAACACCGTGCGCTGCACATGGTTCCGGATTTAAACGATTCCTCGAGGCATATAATTTGCCTCGAGGAATTTTATTAATCGAGTTACTCGAGTTACTCGAGTAATCGTTTCAGCCCTAATCAGAATATCAAGCCAAACATCAAGATTTAAATATTTTCTTCAATAATCTCATTTAACAATTTAAAAATTTTAAAATGAATATAAAATCTCAATTAAACAAGTAAGCACCTGGTTATTCGGGTTTCACTGCAGTGTTTTAACATTGTTTTTCAAAAGAAATCATGCCTATGCTTGATTACTTTTACAATCATACTGTGGAGGAACAGATCATTGCCATCATATCATTGCTGCCAAAACTAGGAAAAGATCACTTAGATGTAAAAAAAAAAAAAAAAAGCCTATAGGCTGATAAGTTTACTTCAATAATTATACATTTTTGCAAAAAAAGTTAACAAATTGGCTGGATGAAACTGTTCCATTTTAAATCAATGTAGATCAAGTTGGCTCTTCGTGAGCAACTTCTATCTGATAATAATTTTATTCTGAAAATAATTCTGATTCTGATTAATATGCGAAGTCTCTTGCACACCAACTCTTGGTATAGAGTTGGAGGGTTTGGCCAAAGTCAATAAAATTTCATCCAGATACATAATCAATATGAAATCATAACCCTCCTTAAAAAAATTCCAGCCGACAGAAAAATCCTTATTTATGGTTGTGAATTCTTATCTACTTAAATGTCAAACCTCTTAAATACCAAAAAAGATGGTCTGCTCTGCCTCTGTCCGTACAGGGTAGGGCAGAAGTGCTAAAGATCAGTGTGTTTCCAAGGTTGAATGTCCTCTATTCCTTTATCTATTCAGAAATCTTGGTTTGATAATATCAACGGAATATTCTCCTCTTTACGACGGAACACAAGAAGCTGGGAATATTTTAGAGAAATTAACCCTCCCAAGAGACTTTGAACCTGATGTATATTTGTGTTGTCTTGTATTTAAAACCAGGCTTTCATTTCTTTAAATTTCCCAAAGAATATTTTGATTAAATTTATGACACTGACAAAAAAATCAGACTTTTATCATCAAACAGAGGAGCAGTCTCAAGTTTATATAAGTTGCTGTGTCATGCCTCCCCAAACCAGAACTCAAAGACAGAGTCACAATGGGAACTTGATTCAGGGGTCAAATGTACTACTGAAGAGTGTGGAAAACATTAAGCATGACATAAAAACAACCTCAAAATCTCTCTGAAGTAGAGTAATACAGCTGAAAATTCTTCATAGAGCATTATAGAGCTGAAAGCTGATCTATGCATGTGTAGGGCAATTTGGACCATTTGAGTGAATTGAATACTTAAGTATGAGCATGCACTGATCTCTCCTACTTGTGTTGTTGTTAATATATAACTGCTGTCTGGTTGTGTTTATTGTTGTAATACAAAATTATTAAAACTTTGAATTTAAAGGGAAAAAAAAGAAACCGTGGAGGGCCGTACAGTCTATGATGCCGACTGAAAGGAGACAAAGAGGAGGGCGGAACATTTGGTTGCCGCAGCTCCGCCTACGGAACTTTATTGGTGTGACACATGAAGGAAGTAAACGAGAAGAGGGCTTTTTTAAAGAAGCTGAGACATCTGAGGACAATCCAGTTTTCACAGCGCAACCTTCTTTTAAATCTGCAACGAACCAACGATGTCTGGAGCAGAATCTCTCCGAGAGTTTGTGACCGAGCGGCTCGCTGCTGCTACTGAAGACATTTTGGGAGTTTTTAACAGAACTGTGGTCCAGTACGAGGAAGAGCTGGACCGTCAACGCAGACTGTTGGATTTGGTTTGGAAACCTCACATTCACTTACACAGAATCGGTAAGAAAAGCCAAGTTTAGACTGAATAATGAAGCAGACGCTCGGTTTAAATCAGGGCTGCCTTTCCTCTCGGTTTCCATGTATAAACTGTGAATAAAGACGGAGGAACAGCCCTGTCTTAGTTCAACAATAACTGTGCTACCCCGACCCATTTTGTTCCCCGCGAGCTGTAATAATGATCCGGTATCAAAACTCATCATGTGTACAGAAATCAGGGGAAACCGAAGAATGTCAGACGTGTGTGTTGTTTGGAAAAAAGGTGGTTTACTATCACCTTACGGGGTACTTTTAATTTCCCAAGCACAGTAAAGAAGGTAGGAAGGGGGGTTAAGTCTCTGACTTCAATTCCTTAACTACCTCTCACCTTTTACCTGCGTGGTCGTTGATGGGAAGAAGAGAAGACGGGGTTCAGAAGAGTTCTCAGTTGAAGCTCTATTTATTGATTGTAGTGAGTCATGAATGAACAGAGTCTCAGGGTTCAGAATTAGCTCGCCTTAGCAAACAGTCATCGTAGAGGTCTGAGCGCTTCAGAACTGAATCGCTTCTTTTTATGTAATCCTCAGTTTCACACAGCTCACACAAAAGGGCTTCATCAGCTTTCCTGACCAGTCCACTACACTGATGTTTTAAACAAGACCACAGACACACTGAGTGAAGTTGGTTCTTCCTCTTTTTGCTCTATCTTACTACTTTTTTTCTGCATAGTATTAAAACTTATTATACATTGTGTTTTTATGTCATTTATCATGCGAGAGTCTATCAGTAAGTATTGTACCTTATCCTGCAGATCTTCCACAACAACATGACTGTGAGGAGGACGAGGTTGTCTCAGACCTGCAGCCCTGTAACCAGGAGAGGAACTCCAGTCCGGACCAAGAAGACCCAGAGCCTCTACAGATTAAAGATGAAAAGGAGGAATTCTACACCGGTCAGGACAGAGAGCAGCTTGAACCAAAGCAGGAGACTGAGCACTTGATGTTAACTCTAACCTGTCAGGAAAGTGAGAACACTGAAGCAGAAGTAAGGAAGGACGACCAGTTCCATTCTCAAAACTCTCATGAGGCTGCAAACCAAGATCCAGAGAAAGACAAGCTCACGGAGTCAGAATCAACCTCAAAATCAGAACAACACCCCCCAAAAAAAGTTCACAAAAGAAGTCAGAAGACAAAACAGCCGAAGGTTCACTGTGATCCTCAACAAGGTGAAAAGACTTTTAAATGTGACACAAATAGGGAAACATTTACCAGCAATTCAAATATTCAGACACATCTTGGTGTTCCCACCGGTAAAAAGAAGCATGCTTGTGAGAGGTGTGGGAAGATATTCAGGTACAGGCATTTGCTGACAAATCATGCAAGATCACACACAGGTAAGGGACTGTACTCCTGTGAGAAAAACTTCGGTTGGAAACCAGATTTGAAAAAGCACATGCGAATTCACACAGGGAGAAAGCATGCAATCTGCAAGACATGCAACAAATCTTTTATCAGTACAAGTAACCTGAGAACGCACATGAGAACTCACACAGGTGAGAGACCATACTCCTGTAGCACTTGTGGGAAGAGCTTCGCTGTGAATTCAAATTTAAAGACGCACATGCTTATTCACTCAGGAGAAAAGCTGTTCACCTGCAAAACATGCAGTAAATCTTTTTACAGGAAAGATAACCTAAGCAGGCACATGAGAACACACACAGGTGAAAAGCCGTACTCCTGTGGCACCTGTGGTAGAAGCTTCGGTCGCTGTACAAATTTAAAAACGCACATGCTAATTCACTCAAGAGAAAATCTGATCACCTGTAAAATATGCAACAAATCTTTTGTCAGTACAAGTACCCTGAGAACGCACATGAGAACACACACAGGTGAAAAACCATACTCCTGTGGCACATGTGGGAAGAGGTTCTGTTGGAATTCAATTTTAAAAACGCACATGCTCATTCACTCAGGAGAAAAGCTGTTCACCTGCAAAACATGCAGCAAATCTTTTAGCAATAAGGATAAACTGAGAACGCACATGAGAACACACACAGGTGAGAGACCATACTCCTGTGGCACGTGTGGGAAGAGCTTTGGTCGGACTTCAACTTTAAAAACACACATGCTCATTCACTCAAGAGAAAATCTGACCACCTGCAAAACATGCAACAAATCTTTTAGCAATAAGGATTACCTGAGAATGCACATGAGAACACACACAGGTGAGAGACCATACTCCTGTGGCACGTGTGGGAAGAGCTTTGGTCGGACTTCAACTTTAAAAACACACATGCTCATTCACTCAGGAGAAAAGCTCTTCACCTGCAAAACATGCAGCAAATCGTTCTTCAGTTCAGATAAACTGAGAAGCCACATGAGAACACACACAGGTGAGAAACCGTACACCTGTAGTACCTGTGGGAAAAGCTTCAGTTGGAATTCAAATTTAAAAACGCACATGCTTGTTCATTCAAGAGGAAAGCTGTTCACTTGAAAAGCATGCAGAAAAGAGATGCTTCTTTAACGGAATCCAACCTAACCCACCTGTAAGATATATTTTACTGTGACTTTTCCTAACTGAAATACTTGTTCTTTTGAATGTCCTGTTTCCTTCCTCTGGATGAACAATTTTGTTTTTTCTTTTACTTCTGAGCTTCTTTGGTTGGCTGTTTTTTTCCCAGAATATTTGGATCTGTTTATTTGTTGTAATAACTTGTTTATATTACAATCTACAACAAATTTGATTTAGTTGACTGTAGCTGTAATGCTGATAAAGGTCAGTGATGAGAATATGGTGACCAATAAACTTGGACTGTTAAAACAAAATTCATAGTAATGCATTTTGTATCCTGGTTTCATAGAAGTGAACCAAAAGAGGACAGAGCTTTAAATCAAAACTGGATGGTCCTGATCTTCAGGCCCTCAGACTGCTCTGCATTAAAAACAGACTGGACTCTGGAGTGGAATTCACTGCATGGGTTCAAAATCCGATCATCACGAACTTCAAGGACAGAGGTTCAATTATTGTGAAGAAGGCTTCAGGGTGCCTAAGAAAAGCCCATCAAGAGCCAGGACTGCCTCCTAAAGTTGATTTAGCTGCAGGATCGGGGCACCACACGCGCAGAGCTTGCTTAGGAATGGCAGCAAGCGGGTTTGAGTGCATCCGCATGTACAGTGAGGCAAAGACTTTTGGAGGAATAAGAAGAACTTTATTAATCACCAAAGAGAAATTCAATTGTCTGTTGTGTCAGATAATATGTCTTAAAAACATATCTACTATTTACACAAGAGTTATAAAGTCTGATGGCTGTGGGTACAAAAGATCTTCTGAATCTTTCTGTCCTGCAGCGAAGAGAGAGGAGCTGTCCACCACCATTGGCCTTTGGTCCATCAAGGTGTTGTGAAGTGGGTGATCCATGTTCTTTAGAATAGACTCCACCTTCCTCAGTGTAGATCTCTCCACCACATCCTTCACTGAGTCCAGCTTGAGTCCAACCACAGAGCCAGCCTTTTCCACAAGTTTGTTAAGTCGTCTTGCATCTTTGTGTTTGATGCTTCTTCCCCAGCAGACTGCAGCGTAGAAACAGAACACTTGCTGTTAAATTATCTGCAGCGTCTTACTACAGAAGTCTTTTGATCGGAGTCTTTGATGTCTGGCGTATACAGTGTGAACAGGAATTGCGCCAGCACTGTCCCTTATGGAGCCCCTGTGCTGCTCATTAATGTCCCAGAAACACAGTTCCCCAGCCTGACAAACTGTGGCCTTCCTGTGATCCAGGAAACACAGGAAGGATCCACTCCTATCTCTGTGAGCTTGTCTTTGAGTATGGTTGGTTGGATGGTGTGAAATGCACATGAAAAGTCAAAGAACACGATCCTCGCATAAACCCCAGGTTTCTCCAGAATGACACAGGGCACGGTGAAGCATGTAGAGGACAGCATCATCCACTCCAATCTTTTCTTTGTATGCAAACTGCAGGGAATCCAGTTTGTCTTTGACCTCAGACCTCAGAAGGCCTAGAATCAGCCACTCCAGGGTTTTCATGATGTGTGAAGTGAGGGCCACTGGTCTGTAGTCATTGAGTTCAGCAGGACATTTTGTTTTTGGTACTACCACAATGCAGGATGTTTTCCACAGAGCAGGTACCCGCCCCAGCTGTAGACTCAGGTTGAAGATCTTGTGGAGAGGTTGACACAGTTCTGTAGCACCGTCTCTAAGCAGCCTTGGACACACGCCATCTAGACCAGCTGCCTTCCCAGGACAAAGTCTTCCAAACTCCATCCTCATCCCTGTTGCCTGGAGTCAAGCAGAGCAGCAAAGAAGCCACTTCTCTACAGAAATTAAAAATAATAATAATAACAGAGACAGAATGGAATTCTTCAAAAGTACAGGGATTGGATTGCTGAAGACTGGGGTAAAGTCACTTTCTCTGATGAATCCCCTTTCCAATCGTTTGGGGCATCTGCAAAAAAGCTTGTCTGGAGAAGAAAAGGTGAGCACTACCATCAGTCCTGTGTCATGAAAGCAGTCTTGCATCCTGAGACTATCCATGTGTGGGGTTGCTTCTCAGTCAAGGCAGTGGGCTCATTCACAATTTTGCCCAAGAACACAGCCATGAACAAAGAATGGTACCAAAACATCCTTAGAGAGCAACTTCTCCTGACCATTCAAGATCAGTTTGGTGACGAACACTGCCTTTTCCAGTATGATGGAGAACCGTGCTATGAGGCAAAAATCATAACTAAGTGGCTAAAGGAAAAAAAGAAAAAAACTAAAAATTTTGGGTCTATGGCCAGGAACCTCCCCAGACCTTAATCCCATAGAGAACTTGTGGTCAATCCTCAAGACGTAGGTGGACAAACCAAAACTAAAAAATTGACATTTATGAAATGCTTGTAATTATACTTCAGTAAAACATAGAAACATCTGACAAAAAGATCTAAAAACACTGAAGCAGCAGAATTTTTGAAAATTAATATTTGTATCATTCTCAAAACTTTTGGCCACGGCTGTATTAGTATCATGGAGGAAATGTAGAAATCAAGAGCAGGGAATAATTTATAGATCACAATGGAGTTTGAACAACTCATTAAAAGATAAAACTTTTGTCTTATTCATCACAAAAAAAATTCAAAGAATTCATTAGAATAGATATGAACCCACTAACTTCTATTTCAGCAGTTTGGGAGGCATTTAAAGCAACCTGTATGAGCTGGACTGTCAGTTATGCATCCAATAAATTTTTTGCAAAAATGTTAACAAAATGGCTGGATGAAACTGCTCCAAATTTAATTCATGTGGACCAGTGGCGGCTGCTGGCCTTTAAGGAGGGGAAGCTCATTTTTCTGGCCTACATCATAATTGTGTTTGTTTATTTGTATGTAACAGAACAGAGTCACCAAACACAACGGCAGTCGTTTTTAACAAAGACAAAAGTCGCTGAGGATCGGCAAAGTCTCCGGAGCAGTTAAGAACAATGGAATGAATAACTTGGAAAATGCTCTGGTAGATGTTTTATTCTTCAAGATCGCTGATTCGCTTATTTAGCTGTCAATCAAAAAAGGATTTCGCCTCAGACAGCACATCCAATCATGGATGCAGAAGCTCAGCGTCTGCGAGAAAGTTGGGACCGCCCTCTCGTCATAGAACTCCAGAGACACTGAGCGTACGATGGGCGGGACAAAGCACAGCATTTGTCCAATGAGCGTCTAGTTTCACTGCTGGAACAACCCACCTTGGGCTTCCACATTGAAGTCAGCAGATGCTGAGCGTCCGGCTGTGTGAAGCGCTGAGGCGCTGCGAGGATGAATGAGAATGAAGTTGTGCCGGATACCTGTGATTATCAGCTTCTTATCACAGTGTGATAAGAATACAAAGCTCCTTCCAATGATGGCGTTCTACTTGAGAAGACTGTCCTCAATCCCCTTTACTCTTTATTTCAGCCTTAGAACTGTTGGCATGTGCTATCTGACAAGACAAAGAAAATACAGACATGGCTTTACTTTTCATCCAATTTACTTTGTTAACTAAAAGGCTGCTAAATGACTAAATAATTTCTGAAAGTCTTAGTACAGAGTTTGAGGGTTTGGCGAAAGTCAATAGAATGTCATCCAGATACATATTCCATTTGAAATCATACCCCCTCCAAAAAAAAAAAAATCCAGGCAAAATAAAAATTCTTATTTACTATTGTGAATTCTTATTAACTTAAATGTCAAACATCTATTAAATACCACAAAGGGATACCTTAAAAGATGAACTGCTCTGCCTCTGTCCTTACAGGGTAGGGAATGACAAGATGCTTAGAGTATTTGGGAGAAATTAACCCTCCCAAGAGACTTTGAAGTTTATATAAGTTGCTGTGTCATGCCTCCCCAAACCAGAACTCAAAGACAGAGTCACAATAGGAACTTGATTCAGGGGTCGAATATACTACTGAAGAGTGTGGAAAACATTAAGCATGACATAAAAACAGCCTCAAAATCTTTCTGAAATAGAGTAATACAGCTGAAAATTCTTCATAGAGCATTATAGGGATAAAACCTGATCTATGCATGTGTAGGGCAATTTGGACCATTTGAATGAATGGAATATTTTCTTAAGTATGAGCATGCACTGATCTCTCCTACTTGTGGTGTTGTTGTTAATATATAACTGCTGTCTGATTGTGTTTATTGTTGTAATACAAAATTATATATATATATATATATATAAAAAAAAAAAAAAGAAACCGTGGAGGGCCCTGCAGTCTACGATACAGACTGAAAGGAGACAACGAGGAGGGCGGAACATTTGGTTGCCGTAGCTCCGCTTACAGAACTTTATTGGTGTGACACATGCAGGAAGTAAACGAACAGCGTCGGGTTGTTTTTGAAGAAGCTGAGATATCTGAGGACAATCCAGTTTTCACAGCGCAACCTTCTTTTAAATCTGCAACGAACCAACGATGTCTGTAGCTGAATCTCTCCGAGAGTTTGTGACCGAGCGGCTCGCTGCTGCTACTGAAGACATTTTGGGAGTTTTTAACAGAACTGTGGTCCAGTACGAGGAAGAGCTGGACCGTCAACGCAGACTGCTGGATTTGGTCTGGAAACCCCACATTCACTTACACAGAATCGGTAAGAAAAGCCAAGTTTAGACTGAATAAAGAAGCAGAAGCTCGGTTTGAAGCTCTATTTATTGATTGTAATGAGTCAAGAATGAACAACAGAGTCTCAGGGCTCAGAATTAGCTCGCTGTAGCAAACAGGCATCTTAGAGGTCTGAGCGCTTCAGAACCTCGACTAAGGTTCCCTTGAACCCTTTATACACGCCTATCTGGATGGTTTAAACAAGATCACAGACACACTGAGTGAAGTTGGTTCTTTCTCTTTTTACTCTCTCTAACTACTCTTTTCTGCATAGTATTAAAACTTATTTTACATTGTGTTTTTATGTCATTTATCATGCTACAGTCTATCAGTAAGTATTGTACCTCGTCCTGCAGATCTTCCACAACAACATGACTGTGAGGACAAGGTTGTCTCAGACCTGGAGCCCTGGAACCAGGAGAGGAACTCCAGTCCAGACCAAGAGGACCCAGAGCCTCTACAGATTAAAGATGAAAAGGAGGAATTCTGCACCAGTCAGGACAGAGAGCAGCTTGAACCAAAGCAGGAGACTGAACACTTGATGTTAACTCTAACCTGTCAGGAAGGTGAGAACACTGAAGCAGAAGTAAGGAAGGATGACCAGTTGCTTTCTCACAACTCTCGTGAGGCTGCAAACCAAGATCCAGAGAAAGACAAGCTCACAGAGTCAGAATCAACTTCAAAATCAGAACAACACCCCCCCAAAAAAGAGTTCACAAATGAAGGAGTCCCTCTTAGGATCAGAGTACTATTTATTAATGTAATAATACTATCACAGTGACTCATGGCAAACAACAGTTGCTCTTTTACTTATTTTTCACCCCTGCCCCTCAAACTCTGAGTATACCACTTGTGGTATCTGTAAAAATGTATGTCCTCTGCCTGCTGACTTTAATTTTGTGATCTCAGACAAAAGTAGATGCCCAGTGCACAGCACCATCAGTCCTTTTCACTTTGTGCAGAGGAAGACAGGTTAAGCAGATTCACCTCACAAACGAGGACTGAATCGCTCCTTCTTAGTTTCACACAGCTCACACAAAAGGCAGGGTTTTTCCTGCGTTCAAAATTGCGTGGCGGCCGCCTCCACCTAATTTTGTGCCGCCCCCAGCCAGAGCGATTGATTTCGCTCAACACAGCGTAAAGCTCCAGCTGTGTTGATTGAGCGTATGATGTCCCTCTGCAGCGGCAACGTATTTTAACTGCAGTTGCAGCGTTGCACCACTATAGAGGCGCTATATCAACAGCAGTGCACCGGAAAGACCTGAAGCATCTACCGAAGAAGGAACGGATCGAATCATGTTTTTTTCCCGCTAGTTGGTGCTATCGGCGTCCTGATTTTCCCTGGCGGCTGGACACAAACAGGTAAATACTGCTTGTCTTTTTTGCATCCGAGCATGACGTGTTTATTTAAAAAAAAAGTTTACTCCGTTTTTAGCGTTGCAGTTATGACAGGCAAAATCAGCCAGTACTTTAAAAAGCGACCTCGCGAGGAGGAAAGTCAAGAGTCCAGGTGAAACACAGCAGAGAGAAAAAAGGAACAGGCAGTTAAAATGCTATAATTCATGTTGGTGACAACGTGGAAATTTGTGTCAGGTCTGAAAGTACTTCACAAGGGACTGGTGATCGCGAGGGTCAGAATGCAGGACAGGACGAGTCGGCGAGGCGAGGGTAATTAATTAATTAGTTTCCAATTAGGAGCATAACAACGCAAAACCAACGTGTACGTGGTTTTTTATTCCTCTTTCCAGATCTTCTCAAAAACACAGAGCCAGTGGCTTTGACAAACAGTGGCTCAATCAATGTACCTGGTTCAGGCATACTGAGGAATGCATGCACTGCTATTTATGCCAAAAGCACTGTGCCCCAACACAGCAGGTAATTGCTGCCTCCTTAGTGAGACAGCCATCAACCAACTACAGGCTGGACACATTAGAAAGACATGAGGTGACAGTCGTTCACAAAGCAGCAGAAGAGAAGGAGAAATATATTAAAGATGGTCGTACCTAAAAACACTCAACTAATAAAGTTACAAAAACTAAAATAACATAGTTTAGATAGTTTAAGAAATAATTGGTTGTCGTTTTTTAGGGAGGACACTGCAACGTATACATATATATAATATATGATTGAAAACACTATCACTCTTCATGTCTGTATCAGAATAAAAACAAAAATACTTAATGCATGATGAATTGTTTTGTTTAAGGTGAAGACACCTCTGTGGAACAGACTGAAGGAGAGGCACTTGGATGTCTGTTGTAAGGTGGCCGTTGATGGACCAGACCAGGAGGCCTTGGACTACAAGGAGTGCATGAGGAGGTTCTACAGAATGAAAAAGAGGAGGCTGAAATGTACTGTCTGGTTGTGAGATGTGTGGATGAAGTGTACTTTCAATTTAAAGTTGCCAGCTGATTTGTGTATGTATATAGTTTTAATAAATGAATGCTTTAACATGATAATGGTCACACTCTTTTTTGAACTCTTAACTTAAAGTATGTTGCCTGTAAAAGAAAGTGAGTCAGTTGAATTTACAAATACATGCACGTCATGGTGCATGGTCAGGATGGTGCCACCTCTGCCTCAATTTGAGCCAGGAAAAACCCTGCAAAAGGGCTTCATCAGGTTTTCCTGACCAGTCCACTACACTGATGGTTTAAAGAAGATCACAGACACACTGAGTGAAGTTGGTTCTTTCTCTTTTTACTCTTTCTAACTACTCTTTTCTGCATAGTATTAAAACTTATTTTATATTGTGTTTTTATGTCATTTATCATGCTAGAGTCTATCAGTAAATATTGTACCTCATCCTGCAGATCTTCCACAACAACATGACTGTGAGGAGGACGAGGTTGTCTCAGACCTGGAGCCCTGGAACCAGGAGAGGAACTCCAGTCCGGACCAAGAGGACCCAGAGCCTCAACAGATCAAAGATGAAGAGGAGGAATTCTGCACCAGTCAGGACAGAGAGCAGCTTGAACCAAAACAGGAGACTGAACACTTGATGTTAACTCTAACCTGTCAGGAAGGTGAGAACACTGAAGCAGAAGTAAGGAAGGATGACCAGTTGCTTTCTCACAACTCTCGTGAGGCTGCAAACCAAGATCCAGAGAAAGACAAGCTCACAGAGTCAGAATCAACTTCAAAATCAGAACAACACCCCCCCAAAAAAGAGTTCACAAATGAAGGAGTCCCTCTTAGGATCAGAGTACTATTTATTAATGTAATAATACTATCACAGTGACTCATGGCAAACAACAGTTGCTCTTTTACTTATTTTTCACCCCTGCCCCTCAAACTCTGAGTATACCACTTGTGGTATCTGTAAAAATGTATGTCCTCTGCCTGCTGACTTTAATTTTGTGATCTCAGACAAAAGTAGATGCCCAGTGCACAGCACCATCAGTCCTTTTCACTTTGTGCAGAGGAAGACAGGTTAAGCAGATTCACCTCACAAACGAGGACTGAATCGCTCCTTCTTAGTTTCACACAGCTCACACAAAAGGCAGGGTTTTTCCTGCGTTCAAAATTGCGTGGCGGCCGCCTCCACCTAATTTTGTGCCGCCCCCAGCCAGAGCGATTGATTTCGCTCAACACAGCGTAAAGCTCCAGCTGTGTTGATTGAGCGTATGATGTCCCTCTGCAGCGGCAACGTATTTTAACTGCAGTTGCAGCGTTGCACCACTATAGAGGCGCTATATCAACAGCAGTGCACCGGAAAGACCTGAAGCATCTACCGAAGAAGGAACGGATCGAATCATGTTTTTTTCCCGCTAGTTGGTGCTATCGGCGTCCTGATTTTCCCTGGCGGCTGGACACAAACAGGTAAATACTGCTTGTCTTTTTTGCATCCAAGCATGACGTGTTTATTTAAAAAAAAGTTTACTCCGTTTTTAGCGTTGCAGTTATGACAGGCAAAATCAGCCAGTACTTTAAAAAGCGACCTCGCGAGGAGGAAAGTCAAGAGTCCAGGTGAAACACAGCAGAGAGAAAAAAGGAACAGGCAGTTAAAATGCTATAATTCATGTTGGTGACAACGTGGAAATTTGTGTCAGGTCTGAAAGTACTTCACAAGGGACTGGTGATCGCGAGGGTCAGAATGCAGGACAGGACGAGTCGGCGAGGCGAGGGTAATTAATTAATTAGTTTCCAATTAGGAGCATAACAACGCAAAACCAACGTGTACGTGGTTTTTTTATTCCTCTTTCCAGATCTTCTCAAAAACACAGAGCCAGTGGCTTTGACAAACAGTGGCTCAATCAATGTACCTGGTTCAGGCATACTGAGGAATGCATGCACTGCTATTTATGCCAAAAGCACTGTGCCCCAACACAGCAGGTAATTGCTGCCTCCTTAGTGAGACAGCCATCAACCAACTACAGGCTGGACACATTAGAAAGACATGAGGTGACAGTCGTTCACAAAGCAGCAGAAGAGAAGGAGAAATATATTAAAGATGGTCGTACCTAAAAACACTCAACTAATAAAGTTACAAAAACTAAAATAACATAGTTTAGATAGTTTAAGAAATAATTGGTTGTCGTTTTTTAGGGAGGACACTGCAACGTATACATATATATAATATATGATTGAAAACACTATCACTCTTCATGTCTGTATCAGAATAAAAACAAAAATACTTAATGCATGATGAATTGTTTTGTTTAAGGTGAAGACACCTCTGTGGAACAGACTGAAGGAGAGGCACTTGGATGTCTGTTGTAAGGTGGCCGTTGATGGACCAGACCAGGAGGCCTTGGACTACAAGGAGTGCATGAGGAGGTTCTACAGAATGAAAAAGAGGAGGCTGAAATGTACTGTCTGGTTGTGAGATGTGTGGATGAAGTGTACTTTCAATTTAAAGTTGCCAGCTGATTTGTGTATGTATATAGTTTTAATAAATGAATGCTTTAACATGATAATGGTCACACTCTTTTTTGAACTCTTAACTTAAAGTATGTTGCCTGTAAAAGAAAGTGAGTCAGTTGAATTTACAAATACATGCACGTCATGGTGCATGGTCAGGATGGTGCCACCTCTGCCTCAATTTGAGCCAGGAAAAACCCTGCAAAAGGGCTTCATCAGGTTTTCCTGACCAGTCCACTACACTGATGGTTTAAAGAAGATCACAGACACACTGAGTGAAGTTGGTTCTTTCTCTTTTTACTCTTTCTAACTACTCTTTTCTGCATAGTATTAAAACTTATTTTATATTGTGTTTTTATGTCATTTATCATGCTAGAGTCTATCAGTAAATATTGTACCTCATCCTGCAGATCTTCCACAACAACATGACTGTGAGGAGGACGAGGTTGTCTCAGACCTGGAGCCCTGGAACCAGGAGAGGAACTCCAGTCCGGACCAAGAGGACCCAGAGCCTCAACAGATCAAAGATGAAGAGGAGGAATTCTGCACCAGTCAGGACAGAGAGCAGCTTGAACCAAAACAGGAGACTGAACACTTGATGTTAACTCAAACCTGTCAGGAAGGTGAGAACACTGAAGCAGAAGTAAGGAAGGATGACCAGTTCCTTTCTCACAACTCTCAAGAGGCTGCAAACCAAGGTCCAGAGAAAGACAAGCGCACAGAGTCAGAATCAACTTCAAAATCAGAACAACACCCCCCCAAAAAAGTTCCCAAAAGAAGTCAGAAGACGAAACAGCCTGAGGTTCACTCTGATCCTCAACAAGGTGAAAAGACTTTTAAGTGTGACACAAATAGGAAAACATTTACCAGCAATTCAAATACACAGACACATGTAAGTGTTTTCACTGGTAAGAAGAAGCATATTTGTGAGTGGTGTGGGAAGATATTCAGATACAGGCATTTGCTGACAAATCATGCAAGATCACACGCAGGTAAGGGACTGTACTCCTGTGAGAAAAGCTTCGGTTGGAAACCAGATTTGAAAAAGCACATGCAAATTCACACAGGGAGAAAGCATGCAATCTGCAAAACATGCAACAAATCTTTTATCAGTACAAGTAAACTGAGAACGCACATGAGAACACACACAGGTGAGAGACCATACTCCTGTAGCACTTGTGGGAAGAGCTTCGCTGTGAATTCACATTTAAAGACGCACATGCTTATTCACTCAGGAGAAAAGCTGTTCACCTGCAAAACATGCAGTAAATCTTTTTACAGGAAAGATAACCTAAGCAGGCACATGAGAACACACACAGGTGAAAAGCCGTACTCCTGTGGCACCTGTGGTAGAACCTTCGGTCGCCGTACAAATTTAAAAACACACATGCTAATTCACTCAAGAGAAAATCTGATCACCTGTAAAACATGCAACAAATCTTTTGTCAGTACAAGTACCCTGAGAACGCACATGAGAACACACACAGGTGAAAAACCATACTCCTGTAGCACATGTGGGAAGAGGTTCTGTTGGAATTCAAATTTAAAAACGCACATGCTTATTCACTCAGGAGAAAAGCTGTTCACCTGCAAAACATGCAGCAAATCTTTTAGCAATAAGGATAAACTGAGAACGCACATGAGAACACACACAGGTGAGAGACCATACTCCTGTGGCACGTGTGGGAAGAGCTTTGGTCGGACTTCAACTTTAAAAACACACATGCTCATTCACTCAAGAGAAAATCTGACCACCTGCAAAACATGCAACAAATCTTTTATTAATAAGGATTACCTGAGAATGCACATGAGAACACACACAGGTGAGAGACCATACTCCTGTGGCACGTGTGGGAAGAGCTTTGGTCGGACTTCAACTTTAAAAATACACATGCTCATTCACTCAGGAGAAAAGCTCTTCACCTGCAAAACATGCAGCAAATCGTTCTACAGTTCAGATAAACTGAGATTGCACATGAGAACACACACAGGTGAGAAACCATACTCCTGTAGTACCTGTGGGAAAAGCTTCAGTGGGAATTCAAATTTAAAAGCGCACATGCTTGTTCATTTAACAGGAAAGCTGTTCACTTGAAAAGCATGCAGAAAAGAGATGCTTCTTTAACGGAATCCAACCTAACCCACCTGTAAGATATATTTTACTGTGACTTTTCCTAACTGAAATACTTGTTCTTTTGAATGTCCTGTTTCCTTCCTCTGGATGAACAATTTTGTTTTTTCTTTTACTTCTGAGCTTCTTTGGTTGGCTGTTTTTTTCCCAGAATATTTGTATCTGTTTATTTGTTGTAATAACTTGTTTATATTACAATCTACAACAAATTTGATTTAGTTGACTGTAGCTGTAATGCTGATAAATGTCAGTGATGAGAATATGGTGACCAATAAACTTGGACTGTTAAAACAAAATTCATAGTAATGCATTTTGTATCCTGGTTTCATAGAAGTTAACCAAAAGAGGACAGAGCTTTAAATCAAAACTGGATGGTCCTGATCTTCAGGCCCTCAGACTGCTCTGCATTAAAAACAGACTGGACTCTGGAGTGGAATTCACTGCATGGGTTTAAAATCCGATCATCACGAACTTCAAGGACAGAGGTTCAATTATTGTGAAGAAGGCTTCAGGGTGCCTAAGAAAAGCCCATCAAGAGCCAAGACTGCCTCCTAAAGTTGATTTAGCTGCAGGATCGGGGCACCACACGTGCAGAGCTTGCTTAGGAATGGCAGCAAGCGGGTTTGAGTGCATCCGCATGTACAGTGAGGCAAAGACTTTTGGAGGAATAAGAAGAACTTTATTAATCACCAAAGAGAAATTCAATTGTCTGTTGTGTCACATAATATGTCTTAAAAACATATCTACTATTTACACAAGAGTTATAAAGTCTGATGGCTGTGGGTACAAAAGATCTTCTGAATCTTTCTGTCCTGCAGCGAAGAGAGAGGAGCTGTCCACCACCATTGGCCTTTGGTCCATCAAGGTGTTGTGAAGTGGGTGATCCATGTTCTTTAGAATAGACTCCACCTTCCTCAGTGTAGATCTCTCCACCACATCCTTCACTGAGTCCAGCTTGAGTCCAACCACAGAGCCAGCCTTTTCCACAAGTTTGTTAAGTCGTCTTGCATCTTTGTGTTTGATGCTTCTTCCCCAGCAGACTGCAGCGTAGAAACAGAACACTTGCTGTTAAATTATCTGCAGCGTCTTACTACAGAAGTCTTTTGATCGGAGTCTTTGATGTCTGGCGTATACAGTGTGAACAGGAATTGCGCCAGCACTGTCCCTTATGGAGCCCCTGTTCTGCTCATTAATGTCCCAGAAACACAGTTCCCCAGCCTGACAAACTGTGGCCTTCCTGTGATCCAGGAAACACAGGAAGGATTCACTCCTATCTCTGTGAGCTTGTCTTTGAGTATGGTTGGTTGGATGGTGTGAAATGCACATGAAAAGTCAAAGAACACGATCCTCGCATAAACCCCAGGTTTCTCCAGAATGAGACAGGGCACGGTGAAGCATGTAGAGGACAGCATCATCCACTCCAATCTTTTCTTTGTATGCAAACTGCAGGGAATCCAGTTTGTCTTTGACCTCAGACCTCAGAAGGCCTAGAATCAGCCACTCCAGGGTTTTCATGATGTGTGAAGTGAGGGCCACTGGTCTGTAGTCATTGAGTTCAGCAGGACATTTTGTTTTTGGTACTACCACAATGCAGGATGTTTTCCACAGAGCAGGTACCCGCCCCAGCTGTAGACTCAGGTTGAAGATCTTGTGGAGAGGTTGACACAGTTCTGTAGCACCGTCTCTAAGCAGCCTTGGACACACGCCATCTAGACCAGCTGCCTTCCCAGGACAAAGTCTTCCAAACTCCATCCTCATCCCTGTTGCCTGGAGTCAAGCAGAGCAGCAAAGAAGCCACTTCTCTACAGAAATAAAAAAAAAAATAATAATAACAGAGACAGAATGGAATTCTTCAAAAGTACAGGGATTGGATTGCTGAAGACTGGGGTAAAGTCACTTTCTCTGATGAATCCCCTTTCCAATCGTTTGGGGCATCTGCAAAAAAGCTTGTCTGGAGAAGAAAAGGTGAGCACTACCATCAGTCCTGTGTCATGAAAGCAGTCTTGCATCCCGAGACTATCCATGTGTGGGGTTGCTTCTCAGTCAAGGCAGTGGGCTCATTCACAATTTTGCCCAAGAACACAGCCATGAACAAAGAATGGTACCAAAACATCCTTAGAGAGCAACTTCTCCTGACCATTCAAGATCAGTTTGGTGACGAACACTGCCTTTTCCAGTATGATGGAGAACCGTGCTATGAGGCAAAAATCATAACTAAGTGGCTAAAGGAAAAAAAGAAAAAAACTAAAAATTTTGGGTCTATGGCCAGGAACCTCCCCAGACCTTAATCCCATAGAGAACTTGTGGTCAATACTCAAGACGTAGGTGGACAAACCAAAACTAAAAAATTGACATTTATGAAATGCTTGTAATTATACTTCAGTAAAACATAGAAACATCTGACAAAAAGATCTAAAAACACTGAAGCAGCAGAATTTTTGAAAATTAATATTTGTATCATTCTCAAAACTTTTGGCCACGGCTGTATTAGTATCATGGAGGAAATGTAGAAATCAAGAGCAGGGAATAATTTATAGATCACAATGGAGTTTGAACAACTCATTAAAAGATAAAACTTTTTTCTTATTCATCACAAAAAAAATTCAAAGAATTCATTAGAATAGATATGAACCCACTAACTTCTATTTCAGCAGTTTGGGAGGCATTTAAAGCAACCTGTATGAGCTGGACTGTCAGTTATGCATCCAATAAATTTTTTGCAAAAATGTTAACAAAATGGCTGGATGAAACTGCTCCAAATTTAATTCATGTGGACCAGTGGCGGCTGCTGGCCTTTAAGGAGGGGAAGCTCATTTTTCTGGCCTACATCATAATTGTGTTTGTTTATTTGTATGTAACAGAACAGAGTCACCAAACACAACGGCAGTCGTTTTTAACAAAGACAAAAGTCGCTGAGGATCGGCAAAGTCTCCGGAGCAGTTAAGAACAATGGAATGAATAACTTGGAAAATGCTTTGGTAGATGTTTTATTCTTCAAGATCGCTGATTCGCTTATTTAGCTGTCAATCAAAAAAGGATTTCGCCTCAGACAGCACATCCAATCATGGATGCAGAAGCTCAGCGTCTGCGAGAAAGTTGGGACCGCCCTCTCGTCATAGAACTCCAGAGACACTGAGCGTACGATGGGCGGGACAAAGCACAGGATTTGTCCAATGAGCGTCTAGTTTCACTGCTGGAACAACCCACTTTGAGCTTCCACATTGAAGTCAGCAGATGCTGAGCGTCCGGCTGTGTGAAGCGCTGAGGCGCTGCGAGGATGAATGAGAATGAAGTTGTGCCGGATACCTGTGATTATCAGCTTCTTATCACAGTGTGATAAGAATACAAAGCTCCTTCCAATGATGGTGTTCTACTTTTGAAGACTGTCCTCAATCCCCTTTACTCTTTATTTCAGCCTTAGAACTGTTGGCATGTGCTATCTGACAAGACAAAGAAAATACAGACATGGCTTTACTTTTCATCCAATTTACTTTGTTAACTAAAAGGCTGCTAAATGACTAAATAATTTCTGAAAGTCTTAGTATAGAGTTTGAGGGTTTGGCGAAAGTCAATAGAATGTCATCCAGATACATATTCCATTTGAAATCATACCCCCTCCAAAAAAAAAAAATCCAGGCAAAATAAAAATTCTTATTTACTATTGTGAATTCTTATTAACTTAAATGTCAAACATCTATTAAATACCATAAAGGGATACCTTAAAAGATGATCTGCTCTGCCTCTGTCCTTACAGGGTAGGGAATGACAAGATGCTTAGAGTATTTGGGAGAAATTAACCCTCCCAAGAGACTTTGAAGTTTATATAAGTTGCTGTGTCATGCCTCCCCAAACCAGAACTCAAAGACAGAGTCACAATAGGAACTTGATTCAGGGGTCGAATATACTACTGAAGAGTGTGGAAAACATTAAGCATGACATAAAAACAGCCTCAAAATCTTTCTGAAATAGAGTAATACAGCTGAAAATTCTTCATAGAGCATTATAGGGATAAAACCTGATCTATGCATGTGTAGGGCAATTTGGACCATTTGAATGAATGGAATATTTTCTTAAGTATGAGCATGCACTGATCTCTCCTACTTGTGGTGTTGTTGTTAATATATAACTGCTGTCTGATTGTGTTTATTGTTGTAATACAAAATTATATATATATAAAAAAAAAAAAAGAAACCGTGGAGGGCCCTGCAGTCTACGATACAGACTGAAAGGAGACAACGAGGAGGGCGGAACATTTGGTTGCCGTAGCTCCGCTTACAGAACTTTATTGGTGTGACACATGCAGGAAGTAAACGAACAGCGTCGGGTTGTTTTTGAAGAAGCTGAGATATCTGAGGACAATCCAGTTTTCACAGCGCAACCTTCTTTTAAATCTGCAACGAACCAACGATGTCTGTAGCTGAATCTCTCCGAGAGTTTGTGACCGAGCGGCTCGCTGCTGCTACTGAAGACATTTTGGGAGTTTTTAACAGAACTGTGGTCCAGTACGAGGAAGAGCTGGACCGTCAACGCAGACTGCTGGATTTGGTCTGGAAACCCCACATTCACTTACACAGAATCGGTAAGAAAAGCCAAGTTTAGACTGAATAAAGAAGCAGAAGCTCGGTTTGAAGCTCTATTTATTGATTGTAATGAGTCAAGAATGAACAACAGAGTCTCAGGGCTCAGAATTAGCTCGCTGTAGCAAACAGGCATCTTAGAGGTCTGAGCGCTTCAGAACCTCGACTAAGGTTCCCTTGAACCCTTTATACACGCCTATCTGGATGGTTTAAACAAGATCACAGACACACTGAGTGAAGTTGGTTCTTTCTCTTTTTACTCTCTCTAACTACTCTTTTCTGCATAGTATTAAAACTTATTTTACATTGTGTTTTTATGTCATTTATCATGCTACAGTCTATCAGTAAGTATTGTACCTCGTCCTGCAGATCTTCCACAACAACATGACTGTGAGGACAAGGTTGTCTCAGACCTGGAGCCCTGGAACCAGGAGAGGAACTCCAGTCCAGACCAAGAGGACCCAGAGCCTCTACAGATTAAAGATGAAAAGGAGGAATTCTGCACCAGTCAGGACAGAGAGCAGCTTGAACCAAAGCAGGAGACTGAACACTTGATGTTAACTCTAACCTGTCAGGAAGGTGAGAACACTGAAGCAGAAGTAAGGAAGGATGACCAGTTGCTTTCTCACAACTCTCGTGAGGCTGCAAACCAAGATCCAGAGAAAGACAAGCTCACAGAGTCAGAATCAACTTCAAAATCAGAACAACACCCCCCCAAAAAAGAGTTCACAAATGAAGGAGTCCCTCTTAGGATCAGAGTACTATTTATTAATGTAATAATACTATCACAGTGACTCATGGCAAACAACAGTTGCTCTTTTACTTATTTTTCACCCCTGCCCCTCAAACTCTGAGTATACCACTTGTGGTATCTGTAAAAATGTATGTCCTCTGCCTGCTGACTTTAATTTTGTGATCTCAGACAAAAGTAGATGCCCAGTGCACAGCACCATCAGTCCTTTTCACTTTGTGCAGAGGAAGACAGGTTAAGCAGATTCACCTCACAAACGAGGACTGAATCGCTCCTTCTTAGTTTCACACAGCTCACACAAAAGGGCTTCATCAGGTTTTCCTGACCAGTCCACTACACTGATGGTTTAAAGAAGATCACAGACACACTGAGTGAAGTTGGTTCTTTCTCTTTTTACTCTTTCTAACTACTCTTTTCTGCATAGTATTAAAACTTATTTTATATTGTGTTTTTATGTCATTTATCATGCTAGAGTCTATCAGTAAATATTGTACCTCATCCTGCAGATCTTCCACAACAACATGACTGTGAGGAGGACGAGGTTGTCTCAGACCTGGAGCCCTGGAACCAGGAGAGGAACTCCAGTCCGGACCAAGAGGACCCAGAGCCTCAACAGATCAAAGATGAAGAGGAGGAATTCTGCACCAGTCAGGACAGAGAGCAGCTTGAACCAAAACAGGAGACTGAACACTTGATGTTAACTCAAACCTGTCAGGAAGGTGAGAACACTGAAGCAGAAGTAAGGAAGGATGACCAGTTCCTTTCTCACAACTCTCAAGAGGCTGCAGACCAAGATCCAGAGAAAGACAAGCGCACAGAGTCAGAATCAACTTCAAAATCAGAACAACACCCCCCCAAAAAAGTTCCCAAAAGAAGTCAGAAGACGAAACAGCCTGAGGTTCACTCTGATCCTCAACAAGGTGAAAAGACTTTTAAGTGTGACACAAATAGGAAAACATTTACCAGCAATTCAAATACACAGACACATGTAAGTGTTTTCACTGGTAAGAAGAAGCATATTTGTGAGTGGTGTGGGAAGATATTCAGATACAGGCATTTGCTGACAAATCATGCAAGATCACACACAGGTAAGGGACTGTACTCCTGTGAGAAAAGCTTCGGTTGGAAACCAGATTTGAAAAAGCACATGCAAATTCACACAGGGAGAAAGCATGCAATCTGCAAGACATGCAACAAATCTTTTATCAGTACAAGTACCCTGAGAACGCACATGAGAACTCACACAGGTGAGAGACCATACTCCTGTAGCACTTGTGGGAAGAGCTTCGCTGTGAATTCACATTTAAAGACGCACATGCTTATTCACTCAGGAGAAAAGCTGTTCACCTGCAAAACATGCAGTAAATCTTTTTACAGGAAAGATAACCTAAGCAGGCACATGAGAACACACACAGGTGAAAAGCCGTACTCCTGTGGCACCTGTGGTAGAACCTTCGGTCGCCGTACAAATTTAAAAACACACATGCTAATTCACTCAAGAGAAAATCTGATCACCTGTAAAACATGCAACAAATCTTTTGTCAGTACAAGTACCCTGAGAACGCACATGAGAACACACACAGGTGAAAAACCATACTCCTGTGGCACGTGTGGGAAGGGCTTTGGTCGGACTTCAACTTTAAAAACACACATGCTCATTCACTCAAGAGAAAATCTGACCACCTGCAAAACATGCAACAAATCTTTCATTAATAAGGATTACCTGAGAACGCACATGAGAACACACACAGGTGAGAGACCGTACTCCTGTGGCACATGTGGGAAGAGCTTTGGTCGGACTTCAACTTTACAAACACACATGCTCATTCACTCAGGAGAAAAGCTCTTCACCTGCAAAACATGCAGCAAATCGTTCTACAGTTCAGATAAACTGAGATTGCACATGAGAACACACACAGGTGAGAAACCATACTCCTGTAGTACCTGTGGGAAAAGCTTCAGTGGGAATTCAAATTTAAAAGCGCACATGCTTGTTCATTTAACAGGAAAGCTGTTCACTTGAAAAGCATGCAGAAAAGAGATGCTTCTTTAACGGAATCCAACCTAACCCACCTGTAAGATATATTTTACTGTGACTTTTCCTAACTGAAATACTTGTTCTTTTGAATGTCCTGTTTCCTTCCTCTGGATGAACAATTTTGTTTTTTCTTTTACTTCTGAGCTTCTTTGGTTGGCTGTTTTTTTCCCAGAATATTTTTATCTGTTTATTTGTTGTAATAACTTGTTTATATTACAATCTACAACAAATTTGATTTAGTTGACTGTAGCTGTAATGCTGATAAAGGTCAGTGATGAGAATATGGTGACCAATAAACTTGGACTGTCAAAACATAATTCATAGTAATGCATTTTGTATCCTGGTTTCATAGAAGTGAACCAAAAGAGGACAGAGCTTTAAATCAAAACTGGATGGTCCTGATCTTCAGGCCCTCAGACTGCTCTGCATTAAAAACAGACTGGACTCTGGAGTGGAATTCACTGCATGGGTTCAAAATCCGATCATCACGAACTTCAAGGACAGAGGTTCAATTATTGTGAAGAAGGCTTCAGGGTGCCTAAGAAAAGCCCATCAAGAGCCAGGACTGCCTCCTAAACTTGATTTAGCTGCAGGATCGGGGCACCACACGTGCAGAGCTTGCTTAGGAATGGCAGCAAGCGGGTTTGAGTGCATCCCCATGTACAGTGAGGCAAAGACTTTTGGAGGAATAAGAAGAACTTTATTAATCACCAAAGAGAAATTCAATTGTCTGTTGTGTCACATAATATGTCTTAAAAACATATCTACTATTTACACAAGAGTTATAAAGTCTGATGGCTTTGGGTACAAAAGATCTTCTGAATCTTTCTGTCCTGCAGCGAAGAGAGAGGAGCTGTCCACCACCATTGGCCTTTGGTCCATCAAGGTGTTGTGAAGTGGGTGATCCATGTTCTTTAGAATAGACTCCACCTTCCTCAGTGTAGATCTCACCACCACATCCTTCACTGAGTCCAGCTTGAGTCCAACCACAGAGCCAGCCTTTTCCACAAGTTTGTTAAGTCGTCTTGCATCTTTGTGTTTGATGCTTCTTCCCCAGCAGACTGCAGCGTAGAAACAGAACACTTGCTGTTAAATTATCTGCAGCGTCTTACTACAGAAGTCTATTGATCGGAGTCTTTGATGTCTGGCGTATACAGTGTGAACAGGAATGGCGCCAGCACTGTCCCTTGTGGAGCCCCTGAAACACAGTTCCCCAGCCTGACAAACTGTGGCCTTCCTGTGATCCAGGAAACACAGGAAGGATCCACTCCTATCTCTGTGAGCTTGTCTTTGAGTATGGTTGGTTGGATGGTGTGAAATGCACATGAAAAGTCAAAGAACACGATCCTCGCATAAACCCCAGGTTTCTCCAGAATGAGACAGGGCACGGTGAAGCATGTAGAGGACAGCATCATCCACTCCAATCTTTTCTTTGTATGCAAACTGCAGGGAATCCAGTTTGTCTTTGACCTCAGACCTCAGAAGGCCTAGAATCAGCCACTCCAGGGTTTTCATGATGTGTGAAGTGAGGGCCACTGGTCTGTAGTCATTGAGTTCAGCAGGACATTTTGTTTTTGGTACTAGCACAATGCAGGATGTTTTCCACAGAGCAGGTACCCGCCCCAGCTGTAGACTCAGGTTGAAGATCTTGTGGAGAGGTTGACACAGTTCTGTAGCACCGTCTCTAAGCAGCCTTGGACACACGCCATCTAGACCAGCTGCCTTCCCAGGACAAAGTCTTCCAAACTCCATCCTCATCCCTGTTGCCTGGAGTCAAGCAGAGCAGCAAAAAAGCCACTTCTCTACAGAAATTAAAAAAAATAATAATAACAGAGACAGAATGGAATTCTTCAAAAGTACAGGGATTGGATTGCTGAAGACTGGGGTAAAGTCACTTTCTCTGATGAATCCCCTTTCCAATCGTTTGGGGCATCTGCAAAAAAGCTTGTCTGGAGAAGAAAAGGTGAGCACTACCATCAGTCCTGTGTCATGAAAGCAGTCTTGCATCCTGAGACTATCCATGTGTGGGGTTGCTTCTCAGTCAAGGCAGTGGGCTCATTCACAATTTTGCCCAAGAACACAGCCATGAACAAAGAATGGTACCAAAACATCCTTAGAGAGCAACTTCTCCTGACCATTCAAGATCAGTTTGGTGACGAACACTGCCTTTTCCAGTATGATGGAGAACCGTGCTATGAGGCAAAAATGATAACTAAGTGGCTAAAGGAAAAAAAGAAAAAAACTAAAAATTTTGGGTCTATGGCCAGGAACCTCCCCAGACCTTAATCCCATAGAGAACTTGTGGTCAATCCTCAAGACGTAGGTGGACAAACCAAAACTATAAAATTGACATTTATGAAATGCTTGTAATTATACTTCAGTAAAACATAGAAACATCTGACAAAAAGATCTAAAAACACTGAAGCAGCAGAATTTTTGAAAATTAATATTTGTATCATTCTCAAAACTTTTGGCCACGGCTGTATTAGTATCATGGAGGAAATGTAGAAATCAAGAGCAGGGAATAATTTATAGATCACAATGGAGTTTGAACAACTCATTAAAAGATAAAACTTTTGTCTTATTCATCACAAAAAAAATTTCAAAGAATTCATTAGAATAGATATGAACCAACTAACTTCTATTTCAGCAGTTTGGGAGGCATTTAAAGCAACCTGTATGAGCTGGACTGTCAGTTATGCATCAAATAAATTTTTTGCAAAAATGTTAACAAAATGGCTGGATGAAACTGCTCCAAATCTAATTAATGTGGACCAGTGGCGGCTGCTGGCCTTTAAGGAGGGGAAGCTCATTTTTCTGGCCTACATCATAATTGTGTTTGTTTATTTGTATGTAACAGAACAGAGTCACCAAACACAACGGCAGTCGTTTTTAACAAAGACAAAAGTCGCTGAGGATCGGTAAAGTCTCCGGAGCAGTTAAGAACAACGGAATGAATAACTTGGAAAATGCTTTGGTAGATGTTTTATTCTTCAAGATCGCTGATTCCCTTATTTAGCTGTCAATCAAAAAAGGATTTCGCCTCAGACAGCACATCCAATCATGGATGCAGAAGCTCAGTGTCCGTGAGAAAGTTGGGACCGCCCTCTCGTCATAGAACTCCAGAGACACTGAGCGTACGATGGGCGGGACAAAGCCCAGCATTTGTCCAATGAGCGTCTAGTTTCGCTGCTGGAACAACCCACTTTGAGCTTCCACATTGAAGTCAGCAGACGCTGAGCGTCCGGCTGTGTGAAGCGCTGAGGAGCTGCGAGGATGAATGAGAACGAAGTTGTGGCGGTTACCTGTGATTATCAACTTCTTATCGCAGTGTCTGAACAAAAGATGAAGGCTTTCTAGTACGTATTTAGTTAATGAAATGAACACACAGCAGTACGTATTTCACCACTTTTTCTTTTTTTGGGGGGGTGACATTTTAAGGGAAGCTGAGCTTCCCTTGCAGTCTTAGAGCAATCGCCACTGATGTCGATCAAGTTGACTCTTTGTGGGCAGCTTCTATCTGATAATAATTCTATTCTGAAAATAGTTATGATTCTGATTAATATGCAAAGTCTCTTGCAAACCATGCAGCTCTCTCCACCATTCAGTAGGAGCAATACCATTGGACACAGAGAAAGCTTGTGATCGAACTGAATGATCGTACCTGTTTGAGATGCTCTCCAGATATGGTTTTGGTCCAAAAGCTTACAGTGGATCAGAGCACTTTATCAGGAACCTGTTTCAGCTCCTTCCAATGATGGCGTTCTACTAGAGAAGACTGTCCTCTATCCCCTTTACTCTTTATTTCAGCCTTAGAACTGTTGGCATGTGCTATCAAAGAAAATACAGACATGGCTTTATTTTTCATCCAATTAATTTTGTTAACTGAAAGGCTGCTAAATGACTAAATAATTTCTGAAAGTCTTAGTATAGAGTTGGAGGGTTTGGCGAAAGTCAATAAAATGTCATCCAGATACATATTCCATTTGAAATCATAACCCCCCCCCCCCCCCCCCAAAAAAAAAAAAAAAAAATCCAGGCAAAATAAAAATTCTTATTTACTTATCTATTAAATACCATAAAGGGATAAAGGGGTACCTTAAAAGATGATCTGCTCTGCCTCTGTCCTTACAGGGTAGGGAACAACAAGATGCTTAGAATATTTTGGAGAGATTAACCCTCCCAAGAGACTTTGAACCTGATGTTTGTTTGTGTTGTCTTGCATTTAAAGCCAGGCTTTCATTTCTTTAAATTTCCCAAAGAATATTTTGATTATAATTATGACACAGACAAAAAATATTCAGACTTTTATCATCAAACAGAGGAGTAGTCTCAATTTAATATAAGTTGCTGTGTCATGCCTCCCCAAACCAGAACTCAAAGACAGAGTCACAATGGGAACTTGATTCAGGGGTCAAATGTACTTCTGAAGAGTGTGGAAAACATTTAGCTTGACATAAAAACAACCTCAAAATCTTTCTGAAGTAGAGTAATACAGCTGAAAATTCTCCATAGAGCATTATAGGGATAAAACCTGATCTATGCATGTGTAGGGCAATTTGGACCATTTGAATGAATTAAATACAGTCTGAAGTATGAGCATGCACTGATCTCTCCTACTTGTGGTGTTGTTGTTAATATATAACTGCTGTCTGATTGTGTTTATTGTTGTAATACAAAATTATTAAAAAAAAAAAAAAGAAACCGCGGAGGGCCCTGCAGTCTATGATACCGACTGAAAGGAGACAAAGAGGAGGGCGGAACATTTGGTTGCCGCAACTCCGCTTACAGAACTTTATTGGTGTGACACATGCAGGAAGTAAACGAACAGCGTCGGGTTGTTTTTGAAGAAGCTGAGATATCTGAGGACAATCCAGTTTTCACAGCGCAGCCTTCTTTAAAATCTGTAACGACCAACGATGTCTGTAGCAGAATCTCTCCGAGAGTTTGTGACCGAGCGGCTCGCTGCTGCTACTGAAGACATTTTGGGAGTTTTTAACAGAACTGTGGTCCAGTACGAGGAAGAGCTGGACCGTCAACGCAGACTGCTGGATTTGGTCTGGAAACCTCACATTCACTTACACAGAATCGGTAAGAAAAGACAAGTTTAGACTGAATAATGAAGCAGAAGCTCGGTTTGAAGCTCTATTTATTGATTGTAATGAGTCAAGAATGAACAACAGAGTCTCAGGGCTCAGAATTAGCTCGCTGTAGCAAACAGGCATCTTAGAGGTCTGAGCGCTTCAGAACCTCGACTGAGGTTCCCTTGAACCCTTTATACACGCCTATCTGGACAAAGAGTTTGCTGATCTGGGTGTTGTCTTTGTGAGTGGGCTGGTTCCTTATTCTTCTTCAACTGTCACACTACTGGGTCTGTATGTCCTCTCAGCCTTCTGACTTTAGTTTTATGATCTCAGACAAAAGTAGATGCCCAGTGCACAGCACCATCAGTCCTTTTCACTTTGTGCAGAGGAAGACAGGTTAAGCAGATTCACCTCACAAATGAGGACTGAATCGCTTCTTCTTGGTTTCACACAGCTCACACAAAAGGGCTTCATCAGCTTTCCTGACCAGTCCACTACACTGATGTTTTAAACAAGACCACAGACACACTGAGTGAAGTTGGTTCTTCCTCTTTAAAACTTATTTTACATTGTGTTTTTATGTCATTTATCATGCTAGAGTCTATCAGTAAGTATTGTACCTTATCCTGCAGATCTTCCACAACCACATGACTGTGAGGAGGACAAGGTTGTCTCAGACCTGCAGCCCAGTAACCAGGAGAGGAACTCCAGTCCGGACCAAGAAGACCCAGAGCCTCTACAGATTAAAGATGAAGAGGAGGAATTCTGCACCGGTCAGGAAAGAGAGCAGCTTGAACCAAAAAAGGAGACTGAACACTCTATGTTTACTCAAACTTGTCAGGAAGGTGAGAACACTGAACCAGAAGTAAGGAAGGACGACCAGTTCCATTCTCACAACTCTTGTGAGGCTTCAAACCAAGATCCAGAGAAAGACAAGCTCACAGAGTCAGAATCAACTTCAAAATCAGAACAACACCCCCCAAAAAAAGTTCACAAATGAAGGAGTCCCTCTTAGGATCAGAGTACTATTTATTAATGTAATAATACTATCACAGTGACTCATGGCAAACAACAGTTGCTCTTTTGATTATTTTTCACCCCTGCCCCTCAAACACTCTGAGTATACCACTTGTGGTATCTGTAAAAATGTATGTCCTCTGCCTTCTGACTTTAGTTTTGTGATCTCAGACAAAAGTAGATGCCCAGTGCACAGCATCATCAGTCCTTTTCACTTTGTGCAGAGGAAGACAGGTTAAGCAGATTCACCTCACAAATGAGGACTGGATCGCTTCTTCTTGGTTTCACACAGCTCACACAAAAGGGCTTCATCAGGTTTTCCTGACCAGTCCACTACACTGATGTTTTAAACAAGACCACAGACACACTGAGTGAAGTTGATTCTTCCTCTTTTTGCTCTATCTTACTACTTTTTTCTGCATAGTATTAACACTTATTTTATATTGTGTTTTTATGTCATTTATCATGCTAGAGTCTATCAGTAAGTATTGTACCTTATCCTGCAGATCTTCCACAACAACATGACTGTGAGGAGGACGAGGTTGTCTCAGACCTGGAGCCCTGGAACCAGGAGAGGAACTCCAGTCCGGACCAAGAGGACCCAGAGCCTCTACAGATTAAAGATGAAGAGGAGGAATTCTGCACCAGTCAGGACAGAGAGCAGCTTGAACCAAAGCAGGAGACTGAACACTTGATGTTAACTCTAACCTGTCAGGAAGGTGAGAACACTGAAGCAGAAGTAAGGAAGGAAGACCAGTTGCTTTCTCACAACTCTCGTGAGGCTGCAAACCAGGATCCAGAGAAAGACAAGCTCACAGAGTCAGAATCAACTTCAAAATCAGAACAACTGCCCCCCAAAAAGAGTTCACAAACGAAGGAGTCCCTCTTAGGATCAGAGTACTATTTATTAATGTAATAATACTATCACAGTGACTCATGGCAAACAACAGTTGCCCTTTTAATTATTTTTCACCCCTGCCCCTCAAACACTCTGAGTATACCACTTGTGTTATCTGTAAAAATGTATGTCTGCTGCCTTCTGACTTTAGTTTTGTGATCTCAGACAAAAGTAGATGCCCAGTGCACAGCACCATCAGTCCTTTTCACTTTGTGCAGAGGAAGACAGGTTAAGCAGATTCACCTCACAAATGAGGACTGAATCGCTTCTTTTTATGTAATCCTCAGTTTCACACAGCTCACACAAAAGGGCTTCATCAGGTTTTCCTGACCAGTTCACTACACTGATGGTTTAAACAAGACCACCGACACACTGAGTGAAGTTGGTTCTTTTTGTTTTTACTCTCTCTAACTACTCTTTTCTGCATAGTATTAAAACTTATTTTACATTGTGTTTTTATGTCATTTATCATGCTAGAGTCTATCAGTAAGTATTGTACCTTATCCTGCAGATCTTCCACAACAACATGACTGTGAGGAGGACGAGGTTGTCTCAGACCTGGAGCACTGGAACCAGGAGAGGAACTCCAGTCCAGACCAAGAGGATCCAGAGCCTCTACAGATTAAAGATGAAGAGGAGGAATTCTGCACCGGTCAGGACAGAGAGCAGCTTGAACCAAAGCAGGAGACTGATCACTCTATGTATACTCAAACCTGTCAGGAAGGTGAGAACACTGAAGCAGAAGTAAGGAAGGACGACCAGTTGCTTTCTCACAACTCTCATGAGGCTGCAAACCAAGATCCAGAGAAAGACAAGCACACAGAGTCAGAATCAACTTCAAAATCAGAACAACACCCCCCAAAAAAAGTTCCCAAAAGAAGTCAGAAGACAAAACAGCCTAAGGTTCACTGTGATCCTCAACAAGGTGAAAAGACTTTTAAATGTGACACAAATAGGGAAACATTAACCAGCAATTCAAATACACAGACATATGTAAGTGTTTTCACTGGTAAGAAGAAGCATATTTGTGAGTGGTGTGGGAAAATATTTAGAGACAAATATTTGCTTAAAAAACATGCAAGATCACACACAGGTGAGAAACCATACACCTGTGGCAGTTGTGGAAAGAGCTTCATTTCTAATTCATATTTAAAAAAACACATGCTGATTCACTCAGAAGAAAAGCTGTTCACCTGTGAAAAATGCAGCAAATCTTTTTACAGGATGGATCAACTAAAACTGCACATTAGAACACACACAGGTGAGAGACCGTACTCCTGTGGCACTTGTGGGAAGAGCTACATTTTAAATTCAAAGTTAAAAAATCACATGCTGATTCACTCAGAGGAAAAGCTGTTCACCTGTGAAACATGCGGCAAATCTTTTCACAGAAAAGGTACCCTAAAACTGCACGTGAGAACACACACAGGTGAAAAACCATACTCCTGTAATACATGTGGGAAGAGCTTCACTTCTAATTCAGGTTTAAATAAGCATATGCGAATTCACTCAGGAGAAAAGCTTTTCACCTGCAAGACATGCAGCAAATCTTTTATACGTTCAGATCAACTGAGAACGCACATGAGAACACACACAGGTGAGAGACAGTACTCCTGTTGCATTTGTGGGAAGAGTTACATTTTTAATTCAGATTTAAATAAGCATATGCAAATTCACTCAGGAGAAAAGTAGTTTACCTGCAAAACATGCAACAAATCTTTTTGCAAAAAGGATAAACTGAGATTGCACATGAGAACACACACAGGTGAGAGACCATAATCCTGTGGCACGTGTGGAAAGAGCTTCTCTACCAATTCATATTTAAAAAGCACATCCTTATTCACTCAAAAGAAAAGACTGTTCACTGGATTCTCTGTTCTGTGCAAGTTCAACGTTACACAAGACATGTTAGAGGGATGAGGTCTCGGCTCATAAAATACCATCTGTGTGTTCAGTTATTCTGGCAGTTAAGATATATTTCACTGTGGCTTTACCTGACTGAAATACTTGTTCTTTTGAGTCCTTATGAGCTACTTTGGTTGGTTGTTTTTTTTCCAGAATATTTTTATATGTTTATTTGTTGTAATAACTTCTTTATATGATGATCTACAACAAATTTGATTTAGATGACTGTAGCTGTGATGCCGATAAAGGTTGATCATGAAAATATGGCGACCAATAAACTTAGACTCTCAAAACAAAATTCATAGTAATGCATTTGTATCCTGGTTTCAAAGAAGTGAACCAAAAGAGGACAGAGCTTAAAACCAAAATTGGATGGTCCTGATCTTCAGGCCCTCAGACTGCTCTGTATTAAAAACAGACTGGACTCTGGAGTGGAATTCACTGCATGGGTTCAAAATCACTTCAAAAACCATTGACTGTGAATACAGTTTCTTACTGTATCCATGGATGAGGTTCAAACTGAACCATGCAAAGAGAAAACCAGATAGAAACAGGATCCAGGAACACCAGAGACTTCTCTTGACCTGAGCCCATTTAAGGTGGACCGAGAGGAAGAGGAAAACTGTCAAGATCTGGAATTCTTTTTGCATATCATGGAGCATTTGTTCAAAAGTGTAGGAGGACTACCTGACTTGCTCTCAGTTCACAGTCCCTGGGTTCCCTGGGATCTGTGGATCTCTCTTTGAGTTTCTATGAAGACTGTTGTTGTTGTTGTCAGACTCTGCTTTTTTCAAGAATTTATTTACAAAGAAAGACAAGTACTTGGTTTTGAGTGGCTTTTTCTTTGAAGAAATGAAAAATTTCTAAAACAACCTAATAAACACCTCTTTTAAACAAGAATGACTTATGACAAGGACTGAGGCACAAGCAATTTTACATGAGAAGTCTACTTTATCATAAACTAAGAAGGTCACATTATGAAGGCAGCAAAAAGGCAGGAAAGATGCTTTCCAATAAAAGCAATACCATTGGACACAGAGAAAGCTTGTGATCGAACTGAATGATAGTACCTGTTTGAGAAGCTCTCCAAATATGGTTTTGGTCCAAAAGCTTACAGTGGATCAGAGCATTTTATGTTATGTTTCAGCTCCTTCCAATGATGGCGTTCTACTAGAGAAGACTGTCCTCGAGCCCCTTTACTCTTTATTTCAGCCTTAGAACTTTTGGCATGTGCTATCTGACAAGATAATACAGACATAGCTTTACTTTTCATCCAATTTATTTTGTTAACTAAAAGGCTGCTTAATGACTAAATAATTTCTGAAAGTCTTAGTATAGAGTTGGAGGGTTTGGCCAAAGTCAATAAAATGTCATCCAGATACATGTTCAATTTGAAATCATAACCCCCCCAAAAAAACAATTCCAGGCAAAGTAAAAATTCTTATTTACTATTGTGAATTCTTATTTACTTAAATGTCAAACATCTATTAAATACCATAAAGGGATACCTTAAAAGATGATCTGCTCTGCCTCCGTCCTTACAGGGTAGGGCAGAAGTGCTCAAGATGGATGTCCGCCCAAGATTGAATTTCTTAGTGTCCTCTATTCCTTTGTTTATTCAGAAATCTTGGTTTGATAATGTCAACGGAATGTTCTCCTTTTTATGGAACAACAAGAAGCTTAGAATATTTTGGAGAGATTAACCCTCCCAAGAGACTTTGAACCTGATGTTTATTTGTGTTGTCTTGTATTTAATACCAGGCTTTCATTTCTTTAAATTTCCCAATGAAAATTTTAATTTTAATTATGACACTGACAAAAAATATTCAGACTTTTATCATCAAACAAAGGAGCAGTCTCAAGTTTATATAAGTTGCTGTGTCATGCCTCCCCAAACCAGAACTCAAAGACAGAGTCACAATGGGAACTTGATTCAGGGGTCAAATGTACTTCTGAAGATTGTGCAAAACATTTAGCATGACATAAAAACAACCTCAAAATCTCTCTGAAGTAGAGTTATACAGCTGAAAATTCTCCATAGATCTATGCATGTGTAGGGCAATTTGGACCATTTGAATGAATGGAATATTTACTTCAGTATGAGCATGCCCTGATCTCTCCTACTTGTATTGTTGTTGTTAATAAATAACTGCTGTCTGATTGTGTTTATTGTTGTAATACAAAATTATTAAAACTTTGAATTTAAAGGGAAAAAAAAGAAATCGTTGAGGGCCGTACAGTCTATGATACCGACTGAAAGGAGACAAAAAGGAGGGCGGAACATTTGGTTGCCGCAGCTCCGCTTACGGAATTGTATTGGTGTGACACACGAAGGAAGTAAACGAACAGCGTGGCTCCTTCAGGAAGCTGAGGTGTCTGAGGACAATCCAGTTTTCACAGCGCAGCTTTCTTTAAAATCTGCAACGAACCAACGATGTCTGTAGCAGAATCTCTCCGAGAGTTTGTGACCGAGCGGCTCGCTGCTGCTACTGAAGACATTTTGGGAGTTTTTAACAGAACTGTGGTCCAGTACGAGGAAGAGCTGGACCGTCAACGCAGACTGCTGGATTTGGTCTGGAAACCTCACATTCACTTACACAGAATCGGTAAGAAAAGACAAGTTTAGATTGAATAATGAAGCAGAAGCTCGGTTTAAATCAGGGCCGCCTCTCCTCTCGGTTTCCATGTATAAATACTGTGAATAAAGACGGAGGAACAACACTGTCTTAGTTCATCATAACTGTGCTACCCCGACCCATTTTGTTTCCCGCGAGCTGTAATAATGATCCGGTATCAAAACTCATCATGTGTACGGAAATCAGGGGAAAGAAGGCCAAACCTTAGAATGGCAGACGTGTGTTGTTTGGAAAAAAGGTGGTTTACTATCACCTTACGGGGTACTTTTAATTTCCCAAGCACAGTAAAGAAGGTAGGAAGGGGGGTTAAGTCTCTGACTTCAATTCCTTAACTACCTCTCACCTTTTACCTGCGTGGTCGTTGATGGGAAGGAGAGAAGACAGGGTTCAGGAGAGTTCTCAGTTGAAGCTCTATTTATTGATTGTAATGAGTCAAGAATGAACAACAGAGTCTCAGGGTTCAGAATTAGCTCGCTGTAGCAAACAGTCATCTTAGAGGTCTGAGCGCTTCAGAACCTCGACTAAGGTTCCCTTGAACCCTTTATACACGCCTATCTGGACAAAGAGTTTGCTGATCTGGGTGTTGTCTTTGTGAGTAGGCTGGTTCCTTATTCTTCTTCAACTGTCACACTACTGGGTCTGTATGTCCTCTCTGCCTTCTGACTTTAGATTTGTGATCTCAGACAAAAGTAGATGCCCAGTGCACAGCACCATCAGTCCTTTTCACTTTGTGCAGAGGAAGACAGGTTAAGCAGATTCACCTCACAAATGAGGACTGAATCGCTTCTTTTTATGTAATCCTCAGTTTCACACAGCTCACACAAAAGGGCTTCATCAGGTTTTCCTGACCAGTCCACTACACTGATGTTTTACACAAGACCACTGACACACTGAGTGAAGTTGGTTCTTTCTCTTTTTGCTCCTTCTTACTACTTATTTTACATTGTGTTTTTATGTCATTTATCATGCTAGAGTCTATCAGTAAGTATTGTACCTTATCCTGCAGATCTTCCACAACAACATGACTGTGAGGAGGACGAGGTTGTCTCAGACCTGCAGCCCTGGAATCAGGAGGGGAACTCCAGTCCGGACCAAGAGGACCCAGAGCCTCTACAGATTAAAGATGAAACAGAGGAATTCTGCACCGGTCAGGACAGAGAGCAGCTTGAACCAAAGCAGGAGACTGAACACTCTATGTTTACTCAAACTTGTCAGGAAGGTGAGAACACTGAAGCAGAAGTAAGGAAGGAACACCCGTTCCTTTCTCACAACTCTTGTGAGGCTGCAAACCAAGATCCAGAGAAAGACAAGCTCACAGAGTCAGAATCAACTTAAAAATCAGAACAACACCCCCCCAAAAAAGAGTTCACAAATGAAGGAGTCCCTCTTAGGATCAGAGTACTGTTTATTAATGTAATAAAACTATCACAGTGACTCATGGCAAACAACAGTTATTATTTTTCACCCCTGCCCCTCAAACACTCTGAGTATACCACTTGTGGTACCTGTAAAAATGTATGTCTGCTGCCTTCTGACTTTAGTTTTGTGATCTCAGACAAAAGTAGATGCCCAGTGCACAGCACCATCAGTCCTTTTCACTTGTGCAGAGGAAGACAGGTTAAGCAGATTCACCTCACAAATGAGGACTGGATCGCTTCTTCTTGGTTTCACACAGCTCACACATCAGGTTTTCCTGACCAATCCACTACACTGATGTTTTACACAAGACCACAGACACACTGAGTGAAGTTGGTTCTTCTTGTTTTTACTCTCTCTAACTACTCTTTTCTACATAGTATTAAAACTTATTTTCCATTGTGTTTTTATGTCATTTATCATGCTAGAGTCTATCAGTAAGTATTGTACCTTATCCTGCAGATCTTCCACAACAACATGACTGTGAGGAGGACGAGGTTGTCTCAGACCTGGAGCCCTGGAACCAGGAGAGGAACTCCAGTCCGGACCAAGAGGACCCAGAGCCTCTACAGATTAAAGATGAAGAGGAGGAATTCTGCATTCTGTTTGACAGAGAGCAGCTTGAACCAAAACAGGAGACTGAACACTTTATGTTTACTCAAACCTGTCAGGAAAGTGAGAACACTGAAGCAGAAGTAAGGAAGGACGACCAGTTGCTTTCTCACAACTCTTGTGAGGCTTCAAACCAAGATCCACAGAAAGACAAGCTCACAGAGTCAGAATCAACATCAAAATCAGAACAACACCCCCCCAAAAAAGTTCACAAAAGAAGTCAAAAGACAAAACAGCCTAAGGTTCACTCTGATCCTCAACAAGGTGAAAAGACTTTTAAATGTAACACACATAGGGAAACATTTACGAGCAATTCCAATATGCAGACACATCTTAGTGTTCCCACTGGTAAAAAGAAGCATATTTGTGAATGGTGTGGGAAGTGCTTCAGATACAAGTATTTGCTGATGAAACACGCAAGATCACAAAAACGTAAGGGACAGTACCCCTGTGCGAAAAGGTTCGTGTGGAATCCAGATTTGAAAAAGCACGTGAAAATTCACCCAGTAGAAGAGATGTTCACTTGCAAAACATGCAACAAATTTTTTAATAGTACAAGTCACCTGACAATGCACATGAGAGTCCACGCAGGTGAGAAACCATACTTCTGTAGCACATGTGGAAAGAGCTTTATTTTGAATTCAAATTTAAAAAAGCACATGCTTATTCACTCTGGAGAAAAGCTGGTCACCTGCGAAAAATGCAGCAAATCTTTTTACAGGATAGATCAACTAAAACTGCATATGAGAATACACACAGGTAAGAGATCGTACTCCTGTGGCACCTGTGGGAAGAGCTTTGTTCAGAATGGAAATTTTAAAAAGCACTTGCTTATTCATTCAAGAGAAAATCTGACCACCTGCAAAACCTGCAACAAAACTTTTGTCAATACAAGCTACCTTAGAACGCACATGAGAACACACACAGGTGAGAAACCGTACTCCTGTAGCACTTGTGGGAAGAGCTTCGCTGTGAATTCAAATTTAAAAACGCACATGCTAATTCACTCAGGAGAAAAGCTCTTCACCTGTGAAACATGCAGCAAATCTTTTATCAGTTCAGGTAACCTAAGCAGGCACATGAGAACACACACAGGTGAGAAACCGTACTCCTGTGGCACCTGTGGGAAAAGCTTACGTCACACTACAACTTTAAAATCGCACATGCTTATTCATTCAAGAAAAAAGAGATTGTAAAGCTGTAGTACCTGTGGGAGACGTTTCTGTTGGAAAACAAATTTTAAAAAACTACATGCTTATTCACTTAAGAGAATAGCTCTTCACCTGCGAAGCTTGCAACAAATCTTTTATCAGTACAAGTCACCTGAGAATCCACATGACGGAGCACACTGATGAGAGATTGTACTCCAGTTGCACCTGTGGGGTAAAGTTCTCTTAAGAAAACATGCTAAGATTTTCACACCCCCAACCCATACAGGCAAAAAGCCTGTGGGACCTGTGGGAAATCATTCGGCAGGAAGATTTCTTTAGATGGTCACATAAGAACCCACACAGGTAAAATGTGGCAGGTCTGTCGGATGCAGCAGGAAATTCCATCAAAAGTGCAACAGAAGCTGGTGACTGAAATTAGAAGCAAATGTCATGGTGTGAAGTCAGAATACCGTTGGAGTTCATGTGACCGAGGCAGGATCTTAGGAAGTGCCAGTTTTCCCCTCAGCTCCTCCTCTTCCTCAGTCCTTGCTCCGGCAAGCCCTGCCCACAAACAGACGCTCCTGTTTGCTTGTATTGTTTTATTTAATTCAGATAATGCAGATAAATACTTCAGATAATTAAAAATGGGGCCCAGTCAACTTGAAAGTAAACAGCATTGGTGCAACTGTAGATGCCAACAGACTACCAGCAAACACAATGGCCCTCATTTATCAAGCTTGCGTACGGCAGAAAACTTGTGTATGAAAATTTTGAGGTGAGGATCGGTATTTATCAATCTGCATGTGAGCGTATGCTATGACCAAATCTCACGACAGGTCTGATATCGTGTACGCAAGTTTGAATCAGTGTGGATCTGCAGTGCAGCAAATTTCTGTCTCAAAATAACTTGTATACAAACCTCGAACCTGTCATTAATCACAATCAGCCAAATTTCATTAAAGATTAAGACGTAAATAAAATAAAATAAATTTGTTATGTCCTTAGTGAATGGGCCTATTTGATAACTGCCCAGAAACACTGCCACAGAGCAGGAGCGCTGTTTTAACATTACACACACATGCACACGCGCCACTGTGGAGCACTGCGTTTGACTCCAAAAAGGCAGGTGTCTCTGTCTTGGCCCAGCAGCGGGGACGTTGTTGTACACTCCTGAAAGGGTGTGGGACATCATTTGAGCCAGTACAGTTTTGCACAATGTTACACTGGCGAATGGAGTACCGTTGGCTGTGCTGGTGCAACATGAGGACCGGATGCCCGGAGAACAATAACGAGGAGAGACTCCACAAAGGTGCTGCACAGAGGAGACAGGACCTTATTGATGGATTCTGACATGTAAAGTTAAAGTTTAGTAAGTGCTCTTGCTATTTAATCAGTGATAAAAGTCCAATAGAAATCCATAAAAATGTGCCTCAGGGGCAGCAACACACCGTTTGGTGACGTTAATAATTATTTTTGTTGAGCCTCTGTCAGACTCTCCAGTCTGCTCTACATTACAAAGACGCAACAAATTAAAACTAAATACTTTTAATAATAGGAGCACCGTACCCTGCGTCATGGCAATATACAAATATGAGGCATGTATGAGATATTAATTCATCATCATGAGCAATTTATTGACTAATGATTTATTCAAACGTCAGCCACTGTCCAATATTCCGTGGCAGCGCTGTTCACTGGCACCATAATCCTGCTCCAGACAGGAGTTTTCTGGACTGCTTTTATACCAGTTTTGAAGCTCCCAAAGAGAAAATCCTTATTAGTTTCCACCACAGACGCAAGGATATCCACTTTCAGCTTGGAAAAGTCTACCTCCTTTTTAAGCGCCCTGTATTCCACCAGAGTCTCCAGTATGTACTTTGTTTTCTTTGCTTGTGTTGGCAGTCATGGCCAATGGAGGATTCAGACAATTTTCCGTACTTTCTGGTTGGTTTCGACTGTCCGATATTGTAGCACACTTTGTTTGGGCTCGTGCACATTATTCGAGGACATGGAGCATGCCTCACAACACGAGGGAACAGCTTCTGCCTCACAACCAATCAGCAGGAGGGAGCAGGGTCTGTCTTGCAACCAGTCAGGTTGGGGGAGGCGGAGAATGGCTTTGTTTACAGTCAGAAAGCAGGGCGCTCAAAAAATGTAGTATGTTAAATACACAGACATAACAGAACACAGCAATATCATTATCATACCAAATGTCATCAATAACTAATAACTATTGAGTGATATTAAAAGCTTTTTTTATAGACACCACAAAAAAAGATGCTTCTTTAACGGAAACCAACCTACCCCACCTTTAAGATACATTTTACTGTGACTTTTCCTTTTTTCCTTTTTTTTTTTCACTGATGAGCTACTTTGGTTGGCTGTTTTTTTCCCCCAGAATATTTGTATCTGTTTATTTGTTGTAATAACTTGTTTAGATGATAATCTACAATAAATTTGATTGAGTTGACTGTAGCTGTGATGCTGATAAAGGTTAGTGATGAGAATATGGTGACCAATAAACTTGGACTGTCTAAACAAAATTCATAGTAATGCATTTGTATCCTGGTTTCATAGAAGTGAACCAAAAGAGGTCAGAGCTTAAAACCAAAATTGGATGGTCCTGATCTTCAGGCCCTCAGACTGCTCTGTATTAAAAACAGACTGGACTCTGGAGTGGAATTCACTGCATGGGCTCAAAATCACTTCAAACCCATTGACTGTGAATACAGTTCCTCACTGTATCCACAGATGAGGTTCAAACTGCAAATGAAGAATCATTTATTGATCAGTAAATATAAGTTTCTTGTTTGTGTAAACACGTGTTCAAGCACTTCTGATTTATTTAATTGATATTAAATCATCCAGGAATTATGCTTTATCATAATTATTCAGTGATAATGTCCTTGTTTTGGAAGTACCAACAGCACTCCTATCAGTTACAAAAGCAGTGAAAAAAAGAGTACCATCAGTGAATAAAGGAAAGTATTTTTAATCCTGATTCTTTCTTAACAAGCACAAATTTAAAAATAAAAGCATCGATTTAAAAGTGAAGCAAAAAAGCTGAAGTGTTTAATGAATGCAATGAGGCAGAGACGTGAGCCATATACTGTATAAGTATCATGGAGGAAATGTAGAAATCAAGAGCAGGGAATGATTTACAACTTGTTAAGAGATAAAACTTTTGTCTTATTCATTACAAAAAATTTAAAAGAATTCATTAGAAAAAATATGAACCCACTAACTTCTATCTCAGCAGTTTGGGAGGCATTTAAAGCAACCTGTATGAGCTGGACTATCAGTTATGCATCAAATAATTTTTTTGCAAAAATGTTAACAAGATGGCTGGATGAAACTGCTCCAAATTTAATTTGTGTGGATCAAGTTGGCTTTATCTGTGTGCAGCTTCTATCTGATAATAATTCTGTTCTGAAAATAGTTCTGATTCTGATTAATATGCGAAGTCTCTTGCAGACCATGCAGCTCTCTTCAGCATTCAGTGGGAGCAATATCACTGGACACTTAGGAAGCTTGTGATCGAACTGAATTGTCGTACCTGTTTGAGATGCCCTCAAGATATGGTTGTAGTCCAAAAGCTTACAGTGGATCAGAGCACTTTATCAGGAACCTGTTTCAGCTCCTTCCATTGATGGCGTTCTACTAGAGAAAACTGTCCTCAATCCCCTTTACTCTTTATTTTAGCTGTTGGCATGTGCTATCTGACAAGACAAAGAAAATACCCGCATGGCTTTACTTTTCATCCAATTTATTTTGTTAACTAAAAGGCTGCTAAATGACTAAATAATTTCTGAAAGTCTTAGTATAGAGTTGGAGGGTTTGGCCAAAGTCAATAAAATGTCATCCAGATACATATTCAATTAGAAATCATACCCCCCCCCCCCCCCCCCGCCAAAAAAAAATTTATAAATAAAAAATAATTCCAGGCAAAATAAAAAATCTTATTTACTATTGTGAATTCTTATTTACTTAAATGTCAAACCTCTATTAAATACCATAAAGGGATACCTTAAAAGATGATCTGCTCTGCCTCTGTCCTTACAGGGTTGGGCAGAAGTGCTCAAGATGGATGTCCTCCTATGATTAAATTTCTAAGTGTCCTCTATTCCTTTGTTTATTCAGAAATCTTGGTTTGATAATATCAAAGGAATGTTCTCCTTTTTATGGAACAACAAGAAGCTTAGAATATTTTGGAGAGATTAACCCTCCCAAGAGACTTTGAACCTGATGTTTATTTGTGTTGTCTTGCATTTAAAGCCAGGCTTTCATTTCTTTAAATTTCCCAAAGAATATTTTGATTATAATTATGACACTGACAAAAAATATGCAGGCTTTTATCATCAAACAGAGGAGCAGTCTCAAGTTTATATAAGTTGCTGTGTCATGCTTCCCCAAACCAGAACTCAAAGACAGAGTCACAATGGGAACTTGATTCAGGGGTCAAATGTACTTCTGAAGAGTGGAGAAAACATTTAGCTTGACATAAAAACAACCTCAAAATCTGTCTGAAGGAGAGTAATACAGCTGAAAATTCTCCATAGAGCATTATAGGGCTAACACTTGATCTATGCATGTGTAGGGCAATTTGGACCATTTGAATGAATTAAATACAGTCTGAAGTATGAGCATGCCCTGATCTCTCCTACTTGTGGTGTTGTTGTCAATATATAACTGCTGTCTGGTTGTAATTGTCATTGTCTGGAACTGTGGTTATTGTTGTAATACAAAATTATTAAAACTTCGAATTTAAAGGGGAAAAAAAGAAACCGTGGAGGGCCGTACAGTCTATGATACCGACTGAAAGGAGAGACAAAGAGGAGGGAGGAACATTTGGTTGCCGCAGCTCCGCTTACAGAACTTTATTGGTGTGACACATGGAGGAAGTAAACGAACAGCGTCGGGTTGTTTTTGAGGAAGCTGAGATATTGGAGGACAATCCAGTTTTCACAGCGCAACCTTCTTTAAAATCTGCAACGAACCAACGATGTCTGTAGCAGAATCTCTCCGAGAGTTTGTGACCGAGCGGCTCGCTGCTGCTACTGAAGACATTTTGGGAGTTTTTAACAGAACTGTGGTCCAGTACGAGGAAGAGCTGGACCGTCAACGCAGACTGCTGGATTTGGTTTGGAAACCTCGCATTCACTTACACAGAATCGGTAAGAAAAGACAAGTTTAGACTGAATAATGAAGCAGAAGCTCGGTTTAAATCAAGGCTGCCTCTCCTCTCGGTTTCCATGTATAAATACTGTGAATAAAGACGGAAGAACAACCCTGTCTTAGTTCAACAATAACTGTGCTACTCCGACCTATTTTGTTTCCCGCGAGCTGTAATAATGATCCGGTATCAAAACTCATCATGTGTACAGAAATCAGGGGAAAGAAGGGGAAACCTAAGAATGGCAGACATGTGTGTTGTTTGGAAAAAAGGTGGTTTACTATCACCTTACGGGGTACTTTTAATTTCCCAAGCACAGTAAAGAAGGTAGGAAGGGGTGTTAAGTCTCTGACTTCAATTCCTTAACTACCTCTCACCTTTTATCTGCGTGGTCGTTGATGGGAAGAAGAGAAGACGGGGTGTTGTCTTTGTGAGTAGGCTGGTTCCTTATTCTTCTTCAACTGTCACACTACTGGGTCTGTATGTCCTCTCAGCCTTCTGACTTTAGTTTTGTGATCTCAGACAAATGTAGATGCCCAGTGCACAGCACCATCAGTCCTTTTCACTTTGTGCAGAGGAAGACAGGTTAAGCAGATTCACCTCACAAATGAGGACTGAATCGCTTCTTTTTATGAAATCCTCAGTTTCACACAGCTCACACAAAAGGGCTTCATCAGGTTTTCCTGACCAGTCCACTACACTGATGTTTTACACAAAACCACCGACACACTGAGTGAAGTTGGTTCCTTCTTTCATGTTGACTTGGGCTCATATTTTGTGACTTCATCCATGTAATATAACTGCTATATTCTCATAAAGTAATATTAGTCTTTAATACGTTTTATAATCTTGATTTTACTCATTCTCTTTATGTTACAACTTTTCTTACTACTTTTTACTTCATAGTATTAAAACTTAAAACATTTTTACATTGTATTGAAAATTGTATATGTCATTTATCTTGCTAGAGTCTATCAGTTTTGTACCTCAAATCTTAAACCTTTTCAACTGAATTGTGTTGAATGTTACAACTCTGTCCTTAAAATATTACATCTTTCTCATAAACATTCCTCAGATTTTGCTCTTTCAAATACAATATAGTGATTCCAATTCTCTGTTTTCTGTCCCATCTCAGTGATATATTTCTGCTTCTGTGCTCCTGCAGATCTTCCACAACAACATGACTGTGAGGAGGACAAGGTTGTCTCAGACCTGCAGCCCTGGAACCAGGAGAGGAACTCCAGTCCGGACCAAGAGGATCCAGAGCCTCAACAGATTAAAGATGAAGAGGAGGAATTCTGCACCGGTCAGGACAGAGAGCAGCTTGAACCAAAGCAGGAGACTGATCACTCTATGTATACTCAAACCTGTCAGGAAGGTGAGAACACTGAAGCAGAAGTAAGGAAGGAAGACCAGTTCCTTTCTCACAACTCTTGTGAGGCTGAAAACCAAGATCCAGAGAAAGACAAGCTCACAGAGTCAGAATCAACTTCAAAATCAGAACAACACCCCCCAAAAAAAGTTCACAAAAGAAGTCAGAAGGCAAAACAGCCTAAGGTTCACTGTGATCCTCAACAAGGGGAAAAGACTTTTAAATGTGACACAAATAGGGAAACATTTACCAGCAATTCAAATTCACAGACACATGTAAGTGTTTTCACTGGTAAGAAGAAGCATATTTGTGAGTGGTGTGGGAAAATATTCAGAGACACATGTTTGCTTAAAAAACATGCAAGATCACACACAGGTGAGAGATCGTACTCCTGTAATACATGTGGGAAGAGCTTCACTTCTAATTCAGATTTAAAAAAGCATATGCAAATTCACTCAGAAGAAAAGCTGTTCACCTGCAAAACATGCAGCAAATCTTTTAACAGAAAAAATAACCTAAAACTGCACATGAGAACACACACAGGTGAGAGACCGTACACCTGTAGTACATGTGGGAAAAGCTTTGGTCGGAATTCAACTTTAAAAATACACATGCTAATTCACTCAGGAGAAGAGATGTTCACTTGCAAAACATGCAGCAAAAATTTCAAGTGTTCATATACACTGAGAATGCACATGAGAACACACACAGGTGAGAAACCATACACTTGTTGCACTTGTGGGAAGAGCTTCATTTTTAATTCAGTTTTAAAAAATCACATGCTGATTCACTCAAGAGAAAAGCTGTTCACCTGTGAAACATGTGGGAAGAGCTTCATTTTTAATTCAGTTTTAAAAAATCACATGCTGATTCACTCAGAAGAAAAGCTGTTCACCTGTGAAACATGTGGGAAGAACTTCACTTACAATTCATATTTAAAAAAGCACATCCTTATTCACTCAAAAGAAAAGCTGTTCACCTGCAAAAGGTGCAGCAAATCTTTTAACAGGGAGGATCAACTAAAAAGGCACATGAAAACACACACAGGTGAGAGACCCTTCACCTGTAACACATGTGGGAAGAGGTTCGGTTGGAATTCAAATTTAAAAACACACATGCTTATTCACTCAGGAGAAAAGCTGTTCACCTGCAAAAGGTGCAGCAAATCTTTTAACAGGAAGGATAATCTCAAACTGCACATGAGAACACACACAGGTGAGAGACCATACACCTGTAGTACATGTGGGAAAAGCTTCAGTCAGAATTCAACTTTAAAAACACACATGCTAATTCACTCAGGGGAAGAGATGTTCACTTGAAGTGTTCATATAGACTGAGAATGCACATGAGAACACACACAGGTGAGAAACCATACTCCTGTGGCATGTGTGGAAAGAGCTTCTCTGCAAATTCAGATATAAAAAGGCACATCCTTGTTCACTCAAAATAAAAGACTGTTCACCTGCAAAACATGCAACAAGTCTTTTAGCAGAAAATATAACCTAATTCTGCACATAAGAACACACACAGGTGAGAGACCCTTCACCTGTAACTAGGCCTGTCACGACAACAAATTTTGCTGGTCGATAATTGTGCTACAAATTATTGCCGATAAACGATATTATTGACACCGTTTTTTAAATTATAGATAATGATAATATATGGCATAATAACGCGAGTACACAATGTCAAAAGCAATAAAATTTAATTGCTCATGATTAAGAACTTTGAACTAGGATGAACAAATATAATAAACAAACAAGACAACCAAAAAACAATGAAAATAAAATGGTCCCACATTCTGTTTTATCAAAAACTGCATTCAAATAAAAACCACAATCACAACTACAAACAATAAAAAAAATAGACCTTGTCTCTGGTACGGAACAAAAACTTCACTCCACAAATAACTATTAAAACAAAAAATAAAGTGGAGTCTCGAGTCTGTAAACAAAATTGCACTACATAATTAGCTTTGGGTGCTATTCCTCAACAGGTCAACAAAGAAAATGCATGCGCACCTCAAGCCCAATCATGATTGTGCTTGAGGTGCGCATGGATGTTCGTCGTATTCCCCTTCTTTGTCACCAAAACTTTCGAATAAAGGCGACATATCATCCGTGTTCGTGGGCTCACCTCTTTCATTTTATTTGAAACCGAAATGTTCTCACACTGGGGCTGTTGCATTGGGCTTAGACACCAAAGCTGCTGTTTTATCATTCATTGCGTTTGCGCCGCACTGTGTCAGTAAGTCTGTGTGCGTGTGTGCGTTAGCTCCCCCCCACCGTGACAAAGAGACTGAATTACTGACAGGAGGGTTCACTCACTGCGTTCATTCCGCTATCGAGCCAACGCACCAGGGTATCGAGAAAAATGCGCAGAGTGAGACCTCATCTCTCATCCCGTGTGTTTGGTAGCAAGAGAGGAGGAAAACAAACCGAGTAAATTATAAAGGCTGGCAAAATTACCGACCTCGTTTTTATTTACCGAGTGATTAGGCGATTTATTGATTATCGCGACAGGCCTACCTGTAAAACATGTGGGAAGAGGTTAGGTTGGAATACAAGTTTAAAAAGCACATGCTTATTCACTCAAGATAAAAGCTTTTCACCTGCAAGACTTGCAACCAATCTTTTTACTGGAAAGCTTAATTAAGTCTGCACATGAGAATACACACAGGTGAGAGACTACAGTTGTACAGCTGTAGTACATGTGGGGAAAAGGTTTGTTGAAAAACACACTTCGATCGTCGCACCCAAAACCATATAGGTATAAAGCCTGTTGTGCTTAATGAAAACCATTCGGCAGGAAGATTTCTTTAGATGGTCACATAAGAACCCACACAGGTAAAATGTGTCAGGTCTGTCAGATACAGCAGGAAATTCCATCAAAAAGTGCAACAGAAGTTGGTGACTGAAATTAGAAGCAAATGTCATGGTGTGAAGTCAGAATACCCCGGAGTTCATGTGAACTGGATTCTCTGTTCTCTGCAAGGTCAACGTTACACAAGACATGTTAGAGGGATGAGGTCTCGGCTCATAAAATACCATCTGTGTGTTTAGTTATTCTGGCAGTTAAGATGTATTTCACTGTGGCTTTACCTGACTGAAATACTTGTTCTTTTGAGTCCTTATGAGCTACTTTGGTTGGTTGTTTTTTTTCCAGAATATTTTTATATGTTTATTTGTTGTAATAACTTCTTTATATGATGATCTACAACAAATTTGATTTAGATTACTGTAGCTGTGATGCGGATAAAGGTTGATCATGAAAATATGGCGACCAATGAACTTGGACTGTCAAAACAAAATTCATAGTAATGCATTTGTATCCTGGTTTCATAGAAGTGAACCAAAAGAGGACAGAGCTTAAAACCAAAATTGGATGGTCCTGATCTTCAGGCCCTCAGACTGCACTGCATTAAAACAGACTGGACTCTTGAGTGGAATTCACTGCATGGGTTCAAAATCACTTCAAAAACCATTGACTGTGAATACAGTTCCTTACTGTATCCATGGATGAGGTTCAAACTGAACCATGCAAAGAGAAAACCAGATAGAAACAGGATCCAGGAACACCAGAGACTTCTCTTGACCTGAGCCCATTTAAGGTGGACCGAGAGGAAGAGGAAAACTGTCAAGATCTGGAATTCTTTTTGCATATCATGGAGCATTTGTTCAAAAGTGTAGAAGGACTACCTGACTTGCTCTCAGTTCACAGTCCCTGGGTTCCCCGGGATCTCTGGATCTCTCTTTGAGTTTCTATGAAGACTGTTGTTGTCAGACTCTCCTTCTTTCAAGAATTTATTTAAAAAGAAAGACAAGTACTTGATTTTGAGTGACTTTTTCTTTGAAGAAACGAAAAATTTCTAAAACAACCCAATAAACACCTCTTTTAAACAAGAATGACTTATGACAAGGGCTGAGGAACAAGCAAAGTTACATGAGAAGTCTATTTGCTTTCCAATAAAAAACTTGAACAAAAACACTCAATTTTTCTTGATGACATGGTAATGGCATGATTACTAGAGATGAGGGAACTATTAATGACACTTTTAGAAGTTATTTTTCATCTTTGAATAAATCGGAATATCAGGCCAAACATTAAGATTGAAATAATTTCTTCAATAATTCAATTTTGCCAAAGTTGAGGAAAGAAAATTAATGAAACTTAAGTTTACTTCATAATAATTATACATTTTTGCAAAAATATTAACAAAATGGCTAGATGAAACTGTTCCAAATTTCATTCATGTGGATCAAATTGACTCTTTGTGAGCAGCTTCTATCTGATAATAATTCTATTCTGAAAATAGTTCTGATTCTGATTGATATGCAAAGTCTCTTGCAGACCATGCAGCTCTCTTCAGCATTTAGTAGGAGCAATATCGCTGGACACTGAGAAAGCTTGTGATCGAACTGAATGGTCGTACCTGTTTGAGATGCTCTCCAAATATGGTTTTGGTCCAAAAGCTTACAGTGGATCAGAGCACTTTATCAGGAACCTGTTTCAGCTCCTTCCAATGATGGCATTCTACTAGAGAAAACTGTCCTCGATCCCCTTTACTCTTTATTTTAGTTGTTGGCATGTACTATCTGACAAGACAAAGAAAATACAGGCATGGCTTTACTTTTCATCCAATTTATTTTGTTAACTAAAAGGCTGCTAAATGACTAAATAATTTCTGAAAGTCTTAGTATAGAGTTGGAGGGTTTGGCCAAAGTCAATAAAATGTCATCCAGATACATATTCCATTTGAAATCATAACCCCCCCAAGAATAATTCCAGGCAAAATAAATATTCTTATTTACTATTGTGAATTCTTATTTACTTAAATGTCAAACCTCTATCAAATACCATAAAGGGATACCTCAAAGATGATCTGCTCTGCCTCTGTCCTTACAGGGTTGGGCAGAAGTGCTAAACATTAACATGTTCCCAAGATTAAATTTCTTAGTGTCCTGTATTCCTTTGTTTATTCAGAAATCTTTGTTTGATAATATCAAAAGAATGTTCTCCTCTTTATGGAACACCAAGAAGCTTAGAATATTTTTGAGAGATTAACCCTCCCAAAAGACTTTGAACCTGATGTTTATTTGTGTTGTCTTGCATTTAATACCGGGCTTTCATTTCTTTAAATTTCCCAAAGAATATTTTGATTATAATTATGACACTGACAAAAAATATGCAGACTTTTATCATCAAACAGAGGAGCAGTCTCAAGTTTATATAAGTTGCTGTGTCATGCCTCCCCAAACCAGAACTCAAAGACAGAGTCACAATGGGAACTTGATTCAGGGGTCAAATGTACTTCTGAAGAGTGTGGAAAACATTAGGCATGACATAAAAACAACCTCAAAATCTCTCTGAAGGAGAGTAATACAGCTGAAAATTCTCCATAGAGCTGAAAGCTGATCTATGCCTGTGTAGGGCAATTTGGACCATTTGAATGAATTGAATATTTACTTAAGTATGAGCATGCCCTGATCTCTCCTACTTGTGGTGTTGTTGTTAATATATAACTGCTGTCTGAACCTGTTTTTATTGTTGTAATACAAATAAATTTTGAAAAGGAAAAAAAAAAAAGAAACAGTGGAGGGCCGTACAGTCTATGATGCCGACTGAAAGAAGACTAAGAGGAGGGCGGAACATTCGGTTGTCGCAGCTCCGACTACGGAATTGTATTGGTATGACACACGAAGGAAGTAAACGAGAAGCGTGGCTTTTTTAAAGAAGCTGAGATATCTGAGGACAATCCAGTTTTTACAGCGCAACCTTCTTAACAATCTGTTACGAACCAACGATGTCTGTAGCTGAATCTCTCCGAGAGTTTGTGACCGAGCGGCTCGCTGCTGCTACTGAAGACATTTTGGGAGTTTTTAACAGAACTGTGGTCCAGTACGAGGAAGAGCTGGACCGTCAACGCAGACTGCTGGATTTGGTCTGGAAACCTCACATTCACTTACACAGAATCGGTAAGAAAAGACAAGTTTAGACTGAATAATGAAGCAGAAGCTCGGTTTAAATCAAGGCTGCCTCTCCTCTCGGTTTCCATGTATTAATACTGTGAATAAAGACGGAGGAACAACCCTGTCTTAGTTCAACAATAACTGTGCTATGTTAATGTGGTGCTATTGTGTCAGTCGTTAAGCCTTAATCTGCCGTTATCAAAGAGAGAGGAAGAGAGTCCGCGGGACACTCTCGATCGTTGACCACGTCCTCTGTTGTTACCGCGAGCTGTTATAATGATCTGGTATTAAAACTCATCATGTGTACAGAAAACGGGAAAGAAGTGTAAACCTAAGAATGGCAGACATGTGTGTGTTGTTGGGAAAGGGTGGTTTACTATCACCTTACGGGGTAGTTTTACGTCCAACTTATTTGACTCCTACTGGAAGGCCTTAAGTGACTCCTGTACACAAAGCTGAGCCCCTTGAGTTCATCACATATCCCCCTGTGTGTCTTTTGTTTGTACAGATCCAAAACAGTTTCGCCTCTGTGTGCTCTGTTAATACTATGTTAACTAATTTCCATTGTGATGCTCCTGCAGTACAAAATGTTTAAAAGTGCCTGCTGGATGTGCTTACAAGATGACGACAAAGTACCTTTTGATTGCTTTTGTAGTTGAGAAATGTAGACAGAATGCCTTCTGCCTTCTGACTTTAGTTTTGTGATCTCAGACAAATGTAGATGCCCAGTGCACAGCACCATCAGTCCTTTTCACTTTGTGCAGAGGAAGACAGGTTAAGCAGATCCACCTCACAAATGAGGACTGAATCGCTTCTTTTAATGTAATCCTCAGTTTCACACAGCTCACACAAAAGGGCTTCATCAGGTTTTCCTGACCAGTCCACTACACTGATGTTTTACACAAAACCACAGACACACTGAGTGAAGTTGGTTCTTTCTCTCATGTTGACTTGGTCTCATATTTTGTGACTTCATCCATGTAATATAACTGCTATATTCTCATAAAGTAATATTAGTCTTAAATACATTTTATTATCTTGATTTTACTCATTCTCTTAATGTTACAACTTTTCTTACTACTTTTTACTTCATAGTATTAAAACTTAAAACATTTTTACATTGTATTGAAAATTGTATATGTCATTTATCTTGCTAGAGTCTATCAGTTTTGTACCTCAATTCTTAAACCTTTTCAACTGAATTGCTGTTGAATGTTACAACTCTGTCCTTAAAATATTACATCTTTCTCATAAACATTCCTCAGATTTTGCTCTTTCAAATACAATATAGTGATTCCAATTCTCTGTTTTCTGTCTCATCTCAGTGACATATTTCTGCTTCTGTGTTCCTGCAGATCTTCCACAACAACATGACTGTGAGGAGGACAAGGTTGTCTCAGACCCGCAGCCCTGGAACCAGGAGAGGAACTCCAGTCCGGACCAAGAGGATCCAGAGCCTCTACAGATTAAAGATGAAGAGGAGGAATTCTGCACCAGTCAGGACAGAGAGCAGCTTGAACCAAAGCAGGAGACTGAACACTTGATGTTAACTCAAACCTGTCGGGAAAGTGAGAACACTGAACCAGAAGTAAGGAAGGAAGACCAGTTCCTTTCTCACAACTCTTGTGAGGCTGCAAACCAAGATCCAGAGAAAGACAAGCTCACAGAGCCAGAGTCAACTTCAAAATCAGAACAACACCCCCCAAAAAAAGTTCACAAAAGAAGTCAGAAGACAAAACAGCCTAAGGTTCACTGTGATCCTCAACAAGGGGAAAAGACTTTTAAATGTGACACAAATAGGGAAACATTTACCAGCAATTCAAATTCACAGACATCTCAAAGTGTTTTCACTGGTAAGAAGAAGCATATTTGTGAGAGGTGTGGGAAAATATTCAGAGACAAATGTTTGCTTAAAAAACATGCAAGATCACACACAGGTGAGAGACCGTACTCCTGTAATACATGTGGGAAGAGCTTCACTTCTAATTCAGATTTAAAAAAGCATATGCAAATTCACTCAGAAGAAAAGCTGTTCACCTGCAAAACATGCAGCAAATCTTTTAACAGAAAAAATAACCTGAAACTGCACATGAGAACACACACAGGTGAGAGACCGTACACCTGTAACACATGTGGGAAAAGCTTTGGTTGGAATTCAAATTTAAAAATACACATGCTAATTCACTCAGGAGAAGAGATGTTCACTTGCAAAACATGCAGCAAAAATTTCAAGTGTTCATATACACTGAGAAGGCACATGAGAACACACACAGGTGAGAAACCATACACCTGTGAAACATGTGGGAAGAACTTCACTTACAATTCATATTTAAAAAAGCACATCCTTATTCACTCAAAAGAAAAGCTGTTCACCTGCAAAAGGTGCAGCAAATCTTTTAACAGGGAGGATTATCTCAAACTGCACATGAAAACACACACAGGTGAGAGACCCTACACCTGTAACACATGTGGGAAGAGGTTCGGTTGGAATTCAAATTTAAAAACACACATGCTTATTCACTCAGGAGAAAAGCTGTTCACCTGCAAAAGGTGCAGCAAATCTTTTAACAGGAAGGATCATCTCAAACTGCACATGAGAACACACACAGGTGAGAGACCATTCACCTGTAGTACATGTGGGAAAAGCTTCAGTCAGAATTCAACTTTAAAAACACACATGCTAATTCACTCAGGGGAAGAGATGTTCACTTGCAAAACATGCAGCAAAATTTTTAAGTGTTCATATAGACTGAGAATGCACATGAGAACACACACAGGTGAGACACACAAGTCTCTTGCAGACCATGCAGCTCTCTTCAGCATTTAGTAGGAGCAATATCACTGGATACTGAGAAAGCTTGTGATCGAACTGAATGGTCGTACCTGTTTGAGATGCTCTCCAAATATGGTTTTGGTCAAAAAGCATACAGTGGATCAGAGCACTTTATCAGGAACCTGTTTCAGCTCCTTTCAATGATGGCGTTCTACTAGAGAAGGCTTTCCTCGATACCCTTGACTCTTTATTTCAGCCTTAGAACTGTTGGCATGTGCTATCTGACAAGACAAAGAAAATACAGGCATGGCTTTACTTTTCATCCACTTTATTTTGTTAACTAAAAGGCTGCTAAATGACTAAATAATTTCTGATAGTCTTAGTATAGAGTTGGAGGGTTTGGCCAAAGTCAATAAAATGTCATCCAGATACATATTCCATTTGAAATCATAACCCCCCCAAAAATAATTCCAGGCAAAATAAATATTCTTATTTACTATTGTGATTTCTTATTTACTTAAATGTCAAACCTCTATTAAATACCATAAAGGGATACCTTAAAAGATGATCTGCTCTGCCTCTGTCCTTATAAGGTAGGGCAGAAGTGCTAAACATCAACATGTTCCCAAGATTAAATTTCTTAGGGTCCTCTATTCCTTTGTTTATTCAGAAATCTTTGTTTGATAATATCAAAAGAATGTTCTCCTCTTTATGGAACACCAAGAAGCTTAGAATATTTTTGAGAGATTCACCCTCCCAAGAGACTTTGAACCTGATGTTTATTTGTGTTGTCTTGCATTTAATACCGGGCTTTCATTTCTTTAAATTTCCCAAAGAATATTTTGATTATAATTATGACACTGACAAAAAATATGCAGACTTTTATCATCAAACAGAGGAGCAGTCTCAAGTTTATATAAGTTGCTGTGTCATGCCTCCCCAAACCAGAACTCAAACACAGAGTCACAATGGGAACTTGATTCAGGGGTCAAATGTACTTCTGAAGATTGTGGAAAACATTAGGCATGACATAAAAACAACCTCAAAATCTCTCTGAAGGAGAGTAATACAGCTGAAAATTCTTCATAGAGCATTATAGAGCTGAAAGCTGATCTATGCCTGTGTAGGGCAATTTGGACCATTTGAATGAATGGAATATTTACTTAAGTATGAGCATGCCCTGATCTCTCCTACTTGTGGTGTTGTTGTTAATATATAATTGCTGTCTGAACCTGTTTTTATTGTTGTAATACAAAAATATTAAAACTTTGAATTAAAAATTTTGAAAAGGAAAAAAAAAAAGAAACAGTGGAGGGCCGTACAGTCTATGATGCCGACTGAAAGAAGACTAAGAGGAGGGCGGAACATTCGGTTGTCGCAGCTCCGACTACGGAATTGTATTGGTGTGACACACGAAGGAAGTAAACGAGAAGCGTGGCTTTTTTAAAGAAGCTGAGATATCTGAGGACAATCCAGTTTTTACAGCGCAACCTTCTTAACAATCTGCAACGAGCCAACGATGTCTGTAGCTGAATCTCTCCGAGAGTTTGTGACCGAGCGGCTCGCTGCTGCTACTGAAGACATTTTGGGAGTTTTTAACAGAACTGTGGTCCAGTACGAGGAAGAGCTGGACCGTCAACGCAGACTGCTGCATTTGGTCTGGAAACCTCGCATTCACTTACACAGAATCGGTAAGAAAAGACAAGTTTAGACTGAATAATGAAGCAGAAGCTCGGTTTAAATCAAGGCTGCCTCTCCTCTCGGTTTCCATGTATTAATACTGTGAATAAAGACGGAGGAACAACCCTGTCTTAGTTCAACAATAACTGTGCTATGTTAATGTGGTGCTATTGTTTTAGTCGTTAATCCTTAATATGCCGTTATCAAAGAGAGAGGAAGAGAGTCCGCGGGACACTCTCGATCGTTGACCACGTCCTCTGTTGTTACCGCGAGCTGTTATAATGATCTGGTATTAAAACTCATCATGTGTACAGAAAACGGGAAAGAAGTGTAAACCTAAGAATGGCAGACATGTGTGTGTTGTTGGGAAAGGGTGGTTTACTATCACCTTACGGGGTAGTTTTACGTCCAACTTATTTGACTCCTACTGGAAGGCCTTAAGTGACTCCTGTACACAAAGCTGAGCCCCTTGAGTTCATCACATATCCCCCTGTGTGTCTTTTGTTTGTACAGATCCAAACCAGTTTCGCCTCTGTGTGCTCTGTTAATACTATGTTAACTAATTTCCATTGTGATGCTCCTGCAGTACAAAATGTTTAAAAGTGCCTACTGGATGTGCTTACAAGATGACAACAAAGTACCTTTTGATTGCTTTTGTAGTTGAGAAATGTAGACAGAATGCCTTCTGCCTTCTCACAAATGAGGACTGAATCGCTTCTTTTAATGTAATCCTCAATTTCACACAGCTCACACAAAAGGGCTTCATCAGGTTTTCCTGACCAGTCCACTACACTGATGCTTTAAACAAGACCACCGACACACTGAGTGAAGTTGGTTCTTTCTCTCATGTTGACTTGGTCTCATATTTTGTGACTTCATCCATGTAGTATAACTGCTATATTCTGATAAAGTAATATTCGTCTTTAATACGTTTTATAATCTTGATTTTACTCATTCTCTTTATGTTACAACTTATCTTATTACTTTTTACTTCATAGTATTAAAACTTAAAACAGTTTTACATTGTGTTGAAATTGTATATGTCATTTATCTTGCTAGAGTCTATCAGTTATGTACCTCAATTCTTAAACCTTTCAACTGAATTGTGTTGAATGTTACAACTCTGTCCTTAAAATATTACATCTTTCTCATAAACATTCCTTAGATTTTGCTCTTTCAAATACAATATAGTGATTCCAATTCTCTGTTTTCTGTCTCATCTCAGTGACATATTTCTGCTTCTGTGCTCCTGCAGATCTTCCACAACAACATGACTGTGAGGAGGACAAGGTTGTCTCAGACCTGCAGCCCTGGAACCAGGAGAGGAACTCCAGTCCGGACCAAGAGGATCCAGAGCCCTTACAGATTAAAGATGAAGAGGAGGAATTCTGCACTGGTCAGGACAGAGAGCAGCTTGAACCAAAGCAGGAGACTGATCACTCTATGTATACTCAAACCTGTCAGGAAGGTGAGAACACTGAAGCAGAAGTAAGGAAGGAAGACCAGTTCCTTTCTCACAACTCTTGTGAGGCTGCAAACCAAGATCCAGAGAAAGACAAGCTCACAGAGCCAGAGTCAACTTCAAAATCAGAACAACACCCTCCAAAAAAAGCTCACAAAAGAAGTCAGAAGACAAAACAGCCTAAGGTTCACTGTGATCCTCAACAAGGTGAAAAGACTTTTAAATGTGACACAAATAGGGAAACTCTTACGAGCAATTCAAATTCACAGACACATCTGAGTGTTCCCACTGGTAAGAAGAAGCATATTTGTGAGTGGTGTGGGAAAATATTCAGAGACACATGTTTGCTTAAAAAACATGCAAGATCACACACAGGTGAGAGACCATACTCCTGTAACACATGTGGGAAGAGCTTCACTTCTAATTCATATTTAAATAAGCATATGCAAATTCACTCAGGAGAAAAGTTGTTCACCTGCGAAACATGCAGCAAATCTTTTAACAAAAAAAATTACCTGACACTGCACATGAGAACGCACACAGGTGAGAAACCGTACACCTGTAGTACATGTGGGAAAAGCTTTGGTCGGAATTCAACTTTAAAAATACACATGCGAACTCACTCAGGAGAAGAGATGTTCACTTGCAAAACATGCAGCAAAAATTATACGTGTTCATATAGACTGAGAAGGCACATGAGAACACACACAGGTGAGAAACCATACACTTGTTGCACTTGTGGGAAGAGCTTCATTTTTAATTCAGTTTTAAAAAATCACATGCTGATTCACTCAGAAGAAAAGCTGTTCACCTGTGAAACATGCAGCAAATCGTTTTACTGGAAATTTCAACTACAACGGCACATGAGAACACACACAGGTGAGAGACCGTACTCCTGTAATACATGTGGGAAGAACTTCACTGCTAATTCAGATTTAAAAAAGCACATCCTTATTCACTCAAAAGAAAAGCTGGTCACCTGCAAAAGGTGCAGCAAATCTTTTAACAGGAAGGATCATCTCAAACTGCACATGAGAACACACACAGGTGAGAGACCGTACTCCTGTGGCACGTGTGGAAAGAGCTTCTCTGCAAATTCAGATTTAAAAAGGCACATCCTTGTTCACTCAAAATAAAAGACTGTTCACCTGCAAAACATGCAACAAATCTTTTAGCAGAAAAGTAACCTAATTCTGCACCTAAGAACACACACAGGTGAGAGACCCTTCACCTGTAACTCGGCCTGTCACGATAACAAATTTTGCTGGTCGATAATTGTGCTACAAATTATTGCCGATAAACGATATTATTGACACCGTTTTTTAAATTATAGATAATGATAAATTATGGCATAATAATGCAAGTACACCATGTCAAAAGCGATAAACTAATTGCTCATGATTAAGAACTTTGAACTAGGATGAACAAATATAATAAACAAACAAGACAACCAAAAAACAATGAAAATAAAATGGTCCCACATTCTGTTTTATCAAAAACTGCATTCAAATAGAAACCCCAATCACAACTACAAACAATAAAAAAATAGACCTTGTCTCTGGTACGGAACAAAAACTTCACTCCACACATAACTATTAAAATAAAAAATAAAGTGGAGTCTCGAGTCTGTAAACAAAATTGCACTAAATAATTAGCTTTGGGTGCTATTCCTCAACAGGTCAACAAAGAACATGCATGCGCACCTCAAGCCCAATCATGATTGGGCTTGAGGTGCGCATGGTTGTTTGTCGTATTCCCCTTCTTTGTCACCAAAACTTTCGAATAAAGGCGACATATCGTCCTTGTTCGTGGGCTCACCTCTTTCATTTTATTTGAAACCGAAATGTTCTCACACTGGGGCTGTTGCATTGGGCTTAGACACCAAAGCTATTGTTTTATCATTCATTGCGTTTGCGCCGCACTGTGTCAGTAAGTCTGTGTGTGTGTGTGTGTGTGTGTGTGCACCAGCTCCCCCCCCACCGTGACAAAGAGACTGAATGACTGACAGGAGGGTTCACTCACTGCGTTCATTCCGCTATCGAACCAACGCACCCAGGTGTGAGACCTCTTCTCTCATCCAGCGTGTTTGGTAGCGAGAGAGGAGGAAAACAAACCCACGTTAATTATCGAGGCTGGCAAAATTACCGACCTCGTTTTTATTTACCGAGCGATAAGGCGATTTATTGATTATCGCGACAGGCCTACCTGTAACACGTGGGAAGAGATTCGGTTGGAATACAAGTTTAAAAAGCACATGCTTATTCACTCAAGATAAAAGCTTTTCACCTGCAAGACTTGCAACCAATCTTTTTACTGGAAAGCTTAATTAAGACTGCACATGAGAATACACACAGGTGAGAGACTGTACAGCTGTAGTACATGTTGGGAAAAGGTTTGTTGAAAAACACACTTAGATCGTCACACCCAAAACCATATAGGTATAAAGCCTGTTGTGCTTAATGGAAACCATTCGGCAGGAAGATTTCTTTAGATGGTCACATAAGAACCCACACAGGTAAAATGTGTCAGGTCTGTCGGATACAGCAGGAAATTCCATCAAAAAGTGCAACAGAAGTTGGTGACTGAAATTAGAAGCAAATGTCATGGTGTGAAGTCAGAATATCGTTGGAGTTTATGTGAACTGGATTCTCTGTTCTCTGCAAGGTCAACGTTACACAAGACATGTTAGAGGGATGAGGTCTCGGCTCATAAAATACCATCTGTGTGTTCAGTTATTCTGACAGTTAAGATACATTTCACTGTGGCTTTACCTGACTGAAATACTTGTTCTTTTGAGTCCTTATGAGCTACTTTGGTTGGTTGTTTTTTTTTCCAGAATATTTTTATATGTTTATTTGTTGTAATAACTTCTTTATATGATGATCTACAACAAATTTGATTTAGATGACTGTAGCTGTGATACCGATAAGGGTTGATCATGAAAATGTGGCGGCCAATAAACTTGGACTGTGAAAACAAAATTCATAGTAATGCATTTGTATCTTGGTTTCATAGAAGTGAACCAAAAGAGGACAGAGCTTAAAACCTAAATTGGATTGTCCTGATCTTCAGGCCCTCAGACTGCTCTGTATTAAAAACAGACTGGACTCTGGAGTGGAATTCACTGCATGGGTTCAAAATCACTTCAAAAACCATTGACTGTGAATACAGTTTCTTACTGTATCCATGGATGAGGTTCAAACTGAACCATGCAAAGACAAAACCAGATAGAAACAGGAACCAGGAACACCAGAGACTTCACCTGACTACCTGACTTGCTCTCAGTTCACAGTCCCTGGGTTCCCTGGGATCTCTGGATCTCTCTTTGAGTTTCTATGAAGACTGTTGTTGTCAGACTCTCCGTCTTTCAAGAATTTATTTACAAAGAAAGACAAGTACTTGGCTCTGAGTGTTTTTTCTTTGAAGAAATGAAAAATTTCCAAAACAACCCAATAAACACCTCTTTTAAACAAGAATGACTTATGACAACGACTGAGGCACAAGCAATGTTACATGAGAAGTCTATTTGATTTCCAATAAAAAACTAACAAAAACACTCAATTTTTCTTGATGACATGGTAATAGTATGATTACTAGAGATGAGGGAACTATTAATGACACTTTTAGAAATTATTTTTCATCTTTGTATTAATGGGAATATCAGGCCAAACATCAAGATTTAAATAATTTCTTCAATAATTCAATTTTGCCAAAGTTGAGGAAAGAAAATTAAGGTAACTTAAGTTTACTTCATAATAATTATACATTTTTGCAAAAATATTAACAAAATGGCTGGATGAAACTGTTCAAAATTTCATTCATGTAGATCAAGTTGACTCTTTGTGAGCAGCTTCTATCTGATAATAATTCTATTCTGAAAATAGTTCTGATTCTGATTAATATGCAAAGTCTCTTGGGAACCATGCAGCTCTCTTCAGCATTCAGTAGGAGCAATACCATTGGACACAGAGAAAGCTTGTGATCGAACTGAATGGTCGTACCTGTTTGAGATGCTCTCCAGATATGGTTTTGGTCCAAAAGCTTACAGTGGATCAGAGCACTTAACAGGAACCTGTTTCAGCTTCTCTCAATGATGGCGTTCTACAAGAGAAGATTGTCCTCGATCCCCTTTACTCTTTATTTCAGCTGTTGGCATGTGCTATCTGACAAGACAAAGAAAATACAGGCATGGCTTTACTTTTCATCGAATTTATTTTGGACCATTTGACAATGAATGGAATATTTACTGAAGTATGAGCATGCCCTGATCTCTCCTACTTGAGGTGTTGTTGTTAATATATAACTTCTGTCTGTTTGTATTTGTCATTGTCTGGACCTGTGGTTATTGTTGTAACACAAAATTATTAAAATTTTGAATTAAAAATTTTGAAAAGGAAAAAAAAAAGAAACAGTGGAGGGCCGTACAGTCTATGATGCCGACTGAAAGGAGACAAAGAGGAGGGCGGAACATTCTGTTGTCGCAGCCCCGCTTACGGAATCGTATTGGTGTGACACAAAGGAAGGAAGTAAACAAGAAGCGGGGCTTTTTTAAAGAAGCTGAGATATCTGAGGACAATCCAGTTTTTACAGCGCAACCTTCTTTTAAATCTGCAACGAACCAACGATGTCTGTAGCTGAATCTCTCCGAGAGTTTGTGACCGAGCGGCTCGCTGCTGCTACTGAAGACATTTTGGGAGTTTTTAACAGAACTGTGGTCCAGTACGAGGAAGAGCTGGACCGTCAACGCAGACTGCTGGATTTGGTTTGGAAACCTCACATTCACTTACACAGAATCGGTAAGAAAAGCCAAGTTTAGACTGAATAATGAAGCAGAAGCTCGGTTTAAATCAGGGTTGCCTCTCATCTCGGTTTCCATGTATAAATACTGTGAATAAAGACGGAGGAACAACACTGTCTTAGTTCAACAATAACTGTGCTATGTTAATGTGGTGCTATTGTGTCAGTCGTTCTTAATCTGCCGTTAACGATGAGAGAAAGATCAGAGAGTCCGCAGGACACTCTCGATCGTTGACCTCCTGTTGTTACCGCGAGCTGTTAGAATTGAAAGAATTTGAATACACCTGCTGGTGCTACTTGGACACGTCATCAGTGAAGTAGGGTGTTTTGGGTCTTTAATCTTGATCCCTCATCCGGGCGACCCAGCCGGGGGTGATTAGTCCCCGACTTGTGTCCAAGTGGCTTGATGTTCCACGGATCCCCCCTACGGATCCACAGCCACCGCAAGGCCCTTTCTGCAGCCTCTAGGATGTTTCTGATGGCTTTCTTCAATTGCAGTCCTTTTACTCCAAGGAGTTTGAGGGTTCTCAGAAGTGATTGGCCAGCGAAGCCTCAGCTCCCGACCTCAACTGGCTCACAGCGGGTTTTCCAGCCATTGTTCCAGCACTCTGTGCTGACCTCTGCATACTTGGCTCTCTTGCGTTCGTGGGCCTCTTCGAATCTGTCTTCCCAGGGGACTGTCAGTTCCAGGATAACTACTTGTTTGGTGGACTCCAATGTTAGTACCACATCTGGGCGGAGAGAAGTAGTTGTGATGTTGGCTGGGAACTTGAGCTGTCTTCCGAGGTTGACTTGAAGCTGCCAATCACGAGTGGTGGTGAGGAGCCCCCCTGTAGAGTTGGGATGATGATGTTGTGCCCTCTGCCCTGCTCTAATGAATGTGATTGCCTGTTTGGGGGCTGCCTGGGTCTTGCTGTGCTGGATCGCTGTGCTGATGGTTTCTGCCAAAGCTTTTCGGACTTGGTCATGGCGCCATCGGTACCGCCCCTCTCCTAGCGCTTTCGGGCAGCAGCTCAAGATGTGCTCCAGGGTGCCCCTCTTCTGGCACAGTTTGCACTCGGGAGTGTCTACCAGTCCCCAGGTATGTAGGTTGGCCGGGCTGGGGAGGACGTCATACACTGACTGGATGAGAAACTTGGTGCGAGATGGTTCTGCTTTCCAGAGCTCTGCCCAGGTGATTCTGCGGGAATCAGCCTGCTCCCACCTGGTCCACGCTCCTTGTTTGGACATGCCAGTGATCTTACTGCTGCGTTCTTCCTCCACCTCTGCACGTATCTCGTCCTGGATCAGTCGGCGCTTCTCCTCTCCACAGGCCAGATCATAACGCGGCTTTGGAAAGGAACCAAGACCTGCTCGTCCCGTTGCCACAGAGCCCACCAGCACTTTATGCCTCAGTCGCACCTCGGCTTTAGTGACGGCTTCTTGTGCCCGCCACTTCCTCACGGTTTTCACGAGGATTCCTGCTGCTGCGACTTTGGTGTCTGCGGAGTCCCTGTACATCATCACCTCTCTGGAACGGGTGACTATAAATTCCTCTGTTAGTCCACTAAAGGGAAGGTGCAGCTTGTTGGAATGGCCGTACAGGGCGATGCTGCTTAAGGACCGAGGGAGCCCCAGCCATCTCCTGAGAAACTGGCTGATGGACTTCTCTAGAGCCTCTACCGTTGTTATAAGTACTTCGTAGACTAACAGGGGCCAGAGTATTCTTGGCAGGACCTCATGCTGGTAGATCCAGGCTTTGAATTTTCCAGGGAGGCCAGATTTGTCAACCGCTGTGAGCCAGGTGGAAAGCTCACTCTTGGTTTGCTGTATGGCAGCTGAGTCCTTCAGGGAGCTGTCGAAGATCTTGCCCAGACTCTTGACCGGTTTCTCTGTCACTGATGGGATCCCGGTCTCTCCCAGGGCAAAGCGGAACTGGTCAGACACTTTACCCTTTTTCAGGACCAGGGACCTGGACTTAGCGGGCTTGAAGCTCATCCTTGCCCAGGAGATGAGCCGTTCAAGCCCCTGAAGAAGCCACCTGCACCCTGGAACAGATGTTGTTGTCACCGTTTAGTCATCCATAAAGGCTCTTATGGGGGGCTGCCGAGTCCCAGATCTTGATTTGGGCCCTCTGCATTCCACTTCGGCAGACTTAACGATCCAGTTCATGGCCAGTGAGAAGAGGGTTACCGATATGGTGCAGCCGGTGATTATCCCTTTCTCGAGGCGATGCCAGGCAGATGTTACTTGGCCTGAAGAGACTCGTGCGCTGAATTTGTCGTAATAGTCCATGATGAGTTTGCGGATTTTGTCTGGAACAAAAGGAGGAGGAAGTTTGTCAGACGTTGGGACACGATCTTGAAAAAGATCTTGCTCTCGACACTGAGCAGCGAGATGATGCGAAACTGCTCAATTTTGCAAGAGCCCTCCTCCTTCAGGATCCAGACTCCCTCAGCATACCTCCATTGTGCAGCGACCTTCCCTCTCCGCCAGATCACCCTCAGGATCTTCCAGAGATGTTTGAGGAGCTGTGGGCACTGTTTGCAGACTTTGTAGGGAACACCGCTGGGGCCAGGAGCAGAACTGGATCTCGCAGCTCTGACAGCTTCCTCTACCTCCTTCAGGGTGGGTTCAGCGCTGTTGAATTGGGTCCCTGGTTTTGGTGGTTCCACCAGTTCCCTACAAGGTCCGAGCTCGTGGTCCCTCATGGCGTCACTGAAGGTGGCGTGGAGATGATGGTCGATCTCCTCTACAGGGCAAGCGAGGTGGCCGCTTCACTTCTGGCCCAGTAGTTTCTTGGTTATAATGATCTGGTACTAAAACTCATCATGTGTACAGAAAACGGGAAAGAAGTGTAAACCTAAGAATGGCAGACATGTGTGTGTTGTTGGGAAAGGGTGGTTTACTATCACCTTACGGGGTAGTTTTACTTCCAACTTATTTGACTCCTACTGGAAGGCCTTAAGTGACTCCTGTACACAAAGCTGAGCCCCTTGAGTTCATCACGTATCCCCCTGGGTGACTTTTGTTTGTACAGATCTAAACCAGTTTCGCCTCTGTGTGCTCAGTTAATACTATGTTAACTAATTTCCATTATGATGCTCCTGTAGTACAAAATGTTTAAAAGTGCCTGCTGGATGTGCTTACAAGATGACGACAAAGTACCTTTTGATTGCTTTTGTAGTTGAGAAATGTAGACAGAATGCCTTCTGCCTTCTGACTTTAGTTTTGTGATCTCAGACAAAAGTAGATGCCCAGTGCACAGCACCATCAGTCCTTTTCACTTTGTGCAGAGGAAGACAGGTTAAGCAGATTCACCTCACAAATGAGGACTGAATCGCTTCTTCTTAGTTTCACACAGCTCACACAAAAGGGCTTCATCAGGTTTTCCTGACCAGTCCACTACACTGATGGTTTTAACAAGACCACAGACACACTGAGTGAAGTTGGTTCTTTCTCTCATGTTGACTTGGTCTCATATTATACTTTATTTTGACTGTATTTATGTAATATAACTGCTATATTCTCATAAAGTAATATTAGTCTTTAATACGTTTTATAATCTTGATTTTACTCATTCTCTTTGTTACAACTCATCTTACTACTCTTTTCCGCATAGTATTAAAACTTATTTTACATTGTGTTGAAATTGTATATGTCATTTATCTTGCTAGAGTCTATCAGTTTTGTACCTCAATTCTTAAACCTTTTCAACTGAATTGTGTTGAATGTTACAACTCTGTCCTTAAAATATTGCATCTTTCTCATAAACATTCCTCAGATTTTGCTCTTTCAAATACAATATAGTGATTCCAATTCTCTGTTTTCTGTCCCATCTCAGTGACATATTTCTGCTTCTGTGCTCCTGCAGATCTTCCACAACAACATGACTGTGAGGAGGACGAGGTTGTCTCAGACCTGCAGCCTTGGAACCAGGAGAGGAACTCCAGTCTGGACCAAGAGGATCCAGAGCCTCTACAGATTAAAGATGAAGAGGAGGAATTCTGCACCAGTCAGGAGAGAGAGCAGCTTGAACCAAAGCAGGAGACTGAACACTTGATGTTAACTCAAACCTCTCAGGAAAGTGAGAACACTGAAGCAGAAGTAAGGAAGGAAGACCAGTTCCTTTCTCACAACTCTTGTGAGGCTGCAAACCAAGATCCAGAGAAAGACAAGCTCACAGAGTCAGAATCAACTTCAAAATCAGAACAACACCCCCCAAAAAAAGTTCACAAAAGAAGTCAGAAGACAAAACAGCCTAAGGTTCACTGTGATCCTCAACAAGGTGAAAAGACTTTTAAATGTGACACAAATAGGGAAACTCTTACGAGCAATTCAAATTCACAGACACATGTAAGTGTTTTCACTGGTAAGAAGAAGCATATTTGTGAGTGGTGTGGGAAAATATTCAGAGAAAAATGTTTGCTTAAAAAACATGCAAGATCACACACAGGTGAGAGACCATACTCCTGTGGCACTTGTGGGAAGAGCTTCATTTTTAATTCATATTTAAATAAGCATATGCAAATTCACTCAGGAGAAAAGTTGTTCACCTGCAAAACATGCAGCAAATCTTTTAACAGAAAAAATAACCTAAAACTGCACATGAGAACACACACAGGTGAGAGACCGTACACCTGTAACACTTGTGGGAAAAGCTTTGGTCGGAGTTCAACTTTAAAAACACACATGCTAACTCACTCAGCAGAAGAGATGTTCACTTGCAAAACATGCAGCAAAAATTTTAAGTGTTCATATAGACTGAGAATGCACATGAGAACACACACAGGTGAGAAACCATACACTTGTTGCACTTGTGGGAAGAGCTTCATTTTTAATTCAGTTTTAAAAAATCACATGCTGATTCACTCAGAAGAAAAGCTGTTCACCTGTGGAACATGCAGCAAATCTTTTCACAGAAAAGGTACCCTAAAACTGCACATGAGAACACACACAGGTGAGAGACCGTACTCCTGTAACACATGTGGTAAGAGCTTCACTGTGAATTCAAATTTAAAAAAGCACCTGCTAATTCACTCAGGAGAAAAGCTTTTCACCTGCAAGACATGCAGCAGATCTTTTATCCGTATAGATAAACTGAGAACGCACATGAGAACACACACAGGTGAGAGACCACACTCCTGTGGCACGTGTGGGAAAAGCTTCTCTACCATTTCATATTTAAAAAAGCACATCCTTATTCACTCAAAAGAAAACCTGTTCACCTGCAAAAGGTGCAGCAAATCTTTTAACAGGAAGGATCATCTAAAACTGCACATGAGAACACACACAGGTGAGAGACCGTACTCCTGTAACACATGTGGGAAGAGCTTCACTTGTAATTCAGATTTAAATAAGCATACCCCAATTCATTCAGGAGAAAAGCTTTTCACCTGCAAGACATGCAGCAGATCTTTTATCCGTTCAGATAAACTGAGATTGCACATGAGAACACACACAGGTGAGAGACCGTACTCCTGTGGCACGTGTGGAAAGAGCTTCTCTGCAAATTCAGTTTTAAAAAAGCACATCCTTGTTCACTTAAAAGAAAAGGCTGTTCACCTGCAAAATATGCAACAAATCTGTTAGCAGAAAAGATAACCTAATTCTGCACCTAAGAACACACACAGGTGAGAGACCCTACACCTGTAAAATATGTAAGAAGAGGTTCAGTTGGAATTCAAATTTAAAAAAGCACATGCTTATTCACTCAATATAAACGCTTTTCACCTGCGAAACTTTCAACCAATCTTTTTACTGGAAAGGTCAATTAAGACTGCACATGAGAATACACACAGGTGAGAGACTGTACAGCTGTAGTACATGTGGGGGAAAGTTTTGTTGAAAAACACACTTAGATCGTCACACCCAAAACCATATAGGTATACAGCCTGTTGTGCTTAATGGAAACCATTCGGCAGGAAGATTTCTTTAGATGGTCACATAAGAACCCACACAGGTAAAATGTGTCAGGTCTGTCAGATACAGCAGGAAATTCCATCAAAAAGTGCAACAGTAGCTGGTGACTGAAATTAGAAGCAAATGTCATGGTGTGAAGTCAGAATACCGTTGGAGTTTATGTGAACTGGATTCTCTGTTCTGTGCAAGTTCAACGTTACACAAGATATGTTAGAGGGATGAGGTCTCGGCTCATAAAATACCATCTGTGTGTTCAGTTATTCTGGCAGTTAAGATGTATTTCCCTGTGGCTTTACCTGACTGAAATACTTGTTCTTTTGAGTCCTTATGAGCTACTTTGGTTGGTTGTTTTTTTTCCAGAATATTTTTATATGTTTATTTGTTGTAATAACTTCTTTATATGATGATCTACAACAAATTTGATTTAGATGACTGTAGTTGTGATGCCGATAAAGGTTGATCATGAAAATATGGCGACCAATAAACTTGGACTGTGAAAACAAAATTCATAGTAATGCATTTGTATCCTGGTTTAATAGAAGTGAACCAAAAGAGGACAGAGCTTAAACCCAAAATTGGATGGTCCTGATCTTCAGGCCCTCAGACTGCACTGCATTAAAACAGACTGGACTCTGGAGTGGAATTCACTGCATGGGTTCAAAATCACTTCAAAAACCATCGACTGTGAATACAGTTCCTTACTGTATCCATGGATGAGGTTCAAACTGAACCATGCAAAGAGAAAACCAGATAGAAACAGGATCCAGGAACACCAGAGACTTCTCTTGACCTGAGCCCATTTAAAGTGGACCGAGAGGAAGAGGAAAACTGTCAAGATCTGGAATTCTTTTTGCATATCATGGAGCATTTGTTCAAAAGTGTAGAAGGACTACCTGACTTGCTCTCAGTTCACAGTCCCTGGGTTCCCCGGGATCTCTGGATCTCTCTTTGAGTTTCTATGAAGACTGTTGTTGTCAGACTCTCCTTCTTTCAAGAATTTATTTAAAAAGAAAGACAAGTACTTAGTTTTGAGTGACTTTTTCTTTGAAGAAACGAAAAATTTCTAAAACAACCCAATAAACACCTCTTTTAAACAAGAATGACTTATGACAAGGGCTGAGGAACAAGCAAAGTTACATGAGGAGTCTATTTGCTTTCCAATAAAAAACTAACAAAAACACTCAATTTTTCTTGATGACATGATAATGGTATGATTACTAGAGATCAGGGGGCTATTAATGAGACTTTTAGAAGTTATTTTTCATCTTTGTATTAATGGGAATATCAGGCCAAACATAAAGATTGAAATAATTTCATCAATAATTCAATTTTGCCAAAGTTGAGGAAAGAAAATTAAGGAAACTTAAGTTTACTTCATAATAATTATACATTTTTGCAAAAAATGTTAACAAAATGGCTGGATGAAACTGTTCCAAATTTCATTCATGTGGATCAAGTTGACTCTTTGTGAGCGGCTTCTATCTGATAATAATTCTATTCTGAAAATAGTTCTGATTCTGATTAATATGCAAAGTCTCTTGCAGACCATGCAGCTCTCTCCACCATTCAGTAGGAGCAATACCATTGGACACTTAGAAAGCTTGTGATCGAACTGAATGGTCCTACCTGTTTGAGAAGCTCTCCAGATATGGTTTTGGTCCAAAAGCTTACAGTGGATCAGAGCATTTTATCAGGAACCTGTTTCAGCTCCTTTCAATGATGGCGTTCTACTAGAGAAGACTATCCTCGAGCCCCTTTACTCTTTATTTCAGCTGTTGGCATGTGCTATCTGACAAGACAAAGAAAATACAGGCATGGCTTTACTTTTCATCCAATTTACTTTGTTAACTAAAAGGCTGCTAAATGACTAAATAATTTCTGAAACTCTTAGTATAGAGTTGGAGGGTTTGGCCAAAGTCAATAAAATGTCATCCAGATATATATTCCATTTGAAACCATAACCCCCTAAAAAAAATTCCAGGCAAAATAAAAATTCTTATTTACCATTGTGAATTCTTATGTACTTAAATGCCAAACCTCTATTAAATACCACAAAGGGATACCGTAAAAGATGATCTGCTCTGCCTCTGTCCTTACAGGGTAGGGCAGAAGTGCTCAAGATGGATGTCCTCCCATGATTGAATTTTTTAGTGTCCTCTATTCCTTTGTTTATCCAGAAATCTTGGTTTGATTATATCAAAGGAATTTTCTCCTCTTCCCTACAGAACAACAAGAAACTTGGAATATTTTTGAGAGATTAAACCTCCCAAGAGACTTTGAACCTGATGTTTATTTGTGTTGTCTTGCATTTAATACCAGGCTTTCATTTCTTTAAATTTTCCAAAGAATATTTTGATTAAAATTATGACACTGACAAAAAATATTCAGACTTTTATCACCAAACAGAGGAGCAGTCTCAAGTTTAAATAAGTTGCTGTGTCATGCCTCCCCAAACCAGAACTCAAAGACAGAGTCACAATGGGAACTTGATTCAGGGGTCAAATGTACTTCTGAAAAGTGTGGAAAGCATTAAGTAGTAGAAGTAGAGAAGTAGAGTAATACAACTGAAAATTCTCCATCGAGCCTTATTGAGCTGAAATGTGATCTATCTCTGTGTAGGGCAATTTGGAACGTTTGACAATGAATGGAATATTTACTGAAGTATGAGCATGCCCTGATCTCTCCTACTTGTGGTGTTGCTGTTAATATAAAACCTCTGTCTGTTTGTAATTGTCATTGTCTGGAACTGTGGTTATTGTTGTAACACAAAATTATTAAAACTTTGAATTTAAAGGGGAAAAAAAAAAGAAAGAAACCGTGGAGGGCCGTACAGTCTATGATGCCGACTGAAAGGAGACAAAGAGGAGGGCGGAACATTCGGTTGCCGCAGCTCCGCTTACGGAAATTTATTGGTGTGACACATGAAGGAAGTAAACGTACAGCGTCGGGATTTTTTTTTTTGTAGAAGCTGAGATATCTGAGGACAATCCAGTTTTCACAGCGCAGCTTTCTTAATAGTCTGTAACGAACCAACGATGTCTGTATCCGAATATCTCCGAGAGTTTGTGACCGAGCGGCTCGCTGCTGCTACTGAAGACATTTTGGGAGTTTTTAACAGAACTGTGGTCCAATACGAGGAAGAGCTGGACCGTCAACGCAGACTGCTGGATTTGGTTTGGAAACCTCACATTCACTCCCAAGGAAGAGGTGAGAAAAGCCAAGTGAAGCCAATAATGAAGCAGAAGCTCGGTTTAAATCAGGACCGCCTCTCCTCTCGGTTTCCATGTATAAATCATGTGAATAAAGACGGAGGAACACCCCTGTCTTAGTTCAACAATAACTGTGCTATGTTAATGTGGTGCTATTGTGTCAGTCGTTCTTAATCTGCCGTTAACGATTAGAGGAAGATCAATGAGTCCGCAGTAGTGTAGGTGTCTGCCGAGCCCCTTTGCACCCTTGCTGGACAGAATAGGTCACTGCATGACACATCCACAACCCTCTTTTTAACCGCTGCTCTTCTCTCGAACGTTATTCTCACGAATCGAGCGACGTTATGATCGAGTGTCAAACCCGAATCACATAATTTTTTAGTCATCGATAAAACTGTTCTCTTGAATTTGAAATAATCTTAATGATACAGGCTCCGTTTTTTTTTTGACATTTTCCATGATAGTCTGAGATGCACATCGAATATCGGTCAAGGCCATGCTAACATTAGCTTGTCGTAAGTCGGAAATGTACTATTTGACCCGTAGGCTACTAGCATTGTAGTCAATGAAACAGAAGTGCGATGACAAATAATGTGCACGAGATCGCACATGAAAATAGACGAGAAAAACACTTAAAATATCACATTCACCCAGCTCTGCAGACACGTACTATTGCATTCAGGGGGTCAAAATCATCGCCAAGGAATGAATAGTATAAAAGCGAGGGCAGTCCCTATGATATTGGGATAATATAAGTTGATATTTTGATAGAATAAACCCGAAATGTTATAGGTAGACAGACAATATATGAAAAGATGATAAGTAAAACATTGTGAAATTAATGAAATTTAGATTCATATCTAAATATGTGACTGTGGGCACTTTTTTTTCTTTAAATAACTTTCAAATCGTTGAACGAAGTGGGCAGAGTCCCAAGAACTGAACACTTTCTTCACAAATTTTAAAAAGCTTATTTAGATTCAGTAATAAAATGTGACTGCAGTCACTTATTCATTCATTAACTTGGTTATTAAATCAAATTTCTGGGCACAAAAATGGATCTGGAACAGGGGTTACAAAGAGGGTTGTGGATCTGCTTGGCTCTCTGGCTCTGCAGACACGTAATATTGCAGGGGGACACTCCCGGAAGTTGAACCCTAAGCCTAAGAATGACAGATGTGTGTGTTGTTAGGAAAAAAGGTGGTTTCTCTATCAATTTACGTGGTACTTTTACGTCCAGCTTATTTGGCTCCTACTGGAAGGCTATTGTTAAGTGACTCCTGTGCACAAAGGTGAGCCCTAGTTCATCACATACCCCCCTGGGTGTCTTTTGTTTGTACAGATGTAAACCAGTTTGGCCTATGTGTGCTCAATTAATGTATACTATGTTAACAAATTTCCATTTTGATGCCCCTGCATCACAAAATGTTTAAAAGTGCCTGCTGGATGTGCTTACAAGATGACGACAAAGTACCCATTGATTGCTTTTGTAGTTGAGAAATGTAGATAGAATGCCTTCTGTCCACCTTTCCTGTTTTAACTGTAAACCAAATACCTTAGGGTGACTGAGTGAATAAATGTAGACAAAGTTCCCTCTGGATGCCCTTGCAGTCTATAAAATGTAGGGATGCACGATATTTATCGGACCGATAGAATATCGGCCGTCATTTTTTATCGGTCCAATAGGTGCATTTTTCCGATAGAAAGATCCGATATATTAATGAAATTACGAGTAACGTTTGCAGGCGGAGTAGCCGCCCGACGCGCCTTACTCGCAGGTCCCAAGCCTGACCCCTGTCACTACCTGACTGATAATAAAATGTCTTCACCAGCATGGTCGTTTTTCTCAGTGGCAGAAGATGACAACAGCTGCTGTATGCAAAACCTGTTCAGCGAGGATTCCGAGAGGCGGAATGAAGACGTCAAGTTTTAACACAACGAATCTGATAGCTCATCTGAAAAGTCGCCATCGCGGCGAAGCGGTATTAAAAGACTATGAGACAGCCGCCGAAGCTGCCAGCGGTACTAAAGCTAAGACAACAACACTACGGAGGATCGATGTCCCCACTCAGCAGGCGTTTGAAAACTGCAAAAGCTTCTCAAGAGACAGCGAAAAGGCTAAAGCCATTAACGACAAAGTGATGGAATTCATAGCGGTCGACGACCAGCCTTTTTCCGTCGTTGAGAACCCGGGTTTTCGTAAGTTCATAGCACACTTGGAGCCACGTTACACTCTCCCAAGCCGCCGCTTCTTCTCGGATGTGTCTCTTCCTGCACTCTCTGATATTGTCGCCACTTACATTCACAACCTGATCGACAAGAACGGACTACACGTGAGTTTTACCACAGACATATTGACGTCAGATGTTAGTCCGGTCAGCATGCTAATCCTAACGTCTCATAATAGCTCCTTTACAGTTTACAGTTCTGTTGAACAGTTCAGGGGATGCACTGTTTTGGTCAAATGAAGTTCTGCTTTTTGCTCTGTTATTGTTATTTATAGCTAATGACCACATATTTTTGTGATGACATGGAAAAAATAAACATTTGAAGAGCCAAAAACTTTAGTTTGTTGTTCTAGATAGGCCAGAGCAACAAAAATATCAGTTTTCAATCACTGCATCCTGCACAAACTGCAGATTATATGAAGATTATAATAAATGTAAAAATATGAATTTATCGGTTATTGGTATCGGCCATGAGAAGAAGAAAATTATCGGTTATCGGTTGAAATTTTTCATATCGTGCATCACTAATAAAATGTAAATCAAGTGTTTTTACTGGGTTATGTGTGTAGTTTTTATGCAAGGATTGTGTGTTACCACATCTTTCCCTCTTGGGATCAGAGTACTATCTATTAATCTAATAATGCTATCACAGTGACTCATGGCAAACAACAGTTGCTCTTTTAATTATTTTTCACCCCTGCCCCTCAAACACTCTGAGTATACCACTTGTGGTATCTGTAAAAACGTATGTCCTCTGCCTTCTGACTTTAGTTTTGTGATCTCAGACAAAAGTAGATGCCCAGTGCACAGCATCATCAGTCCTTTTCACTTTGTGCAGAGGAAGACAGGTTAAGCAGATTCACCTCACAAATGAGGACTGAATTGCTTCTTCTCAGTTTCACACAGCTCACACAAAAGGGCTTCATCAGGTTTTCCTGACCAGTCCACTACACTGATGGTTTTAACAAGACCACAGACACACTGAGTGAAGTTGGTTCTTTCTCTCATGTTGACTTGGTCTCATATTATACTTTATTTTGACTGTATTTATGTAATATAACTGCTATATTCTCATAAAGTAATATTAGTCTTTAATACATTTTATAATCTTGATTTTACTCATTCTCTTTGTTACAACTCATCTTACTACTCTTTTCCGCATAGTATTAAAACTTATTTTGCATTGTGTTGAAAATTGTATATGTCATTTATCTTGCTAGAGTCTATCAGTTTTGTACCTCAATTCTTAAACCTTTTCAACTGAATTGTGTTGAATGTTACAACTCTGTCCTTAAAATATTACATCCTTCTCATAAACATTCCTCAGATTTTGCTCTTTCAAATACAATATAGTGATTCCAATTCTCTGTTTTCTGTCTCATCTCAGTGACATATTTCTGCTTCTGTGTTCCTGCAGATCTTCCACAACAACATGACTGTGAGGAGGACGAGGTTGTCTCAGACCTGCAGCCCTGTAACCAGGAGGGCAACTTCAGTCTGGACCAAGAGGAGATAGAGACTCTACAGATTAAAGAGGAAGAGGAGGAAGTCTGCACCAGTCAGGAGAGAGAGCAGCTTGAACCAGAGCAGGAGACTGAACACTTTATGTATACTCAAACCCGTCAGGAAAGTGAGAACACTGAAGCAGAAGTAAGAAAGGAACGCCAGTTCCTTTCTCACAACTTTCGTAAGGCTGCAAACCAAGATCCAGAGAAAGACAAGCTGACAGAGTCAGAATCAACTTCAAAATCAGAAAAACACGCCCCCAAAAAAGTTCACAAAAGAAGAAATCAGAAGACAAAACAGCCTAAGGTTCACTCTGATCCAAATCACGTAAGATCACACACAGGTGAGAAACCGTACTCCTGTAGCACTTGTGGGAAAAGCTTCAGTTGGAAACCAGATTTAAAAACACACATGCTAATTTACTCAGGAAGAAAGCATTCAATCTGCAAAACATGCAACAAATGTTTTATCAGTACAAGTAGCCTGAGAACGCACATGAGAACACACACAGGTGAGAGACCATACACCTGTGGCACTTGTGGGAAGAGCTTTAGTTTAAACCCAGTTTTGAAAAACCACATGCTAATTCACTCAGGGGAGAAGCTGTTCACCTGTGAAACATGCAACAAATCTTTTTACAGGAAAGATCAACTAAAACTGCACATGAGAACACACACAGGTGAGAAACCGTACACCTGTAGTACATGTGGGAAAAGCTTCGGTCGGAATTCAAATTTAAAAACACACATGCTAATTCACTCAAGAGAAAAGCTGTTCACCTGCAAAACATGCAGCAAAATTTTTACATGTTCATATAGACTGAAAATGCACATGAGAACACACACAGGTGAGAGACCGTACTCCTGTAACACTTGTGGGAAGAGCTTCACTGTGAATTCAAATTTAAAAAAGCACATGCTAATTCACTCTGGAGAAAAGCTGTTCATCTGCAGCACATGCAACAAATCTTTTATTACTACAAATCACCTGAGAACGCACATGAGAACACACACAGGTGAGAAACCGTACTCCTGTAGCACTTGTGGGAAGAGCTTCACTGTGAGTTCAAGTTTAAAAAACCACATGCTAATTCACTCAGGAGAAAAGCTTTTCACATGTGAAACGTGCAACAAATCTTTTATCAGTTCAAGTAAACTGAGAAGCCACATGAGAACACACACAGGTGAGAGACCGTACTCCTGTAGCACCTGTGGGAAGAGGTTCGGTCAGAATTCAAATTTGAAAACACACATGCTTATTCATTCAAGAGAAAAGCTCTTCACCTGCGAACCACAACAAATCTTTTATCCGTACAAGTCACCTGATAATGCACATGGCAGCGCACACTGATGAGAGATTGTACTCCTGTGGCATCTGTGGGGAAAAGTTCTCTCAAAAAACATATTTAGAGCGTCACCCCAATACCATACAGGTAAAAAGCCTGTGGGACCTGTGGGAAATCAATCGGCAGGAAGATTTCTTTAGATGGTCACATAAGAACCCACACAGGTAAAATGTGTCAGGTCTGTCAGATGCAGCAGGAAATTCCATCAAAAAGTGCAACATAAGCTGGTGACTGAAATCAGAAGCAAATGTCATGGTGTGAAGTCAGAATATCATTGGAGTTTATGTGAACTGGATTCTCTGTTCTGTGCAAGTTCAACCATACACAAGACATGTTAGAGGGATGAGGTCTTAGCTAATTTAATACCATCTGTGTGTTTAGTTAATCCGGCAGTTAAGATATATTTCACTGTGACTTTGCCTGACTGAAATACTTGTTCTTTCGAATGTCCTGTTTTTTTTCCTCTGGATGAACAAATATTCTTTTTATTTTACTTATGAGCTACTTTGGTTGGCCGTTTTTTTTTTTCTAGAATATTTGTATCCATTTATTTGTTGTAATATCTTCTTTATATGATGATCTACAACAAATTTGATTTAGATGACTGTAGCTGTGATGCAAATAAAAGTTGATCATGAAAATATGGTGACCAATAAACTTGGACTGTCAAAACAAAATTCATAGTAATGCATTTGTATCCTGGTTTCATAGAAGTCAAACAAAGGAGGACAGAGCTTAAAACCTAAATTGGATGGTCCTGATCTTCAGGCCCTCAGACTGCTCTGTATTAAAAACAGACTGGACTCTGGAGTGGAATTCACTGCATGGGCTCAACATCACTTCAAAAACCCATTGACTGTGAACACAGTTCCTAACTTTATCCACAAATGAGGTTCAAACTGAACCATGCAAAGAGGAAACCAGATTGAAACAGGATCCAGGAACACCAGACACTTCTCTTGACCTGCGTCTATTTAAGATGGACCGAGGGGAAGAGGAAAACTGTCAAGATCTGCTTTTTTTTTGTTTCTGTTCAAAAGAGTATAAGGACTACCTAACTTGCTCTCAGCTCACAGTTCAAATCCAGCATCCCTGGTGGTATGGGGATCATAAGAGTCCATGTCATGGATAGTTTTCACATCTTGCTCCTCAACCTCTACATTTTTAGGCGTCTGAATGGCAGACATCTTCTGCCACTCAGACAATAACTTTGTCAGGGAAGACCTTCATATTTAAGCAAGACAATGACAAACCACATTTTTAGCACCTTGTTACAGTTGACCAACTTTTCCATGTCACTTCATGTCTCCTGATGCTCCCTCTTGGCAGTGTCATCAGGAGACATTGAATCAACTTCCACAACTATGCTGATGATCTGCAGCTCTACATCTCTGTGTCTCCTGATGACACCAGGCCAATGGATGCTTTTTTTAACTGCATTTTAGATATCAAATCCTGGATGGCAGAGAACTTTCTCCAGCTTAACAAGGACAAAACTGAGGTTTTAATTGGTCCTGAGGCCCAGAGAGAGAGACTTTTACCCAAACTACGAGCACTGTCTTTAATCCATCACCACAAACCTTGGCGTAAATTTTGACTCTGAGCTGACATTTAGTCCATACATCAAGAACATAACAAAAATAGGTTTTTATCACCTAAAGAACATCGCCAGAGTCTGCCCCATCCTCTCTCGTGCCAACATAGAGATGCTAATGCATGCTTTTTTCACCTGTTGTATAGATGACTGTAATGCCCTGCTTTCTGGTTTTCCCAAAAAGAAAGCATCACACAGGTCGCAGCTGTCTTACCCCACTCCACGCCTTCTCTCCTGTCTCTCTACTGCTTACGTCACTGGGAGGAGCTGAGTTAGGGAGGGGGGATACTTACGCTGGGCTGCTCACCAAAATACCAAAGTGTGCTTGAATTACGCCGCACCTGCCAGCGAGGCACGAAAATGGAGCAAAAAGTTGTCAATCAACAGCAGGACCTCCAGACTGAATAAACCTTCATCTTCTCTCCTTGGCTGGAGAGTATTAAAATTGTCACCTCAACCTTAAGGGTGACCAAATAGAGCACGTGAACTCAACTCAAGAGTGCACCAGGTGCACTCATTCTTGAAACAGACGCCAACCATATATCCCCAGAGTGGCTGATTCTCCCTGTGATTCTCTTTAAGTGCAGAGTAAAGAGAATAACTGCAAATGATTCAATTTCAGGTTCAAAGACACTTCACAAGGATTATCTATCTGTACACAACATCAGCAGTAAAACATTCTTTGTCCCATTTGTCTAGCATGTTTATAAGCCAAACTGTTAACAACAAATTTATTCCAGGTTTTCCATGGACCAAGAGCTCCTCCTAATGGTGTTTTCTGGATTTGGTTTTGGTCAGAATCCAAATTCGTATTCCTTGATTTTAATTATGTTGCATGTTATATACTTTGTAGCTTAGTGAAACGTATTCCCAAAGTAGTTTAGCAATATTAGAAGTTCTAACTGAAAACCCTTTATGCATGAGTTAAGAGTGTTTTGAATGTTTTAAATGCTATTTTTCGTTTACCTCACCATAATATATAGCTTAATCAATTTTAAGTATAGGTTGACAAGGTTATATCCAAATTCATTATTATCACTTATGTGTTTCTTAAGCCCTATAGTGTTTCTGTTGGAAAAGATAATTTGATTTTCATCTCTCCAACTTTCAAAGAGCTTGTTAATCCTCAGGTTATAGGATACCCGAAAAAAATTAAGGTTTTTGCTTTGCATTTACTGTTATGGTTTTGATGCATCTGCTCATAAGAAACGATGAGTGAAAAAAGATAAGATGTTCCTTTTTCCATGTTTTTATTCGCCTCAAGTTTTCAGCCTATTACCAGAAACTTGGATGAAACTACCCAAATTTCTTTACAACATAAAAAATTATCTTCGCACAAAGATTACCAAAGTCTAAGTTTGTTATTTTGTTTAAGTTGCTAAAGTGACTCCTGAAGATAATATCGGCTGGCCAGCAAAATTATCTTCTTTAGTTATCGCTGCGAATATATCTGCAGTAGCCTGTAGCTACCTCTGAGCACCAGATGGATTATCTGCCAAGCCTGCATTTGCCACAAGGTTCCGAGAGGAGCGCTGAGGGATACACAGGGCACTGGTCGTGTGCGCTTGTGTGAGACATCAGATTCACCGTTCGGCTGACAACTGCGAGCGGAACCCACCAAAACTACCTGTAGCCTGGACCTTCTGCTGACCTACTCTCGGCTCTCTGAAAAACTGGGTTGATGCTGTCTCATGCGTTCATAGTTTGATTCTTAATTACAACTTGGCTCTTTCTCTAAATTTCCACCAAATTTCCCATCCAAAATTTACCCTCGTAACCCTGTTAATGTAGGTTAAATTTGTCCTTATTCACTCACTATCATTAACCTCTATAGTCTTAGCTAAGTTTAAACCATTCCTCCATTTACCTATAAAGTTAGACTTTATTCTCATTATTTGATCATAATTTATTGAAATTATGTTATCACCTAACATTTAATAATAAAGTATCCATTTCATTTTAAGATGTCATCTCTTAGTGGTCCTTCTAGGAGTGAAGTCCCTGAAATGAGAATTCCAGCATAAGATGTGAGATTGATTTAAATCTGTTTAAGGTTGACTCAGTGTTTGATTACTTCATTAAACTTTGTTTTCTTTCTTTTTCCCACCGGTAAATGTGGGTGGTGGCCCTTTCAACAAGTGCATAAATGTCATAATTTAATTGTTTTTATTTTCGGACAGATATTATAAATTCAAATTGCTACAATTAATCGATTGCAATCCATGCCCAACAATGTTCCATGTATGTTAGCCATTAAAAATACTAAAAGGGGAGACTTAGACATTTTCAGAAGACTGGACTGGACTTCAGATTTAATTTGACAATCTGTCTCATGTTGATATTCAGCATATGTTCAAAATTAGCTCCAGATAGACTTGCAATTCTAACATAAAAAAATAAATGATGCACACAGATTTACACCTCTGTCAGCTTATTTATCCAAATACTAAGTCAATCAACATAAAGTTGCAGAGACGTGTGTGTTTGCGATCATAAGGCTGTGACATAGAGGCAAGCTTAGTAGCGCAGCAGGATCGATCAAATCTGCAGTTCTTCTAATGGCCACTGAGAGTTGGCCTTAAAATCAAGTTACTGTAATTACCATCCACTTTTCTGTAAAAATTATAGACTTTTTAAAACACAGAAATAGTCTGTTTTCTGTTTTTTTTCTTCTTAGTACTGTTCCGTGTGCATGTTTATTCTAGCTCTAAAGATGACGTTTTAACATGGGTGTTAATGGGGTTTCTTGGGCTTTAACTTGTGGTGCTGCATTGACTTCATTTTTCAGCATCAGAAGTTGGTATCAGATGTGATAACTTCACAGCAGAATCCAACATCTTAACAGCCTGGTACCAAATGATTTGGTCTTCATGGCTTATCCTCCTATTTGTGATCATTTATAAGTTCTGCATGTTTGGGGGCTTTTAAATCACAGGTGTATACTGAGAGGTGTCTGTCACCACAGTCATTAAAGCTGATATCTTGGCCGTGTTTCTGTTCCTCTTGCTGCCCTTTGAAAATGTTCATACAAATATTGCATTTTGCATTTATGGCAAGTTGGTAAACAAACACACCATCCTGTGCCTGGGCTTTTTTAGTGGGAGAAATTTTAATCTTATTTCATATGTTACCATATATTTGCAAATATTCACAGGCTTCACACCTTGCTGGGGTTTCCTCAGTTGTTGAAGTATTTCTTACGGAGGTGTCATAACAGCCTGCATACTAGAGAAGGCAGCAGGTTGTTTTGATGAAAAGACTTTGTGTTGTTGAGTAACCGAGTTTGTTTCATTTAATCAGTGCTCACTGTCCTACAGACGTCTGTGTGGGTGAGCTGAGTCTATTAAGCTTCACAGGCTCATTTGGCTCTATTAGGGCCAAATAATTTCAACTACCACAACTTTAAGAATCTAATTCTGTGAGGAACCCTGCGGTAAAATCTGAAAATCCCAAATAAATCAGTTGTTTACTGTGTGATGGCTGTTGGCTTTGGTAGCTTAGTGTTTGTGGTCATATGAGGTCACTCCTTCAACCATGTCACCCTCTCCTCTCACTTGACTGGATTTACACAGTTTGTTCACTGTCCTTCCGGAGAAAATTTTTCACGAGATTCCAGATCATAGACTGTATAAAGAATGGACGCCATCTGCCTCCTCGCTGGGTAAAGCCACTGCAAGAACAGCACCCTCTGTTGACGGGCTGCAGTTTAGGTAATAAATTCTGTCACCTCCAGCAATCCCTTTGGATCTGTGGACAAACTTTAGAAAGTTATTACACAGAATATACATTTTTCTCCCCCCTGCTTGCGATGTTGACATGTAGTTACAGTAAGACTGGTTTGTGCTCAAGTCCTCTTTTTTTCTGTCCAGCTCCATTTTTAAAAGTTACTGGGGGGTTCATGTTTTCTATGATTGACACTTGATACAGCCTATGGGGGTACAAGGATTGCATAGCTCACCCAGGGGGTTACGCTGTTTGAGCCGAGCGTTATCACAGCGACTGTCGGTGACTCTCCCGCCCAATGCGTACAATGTTACTGTGCAAGTGGTGGTGCTAATAGGTGGAGAAAATCCTGGAAATGCCAAGAGCAATTCGGCTTCAAATTCGTATAATGACGGAAGGCGGAGCCAAGTTGTCCATAGTATATACAGTCTATGTTCCAGATTCTAGACAAATTAATTCCCCTTCGGGGATAAATAAAGTTCTTGTATTGTGTTCAAGTTTTGACATGGCTGAAGTACAAGTTTGGTTTTGAATGAAATAAGTGAAAATCAAACCATCTGACTGTTTTGTGATCTGATGTTTTATGAGACAGTGGCCAGGATAGGTGCAGTTGCTGGTCTCACACACTGGTTGCTTCAGGCTGGTTTATGATCTGAATGTTTTGAGCCTTATGTCACTGATAAAACTTTTATTTTCAGTAATTGAATGTTTCTGAAGAAGACACAAAAAGAGTTGACTAACACCTGCTGCAGCACTTTACAACATTAATTTGAGACACTCTGACACCCAAACTTATGCACTTTTATTTTATGCATTGTTCAAGCTCAAAAGGAGAACATACTGTACATAATGTTCCTGAGTGCCTGTGAGAAGGGTGGCAATGTGACAGACAGGCAAGAGGAGCTGTGAGTGTAGGATTCTGAGATTTAGTCTGTGTGGTGACAGTCTGCCATCTCTTTCTTGACGTGACCACCAGGCCTAATGGCAGGAGCGGAGCTTGGAGACATCACGGTCACTGAGAGCTGCTGTGGCATTGAGGTGGGCTGCTGAGGAGCCTGGGGAGGAGAGATGGGACTGTAATGAGGCTCTCTGCCTGGGGGCGCAGCAGTTTGGAAAAAACTGCAGTACATTCACAGACAGTGAAGCTCAACACTTTCTATATGCACGTAATATTACAAACATCAATCACTCTAATGCCAGAAATGATCAAATCAAGCTGTTAAACTCAGAATCGGTATATTTGAGCCGCACAGCTGGTTCGTTGCTGCTATGATGTAGAGCTTAAGCTTATGACCTAATCACCAAAGAATGGAAATATCCGGGAAGTTTGTGGATCATACAGCTCATTGTGGATAAATATCTTCCATCCATGCCACGTGGAAGAGCCAAAGAGATATTATTTACAAGATACTCAATATGTATTTGCTCAGATGCAGGGGCACACAGTGCAGGTTGCCAAGGTGCTAAAACACTCGCAACAGTTTGCCTATGCTTATGCACAGACACTCACCCACTCAACAAATAAAAAAAAAAAACTCACATTCCTAGATGCCAATTGCAAAGTATATGATAAATCAAAGACCTGAAACTATACTACGCCGCCTATAAAAGTATCCACCTCCTCTGAGCTTTTATAGCTTTACTGTTGCAAACATGAATCATAGTGCAATCTGTTTTATGACACTGATTGAATGAGAAAAGAAATATAAATGTCAAAGTTATAAATACTTAAAGTTTCATTTAGATTAAATCCTAGGTAGGTGTTAAAGGTATTGATGATTTATTCCACACAGGGTTATTTCTCATGTCTGAGTTCCCTTTTCAAAACTCTTAATCCACAACACAACAGAAGAGGAGGATAACTATACTGTTTATCACTCTTTTGTCTTTGACATTTCAGCTTTGCTCTCACTCTCATCTGTTTACTCATGTTTACAATGCCTTGTGACAGGTGAAGAAAGATTGTGATAGAGGCAGAATCTGGAGAGTTTTGTAATTATCACAGACGGGTTTAAAGCTCTTACCAGGGACGGAATCACATTTTTTAATTCTTCATCCCTCAAACACATATAGCAGGTCTATAGAGGAGGAGGGAAGTCTGGAAGGCTTTATGCCTTTCTTGAAAGAGGACCGGACAGTAAATGGATCAGGAAACCAGGAGAGAGACACATGAAAAAGAGGCAGCAGATTGGTATCAAACCCAGGCCTTCTACCTAAGTACTAAACCACATGAGCCTTATGGCCTGACTAAAAGGTTGAACCAGAACCCATATTGCTACATTTTCACATATATTTAAAAAATAATTAGCTATAGTTTAATTCGTATTTTAGGCCATTGTGCCATGAGAAAAATGGGAATACTGCTGGGAGGTCAGTTTTGTCAATATTGTGCATTTTGGATTGAGATTAATTGGGTGGAGCTCTATGTCTGTATAGAGAACTGTCCAAAGTCTGTGTTACAAACTGCTACAGCAAACATTAATTGTTCAAAACTGTGATGTAATTTCTTTAAATAAGCAAGAAATTGATGAGAAAGTGAAATATCATTTTGTTGTCTGTTACTTGTCAAATCAGCCAAAATCTTCCTACAAGCAATTGAAATAATCTGAATTTAGACTGTACGGGGCCTGGGGGGATGCAGGCTGGTCTCGTGCAAGTGGGCAGGGACCCGAGGTAGTCCACAAATTTAAAGACCTCCCCTCCACCCATATTATTATTATTGTTAGTCGTCACATCTTTATTAATATTGAATGTTATTATTATTATTATTATTATTATTATTATTATTATTCTATTATAATTTCCATTTGCTTGTCTGACAATTGTAATATTTTTTATCATTATTATTCATATATATAATACACACACACACACACACACACACACACACACACACACACACACACACACACACACACACACACACAAAACCACAAATGCTGTTGTTTGTTGTCTGTCTTGCATTGTCACTGTAATGCCGTATTGCACAATTAAAAAAAAAAAGAAAAAAAAATGTATCCTCTCCAATTTGGAAACACAGAAATTAAATAATCTAGAAATACCTGCATACACTCCTTTATTTCACCTTTATCTGGGTATTTGGTCTCAGTTTACATTATGACATGGGGTTTAATGACTCATTAGAATATTTATACGTTTACTGGTGGCTACAAAATGATGTGAGGTGGTAACCATGATTTCCTATCATCAGCCTAGAAATAATGTGCATAGATGAGAACAAAACTTAAGCCATGTATCACTTTCACTCCCTTATGAGCAGTAAAATCTAGATGATAACCTCTTTTATAATGGTGTATGACTATTTATGACTAGGTAGTCTTGAGTTTAAGTGTGACACCACAGTGATAGTGTGGGGTCTTAAAATGACACGAGTACTTTATGTATTAAGTTAACAAAGTCATTATTTGGATAGAAGTTGCCTCTATGTTTTTACCTAAAGCAAGCCCCCAGTCCCCCCTCCAGGTGACTGTCAGGTTTTAATATTTCAAATCAGTGTGATGTGGCCACAGGTGTGCGTTTATGAAGTGTTCAATGTGCCACGCAGCCCACAATTTATATATAATAGATGGCTACAGCTTGAGCATCACTGTGGCAGACGATACTAATTAGCCCACAGTTTACATTCATTGTACAAACCACGCTGCCTTCCAACTCTTCCTCCTCAACCCTGCTCTCCTCCTGTCAGAGGAGGGGCCTCTACACCCCCAACGCACCAGCGCTCTGTAATTAAAATGCTGTAATCTGGGTGGATCGTCTCTATTTTTAAACCCCTCCTGTCATCTTATGGCTAATAAGACACAAAGGAAGATATCAAGCAGTGAAAGAGGAGGAGGATGAGAAGGAGGGGAGATGGGAACATCCACATTATCAGGTGATGGCCAACTCTGTGAGAGACAAAGAAACTAACAAACTGAGTTTAATTGACAAAGAGGCCTGAAGCTTATTTTTATACTGTTAGCCACCCCAACCCACACACTTCATATTCACTCTTTTAGAGGAGCAGATTGTTCTCTGTACAACTGAAGAAAAAAGAAAAGGGAGAACAAACCCTTTCAAAATAAAACAACAGACTCATAGTTCAGATCTCTGCCTAAATATTCAAATTAAGTTATTATTTTTACAACCTTAACAAAACAAAGTAAAAATGGGCAGCTTCTTCTTTTTTTTTTCTGAGATTCTCTTTTTATTCAGAAAGGCACATCTCCATCACATATACCATTACACATGTGCATTAACTCAGTTTATCAAGGACACAGCAATGTTGTCCATATTGCCCTTCTGGAAGTTTCTCCAACAGACCCAAACTATTCCAGGTGGAAGCAATAACACGAAATAAATAGAGTCAGGGAGCACACCCTTACGTGCAATCAAAACCTCACACACACAAAACTAAATAAATAGATAAATAAATAAAAGAGGTTAGTATAGTGACTAGGAACGAAAACAAAGTCACTGAGAGGCTAAGTGAGGGAGCTTCCGCATTGGTGACTCGCTACACAAACCACAAGCCATTTCCGTGTTTTCCGATTGAGTTCACATTTATTTCCAACGCCGCACAAACAGACAGACAGGGCAAGGCAAGGCAAGATGATCTATGGGCTTAGTTTGACGTTTAAATCAAGCGGTCAACAAAAAATACGCTCTCCCTACTCACCCCCTCTCCATGCAGCCGCCGCAGCACCCAGGTGACTATATGTCCATTCATTCAATCATTCAATCATCGCGCCTTGACCACACCCCCTCGTGACGTGCATGAAAGGTGCAGCCCAGACAGTTGATGTCAACACACACAAACCTAACCACTTCTGCATATGGCACCTACAACCCAGCCCCTAATTATTACCATTATAATAATTACACTATGACAAATAAATGAACCACGAAATCCACCAATGTTCTTGTAATAGTCCATCAATACAGTTCATCAATGTGCTCTTCTTCCTGGAACACAAGTCAAGTCTAGCCAAGTTCAAAAGTTCAAAAGTTCAGACACACAGCTTCACGGAGGAAAGTCATGTCGTGCTGTCGGTCAGTAAAGTCAATCAAACTATCCTTCCAGAACGGAAGAGTCAGGCATCCGATTCCTGCAGAAGACAGACTTTGGTTATGGGCCTTTCCAAGGAGCTGGTCTTGGTCTTGATCTGCAGCCGTCGCACAAATCCTCTTCTGTCTGGGAAGGTTTGGATAACCCTTCCCATGACCCACGAGTTCCGTGGTGCTGTTTCATCCACAATAAGCACAACGTCCCCTTCTACAAAGTTGCGCTTGATACCAGTCCACTTCTGACGTTCCTGCAACTGTGGCAAATACTCCTTAGTCCATCGCTTCCAAAATAAATCAGACATGTACTGGACCTGCCTCCAGCGTCGATGAGCGTAGATGTCGTCTCTTTGAAACTGCCCAGGTGGCAGGGAAGGAGAGGTTTTCAACAGCAAGAGATGGTTAGGCGTCAGAGCTTCGAGGTCGTTAGGGTCGGGTGAGGCCTTAGTAATTGGACGGCCGTTAATGACTGCTTCCACCTCACAGAGGACAGTGTGTAATCCCTCCTCATCCAGATTTTGAACTTTCAAGATGGAGTTCAAGACCTTGCGCACTGATCTGATCAACCTTTCCCAGGCACCACCATGGTGCGATCCAGCTGGGGGGTTAAAAATCCATTTCACCTCCTTCTGAAGAAGAACACCATTTATCTGAGCTTGATTCCAACCTCTGATAGCCTCTCTCAGCTCACGCTCCCCTCCAATAAAGTTCGTTCCATTGTCTGATCGAATTTCTTGGACTTGGCCACGTCTTGCCATGAATCGTCGTAGTGCATTAATAAAGGCGTCTGTATCCAGCGAAGGAGCCACTTCGATATGAACAGCCCGTATTGCCAAACAGGTGAACATGACTCCATATCTCTTTACAATGCTCCTCCGGCTCTTAACCTCGAATGGTCCAAAGTAGTCCACACCGACTCTGGTGAATGGAGGTTTGTCTGGGCAGACCCTGTCAACAGGAAGATCAGCCATCAGCTGACACCCTGGGGCAGCTTGCAACCTGCGGCAGACAACACACTTTGACAAAATTCTCCTTATGGCTGTGCTGACCCCAGGAATCCAGTATCTTTCACGTAGTTTGGACAACATGTAGTTGCGTCCTCCATGACCAACTTGTTGATGTATGTGTCTCAGGAGAACGTCTGAAATGTGGAGCTCTTTGGTCAGAATGGCAGGGTGTTTTGCGTCTTCAGGTAAGGCTGCTCGGCTCAACCGACCACCAACCCTCAGGATACCATCCTCCAACACAGGAGCGAGCTTGAAGATGTGACTTCTCCTTTTCACACTTTCGCCCTTCTGCAAACTAGAGAGTTCATCAGGAAACCTCTTCCTCTGACAAAACCTGATGATTTCCTTTTCAGCTACCTGCAACTCGTCTACCGTGAGGAAACCTCTCGGTGCCAGGTCTTTGAACCCTCCTTTTCCAAGCTCCGAGGACGGTCTTTGTTGTTTCCCTGACTCCGACTGAGTGGACGCAGAGTCAGTCCTCTTCTGGCTGAGACCCCGCAGCATGTTTTTTAGCCTGAGAAACCAAGCCACAGCCCTTCTCAGATGGGTCCAAGAGGAAAAATGATGGATTAGTTGAGTGGTTGCATCCACATCCTCTGAGGCCTGCACTGCATTCACTGCCACACTGGCCTTGACTTCTGGATCGTTCAGCAGGAGTTCGCCCAAGCAATCTGGACTCACAGGCCAGTCTCGTTCAGGTTGCAGGAGATATGCAGGTCCTGACAACCACGCCTTGTTCCTCAGGAACATGTCAACCCTCAGTCCCCTGGAGGCCACATCTGCAGGATTGCTTAGGGTGTTTACATACTTCCACTGCGATGGATCTGACACTTTGAGTATTTCTGCTACCCTGTTGGCGACAAAGGTACGGAACCTGGAAGTCTCATTCCTGATGTACTTCAGCACAGAGGTGCTGTCAGTCCAAAACGTTGACTCTATTAATGACATGTGCAACTCCTTTTTCCAAAAGGTGTCCAGACGGCTTGCCATTGTAGCAGCTGTGAGCTCCATGCGGGGTATTGAGACTGGCTTCAAAGGAGACACCCTGGACTTTCCCATGACAAAGCTGCTGTGCATCTGGGAACATGCATTCCGCATGAGAAGGTAGGTCACTACACCATAACCATTATTGCTTGTGTCTGTAAAATGGTGCAGTTGCGCCACAGTGACCTCACCAAAGTCTGGGGGTTTAAGGCACCGCGAAACCTGGAAGTGCTCTAACTGATGGAGCTCCTTTAACCAGCTCGTCCATTCCTGTGCAGCTGATGGTGGTATAGGGTCATCCCAACCGAGTCTTTGCCTACACAGCTCCTGCAGGATGATCTTGGCAGAAAGAACAATGGGACTCAGGATTCCTAGAGGATCGTATACTGAACTGATGACAGAGAGGATCCCCCTCCTTGTCAGGGGCCTGTCCTGCACCAGGATTCTAAACTTGAAGACATCAGACTGGATGCACCATTGCACTCCGAGCACCCTCTCCACTGGTAGCAGGTCATGGTCCAAATCCAAGTCCTTCATGCCCTTAGCTCTTTGGTCCCCTGCAATTGCTGCCATCACTGCACGGCTATTGCTCATCCATTTGGTCAACTTAAAACCTCCTTTGGCACATACAGAGACCAGGTCATGATACAGTGCCACTGCTTCTTCCTCACTGGCCGTCGACACCAGACAATCGTCCACATAAAAGCAGTGCAGAATCCTTTCAATGGTCTCTCGGCAGAACTGTTCTTCATTGTCCTTAGCACATTTCCTCAATGCAAAGTTAGCACAACTTGGTGAGGACGTTGCACCAAAAAGATGTACCATCATTCTAAAGTCTACCAGGTCTTGGGTGCAGTCACCGTTGGGCCACCAGAGAAACCTCAGTAGATCAGCATCTTCCCTTGGCACCTTTACTTGGTGAAACATGGACTCTATGTCTGCCATGATCACTACCGGTTCTTTCCGGAATCTGGCCAGGACGCCAATCAGCGAGCTAGTGAGATCTGGCCCTTGCAGCAGTTGAGCGTTGAGAGATGCCGACTGGAAAGTGGCAGCACAGTCAAAAACCACACGGATTTTTCCCTTTTGTGGGTGATACACACCATGGTGTGGGATATACCACAATCTTCCATCAGTACGTGCCAGCTCATCTGAAGGTACTTGCTCTGCGTATCCCTTGGTGACCATATCATTCATGAAATCAGTGTACTGCTGATGAAATAACGAGTCCCTTTTGAACCTCCTCTTCAGGTTTAGAGCACGCTGCTCGGCAACCTTCTTGTTATTTGGCATGGTCACGGAGCTTCGCAGGGGCAATGCAATCTGGTAATGACCATCTACAAGCTTGGCTGAATCCTGGACCAACTTCATGAACTTTTGGTCCTCTCTTGACTGGCCAGGTTGCTCATCGTAGCCACATTCTGGGAAATCTGTTCTGAACTGCTGCTGCCAGAGCTCCTCCAAGTTCAGGACTGAAATTCTGTTAACGGTCGCAACATCCATTCCATCACCACTGTTTCCCCCCAGTGGCCCATTAACAGTCCAACCCAAAATAGTCTTGATGGCATACGGTCCATTGTCCACACTACGGATGACTTGTAATGGTTCCAGTGCCCTTGGTACGTTTGTTCCAATCAACAGCTCAACTTCGGAGTCGATATCAGGTAAGTGAACATCTCTCAAGTATGCCCACCTCTCGAGATCCTTTTGACATGGAATATTTCCTCTATGCACCGGCATGCACTCCTGTGTATAGGTGTTGGGCAAATCACAGTATGTCTCTCCGTCCAAACCGGCCACCTCCAGTCCCGTGACCACACAGCTGTTAACGACCTTCTCCTGACCCATTGTCCGCAAAAGGATTCTTGTCCTTTTTCCTGAGAGGTTGAGCTTGTTCATGAGGTTTACTGTGCAGAAAACAGCCGTGCTACCTTGATCCAAGAAGGCATAAGTAGCCACTACATGATTACCTTTCTTGGATTTAACCAATACAGGAACTATAGGAAGCTTGCACTCATGGCCACCAGCCCCAGTCAACCCATTAGATACCAGAGCACAGCCCACTGCGGCGCCTGGTTCTTCTTCTGTCACTGGGTCCTTTTCCTTTGAATGGATGTGAAGCATTGTGGGGTGTTTCAAACTACACACTTTGCATGACAGGCGCTTTCGACAGTCCTTGCTGATGTGTCCTATACACAAACAGCCGAAGCATATTCCCTTTTCCCTTAAAAAGGTGATCTTTTCAGTGTGAGTCCTCTTCTCCATTCGAGAGCAATACTCCAATGTGTGCCCACCCTCACAAAACAGACAGACTTTCTTGGCTGATGAGGTTGTGTCTGGCCTCCTTCCTTTTGTTGCTGTGTAATTGTGCTGTACAGTAGTCACTGTTGTGGCGAAACTACTTCCCTTTGGCCGAGATCTAGGTTTTAAGCTGGTTCGATTCATGCCTCTGTTTACTGCTGGTGATGAGTCTTGAATGTCTCCAAATACTGGGTCTGTTAGAATCCTTGCTTGCCTTTCAATGAAATGGACAATATCATTGAATGTAGCCCTTTGGTTACGTCTTTCTTGTATTTCACAAGCAGTTGTCCTCCATCGATCCCTCAGCTTGTAAGGCAGTTTTTTTATTATTGTCAGCATGTTAGCAGGCATATCCATTTCGAACATATACTGCACTTCGTTCATCGCATTTGCGCAGCCTCTGAGAAATAGGCTATAATCTTGGAGAGCTTTAACGTCCTCTGATTTTATTGGAGCCCATGACAACGCCTTGTCCATATAAGCAGCAGCAACCCTTTGTTCATCCCCAAAATGTTCTTGTAATAGGATTTTAGCTTGAGCATAGCCCCTGTTTGGGTCCATATGCTGGCAGCTTCTCACAAGATCTCTTGGACGACCTCTAGTGTATTGCTCGAGGAAGTACAGGCAATCACTATGACTGTTGGACTTGCTTTCAATACAGTTTTCAAAGGCTCTCAGGAACGTATGGAACTGCAGTGGGTCACCATCAAACACCTGGATGTCTCTTTTAGGCAAGAGCGCATGTTGCTGCTGTTGTATCAGTAGTGTTGTAATTTCATTCTGTCTTTTCATGATGTCAAGAACATTGTTTTGCTCCCCATGACTTGCTGAATCCCCAACATTAAGACTGATTCCATGATGTAAGTGATCATTATGAGCATTGAGCAGAGGATTAAAATCAGGTAAGTGGCTCTTCAAAGTGGGAGGCTGAAAGTGAACAGCATGGGTCGATCCATCTGATTTAGGCCTTGTCACAGGGTCACTGTCCATGATTTTCGATTGCTGTTTAGATGTTTCCAGCCTCAGAGGAATGAAAGGAGTGGCATTGACATTGAACTTTGTTGTTTCTTGTTCATTTTTAACGTAGGAACTCATTGCATTGGACCTGTCTGTTGTAATACTCTTCGAACCAGATATGCTTGCAGCCCTTAGAACGCTCACTTTAGCCAAGTGTGCAGCAATCTCTTCATCCAACTTGAGCTTTTCCTTGCGTTTCCGTATTTGCTGCTCCTCCTCTTCCAGTGCATGTCTGTCCTGTAAAAGTTTTTGCCGTGCCATCAGTGCAGCTAAATCAGCTTCTGCCTTGATGCGAGCAGAAGAAGTTCCTGATACGTTGGACCTTTTACCACTCCCAGAGCCTTTTCCACTCACAGCACTTTTTGCAGATCGTTTGCTTTGCACATTTGATATGCTATCACTTGGGTTCACGTCATCCTGTAGACCTTCATAAGGTGTGATGGGGCCTGTGTCCTGTGCTGCTGCCTGTAAAGCATCATATATTTGAGGGTCACACACATGCTTTGTTGCTGCGGCCTCATCATTATCCACGATATTTAGAACATGTTCATTCTCATCCAACCACTGAATCACATCATCCTTGAATGTACTGCTGTAACGTTCAATACTGGAGAACCAATCATTCTGTTTAAGTTTTTCATCCTCAGGTAACAGTGGAATTATTGTTTGATGCAGGTTGATAGCAGTATCAAGGAGCTGAGTAATAGTTTGCAACTGAGATTTCACTTCCTGTACATTTTCCTTTCGTTTCATCAGCTCTTTCATTGCAGGTATTAAGCCTTTTATTTTATTCACATGTGTTTTACGTTCATTTTGTAGATTTACCACTTTATATGCCAATGCTTTTGCAGTAAGTTTCACATTCCTTTTAGCAACCACAGTTTCATTGTTTTCCACTTGTTCCATGGCTTCACTCATATTGTCCTTTTGAGATTCGGCAGTTCAGTGGTTCGCGCAGTGAATCCACAATACACCCAGCATAGTTTTATTTTTCCACAGATTGTTTCACATCAATTAACATCGGAAAACACCACAGGTATTTACTCTCAACGAGCAGGACAGGCTGTCTCAGCGGACTTTCACACACGCACAGCGCTCCCCAATGGATGCGCTGTATGCGCTGTAATCAAACTGCGTTCCGTCCAACATACACAGAATGAATGGATGCGAGTGATACAGTCCTACCGGTCTGAAGTCCACGTTGCGATCAGTCTGGCGTTGCAGTTAGACACCGTGTGGCGTGATCGCGTCCGTATATGCCGTTCGGGTGTTGGTACTCCTTTTTTGTTGACAAAATATAGTGACTAGGAACGAAAACAAAGTCACTGAGAGGCTAAGTGAGGGAGCTTCCGCATTGGTGACTCGCTACACAAACCACAAGCCATTTCCGTGTTTTCCGATTGAGTTCACATTTATTTCCAACGCCGCACAAACAGACAGACAGGGCAAGGCAAGGCAAGATGATCTATGGGCTTAGTTTGACGTTTAAATCAAGCGGTCAACAAAAAATACGCTCTCCCTACTCACCCCCTCTCCATGCAGCCGCCGCAGCACCCAGGTGACTATATGTCCATTCATTCAATCATTCAATCATCGCGCCTTGACCACACCCCCTCGTGACGTGCATGAAAGGTGCAGCCCAGACAGTTGATGTCAACACACACAAACCTAACCACTTCTGCATATGGCACCTACAGTTAGGTTTACATGAAGCACAAGTAAATAAAATCAGATCTGATTGGTTTTACATACTCTGTCTATTTGGTCCAGATCTCATAAAAAATTTCTGTCTCAACTTAAAGGGAAAAAGAAACCTTCTCAATAACTTAAATCTCATAAACAATTTCAATCCATTCGTCAATGGTAGAAGGTCCCACTTGTAACCATTTCCTAGTGATACATTTCTTACTAGCTGCCAACAATACAGTCAGCAGTTTTGGGTCTTTTATGTTCCATGTTTCAAACACTATATTACCCCAAAACATAGTTTCACATTTTAATGGAATGTTCACATTAAATATATATTTGTAATATGTTTGTGGATCTCTACTCAGTCGGATTTTATTGCTTGACAGTCCCAAAAAATATGGAAGTGGTTGGCTCCATTAGACCCACAGAGTCTCCAGCAAGTGTCCCCGCTACCTTGATGATGGTTTTGATGGGTGTGATGAAAAATCTTGTTATTCTTTCCCAACAGAACTCCCGCCATGTGTTTGACCTGGTTGAGATCCATTGTAGTTGACATATTTTCTCCCAGCTCTCTTCTGTAACTATTATCCTTTTATTTCCGTTTCCTATTTCCTTTTTTATGTATTCTGTATTCTCTTGTTTGGATAGTTAGGTGGCATTATAAAATTTGGAGATAATTTTGTTGCAAGATCTGGATTTAGTTTAAGATAAGAATATTTCCATGAATGGGTAGTTTCTTTTGATCAAACTTCACCAGAATTTAATCATTTGGTCACTCTGCAGATGTTTGGAAACTGCATTCAAACACTGATAGTGACACACTGAAGAATGATAATGAGTTTTGTCTCTGAAGATAAATAAAAGTGCATATGAAAGAACTTTCATTGTTAGATATTTGATTTTGCCTACATTTAAACTCTGTATGCTACTGCATGAAGAACATTAAATAAAAAATGACTCATGACTGCCCACAGAGTTAAGTTTAAAAAAGTACAATTAATTTTATACTTTACTAAAACCCTAACCTGTAAAAGAAAATAAAACCATTAAAATTAACTGCAATTAACTGAACCAGCACTTCAGGTACCTCCTGGCATCCCAACTGTACTTAACCGTACATAAAATGGACTCACTTTGAGTGTCTGCGGGTTATAATTAGAACATTTCAGGAACCATATATAATGCATTTATGACATATGTCAAATATGAATGAGACCCTGGAGCTTTCTGACTTTTAAGCAGCTCTCTATAGGAACTCTGCTGCTCAGGTATAATTAAATTATCGGCTCTTCTCAGTAATATTTAATCACACTCAAACACACACACACATAGGTGGTCATCAGCGTTGGTTAAAGGGTTAGCTGATCGCATTAGAGATCTTTTATTTATACGCCAGAGGTGGAGAGTGGAGGTCATGCGTGGAGACGCCCAGCAGTTCTCACAGCATTAGCCACGTCAGCTGGTTCAGTGCTGAATGTAAATAGCATCACTGTAACCTGGAACTTGCTGTCCATCTTCAGATGTTCTCCTGGTGGCTGGAAGTTTCCCCCCTCAGAAACAGTGACATGATAGATTTAAGGTTCAGGCATCTTTTATTGTTTCGTTAGTGTGAATCATTTCCATTCCACCCCCTGACCACCCCAACCTCTCACACACACCCCACTTATACCCCTCACCCTTTGTAGCGTAAGCTCAAGAACACGACCATTACCCTTCCCCGTTCCCATGGCAACATCGCCCTGCAGCCCTTGTGTGGTGATAGAAGTGTGTGTACTGTATGTGTGTGTTCACAAGCCGATGAGGTTTGTTTAGATTATGTCAGAGAAGAGAGTGATCTGTTTTGGGGGGGTTAACGTCTTCTTTGTCTTAACGCTGTCTGTTTCTGATCAACGTGCTCTGCTCAAAGCCTCAACAACAGGAAGCTAAAGTTTGGGGGGGAAAGAGCTCGTGTTTGTAAGAGTATTTTGGGGTTGATTAGTTTGAGGTTTCCTTATTATTCTCTGTGATGGATCCCTGCGGCAGGAGTTTGGTAAATCTCTGCAGTTCGATAGCAGGGAGGGCTCAATGCTTTCTCATCATGGGCCATCTAATGTCACCTCGACCTCTTTGGGAAAGTATAATTTTACACCCTTTGTGTGGTAGCAATCTTCTGTAATACTCGGTGAGAAAAGAGGCAAGATGAAATGAAATGATATCTAAAGACGAGAAGAGCACAAGAGTGACATGACACAGCCAAAGAAGAGCAAAGGACGGGGCAGAGAGAGTGGGTGTTATTCTTTCTTTGGCTGCCACTGTCTGGCATATGGGGATGAGGTAGACAGAAAGCCAGAAAAGCAATGTGAGATAAGGCTTTGAATATATCTCCCCTTGCTGACTTCTTTTTCTCTTCTCCCCAAGGAGGTGGGCTGACTGACAGATGCTCCCCACCACCACTCCTTCCTCCCCCGGCTGTGGGCAAGCTTTGTATAGTGCCTACCACCAACTCAGGCCAATTAACACATCTCCATGCACACTGGGTTTATTAATATAAACTAGTTAGCCATGGACACCAATTATCTTGCCTTCAGCCGTTTAAAATTAAGTGGTAAGAGGTGGTGTGTGGTAGGTGTTAGGAAGAGTTTATTATAATGCTGCGGCACCATTGTACGTCCAATCACAGTGATTTTGAGTAGATATCAATGGGCTGAGATGGACACCATCCCCTGGAGAGGACGTTGTCATTGGAGAAAAGCATATTAATGTGTCGGATGTTTGCTTTTTGTTTGCTGCAGGCTTGATTAGTCCCATGGTGATCATTTTCATCTAAGCTGGTGTCACCGTGTCTCACCTCTCACCCCCTCTAGTGCTTCTCTCTGAATGCTGACTTAATAAGACACAACCTGTGCCAAGCTGCCTTTTCATCCCGGGTGCCATGCCATCCTCCCGCTCTGACTGGATTTGTCTGTGTGTGTATCTGGACGCACGATTGATCTGAACAAATTCTTTGGTTAAATAAAAAAATAAAGAGAGACAGAGAGAGAGAGAGAGAGAGAGAGAGAGAGAGAGAAATAAAAACAGGTTTTGTGCAGAGTATGACTCGCCATCCCTCATGGGAATTAGATTCCACCTCACTGCCGAAGGCCTCCACTAACAATGAGCCTTTGCAGAATTATGCTCCATCTGAAACTTTCCTCCAGGTTGGAGGCTCATTAGACGATTCAATTTTAAAATATGTTATGATTTCCTCAATGATAGTGAAGGCACATGGGAACCAATATGTCACTCCAAATAATGGCACTGCATAGACCGATGTACCTGCTCAGCTTTTTCTCTCGGTGCATAAAAGCTGCAGGGCAGAATCCAATGAGTGGCCACCTGTGCTGCTAAAGATTTCACTGCTTTGCTCTGATTTGCACACATCTGTTCCTTCTGAATATGGTTAAGCTCTTTACTCAAAACAACACTGGTGAGAGCTAAACCTGTGAATACTAACCTTGAATTTGCATGTTGTTTGTAATGACTCATACAAAATAGATTGCAGAGCCCCATCTTTGGAAAGCGTATAATCATTTATTCTGAATTTAAAGTTTTTGCTTGGAAAAATGTGTCATCCTTTCATTTGCAAGTGCAACATTTTTTTCAATTTGTCAGGGCATTATCCTCTTCTTGTTTCTTCATATGATCTCCTAGTTCTATCTCTATTTCAAAAATTCATCTATATTGCTGGTTCATCGTGTCTAAATAAAGGAGGTGTTTGAGAGTGCAGACTGATAGCCTCAAGAGGGTGAGGGACAGAGCTGATGGAGTGTGAACTTCCTGTCACATAGTTCAGGACAGAGAAGAGAAAAAAAGAACAGTGAAACTTCAAACTATCTAAAAAAAAAAAAAAAAAAAACTAGAGAAAGCCTGGAGGGAAGCTGACAGCACAGTGTTGTTGTAAAACCCACTTCAATTCTTTTGGCAAATGATGCTCACATTGATGCTGAGAATATGCACAGCACAGAAACACATTTGTGAGTGTGAAATGATGTGGGAGTATCATTTTGTGGATGTTTCAAAATGCATTAATTGAGTTAAGTGTTTCTGTGTGTGTATATGTTTGTCTGTGCAGAATCACTAACTCTTCAGCTAATGGTGTTGTGGGTAATGGAAAGATTGAGGAACTTTTTTTGTGTGTTTATTTGTTTGTTTGTTTGTTTGCTGGGTGTTCATTTGACTGCACGTAATGGATTTGTTTAAAATTTCATAAGTTTGAATTCAAGGACTATTGGTTCTGCTCTCAAGTGGAAATGGTACAGCTCTCCTGAAATGCTGTGCAAATAAGTTTTGAATGATTTGGTCTTTTGGTATCTTTTGTCTATATCGTTTTTCTACAAGTGCCAATGGGCTGTATCAAGTGACTGGTCTCACAGCATGTCCTATATAAACAATAAGGTAATTGCTTTAAAGAGAAATGTTGCACTTTTTAAAACTTTATCTCATTCTTTGTGGTATTTTCCACTTTTTATAAAAGTTGTGGCCAAAGGAGAGCTCAAAAGTGGTACAGCTTTCATTCCTTGTCTTCTCCTTCTCTTGTACCACACGACACATCTGCAAGTATAAATGTTAATCAAAAACATGACTGTAGGATGAATTTTTGGGTCCTGACTGTCCCAAGAATTTAGCTGTTTTCTTTCAATAAAACATTTTAGGAAAAATTGAGTTTGATAAGAGAAATTATCCAATCACAAATCCAACAAAGTTAGAACACTGAATTTGTTGATAGAAATGTTTTTGATGGTTTGCAAATCATCAAAACTCTGTATTTAATTGAAAAGGGTACAAAACAAGACACCAAATGTTGATACTGAGGGTATTAGAGAGAGGCTGTAAAGATGATTAGTAGTATAGGAGGTTTGTCACTCTATAAGAGACCACGTGTGCAAATAGCTCTACAATCTCAGAATAAAAAAAAATCCCAAGCATAAAGTTTGCAAAGAATTTGAGGACTTCATCATCTTCTGTATGTGGTATTATTATCAAGACTTTCTGGGAATCTGGAGAAATCTCTGCACACAAGGGACAAGGCTAAAACCCAAAACTGGATGGCCAGTCGAACAGTTTGTGTCTGCATCCACTAATGCAAGTTAAAGCTGTACCACACAAAGAGAAATTATTTATGAACACGATGCAGAAACTAGCAGGAATTTGTCTGGGCTCGTGTAAGAGGTTTTGAGGCAAAGTGGAAAACTGTCCTGCTGTCAGGATTTGACATCCTCATGGATGCTTCAGAGGAAAGGAACCACAAGTGTGCTGATTTTTGTTGTAGATTGGTGTTCTCTCCCCCTCCTTTTTCTGTCAATGTTCAGGGGATATGTAACAGGAGGCGTGGCTGTCTTCCCCCGGGCAGCATACGAAGCACACCTGGCTGTTTCCACTCTACTCATCAACCTGTCCATGCTCATGAGTGCTCTGTGTGTTTCTAGTGCGCTGTGATTTACTTGTGAGTGTTTTGGTGATAACCTGTGTTTTTTTCTCTATGCCCAGATTTTCCTGTGTGCCTCGCTGCCAGTGCTGTGATCTTCAGCGCTTGAGTTTCTTCTGTGTTTTTCTTTACAGAGATATTTTCAAGACAGCCAGTTCCTGCCTCCACTGCCTCCCTTTTGTTTTTCTGTTTTGTAATAAACTTTTTGGATTCATGCACTTATGTTCATTTCTGCTTTGGGGGTCTCTGCTGTACACTCAAGGCTTGTAATCAGCGCATATTTCAAAAGCTAGCATCACTTACAATATAATGTGTACCATCTGGATTTAAAGTCCCACCCAAATCATTTTTTTTGTTTTTTTACTTGTTCTGTTCTTGTTTTTACTTGTTCTTGTTACTTGTAAGTGTTCTCAGTGGTTTTTAAATTGTGATTATGAAGTTTTCAGCCAAAATCACGTTACCTGTGCCATTTTCAAGGACTTTTCCTTTGCAGAGCTCCAGTAGATCATTAGCAATTTGCCTCTGAGTAATGGGCAGATTCAGCACTGCTCTGCACACTCCTCTCCATGCTAGCTTGTAGCCTAACATTGCCGGTGTAGTAAAAGTGGCAGGTAACATGGGAGTTTTTCAGCTCTCTTACACTTATGTCTTTGGGGACATGATGAAAGTTAATATCATAATTAGCTTTCTTACAAGTACTGCAATCTGATAACGCACACGCTTGTTCCGCAATTGTCCTCTTTACTTCTTAGAGCCTGGCCTGCATAGCGGGACTTCGGGGGCGGAGCTTGGAATTGTGACGTAAGAAATCTCACTGTATCTGAACCTGCCATTTGGGTCTTCCAGAGATTCACAGCGATTTGAATGAAGAAATACTCAGAAATGCAATTTGGCACTTATTTTTTTCATAATATGTCCTGTAGCATCAGAAAAATGCCACATGAACATACAGACGACAAGAAGAACATGATTTTCATCGAAGTGGGTATTTAAAAAGCGCTATATATGTCAGTTTATAATTTGACATAGATGCCCATGGTATAGGTGGCTTACACATGGAGACACCATTAATGATAAATGATATGTACGGGTTTTGGAGCAACATTTACTGCCATCCAAACTATTACTCTATCAGGGGAGACTTTGCATATTACAGCAAGATGATGCAAAACTGTGCAGGTATTATGATTGTCTGGCTCTGTCGATGAGGAGTCTTAGCGCTAAACTGACCCGTCCACGGTCTCAACTTATCACATTTGGTGCATCAAAAAACAAAAAATACAACAATTTTCATCCACTTACATGGCTCATTCATTAAACATTTTGCAAACCATCGAATTCTGTTTTTGTTCGCCCTTTTTGAAATGATTTCCGGGTCATACCACTATCATATGTGTATGTGTATGTGTATGTGTGTGTGTTTGCTGAAAGAAGGAAAAGATTCCATTCCCATGCCTGAACCTAGGTGTATGTATTGTTACTGCCTCCACCTTTGAATACAACACATCCCATTAGAGAGGAATTGACTGAGGTTGAGAAAGGCCGCCACATCCTTGTGGGACCTGTGTCGGCATAGAAAACAGATCTTTTTGTATCTTACCCTCTAATCGAGAGCAGGCAGGGGATTAGGACAGCTTCTTCTACAGTGTTGCGAACAATACCAAATCTGCATCATGTCAAACTTTTCAGGTGATGGATTATGAGATGTCATAATGATAAATAGAGTACCTTCACTCACAGCCAGGCTTCTCTGAATGCCACCGTTGGTATAATCACCATTATTTCTGTCATGATTTCATGGCCAGCGCACTGTTCATTATTTTCGATGAAGTCTCTGTTGTAAAAGGTCAGTGGTGACGCTTCCTGACAAGCAAATGTACAGAAGCTGTGTGAGGAGGGAGCTGGAAACACAGCAAACCTGCACAAGTGCTGATTTGGGTGAAGGGTTAACATGCTAATGTGTTTTTTTAGGACCCCAACAGCAACATTAGCTCATTATTATCCTCCTCAATCTGTAATTAATCACAGCTCAATCTTTGCTCCTGCAATCTGTTTATGATAATAGACTTTTCCTCTAAATGAGAAGTGTAGATTGTTGAATAAATGTTGTGCCATGCCAACTCTTTATGATGTTCAGTGCAGGGAGCTCTGTGAGCTTCAGCCTTTTAGTCCGTTTTTTTTTCCTATGATATAATTCAAGTGGATGCAAGCTGCTGTGTTTGTAGATTTCTTTAAAATATTAGAGCTTTACATTTTAGATATACTCTTTTTCATTTCATTCTAATGTGGTCAGTGGTAACAGCTGCCAACAACTGTGAACACTCCTCACTTTATGAAAATAATATTTAAAGCTATCATTCTTCAACTCTGGAATTCAGATTCAACCTTTATAGCTGTCTTAAAATTTGTCCCTCTTTGTCTCCATTACTTTACACTTTGGACTCTAAGAATTGCTGTGTCTCAGTCGACACAATTGTCTTTGTCTGTTTGACCAGCTTGAAGTAGGTTGTGCAACTTCACATATTGGTACTCTGACAACAGCTGAACTATGCAGAAAGATATCCAAACCCCACCATGTTCTGGAGTCTCTGTCTGTGGGCCCTGCAAATCATCAAGCCCCAGCATAACTGCACCATCCAATGAAAACCTCCTCTGAGGGGTTCATGTTAAACACAGTACACTTGCATTGTGCTTTCTTTTAATCCCGCTCACCCAGTCGTGGATCTGTGCCATGTCTTTAAAAGTTAAATGTGCTTCACAACAGTACATATTTCAAAAGTGAGCATGTTGATATGTTTAAATGGAGAGGTTTCATTATTAGCACATACTTGTTGATTATAAAAAAAAAGGTTGCAGTTTTTTTCTCAGCAGTTAAAGATTAGGTATCTCATAAGTTTGTTTTATTCATGTTGTTTTGGTGAGATACTTTTGGTTGAGGTCATAATTTGCCAGTCTGCTGCACATCAGTGTCCAATGTGTGCATGGTCAATGGGTGCACGTGTGGATGCATGGTTGTGTTTGTAAGGATTCATCCAACCCAGCTCTTCTAACAAGTACTGAAATAATAATGAGAACAGTGGTTGCTTCTGAGTGGGACACAGAGAAGGGGAGGAGAAGGGGGTGTAGATAGAAATGGAGAAGATTAAAGTGAAATTGGACCAAAATCTGGGCTGGAATCAGTGAGGCTTATATTAGAACCCTGTGATGAAACTTGGGGGGGGGGGGGGGGTCTGTCTTTCGGGAGAGAAAACAGTTTGGAAAGTTTTACAGAAATATAAAAGGTGAGCAGTGTTCAAAACTTTAAAGTAAAAGGATAGTATGGATGTCCTTTCAGCGTAAAGACCTTCATAAAGTTGTGTTGCAGAAATGTACATTCACTCACCACTTGTTCTCATCTCTCCTCTTCTGACTTTCTGAGAGCCTCCCTAAATATTAAACTCAAGCCTGTCAGGTGCTCGGGGGGCTGCCAGGAAGTGTAGTCATCTGGGTGAGTCTGAATGTTTTGTGATTACAGCTGACCTCTCTTCTGAGAAATCAGATTAAAAGCTATGAAGCCATCTGAGCTCAACCTGTTGTCTACAAGATGGGTAACTTAACAGAGCCTCCAATCGCCTCTCTGTACAAAGCTGCGGTAAATGACCCACAGCTCAGGTGTTAGGGAGATTGTGCCATATGATAAATCTGCCTCCGTTTTCATCTCATGAAACTTACATCAATTACATTTTAGGATTTTGATTTCCTTCACAGTTAATTAAAACGGCATAAAGTGACCTTGCATTAGTATGTCAATATATTCCTTTAAGGATTCATCTGATGTTAAACATATGATCATATCTGAATATATTTAAGGCAGGGGTTTATCAGACCACATGTTCAAGTCTGATCAATTTGACCTGAGTTTAAATTAAAAATCAGAAGATGGGAACATTTAGTTCCAAATTATAAATCTGAAATCAGCATTTGAAATAAATAATAAAATAATGTGGGGAAACAGAGAAATCTGAGGCTCATTGTGTCAAGAATGTAGCTCCCTTGAACTTGGATAATTTTTAATTAACAGAGGACAGAGCTGACAGAGATCATTTCAGTTTTTTAATTGCATGCTGCAATTTCAAGTTGTATTTTACAAAATATCTCATGCAGCATCAGTGGCTTCAAAAGTGCAAAACGGGTCCAAAAATCACTTTACGGATCAAGTAGCGAGCATGCGGAACCAGAATCACTTCATAAAGCTGTGGCAGTTTCCCTTGAAAACGTGCAAGATTTCAGTACTTAGAGTATATTAACCAAACGAGACAAAAGAAAACACCTTTCAAGGGATATCCACCGAACATTGTCTGACTTCAGGAATTCATAAACATGCTTTTTAAAAACATTCACTGGTTTTCATCTTAAATAACAATAGAGGAAAAAAACGGCAAAAATGAGGTAACAATTTGTAAACATTTTCTTCATTTTGTTCAAGTTGGCAACATTAAATTCACCCAAAAGATTCAATAGATCGGTCCATGTGTAAACAATGCCCATGTTTTACGCACATACTTTACGCATAAACGTGTGTCGCTGGACTACTTCCCTCGAGTCCTTTTCGGAAGGAATTGTGAAGTTTTTGCATATCTCCCCTCGCGAGGACGTAGAGAGAGCATCCTTGAGGCGTACATGCAGGTGCCGATCTTGATCTGCCAGAGGGAATGTGCACCAGATCATCAAACCGGATCTCCACTTGACTTCTCCACACTACTGTCTTGTAGTTCTAGCTGAGCCCGATCATAACCGTCTCCACATCTTTTGAGGGTCTCCGCTCCTTTACCAGAAAGTTAATCATGCTCTCAGATTTGATCATCAGGTTGCACCCGAGGAAGAATATCCCAAACACCACTGTAAGCGAGAGCACACACAGCACAGCGATTTGCACCACGCGCATGACGAAGAGTTTGCGCTCGTCTTGTGCCAGCACCGAGGACCCTCCACCATCGCCGGTCACCACGTTGTCGGTGCCGTTGTATGTTGCCAGAGTCCCTGCGAGAGTCTGACTCCCGTTAAACAGCGCACCCCGAGTCAAGTCGAAGAAGGAGACGTTCATGTTTCCTTGTGGGCTGTCAGCAAATAGAGGCGCGACTCCGCTTGGCAGGGACACGGGCTCACCACAAAATCTGGACTCCAAGCAACAGTTTGCGTCATGTAACTGTTCAGAGAAAAGTGAGAGTAAGACAATAGAAAATAAACTCTCAATAAAGTACCAGTCTAGAAGCAAACATTGACATCTTCCACATCAGTGCGGAATAACTACATCCACATCATGCACTGCTGCTTTTTAACGAAAAAAAACCCCACACATCTGCAACAGTTGCTGCTAAAAGAAAGTTTCTCTCTCTCTCCGACTTGAAGTCCACGTTTTTCCTAGTTTGAGTGAGTCTCCTCTTGCAGCAGGTGCAAATGTGTTTCCCTGCGGTGAAATAAGACACATCCCCTTTGCGCCTGTGCTCACCTGCGAGCGCTCCTTTTGTGCCAGGTCTGTGGTGCGTTTTAAAGTGATGATGAGTTCCCTGTGGACCACACCACCTCTTCTCACCAGGGAGGAAGTCAGATGGCCTCAGGAACGCGTTGTTCCCCTGATGTACAAAATAGAAGAATAGATAAATAAATGAATATAAAGTCTGACGAATAATAGCTCTCTGTCTTCTTCAGACTTCCATCTCAGACATTTCTAAGCTTGTAAAAAAGGAGCAAACACGCACATTTGTTCCTAAACTATAAGGAGTGTGCTGCCTAAATTTGAAAAAGGTAGTGTGTGTTATCTTGTTAGTATTAGGAATTGTAAACTCTGGTATACCCTTATGGTGTTTTTAAGTTTGAACAACTACTCTAAGGATAGATGAATTCCAAATGTAGGCATTAGACACGCTTCTGTAACTGGTGTATGCATACATATGTACATCAATAAAGCCTAAATGCATCACTTTGATGAAAACACACATTAACTTGATGTAGACTTTTTATAGAATCCCCAAATTATCCCCCAAAACCCAACAAAAATCCCCTCAGTTTGGATGAAAATTAGTGGGAAATTATCGTCTGCTTCTTTGAGGAGTATTTATAGACATTCATGCCAGTTGCTGGGGAATCTGTCACTGTAACTAGGGGCTGCTGCAGAGAGACCAATATGGGCACAGCAAGCTATAACTTAGAGATGAAGACATGAATTAATAAACTATGATTGAGCTATGGCAAATATTTATCAGCAGTGTTGGCTTTTGCTGTGCACCAGCTGAAATGAAAACTCTGAATGGCAGGCAGGTCTCTGTTTTTATTGGAACGTGTTATTCAAATATGACTTTGTCTTTTGAGTGCTGTTTGTGTATATGGGAGGCCAGCTGACTCGGATGCAGGTGGAAGTCCAGAAACCTGATCTGTGTAGAAATATGAGCTTTGGGAAACATGCCTGAGTGCAAAAGCACTATTTGATGAGGCCAGTAAGAATTGGAATTTAAAATCAGTATTGAATCTTATAACAATAAACAAACACACTTTAATCTATTGAGAGATAATGTTATTATTGTTGTTTTCTGCATATAAAGGCGGGCTGCGTTTGTGAGGAAAAAGTTACATACCTGAAACACTGTAATGTGGTCTTTATTTTCAGTCACCTTTTGTAATGTTATTGGTCAGAAGTACATCTAACCCAGCATTACAACTGCATATTTGTGATCTCAGTCAAAAAAGCAGCAATGAGTTATGGGTCTATGCTCAGACAGCCCCTTCTTTTCTCATCAGTAGTCATGTCTATAATATCATTTATGTTATTAAGAAAACTCCTCTTATATTGTTACCATAAAGCGTAGATATTTAAATATTTAAATCCAAATATGAACCACTTTTGAAAAGTCAGACTCTCATGTTCACAGCACTCTGCCTGATGACTTAAACAGGAAATCTAGTGGGCATTAAAACTTTATCTGAATTAGATACCATTGTGACTAACAGTAAACACTTTAATTGTTATTACCTAAATAAAATTAATGAATTTAACGTCTATTAGCTGCTGTCAACCCCCTGTGTTGCAAATATAATGTGATTTTATCTTACAAAATCAAATTTTCTTTGAAGGACAGAAAATAAGTCACATCTATTTTATGACTGCACCTCCCTTGATTAAAATTAAACACTTGATTTGCTTAAAAAATTTGCAGCGAACATTCAGAAGTGACTCTCAGGGAATCAGAGCCTGTCAAATTAATCTGTTGCTTGTCTGAAAAGTAAGGACATGAAATTCAATTTGGGGCTCTCCTGATGTCTTCGTAAGCAGCTTTCACCAGCACAGCTGACAGGCAAGTGTACAAACAAAGATTAGTTCAAGCACAAATACCTTTAATAAGCCTGGGGGAGGTTTGTTTACAGCTAATTCATTAATGATTGAAAGCAGAAGATTGAGTATGTTTCAAGTGTATTGAGATCAAATAATCTCATCAGCTCTTGGGTTTAGCTCAACAAATTAATTGGCAGTATGTAAATCAATGTTATGCAATTTGGGTCTGTTATTTTAATCATTAAGGTGATTATGAAAATTAGCTCTTAGTAGCTCTTCATCTCTGTTGATAAAAGAAAAACCTCTGCTACAGCTGAAAATGAACATTCACTGTTTGAGGTTTTTCAGTGTGTATACTTTAAGGATTTTACAAATGTGGACAGATTTTCATCAAAATTAAGAGGAAAATAATACACTTCAACCAGCACATTACTCTTTTAACCTAAATCTCAAAACCTTTAGGAGTTTCCTCACCTAAAGCGTCAATAATAAAGAACCTGTTGCTGATTTTCCACCTCAAACTTTTTTAAGCATCAGACTGACGACTTTCTGTACAATACAGCAGCCCTCCAATCACAGGCAGAGGCAGAGGCAGATGTTAACCCCGTGGTTATGTTAGTTATAAGTATATGAAGAAATATTCTCATGAGGATGCTTATAGACATGAATGTGAGTTTCTGACTTGTTCCTAAGCAACAGTAGACCTGTGAGCCCAGTGACAGATGGTTGCTGAAGTTATTTTGGTTTAGAGGGGTAGGAGAAGGAGGCAGCCACAAGGTGCCTGGACAGAGGAGATGGGGTGGTAAGAAGGGGGGGGGGGGGGGATTTCCATTTAACATGAGGGAATTGGCAGCCTAGCAACACAAACTAAGTGAAGACATCCATAGCAACGAGGCGGGGATGTTTGACCCCACCCACCCCCCGTAATTTTACAAGACTAAAAACTCATGACTGGCACACCCTCTCACACTTCTCTGCCTCTTTCCTCACACCCTCCTTTTTTTAGTTTGCAGCTTTATCAGCTGATCACAGCAAGAGCTGTTGTGACGGATGATATGTACAATTAATCGCCAGGACAACCATGGTGAGTAAAGTGTGCATGACAGAAGTGTGTTTTGGTTATTAGATACATTGGACCATGTATCGCATGGTGCAGAGAAGACAGTAGAGACCATTTTTGTCGCCTTAATCATGCAGAAGTAAATACATTCATTCATTCATACTCTGATACAGAGAATGTAGCACCACATCAGCCCTACACTAAGCAAACATCAGTCATTGAAGCTGTTTTAAGGAGATAATGACTCCTTTGCTTTGATTTGCATGGGGACATTAGACTCTAGGTGTGTGTGTGTGTGTGTGTGTGTGTGTGTGTGTGTGTGTGTGTGTGTGTGTGTGTGTGTGTGTGTGTGTGTGTGTGTGTGTGCGCGTGCATGTGCTCTGCCTCTTCTGTTGTGCGCCTGTGGTAGTGTGTGCATTTGAATAGCTGTTTTTTTTTTGAGGGACTGAGAGCAGATTTCAAGAAACTAACTGAAGAAATTCCTGCTCTGTCTCTTCAGTGGAGACATCTCATGCACTGTACAAGCCACTACCCATTAGCCTCATTACCATTTAGATACATTTCCACATCTCAATAACACAGACCAACACAGCAGGCTCACTGGACACATTCAGCCAGTTTGTTCTTTTTTTTCTCATTTCTTTTAGCTGTCTTCTTGTTTCAAAAGCATGAAATATTAGACTTTCAGTTTTAACATCTGAAACAAAAAACACAGAACAGAAATCCCCTCACTCTGTCTTTTTTCCCACCCTTATTTGTCCCCAGCTGTACATTTATCTATTTTTACTTTGTCAACATATAAGCTGTGGTCCCCTGAGAAGGAAACATGAGCTGCAGATCCAGAGGGACAAGAGGTGAAGTAGAGGGAGAGAAGGAAGAGGCAAAGCATTGTAAACAAACACACATTGTCCACCATCAGTGTCATCAGACTGCCAACCCTTCACAATAAAAAAAAACAAAACATATCCCATACTCGATGCCAGCAGGAAAGGGTAGGCCGGTGACCAAACACAGATTTTGTCTGGCAGTGATTGTATTTTGATATTAGCTCTGTGAGAGGTGTTCTCAGGCTCAGTGAAAAGCTTAAAGGGCTCCAGATAGATCTGTAACACAGGTCAGGACTCCTCCAGCCCCCTTCCCTCGTTTGGCCCCCTCCTCTCTTTCTGTTCAGCCTTAATTGGCTGCCATCTGACCTGGTCTCTGACATTTTATTCAGGACAACCGGCGCTATGCTCTTCCCCAAATACCATTCACAAGGGGGTGAGGGGTGGGAGGTGGCCTCAGAGGGCTTTGGCGCCAATAGATCCAAATCAGTCAATACTGGAGAGACATTTAATTGCCCTCAGTGTATAACCTGCATCATCCACCCACACTGAGACTTTAATGCCAGCAGAACAGTTGACTATTATATGTTTTCTACTTTTTTCTCTATTTCTGTCATTTCTTCTTGCTGCACTTCTTGGACATGGGTGGCAGTAACTTAGCAACCAGCCAGAGAATAAGAGCAGGGCATGGGGATAAAGATTCAATAAATGGACAAATACAGAGATAAGAAGCATTGTCTGCTTCTATAGCCCAAACACACACACATACACGATACACGATACACACACACACACACACACACACACACACACGCGCCTTCCAGAGTTCATTTCAGTGGGGCAATCTTGGCTTTTATCCCATTTGCTTTCTCTTTTCTTATTTATTTTTTCTTCTTTCAGTAGCGAATTACCCTGTGTGCAATCATTCAGTGAAATGGGGAGAGGACCTCTGCGGCAAGCACCCACCAGATTCATAAATTTGGGGAGGAGGCCAGAGATGGATGGTTTCTGGGGGTATATAAGACAGAAATGGCCCGTGACTCAGTCAGTCCCGTTCGCCTAAAAAATAGAGAAAAAGCTGAGTACACCAACCTTATGAACTTTTTTGAATTGACAAAGTACAGTACAGTGGTATTTTTATATTGTCTTTTCTGAGTCGTTTTGTTTTATATGGGACAGTGTATGGAAATGTGTATGTGTGCTGTTTTTGTGCATGTCTTTAACGTACTGCAAATGAATTTCCTCACTGGGACAATAAATCCAACCTGCCTACCTACCTTTACAGAATACACATGTATATTTATGTAACATGTTTTTTTAACAATGTTCTTCAAGGTAAAGGCCTCCAGAAGAGCACGTTCTTCTGCAGCGTTGACTTTTTGAACTGGGGAGCACCAGTTGTATTTTTACCAACTGCTAAGTGCTGGGCTGTTCCTAAACCAGTAGAGGGCAGTCTAATATGCAAAATCATTTCAATAATGTCTGTGCATGCTGAAACCAGCAACAGTATGAAGCCTGATATTAAATAAGATGCATTCAGTATGTGATTTACCTAATCACCTGCAAATCAACACACATGTTTCAAGATAAGGTAAACCTTGCACAACTGGATTCGATTACATGCATCTTTATTTCAATTTTAAAGTTGTGTTTGCCTTAACATTTATATATATATATATATATATATATATATATATATATATATATATATATATATATATATATATACATATATCATTCATTTGCATATGATTTGTCAGTAAGTGTTTGACAGATGGGAGAGTAGGCTACATAATTCGTGGATTGTAAAAAGTTGTGTAACATTATAGATGTCCCCAACTCGCACTTATGGTATAAACTGGCATCCTTTAATGTGTAATCTTCTTCTTCTTCTTCTTAGAGAAAGCCAAACACAAGAACGTGAAAGCTGAGTTTCATTGTAAATAAGTGCCAAAATGAGTAGAGTGAATTACTGTTGGCCCGTGCTTGCTTGATGATGTTTAGATGAAATTCAGTTTACTACGCCCAGTCTCATTTTTATCTCTCACTTGTTTCATACAAAAAAAAAAACACACACACTTGCGCAGGTCTATAGATTACGTTAAGGTAGCCTGTTAAGTACAAAACAGCTAAATCATCGACTTAAATATTCTTAATTATGTGTTATTTCATTGCTTAGCTATGCGAACTAAAGTGGTCTCTGTGATAGGCTATTTAATCACCGACACGTTACTCATTAACTGGTCCATGAGTCTAATCTACGAGGCAGGGCTGTATGAGCCAACATGTGTTTAGTCAAGTCAAGAATGAGGAAAGACGGCCAAGTATCGTAGTGAACAAGCCCACAGGGAGCACAGACGGCTCATGTCAGTTCAGCCCCGTTACTCTCCGACCATGGCGACTTTCTGTCGACTTTTTCTCCTTCTGTCGGCGCTGACAAACGCTCTCGGTAAGTGTTATTAATGTTTTTAAACTTTGTTGTTCTTTTAAAAGTTTCACCTGCTTTGACGACCCGGGGGTCTTTCCGCCAGATTTGTGAGGCGTCGTTGAAATTACACGCACTATTTCTACTCTGAGTATCACAGCCAATGTGATGTGCAATCCATCAAAACTATCTGAAAAGTATCTGAATAATTTAGTTTGTTCACTTGGCTGGAGGGACGCTGTTGGTTGTTAGTTCACTGGAGCTTTAGCCACCTTTCCTTATAAGGGAGTAAAACAGCCAGGATGTCTTTCCTTAAACGACCGGAGTCCTCATGATTCACGGGTCTTGACAACCAAAAAACATCATTAAACTACAATCAAAAGTGCGCAACATTGTTTGACCAACTCTGTCAACTTCACCTGTTTATTAACATGATATTTAGTAGCTATGTGTTACTAAAGTTTTACACTTAAAGGACCCTCTATAAATGACAATTCATATGGGACACTGGGCCAAGAGTCAAATTAGGTCAGTGTTCTTATTTGGATTCAGTTTGATTGTAATGCTTTTATTAAATAAAATCCTATTGATAACTGAGCCTCTGTATTAACTCCAGTGGGCCACACCCTCAGGTTGTTTCAGATACCAGTGAAAGGGTTTGAATCAAACTGAATACCTGACCGACAAAGATTGATATAATTTGCCTAAATGGTGAAGGTGTAGCATCATAACTGTTGGTTTAAGGCAACAGTTCCATGTCTGAAAAGTCTGATGTACATGTTAACTTGTTCTGACATGCTGTTTGATCTATTTCTGTTTCTATATTATGTTGCACAAATGATAAGTGATAAAAATGTACCCTGAGTGACATTTCTGTATCACAGGTTCCAATATCTGCACGTCCCGAGGATCCACCAATTGTCAACAGTGCCTGACTGTTGATCCCAAGTGTGCATGGTGCTCCCAGGAGGTAAACACACCAGACGCACTCAGACTCAGGGTGTCTCAGGCGCTCCTCCTATTCATTACCCAATGCAGCAAGTTTGAACAGAAACCTCATTTACCAACAACATTCTTCCTGTTAGTATCCTCAAAAGATCATCTTTAGCAAAGAAACAGACTCAAGTGTATGAACACATGAGATTAAACACACAAGGAAAACAGGTGTTGACAGAAGAGCTTTGACTTGAGACATACCTGAGCCATAAGTCTCATCCAGTAAATGACAACAAAAGAGACACCTCTTTCATTGAGTTTCTCCTGTGTGATGATTATGCCTAACATAGTAGCTTCTGTTTTTGTCATAGGAATTTGGAAAGGGGGGATCCAGCATTTCCAGGTGTGACCTGAGTCAGAATTTACTGGATGGAGGGTGCAGTGAAGACTCTGTGGAGTTCCCATCCAGCACGATGACTGTCCAGAAAGACAAAGAACTCAGTGACAAGGCCACTGGGTCTGCTGGTCATGTCACTCAGATCAGGCCTCAAAAAATCAATTTGAAACTAAGACCAGGTACTGTGAAACCAAACCATCAATCACTTACCTTTAAAAAGTCTTCTTGTGTGCATTTAAACCTTTTTTATACATTGTCTCCCTCCCAGGGGATTACAAGCAGTTCACGGTGTCGGTGAAACAGGTGGAAGATTACCCAGTGGACCTCTACTATCTGATGGATCTTTCATTTTCCATGAAGGATGACTTGGATCGCCTTCGCACTTTGGGCAATGATCTTGCCAAGACCATGGGTCGCACCACAAGCAACCTACGCATGGGGTTCGGTGCATTTGTAGATAAGACTGTATCACCATACATGATCACTTATCCTCCAGAGGCAGTGAAAAACCCTTGTCATGGGTAGGTAATTGATTTAAGTTAAGAGAGAGGCAGAGACTCTTGATTTATTTTTAGAAAGTGTCTGATTGTCTTAAAAACTGAGTTTTTCTCTCCACCGATTTCCAATTTAACATACAGAATACATGAAACATGCTTGGCTCAGTTCGGGTTTAAGCATGTGTTGTCACTGACGGAGAGGGTGGCTAGCTTCAATGAGGAGGTGGGCAAACAGCTGGTATCAAGAAACAGAGATGCTCCAGAGGGTGGGTTTGATGCAATCATGCAGGCTGTGGTATGCAAGGTATGAATAAAATACTATCAACAGATACATCTACACATGCACTGATTGAATGTGTGCGCACATGAATATTCACCTCTCCTGTAGAGGTCATGCATATTTCTGTGTCTGTCATTGTTAGGACAAGATTGGCTGGCGTCCAGATGCCTCACATCTTCTGGTGTACACCACTGATGCCAAAACTCACCTTGCTCTCGATGGTCGTATAGCTGGAATTGTTCAGCCCAATGATGGACTGTGTCACCTTGATAATGAAAATGTTTACAACAAAACAACTGTGCTGGTAAATACATTAAAGTATATCAGTTATCACGATCAGTATCAGTATGGATTAGTTTAAGGAGCTGTGTGAGAAAACCTGCTTCCATTAAAAACGAATTGTTCCCTGTTATTCCAGGACTATCCTTCCTTGGGGCTCATGACAGAGAAAATGTCTGAAAACAACATCAACTTAATTTTTGCTGTTACCAACTATGTGTTACCGCTGTACCAGGTAAACAAACTTTCCTGCTTGTGCTGCAACATAAGTCTGTCATAAAACAATCAAAACCATTTTGATTATCATTTGGTTGTCATTCTGTCTTCCCAGGAATACAGTCAGCTTCTTCCTGGCACAACTGTGGGAATGCTGACAGGTGACTCTGGGAATGTGATTGAGCTGATTGAGCAGGCGTACGCTGTAAGATTCTCTTTCACTTAAAGGGATATTCGGGCGTAAAATTAAGTTAGGGTCAAGCACACTGTAACATCGAGTGAGACCCCCCTGAGAGATGAGATGAATGTTGCCGACTGTGTGCTTCTCTAGTTATACCAACTTTAGTAATGTCCGCATGATAGTAATGCACAGCGGTCTATGGCTCCACGTGCAAACCTTAACCAATAAGCGACTCTATAGCCACAAATAATGCTCAGAACAGCACCTAACTTCATCAACAGTACATATAGGGTCCCAGCCATAGTACTAGCTATCAAACATCTTTTTAGCTTTGCCTGGTTCCTTTAGCAAAGAGTCCAAACACAACTCACCCACTCTCCTGCAGCAGCTGCTTGTTTGTGGAGGAAGCCCTGACAAGTCTATCACCGAGTGCAGCAGAGTTTTGCAGCCCAAGGAAGAACATTTATGATCATTACTTCATGGAAATGCAATCAGACTGAGATGCTAAGGCAGAGGAACTACTGTGTCTGCAGTGCAAAATGATTATTATTATGATTATTACTTCATGGAAATGATCCGCGGCACTCTATGCTGTTCTGAGCATTATTTGTGGCTATAGAGTCGCTTTTTGGTTGAGGTGGAGACATAGACCACCGTGTATTGCCATCGTAATAGCAATACACGGGTTATGTTTTGTTTAACCAACCTAAAGTTGGTTTAACTAGAGAGGCAAGTGGTTGGCAATATTCATCTCTCGAAGGGGTGTATAACTTGGTGTTAAGGTGTGTTTGACCCTAACTTAATTTTACGCCCTTTAAAACAATATAGGAAAACATGTTGAAAAAAACAATTGACTTCATCTTTTTCATTTGTAGAATTGTGTTGCGAGGTTCAACCTCTAACAAATACATTTATAATTGTTAGAAAATCCGCTCAAAAATGGAGCTGGAGGTCTTGGATGTCCCAGAGGAGTTAAACCTCTTGTTTAATGCCACCTGCCTGAATGGAGAGATCATCCCTGGAGTCAAGTCCTGCTCTGGCCTCAAAGTTGGTGACACGGTAAGTTTTCGATTGAGCTGCATGTTTAATACACATACACAAACTTTCACAGAGACGTTTCTTCTCTCCAGGTGTCATTCAGCGTGGAGGTGCAGTTGAGAGGTTGCCCCAAAGAGAAGAGTCACACTTTTACCATCAAACCTCGAGGCTTTAAGGACTCACTGGAGGTCACAGTGGAATATGCATGCAGCTGCAACTGTGAGGCAGATGCTGAAGGCAACAGTACCCTCTGTAGCAACGGCAACGGGACCTATGAGTGTGGCGTGTGTCAGTGTCATTCAGGTCGTCTGGGCCCACGATGCGAATGCTCAGTTGAAGACTATAATCCAACTGACGATGCCAACTGCATCCCAAAGCCAAACAGCCCAGTCTGCAACGGAAAGGGCGTCTGCTTGTGTGGACAGTGCTCCTGCCATGCAAGTGAGTTTGGTCAGGTGTGGGGCAAATACTGCGAATGTGACGACTTCAACTGCCTGCGCTTCAAAGGGGAGCTGTGTTCAAGTAAGTACTGTGGTACTAATGTGTTTTCTTTCAGGGGTTTTGTCAATACAATGAAACGAATTTGCTAAAACCCAGTGAAGGAAGTGCTGTGGTTAGACCTAGAACATGCATCAGCTACTCAGTTTTGACACCAGTAACCACCAAATTGTCACTTGCTGCATTATAGAGAACATGGGAACCAGCATTAACGAGAGTGCAAAATATAGGAACAAATAATAAAACTGATTTGCCTCAATTCAAACTAGGTTGTGTCAAAAATCTCAAAACAGAGAAAAGACGTTCAGATTGAAAAATGAAAACGAGGAAGTTGTAAATTCATTTGACCCTACCCTCTACGAGGTCCTGCTGTTGGCAAGGAAAACGAAGTAGCCCCTCCCTTCCTATGAGACCTTGTCTGACTTGGCTTGAAAACTCTCTGGTTGTTCCTCATCACTGTCAGCCTGTAAACACACCATATTCAGTTTTCCAAAGAGCTCTGATAGTTAGGCAAGCAATGGATCAAAGTCTACAGCCTTTTCCGAACCCCATGGTTCATAATTATATCCTTCCTTGTAAAGGACAGGTGAATAATTGCATTGTTTGGCTGCTGAGCAGAAACAGCAGTGAGAGATCCTCTGTCATTTGATATGTGTTTGTATTATTGCTGCTCTGCTATCACCCCCACCACAAGTTTGGACAGATCAGTGCACAGTTACTCAATCAAGATGATGAAACTGTGATAGGCTTTTTTTTAGGTTGTGCCATGAGCAGCAGACTAGCAATGGCAAAACATGTATCTGCCCCTTTATTTTATCATTTAAACACACTTTAAAGCATTTTATAAGGCTCAAAATCATACAATAAATCCCAGGAGTGTGCTTTTTTAAATCATAAGGTACATGATTTCTAGTTTCACAGTAATTTGTGGGGATGATTGTTATTTGTTACAAAAGTCCTAAATCTTGTTTATATACTAATTACAGCTCCACAGTCCTGCAGGTTCAAAATTCACATAAAATAACAACAGTATCTTCTCTGGGCGTCTTGTATGCAGACCACAGAGAGGTTAGAGGATCATGTCTGCGTTGGCAAACTGAAAATGTCCCAAACATAACATACTTATGTCACCAAGGAGATGCTGGAGTCTTTCTCAAGGGAGGTGTTTTATCTGAGAGACCAGTACTGAAGCAATCAGTGATGACAGCCAGGGCTTGGTCATCCCATAAGCCCACCCACACACCATAAACAGACAGCTATTACTGGTGTTAGACAGTCCATAGAGCTTAATTTGAAACCACTGAGAAGTTGTGTCTCAGTACAGTCGTGACGTCATTGTGTTTAAAGAACAAGCGTCCCTCAGCCCCAGCTCAATTGGAGGTACCAGACCCGTGTCTCCAAAAATCTGTGTCTTAGTGATATTCCCTGTGGCTAAGTATTTCTTCCTCTGCTGAGGGAGTGTAGGACTGTTGAGGGGCGAAGGAGCAGGAGTCAGCAAGCACAGCCCCAGGTTATACTGAGGGAGGAGAAAACAGGAAAGTTTGCATTCCTCTGCTGGCAGTTTTCCAAATCTCTTTTCACTCCGCTATGTCTTCATCCCGAGCTGCACTGCATGCTGCTCTTCGCCACTCGTCTCCTAACAGGGTTATGTTTTGTTTAACTGATCTGTCTTCCTTTTTTTGTCCTTTTTATTGTAGCCAAGAAGCTAACCTTTGCTTAAGCCGAGGCATGTGATTAATTGGCAGGATGACTGTGCAGCCTCATGCAAAGAGGGGAATGATGTAAACACCCAAGACTCCCACTAAAGTGTGTTGACACATATCAGCAAGAGCAGAGCACTTTCTTACTTTTATTGAATTAAAATACTCAACCCTGCCAAAAAAATAAAAATCATTAATGAAGTAGTTTTGCAAAAAATGTTGGCCAACATTTTACAGGATGTAAAGCAATTGATCAACTAGTAACCCCACATCAAATAATGACCTCTGATCCTATCACAATTATAAACACACCCAGAGAAGCCACTGTTGACAGGTGGAGACTGGGGAATTGTTTTCTTATATTTACAACAGCCAATGATTTGCTTTGAGCATATGGACCCTTAGACCCTCTGTGTTATTTCATGACCAGTCACTCCTCTAGGCTGGTCCAGCTGGGCTCTGACTCATTCCCTTTGGCACTTAGTCATCCATTTCCAAATCCTGTTATGTTTCCTGCTAAGATCTTTGCTGTCTTTGGGGGCTCTGCCTTTCAAAGGGAGCATAAAGTGCTGATTTCTCACTTTGTAGGGATCGACCACTTCTAGTTTTTCAGGACCAATACCAGTGTCAATTATCAGTAGTTCATGAGACTGATAACCAAAATTTGGAATGGATGTGCATTGACAGTAAGAATGAAACTCTTTCTGTTAAAATGTAGAATTTGGAATATTACAAACTCCACAAAACTTTTTTTTAGATGCCTTTAGCAAAAGTTAAATGAACCATTTAACGTCATATCAATTAATTGAAGAAAATAGGCTACCACTTACAGTGTAGTTACATCACACCATCAGGTGACGTCTAGCCGGTCATATAGTGTTGTGGGCGGGACATTAGGTGGGGCAAAGCGTTGCAAGAAAACATATCCTAAAGGGAATTTCACAAATACAGTGGTGAACTCTTTATTGAACTAATTTTATTGGCCATCTGCAAAACTGAGGCAAATACAGATAATCTAAAAAATGTCAACGGTCAATAATCAGTCGACGCTTATCATTGAAACGCACTTCTTACAATAACCAAGCTTTTGTTCCTGTCTACAGTTCATCAGAACTTATGAGGAAGTGTTTGTACCCCTGTGGATAAGGAGGTGTGGGATCATTAAGGTGGACCCGCAATACAACACTTCCTGCCTTTGTAAAAAAGCAGATGGTTCAGAGATAAATCATACTGAGCACTGAACAGTCATTTCCAAGTTATTCTGTGACTTTGTTTTAGATAAATCGAAGACGCTAAGATAAACAGTGCTGCATGTACATCTTATCTCTGATTATTCAAGCCCAAAACCAACTTATGCAGCACTCACTGAAAATACCATCAGTGATTAGTTAACACACTGATTTAAAATAACTAATAAATAAAGAAAAAAGTGTCAAAATATTAAAGATAAAAACACAAATTATGAATAAGTAACAGATTATACTTAATACCTGTAATTGCACAGTAGCAGGATCTACTGCAGACATACTTGCCCAATCATGCAACATGTTTAAACACATCATAGGTTAAAAGGCCACAATGTCTTACAGAGACAACTATGACACACACACACACACACACACACACACACACACACACACACACACACACACACACACACACACACACACACACACACACACACACACACACTTTGGTACATGTACTCAGAGGTTCTTATGTAGTCTTCAATTCAAATGACTCAAATTTCACGAACTTTTTCATGCTTTTTGATTCGTAGATCATGGGAAGTGTGACTGTGGTTTCTGTCAGTGTGATGCTGGCTGGAAAGGGAAAAACTGTAACTGCACCACACGCACAGACACCTGCATGTCCAACATCGGCCTGCTGTGCAGCGGTCGGGGAACCTGTGAGTGCGGGGTTTGCCAGTGCACTCAGCCGGGTGCTTATGGAGCCACCTGTGAAAAGTGCCCAACCTGTCCTGATTCCTGCACCATTAAGAAGTATGCTCTCAGTTCAGTTTTTCCTCACTAACAAAAGATGAGACAGAAAACAGAAAGAAAAATGTAATGTATAAACTTCAAAACTAATCCGGTCATCTTTCCTATGCTGAAACATTTGTGTTTCAAGTTTGTTTGTCTTGAGGTTAAGCATGAGAGGAAAGTTTGTCTTTTCCCCCTCAAAGCATTAAAATGTTGAGCTAGTTTGAAAAACATGATCTATTATGAGTCACTGGGAGAGGTCTCCTACCAAAGTTGACATTTTGACCGGAGGGCAGTGTTTGAAGAAAGCTCACTGAGTTCCCAAGCTTTTAGAGCTCATCCTTTGGACACCATTTGATGTTTTTTTTCCCCCCAAAATTGTTTAAGTTCTTTCTGTAGCATTTTAGGGCAAAGATTTTGACTTTTCAGTGGCACTAAAAAGACTGGAGACAAAGTTTTTAAAACAGTAGAAGATTACTTATGGTTGACCATGATTACTCATGGTCAATATATAAGATTATGAAATGTTTGAAAAGCAGAATCTTCTCAAACATACAAACAAAGAGGCCACCTAAATATTACAGTATAACCCTTCTGACATCTATATCTGGGCCATTCCTGAAAAATCAGTGTCTAGGATGAGGCTGCCACTAAGTTGGCCAGTTTCACTCTGCATAATATCATTCCTTTAGTCCACAGTGATAAAAAAAAGACTCTCACTTTTATTTGTATCAAACTCTGGTTTAGTTTATTTCAGATAAAGATCAGACTTCTCTCAAAGCTGCCAAGAGTCAGCAGATGTTAACACCTAACAGATCATTCTCAGTGACGCTATACACCAATGTTTCTTTTAGTTTGTTCACTCCTTACAAATGAGATTTGACTTTGCACTGACAATAAAAAACACTGACATTGTCCAAAATAAAACTGACTGTGTGGTCCTGCTTGCAGGAAGTGTGTTGAGTGTCAGCACTTTAAGAGAGGACAGTACATCACAGACAACAGCTGCAGTAGAATCTGCAAGGATGAAATTATCCCTGTGGATGAACTGAGTAAGAAGTTTCTCTTTTGTTTCTTCATTACATGTTATAGTGTTAATTACTGTTGTTTTACATACATATATAAGCATGTTTTACTAGCACTTGAGGCATGCCTTTTTGCATGCATTGGGATTCAAAAAGGGTAAACATGTTTTGAATTTTCAATGTTTTTATGACCCTTTTTCTTCTTTCTTCTTCTTTTCTTTTCTTCTTTTTCCCACAGGTGATAAAAAGAATGCAGTTAATTGCTCCTACAAGGATGTAAATGACTGCGTGGAGCATTTCCAGTATTATGAAGATGCAAGTGGCAAATCCATCTTGTATGTAATAAAAGAGCCAGGTATGATTGCAGTTTATGTGCCTGTATGTCACATTTCAATTGGTCTTTGACTGGCCTACCTGGCCAAAGAAACTGGGGAAAAGGCTTGACACTAACTGCATCCAGTTACTTTTTTTTTCTTAAGAGCAAATCAGCCAGCAAACCATAGAAACTCATTCATGCGTCAATGATGAGTAAGTGTGTAAAGGCATTTCTGACTCAGGGCTGATGTGGATGCTTATCTCCCCAAGAGTGCTTTACTCCTTAAACTGACAAATGCAAACACTGAAGCCTTTTCTCTTTCTGCCACCCTTCTTTTCTCTGGACCTTCAGAGTGTCCTGAGGGTCCAGACATCTTGGTTGTGCTCTTAGCGGTGGCTGGAGCCATTCTCTTACTGGGCCTTGCTGGCCTGCTCATATGGAAGTTGGTGGTCACCATTCATGACCGCAAAGAGTATGCCAGGTTTGAGGAGGAGAGAGCCAAAGCCAAATGGGATACGGTAAGAATTAATGAGTGAAATGCTTTGTGTATGCAGTAATCATTTTGTCTGTAAGAAATTAAAGTAGTACTCTAAATTCAGCAACAGAAAGTCTGCGCTCTACAGTGGAAAGTCTAAACTGTACTTGGAGGCATTGCATACCAATACCAGAATTGAATAGCATTACTTCTTTTTTGCTCTCTAGGCTAACAATCCCTTGTATAGAGGAGCCACATCCACTTTCACCAATGTAGCATACCGAGGCAACTAACCACCAAAAACAATGAAAACAACTCAGGGGTCAACGACAAAGATGGAATGTAATAGCAGAGAGACGGCTGGGGGAAGATCCTCTACACTGGCATGTATCCGGCTGCTGTAGCTGATAAGTAGTTCTTGCTGTCAACAACATGATGCAATAATTGTACATTTTGTAAAAACAACTTGAGCTTTTTATCTGGGTTAGCTGTATGAAATTGAATTTCCTGTTGTACTTTGACATATCTTAAGAGTTCTTTAAGTGCTGTTGTATAAGTTACTTACATAGGAAACACTTGGGAGATGTTTCAGCTCAACCAGTGACATGGTGCACCCCATGTACAGATGCTAATGGCCCTCTATTCATCGTGCTATCTCACTTATAGAGTATAAAAGCCCCAAGAGTCATCTTAAAGAAATTAAGGTCACAGTCTACATTCAGTTTACTGTAATGAGCACTGTCATTGAGAAGCTTAAGAATCTCTTACACCAAACAACGTTTGCTTTCAAGGCTTTGTATAAATAGGTACATTTACGTCAAATGTGCTCACATATTTGAACAAAATAGATATCACCATGACCAAATAGTACTAAGTGGATCTTAATGAACACATATATAAATTGTCTTATCTGATTTTTATTTTAAACCTCTTGAATTATGGCTCAGGTGTGGGAAACTTGCTCTCTCATAGAGCAGCTTCACTCTTTGTTTTAAAACTTAAATGGCTAATTTAGGAAGTACCACAGCATAGTTCATCATTATGGATGCAATAGAGTTTCAAATTCTTATTATGAAATGTTTTTATGATTATTTTTGTACAACATTTTCTTTTAAATAATGCAGCAATTTGTGGGGTTTTTGGCTTTAAAAAGAAATTAACCCTTATATTACAGCCTCTGGGCTGATTTGGTTTACAGTGATGCTTGTGTTATTCTGAAGATTGTATTATAAATGCACACAGTTCCTTTTTTTCTGCCTCATCACCTCTTTTTGTGTTTGCTTAATTTTTATTTTGTCACTTCTTTATCGTAAGATGCTTGTTTTTTTTTTCTTTTGTTTTTCTACTGATGCAGAGTGTTACACTGAAACTGCGTGTGTCTGAGCAAAGTAATTGCACATAAAGTTGTATTGGCCATTATTTTACATGTAAAATATTGCTGTTACTCTTTCAAACCTCTTAAAGAGAATAAATGACAAGGTGATGTGTATGTTGGGTCTACAGCTCTGATCATTGCTCAGGATGGGTCTTTAGTTCTTTTCTCTAATATTCTAAAAGATGTTTTAGTTTCACTCTGGTTTGTCACAAACAAGGAATAATTGTTTCTTTAAAATCCAAACAAACATTTTTTTTAGTTCAAAAGCATTATTGGAATTATTGGAATAGGAAAATGCAGATTTTTGAGAAACTCTGTATTTACCCTGTCACATGGACAAGTGTTAACCTTTTTGGATGTACCTGTAAAAAGTATCACTGAAGTCCTGACAGTTTCATTGAGAAGCTGAATGTGCCATTTCACCTTGTAGCTGTGTTGTGACTAATGTTTACACACTCAAGACAACATTCAGTTGATATTTTAATGAAAATATTGTAAGTTGTGAAGAAAACTGATGGAAATATACTTTCAACTCATTATAATGCAGCAGTTACCCAAGTCAGTTACGAAACACTACAAAAACAGTGTTACCTTTTCTGTCATCCTGTATCATGTGTCACCAGCTGTATCATGTCATACCATGTTTTCCTGTTATATGGCTAATCTGATCAAGTTGAGGCAGTGGTTTCCTGTCTGTCCTTGTGGACTTCTGTGGTGTCTAATCTCTTAAAAATTCACTGTCACTCAGCTTTGCACTTTGAAGAACCACAATATTTTTCTGTCACCAAATCCTGTCTAAACCAGCCTGATGCGAAAGAGCCTGTGTTGTATCAAGTTGGGTTAATGCACAGTATTAGTGCTTTAGTTTAAGTGGGTAATAAAAAGGTACTTTCATCACAGTTGTCTTTTTATATTCATAAATTGCCATATTAAAATGGCAACCATGAAATCGGTGCCTTTTCAGCTTTAAAATTTTAAAATTTAAACTATATTTAATTGTTAATTTTTAAGTACCCAGGAATCAAAGAATGTTTAAAATAGCAGGAAATTATATTGTGCCATCTCAGGCTGTGTTAGTTCATATTGTATAACCGTTTTTCTCCTGGCTGTTTTCATAATCTTGTCAACCCTGTTACTGACATAAAAAATTACAATATTTCTAATGAGAAATATGCAATAGATGGTACATATATTAGCAGTACTTTATTATATATATATATATATATATATATATATATATATATATATATATATATATATATATATATATCTCTCTCTCTCTCTCTCTCTATATATATATATATATATATATATATATATATATATATATATATATATATATATATATATATAGCCCATGTATTTTTTTTTACTTACATTTATTTTTACTTAGCCTACCCATTAATTTTACCGCTCATGGGAATAGGCGATCACAAAAAGTTTACGAATGTATGCTGAGCAGTTAACATTTCTTTTTTTATACGAGTGTAACATTTTGATGCAGTCAAAGTGAGACGCTTCAGTGTAAGTTTCCTGTTGAAACCTGTAAACTTGATTAAATCTCACTCTATTGCAATGATGACCGCAGTGCTTCACGGCTAAGGGTTTCTTTGCACATATCCCCCTCTAGTGGATGAACATTAAACTTATTAAACTCTGCAGAACATTTATGCAGCCTAAAAAGTGTTGTGCAGAAGATTCCGCAACACTGGAGAGGTGAACTGGGTGATAGCCAAACTGCCCCATACCTGCGGATATTTGAAGTCACCCATCATAAATGTTGCATTTATTACCAAATTATACCACAAAGTGCAGTCTATATCGTGTCCATTGAAAAATACCAGTCCACTGTAGTCCTCTTTGGCGACGAAGCCGCACAACACCGCTCCATTTAAAAATAATGACAGTGCCATCTGAAATAAATTCACTAATACTGCCGATCAAGAATATGGAAATGTCCCATATTTCATGAACGCAGCACAAAGAGATGAGCGGCCCTGCCTCCGTGACGTCAGTTTAAACATGGCGGCGCTCCATGCCGTGGACGGAGTGGATGGAGCGAGCGTTGAAAAAGAGCTGATTTTGACCGATTCAGACTCCGGGGATGTAAAGAGACCTCAGTTTGGGACCCGATATCTCACAGATCCGCGGCAGGTCTTCCAACATAACGCATGGTTGGTAACACAAATCTACCCCGGAACACCGGCACATAGGTGTTGGCGTGACAGCAAGACCCACCGGCTCCTGACTGGACCAACTCAAGTTCATGTCTTGACAGCTAGATTGGACTTTTTTCTGTATGAATTAGTTGTGTCAAACAGTTCCAAAAAGTACAAACAAACACTAAGTAAATGTAATGACATGTAACTCACTGTTTTGGGTGTGTTGCATTTAGAAATCTGTTTGCTTTTTGGTAAATATGTTAGCCAGTTATAAAAAGAAACTACTCAATTAAACACATTAATGAAATTCTCTTCTGACACTGCAATTCATTAACGACTCATTTTCTGTTGCCAGACACTGTGTTGTAAGCTGCTTATAAAACATTTAGGCACCTCAGATTTTTGTGAGTTCTTCTGGTAATGGCTCATTTATTCAGGTCGCCCACTGTGTGTACCATTTTAGGCTTAATTCAGTGAGGTCCTTTTCCCCGAACCTTTTGATTTCAGAACTAAAATCTATTAGTATTCAATGATTGTTATGTGTTTCTTGGTTGTTATTCAACAGGGATAATGTGGAGTGGACTGAGGAGCAAGAACAATCTGCGAAGAAGAAGGTTTTAGAGAACAGTCAGCCTCTACCTTCTGAGAAACAAGGTAGTATTGCTAAACCTCTGACTCATACAAATAATACAATATGACATTCATCAAGGATCAGAGGAAAAACATACATCTTTATCACATCAGGATATAGTTGCATAGGCTTATCCTTTCTCATAAAGATGTATTGACCATTCTGTGTTTATTTGTAATTAAAGCAAGATGTATTAGAATCTTAACTGTCTCACCTTACTTTGCAGAGGAATATGATGTCCGGGCGAATGAGTACTGGAATGATTTTTACACAATCCATGAGAATCGTTTCTTCAAAGACCGTCACTGGCTCTTTACAGAGTTTCCAGAGTTGGCCCCACAGTGTAGCCTAAATCGTGAGACCTATCCAGAGGTCTGCAACACAGGGGACAACCAGCAAGACAGTCTGGATCAAGACCAAATGCCAGAAGTTGCATCTTTGTCTCTTACTGATGATGACTTTCCTGGCTCTTCTGCCACATATTGTATTCTGGAGGTGAGAGAATACTTGAAAGAAAGTTAACTTAACTATATAGTAACAATAATCAAGAAGCAAAATATATGCAGTTATATTTATCTCTGCAAAGGAGGCTTCTGTAGTTTTGTTGTCATTTGGTAAGTTTTTCACAAACAAATCTTTTCTAAAGAAACAATTTCAAACAATTCATCTGAAACACTTGCCTCATATGCTATTTTAATGCTTTAGTACTCACAGATGCAAATAAAGCATTTCTAGTAAAATAAGAATAAGTGATCCCACTGACAATAACTTTTTTTGCTGTCACCAAAGTACTATTCTCTAATCCATTTATTGCCATCTAAGCTCACTGATAAAGTATGGGATGCCTGATTCTCATATAACTTGATGTATTATCATTTTTAAAACTAAAGATTTTCATGGATCTGTTGTATGTCTCTACATGTTGGTGTCAGTTATCTTTTAGCTTTTATTAACTTTGCATCTATATGTTGTTGTTTGACATTGAGAACAAAATTTTGCTAAATAAAGGCATGATAGATATATTTTCTGAACAGGTTGGCTGTGGTGTCGGAAATACGGTTTTTCCAATTCTAAAGACCAACAAGTGAGTGGACATAAGACATTAACATGTTTCCAAAGCATGATTACAAGTACTCATCCCTCTGATGCAAACTTATGATGAGCTATCAAAGGTTAAACTTCAGCTTTTCTAATTGCAGTGATCCGGGTCTCTTTGTTTACTGCTGTGATTTCTCCAGTACTGCTGTGGAGTTAGTCAAGGTGAGATGTTGGTGATGATAAAACGATGATGTATTTATCTAAGTATTCATCACTAAGGTTGTTGGCTAACAGACGACTAATCATGGCCTTCTTGTCATCAGACTAATCCAGACTATGACCCTGGACGCTGCTTTGCCTTTGTCCATGACTTGAGTGATGTGGAAGCTAACTACCCAGTACCTGATGGAACCCTGGATGTTATTGTGCTAATCTTTGTGTTGTCAGCGTTACACCCCGACAAGTAAGAGTTTCTCCTTTTGCTCTGTTTACTTGTCATTCAGTGTTTGTGTTTGAACATTGTCTTGAAATTTCACTCTGTCTCAGGATGCAAGAATCAATCAGCAGATTAGCGAGGTTGCTAAAGCCTGGTGGAGTGATGCTGCTCAGAGACTATGGACGCTACGATATGGCGCAGCTTCGCTTCAAAAAGGGTCTGTGAAGCCTCAGTTCAAATAGCAGTTTAGAAAGTCTCAGCTGAGAAAGACTGTGTATCACTGTACTGATAACAATGTTTGAGAAAAAAAAATGTTTCTGACCAAAGTGTAACAGACTAAGTGCCATTTACTAGACTCTGCAGAATAAACAATGTTTTACATTGGTGATTAAAAGCTTAACATCTGTGATTTGAGTTATAATCATAAATGCGGTGCTCTCTTTACTTTAGGAAGATGTCTGTCAGAAAACTTTTATGTTCGAGGGGATGGAACAAGAGTTTATTTCTTTACTCAAGGTGAAAACTTACACCCTCACTCTCTTACTCACACATTCTCATACATTTGTTTTCATGGTTTGTCTGGTTTTATTGCAACATTTTTAACTGAAAATGTGTCTTTCCTGCTTTTATTTCAGATGAACTCCATGAGATGTTTACCAAGGCAGGACTTGAGAAAGTGCAAAACCTGGTGGACAGACGGCTGCAGGTGAACAGAGGCAAACAGCTCACCATGTATAGAGTGTGGATCCAGTGCAAGTACCGTAAGGCCCCGATTATACCACCTGAAACGCAGGGCGGCGGAGAATCTTCACCTGTTATAACCCTTAATCATGACTGAACTTGGGGCTCAAATCAAGAAAGCTCTTGCCTTTTTCTGAGGATGTGGGGGCATGAGAAGCTCCACTGTGCCTGAGGTAAAAGGAATGGTGATGTGCCATAAAGACCTCTAACTGTTTAACTTATCATAATGCTGAGGGACTTGAATTATGGCTGGTGTATTTGACGGTGCCTCCGTTCTGCAAGAAATAGCATAATTGATTTTTCACCAGTAGGTTCAGTTATCAGAAGGGGCTGGTAATCCCTTCACAAATGTTGCTATGATATGGACACTGGTGCTGTTTTTAATGAGCTGATCTTTTGAAATAAATTGCATGATTTGTACAATTTCATGACCATTTTTTACCTGTCAAATGTGAGTCTTCAAATTACTCCAGCAATTCAAAATCTTGGCTCCTGAAACCAGTACTTATGCTTGAATGGCTGCTTTAAAATATGTTATTCTCATATGAATGTGATGTGATGGTATGAGCATCAGGGTGATTGCAACTTCTGACAAGTGATCATTTTGGTGGATGTGTGGGTGGGCTTAGCTAAATTGTATTGTTCAGAGGGATCTGCCATTGGGGCAGGCGTGGACTAAACGAAGGTGAAAATAGTTGAACAATCTCACGAGAAAATATGAGATTTTACTGATTATTGTTTACATTGCAAAAACATGAGATTCGAACCAAATCGATCCGGATTCAACTGAAACGCTTGCAACAGGACAACTTCCGAAACAGACTGATTCTCTCCCCTGCGGCGAGGAAGGAGATCGGAGCCGAACTTCGTTTTGATCGAGCTGAAAGCCAGGACCCAAATTTCGTCTTCCCATCAGGGGAGAAAAAGATAGGGGTAACTAACGCTAGCCTAAAGACTTAATTTATAACTGGTGGAAAACGCAGATTCTCAAGGGCCGCTGTGGTGTGGAGTAAAACAACACTACCCTGCGTGGTATACAGTATGGTCCTTGGAGAGAAGGACGTGATGGGGATCCCCGCCTAAGGAGAACAGCAAGGCGGGTTTGGGATACCCGGGGTAGTCGAGGCCTCCGAGGAAATCCTCCGTTGTCTACCTTGGGCTACACCGCGCGCTCCCGTGTCTTGATCGTTAACAATCAACACGCGAGGGACGCGGCGGTTGATGCGGCCTAGCCTGGGAGGGTCTGCCGAGCATCGGGGAAACAACGGGGACGGTTTCAGGGTTAACACCAGGCCCTCTGGAGGACCGAAAAAACGTGAAATTGCAGTAAGTATCCCGTTAGGTTGTTGTAATTAATAATAAATCTGGACAAGTCTCAAACAACAATCATCCCGAGCATCGCGGCAAGCGCACCTGACAACACAGAACCGAGAAGATGCTTCTTTTTGACAGACGACTCAACGTTAGCCTGTAGGCTACCTAACACAGCTACCGAAGGTGTATTTGTAAAGAATTCACCGTAGCAAACAGCAGCTGTGATGTAGCTGGCCTAACATTGACCAGACATTAATGATGGGGGCAGTAGCAATGACGATTTTCCTCAGTATAACACGTTTCTTAGAAAATCCAATGTAATGTTACACGCTAACGTTAACAGTTAGCTCTTCGGCTGCAATGCTAAAGGATGCCAACATCGACAGGGTTGTTAGCTCATTTACCCGATGTTAGCATACTCACTCGCGGGCCATTAACCAGTGATGTTTTAAATCGTTATCTTTATTATTGTATTGTGTATTCATACCAGAACATTTAACTAAGAGTCCAGTGACTCTATGCTTGGTGTTTATGCTTTAATGGCCATCAATGGTGCAGGTTTCTGTGTCCATCTAATGTATGTAAGCCATAGGTAATGTTCAGACATAACAGTCAGTATGGGGCGTGTAACCTAAACGTTCACCTTCTACACAAGCTAGCAAGTTCGGCTGTTATTGTCCTTAGTGGCCTTTTCCTTGGTCTAAGTATACTTGGCAGTTCCTCCATTAGTGACCTTTCACAACTCCAGCGCCATGCAGCTTAGGCCTATAATGCCAGGGAGTTATCACATGATGCTATAATTTTTAAGACAATAGCTCTCTCACATCTGGCTGAAGTCTTAAATGCATATTCAATATACCTTATTAACTTTGTGTCTGGCCAGGTTGCGCACATTAGTGCTGTGAGTGTTTTACTGGGCACTCAAGCTGAACACACATGATAGTGGAAAACATTATTGTTGTCAGACTTATTGATGACTCAGAACAGGAATTTTCCACATCCATATAGCTAAAAACAGCAATGACTCATCACAACCAGTGCCTTTGAAATAGTGATCCGTCACTCCCACTTCAATATATCAGTCTCTGCTACATCTTTCTTAATCTGTGCTCTTGTGTCTGCAGCCATGATGGAAGAACTGCACAGCCTGGACCCCCGACGGCAAGAGCTGTTGGAAGCTCGCTTCACTGGGGTTGGTGTAGCTAAGGTTTGTGTTACAGCAGATCTCTCTGAGGTGAAGCATTATACCTCTTCAGTTAAAGTATTTATAAACTCTGATTTTCTTGTTTATACAGTTATTGCAAATCTCTTCATTTCTTTGTGCCACTCTGCTTCAGTATCATTCTACTGTTTGGCATGGACAGGCTTGGCCCTGCTCCTTTTCTTTGTCTGTCTCTGGAGAAGGTTGAGCTGTGTCTGTATTGGCTGTTGTGATATGGCATCTCTCCCTGGCTCACGCCGAAGTGCCTGTATGTGCAAGTGGCAATGCCTGCCAAAAAGGCCACAGACAGGACAAGGGTGGTAGGGGGAGGATGAGAGCAGGCAGAGGAGGTATGCAGAAATAGTTCTTGACCAGGTGTGAGTGGGAGCAACATTTAGCCCTCCAGCCTCTTGCTCGCAACATGGATGGAGCTGTCTTTGTAGAAGGTGATCTTGGAACAGTTAGGGAGCGAGAGTCAGCGCCAGGAGTGGGCCCTGTGCCAGCCATAGGCAGAGCTGAGCCCAGAGCATGGCATGGCTGCTGCCGCAGAGAAAATGGCGGACTTCGATAAGGCTTTATCCCAAAACGGTCCTTAATGACAAGAGATGTAATGCATGTTGGGGGAAATTATAGAGATGTGTATAAACAACGGCCATAAAGCAAACATTGGTTGGTGGGCTAGAAGTCCTTCGGTGCAATGTCACATAGCAGAGTAGTGTTTTGTTTTGTTTTTTCTTGACCTTGAACAGCCCCTTTGGCACAGCCTCTCTCCTTCTCTGGCTTCACTGAGGTTATTATAAAGGAAAGGAAAAATGTAATCCTTTTGGACAAAAGTTTGGGACACCTCTTGCTAATGGAACAGAGATGTTAGGTACTGCACTTCCTTTTTGAAGAAGTCTGATCAAACAACCAAGTTATCTTGAGGAGGCTAGGGTGTGAAAATAAGCTCCCATTCTTGGATCGAGTAGCGCATGATGGTATCTTTCTCCGGCTTTTTCCAGGTGAACAGGCGAAAAATGGATGACATTATCTAAAGGTGACAGAGAGAGGGAGGAATATATCCCCAGCAGCATGCCTAATGTTCAGCCATTTTAGGAGGGTTCAGTGAGGGAGCTCTTGTGTGCTCTGAATGACTAAGTATCTCTCCCTGATTGGGCAGTGCCTACTGAATTCTGATGTGATTCATTTGACTGACAGGCATCACCTAGGGAACCGGCATTAGGGCTGGTGTCGGTCTAGATTCAAGGGGAAGTTCGTGTTGATATTTAGTGGAAGCTCTGCAACCTTGCGCTTCATTTCTTACCCATTTACTGTGTTTTCTAGCTCTGCTTGCTCTGTCTCACAAGCACTTCCACACACAACAAGTAGATGTGCATAAATTTTGCAGACACAGTTTACCATATTCGTCTTTTATGGATCCTGCGATTTAATTGCTCCTTGGGCTCTAATTTTATGTATTTTCCCTCTTTTTTACAGGGCTCAGGTCAGAACCAAAATGAGTCATCCAATCAGAGTCTATGCAGTGTGGGTTCACTTAGCGACAAAGAGCTAGAGGTAAGACTGTTACTTTTGTGAACTCAAGTCAAACCATCTCCTTGTGCTGCCTGATTATTCACATGGTTGACTCAAACTCCCTCTCCCCTACAGACTCCTGAGAAAAAAGCAAATGACCAGAGAGTGAGGAAACGGAAAGCAGACCATTTTGACAGCAGCCAGGGTAGGACTTATCAACGGCTGTGAACCTCTCACGTATATCTCACACATCAGCCTCTCTCTTAACTCCATGCCTCTCTCTTCTAGGCAAAGCAGGAGCGAGGGGACATAAAATTAGCGATTATTTTGAGGTGGGTAGCAGGAATGTTTCTTTAACATAGCTTGTGTCCTCTTGGAAATTCTGCAGTATTGGGTCACCTTTCGTACTATCCCTCTAACCTCTTTTTTTAGTCACCTCTGTCTTTGTGTTGAACTGCTTTCTTCTTTTTCCCTCTGAACTTGTCTGTCAGTTTGCGGGAGGTAGTGGTCCTGGTACCAGCCCTGCCCGGGGAATTCCACCAGTGGTCCGCTCTTCCCCACAACACTCGCTCTCCAACCCTCCTGTCACGGTGAGCATGTTTGCTCTAGTCGCTCTCATGCTTTTTTATAATCCACTAATACTTTTTCCTTCATTCTCTCTAACAATCTCTTCATTGACACAAAAATCAAGTTGGTTTCCAGTTGAGTATTTTGATGTGTGACAGCAGTTATTAGGAAAAATATTTTGATAATTAATAGGGATGGGAATCACGAGTGGGCCCACGATACAATATTTTCACAATACTTGGGCCACGGTGTGATATTATTGTGATTTTTACCTTTTTGCAATACAGTGAGTATTGCGATATAATATATTGTATTTTATACAGCTTTTTCAACGGGTTAGGTAATTTAGCATTTGTCTTTCCTTCAAGTTTGTCTTATTTACGCTGTATTTTATTTTCATGTAGCACATCTTGCAAACCATTTATATATTTGTTGTACTAACTTTTTCCTGCTCTATGGTGTCACCTCTGCCAACCTCACTGGACAAACTGTTGATTTAAAATTTTGTCATTATCATAGATTTCATTTCATATTAACAATCAATCAGAAAAAATCGATACTTGGTAAATGAGACAATACGATTTATCATCAGACAAAACATTACGATACTAAGATGTATTGATTTTTTTTCTCTCAGCCCTAATAATTAATCCCTTAGGGTCTTCAGTTTTTGTCACTGAAACGGTCTCCTATTTGATCACGACTGGCAGCTTCTGTAATATTCACAGATGATGACACAGCCTGTGTGAGTAAAGCTTTGACTGGATGGATGTTTCTACCTCCTAGGTGCAGCAAGGAAGTCCGTCATCCGTAAGCTCGGTCAACACAGAGCACTCAACGTGTTCACTGAAGCCTGCTTCTCTTCACCTGCTCCACAAAGCCACACAGGTACCGTACATGTTATCACTGGATATCAGCTATGACTCCTTTTGTAATTCAAAGAAAGAAACTTTGATGTAATCCGCTTTAAAACTAAATCAAGAATTGTTTGTCACTTGAAGACTTTTTGGTACTTGTTGTTTCACTGTAGTTTTCTCTGATGTAGAAAAAAATCCAATCTAAACACTGTTTTGTGCTCACTGTCCTCTGTAGTCTGACCTTACCATAGAGAAACTAACAGCAATGGAGAACAACAAGAACTCTGACCTGGAGAAGAAGGAGGGCCGGATAGACGATTTGCTGAGGGTACTAATCTCATTACGTTTTATCCCCGCTACCCTGCTTGCCGTTTTCAATCATTTTGAGAATATCAACTCTGTTTTGGCTTTTCACTCCCGGCATAGTAGGCTGAACACATTCTGTCTGAATATGAAGAATCAAGTGTATTCTGGTCGTTCATTTTCGCTGACCCTTTTTTTCCTGCTTGTTTTTATGATCTTCTCCAGGCAAACTGTGATTTGAGGAGACAGATTGATGAACAGCAAAGGATGCTTGAACGATACAAGGAACGTTTAAATAAATGTGTGACCATGTCCAAGAAGCTGCTGATTGAAAAAGTGAGTTTGTTTTAAAAGACTCTGATATGTGTTCAGCTCTCAGTTTACAGTGTGGATTTTCTGTGATGGATTGTGTTATAGAAGAGCTGACTTGAGTCACAGTGATAAGACATTTTTGTATTTTTCTTATCTCTCTCTGAAGTCCAAACAGGAGAAAATGGCGTGTCGGGACAAAAGCATGCAGGACAGGCTTCGACTGGGTCACTTCACCACTGTTAGACATGGAGCTTCTTTCACTGAGCAGTGGACGGACGGATATGCCTTCCAAAATCTTATCAAGTGAGGACTTTCTATATAAATATATATATTTATGCTTGCACACTTGATCTTGTTGGTCATAAGCAGTTTTTCTAAATCAGTTTTTATGCGTCACTCAACCTCAGTTCTCTATATGTGATAGTGATAAGTAATGAATGAAATAGTGTGCACATTGTTGAACTGTGGGTTTTCGATAAGCACATCCTCCACTAGAGAAGTTATTGTTTCATTTTGTCCAAGGATTAAAGTCCAAGTGCAAACTCAAGCATATGAGGTCTCTCTTGTGTGTCACTGAGATGCTTTTGTTTCTTATCAGGCAACAAGAAAGGATTAATTCCCAGCGAGAGGACATTGAAAGACAGAGGAAGCTGCTGGCTAAACGCAAACCTCCGTCCATGGCCCAGACTCCGCCCCCTAGCCTGGAGCAAAACAAACGCAAAAGCAAGACTAATGGAACAGAAAGTGAAGCGTACGATGCTTTTGTTTGTTCTCAATCTTTTACATAATTTTTCTCTTATGAACGCAAAGACAACATGTTCTGCTCTTCTTTCTTGCAGGTTATCACAGGCAGAGTACCACGAGCAAGAAGAAATCTTTAAGCTAAGACTAGGCCATCTTAAAAAGGTCTGGGTTTTCTTTTGGTGTAACTTTGTTTTTATTTACCTCTTGTTGTTCAAAGAAGATTCACGATCATTTTGTTTCCCTTTGGCAGGAGGAGGCAGAGATCCAGGCGGAGCTGGAGCGGTTGGAACGAGTGCGAAACCTGCACATTCGGGAGCTGAAAAGGATTCACAATGAAGACAATTCCCAGTATGATATTTCTTTTTTTTCTTTTTGATTTCATCTGTAATGATACACATCTGCTCAACTCAAGTTACTCAGCTTAAAATGTTTCTAAACCTTTGCAGATTCAAAGATCACCCTACGCTAAATGACAGATACCTGCTACTCCATTTACTTGGAAGGGGAGGTTTCAGTGAAGTTTACAAGGTGAGATAATCATGATCTCTCCCTTTCCAAAACCACAGTTTTCGTGTTTGAATGAATGACGAGGAAAATGAGTTGGCATCTGATACAGTTAGTGGTGGAGAAAATTAGCAGAAAGTAAAATGTTGTGAATGAATCTCAAGTGATTTCTGAGGAGTTTTCAACACAGTAGTTTTGAAATTTATCAAACCAACATTAATTTCACATTAATTTGATGGTCTCGACAAGTAACGGAGCTTTAGAACAGTCAGACATCTAAGTAACAGCTGATACCAGCGGAAGAGGGAGAAAGCAATGGGCAAATGACAAGAGGATAATGAAGACCAAGGAGTGAAATTAAGAAACTGGAGGTCATTAACTGACAGTTATTATCTCAAGAACAGACACAAATGTTAGAAAAGCAGCTGGATTTTTTTTTCTAATGCTGCTATAATCCTGTTTCCTTCTGTCCAGTTGGTGTTTACAATCCTCTGCCCTCTTTCACACCACCATTTAAAGATTATTTTTATTAAGTGGCAAATACAGACGCTCTTTCCACAGCCATTTGGCATCAAGATGTGCAAAACAGCTCTCAGTCTGTTTGCTGATTAAAAAAAAAGAAAGAAAAAAGCACAGACAGCAATGTCCCCTGCTAATTGTAGTCCCAAGTAGCAGAGTGTCGGAGCTCCACCACAATGTCCTAATTAGTCCAAAAATATACATTTATCAAAACTATAAACAGGGAGAAGGTCGTGTTTAGCACTTTTCTTGCATGGTGAGCAGGATGTATCAGTGTTGTTTGCCTTTTTTCAAGCACCTTATCAGAGACTAAAATCTGCTATTATAACAACCTCAGGAGACAGTGGTGATGTTGCATATTTTGAAAAGTATTCGAGGATGTTGTTTTTTTTTTTTTCACTTGGTACTCTCAGCTGACTGCATCAACGTTTTGAGATTAAATCATGCGCCAGAAAAGTGTTTCCCAGGAATCTGCTGTCATCATGGACACAGCTATTTGATTAGAATCAAGATTCTGATTGCAGCTAAAACAAAGATACCCTAAAGGCATTTCCTAACTCATCTACTGCATTTATTCCCAGGCTTTTGACTTAACAGAGCAAAGGTATGTTGCAGTCAAAATACACCAATTAAACAAGAACTGGAGGGATGAGAAGAAAGAAAATTATCACAAGTAAGTGCTGTGTATGCTTCTTAGCAGTACTACAGTGTGCTGACTCAGGCCAGAGTTAATGTTCTGTTTATCAATCATTTAACCATTCGATTCACTGTCTGTGAAATGGTTTTAATGTTAAGTTATTCACTTTTTCAGACACGCATGCCGAGAATATAGAATTCATAAAGAGCTGGACCACCCGCGAATAGTAAAACTCTACGACTACTTTTCGCTTGACACTGACTCGTAAGTATTGTCCTTTTAAAGAACTGACATGTTTGCAGACTTTGATTTAAAGCAACATCACAGATATTTCTTTAGTGCTGAGCATTAAAAGTTCTTCAGCTGAGTTGGTTGAGTACCTTTCTTTCGGGTTGGAACAGGTTCTGTACAGTTCTGGAGTACTGTGAGGGCAACGACTTGGACTTCTACTTGAAGCAGCACAAGCTGATGTCAGAGAAAGAGGGACGCTCCATCATCATGCAGATTGTTAATGCCCTCAAGTACCTCAATGAGATCAGACCGCCTATCATCCATTACGACCTCAAACCTGGTGAGTCCACACTCCACAAAGACATTTGTTAAATACCAACTCTAAACAATCTGAGGACAATAATATCTGATAGGGCTGGGCAATTATGGCAAAAATAATAATCATGATTATTTTGATAGATATTCAAATCACGATTAATAAATGTGGTTATTTATTGATTTCAAAACTAATAGATAATCAAGAGAACAGCCATAAATAAATTAGTAACAAGTAAACAATTAAAATAATAACAATAGTAAATGTAAATAATGATAGCAATAAAAACAATGAATAAAAATAAATACCCAATCTACATGCACTCCTGCAAAACACAAACACAGCCAAAAAACAAAAGACTCTTTAAAGGTTTTTCAAAAACCTTGTTTAAAAACAATTGGATTGGTCGGATTGGCCAAAAAGTGCTTTACTTCCTCAGCTGTGTGATCTCCGATAACTTGCTAATGCATGGCACACACGTGCTCCGCAGTGCAGCGCCCGTGTGTGCACATGTACTGATATATATGAGTCAGAGCTAGAGCCACGTAAATTTTTTAAAACCCTCATTTTTAGGATGTGGCGGCTTTTATTTTGGGGATACCCTGAAGTTGGTCTTGTTGCCTTGGGGAGAGACAGCGTGACAAACTTTTCAAACAAGTTCCTTTTGCTCGAAATCCCTCAAATTGAAGCCAAAATGTTTCCAGATAACTGAAGTTGTCCTACCTTTCTTCTCAACCAAAGGCTGCCTTTCTGCCATGTTTTCAATCACTCACTCTTCATATTATTGATCCACACACCATCACACACTTGCTGCAGCTGCACGTAAAAGGGGTACATTCAAGGTGTTTTCTTGGCACAGGAACCTATATCTTTTATCTTCGATTATAATGTTTTTATGATTGTGAGGAGCCAAAATCGAAATTATGATTGAAACTCAATTGATTGTCCAGCTCTATTATCTGATCTTGCCCTTCACATGTTTAGCACACAGTTGAAGATTGTCTAGGTGTAAATGAATCATTTATTTTTGAAGGGAAGGGTAGACACCAGGTGAAAGCTAGCAAAGAGCGAATCCTTCTGAAATACTAGTTTTAGGTTAGTAGACACACAAAACAAGTAAGCATTTATTCACAATACAACTGTAACAGCTGTGACTTTGACAGAAAGAGTCTGAAACAACTCCAACACAATGTGACCTGCTTCATCAGCACACTCACTGTTCCAGGGCTTGACTGTTACCTGCTGTGTTCAAAGACCTGCTCAATTGAACTCTAAACTAACTTCATCGTTGGGGGTTTGGAAGTCAGAGACCGTTTAATGTCTGGGTCTTTTGGAGATTCATGTTCACACAGGCATCACACACTGCTCTGGGTATTATCAAGACGTTTTCAGGAGAGCAGTATATGTTTGCGACTCCAGCTCTGCACATTTCACCTCACGTCTGGTAATCCTTTCCTCTTCCTATTAAAGGCAACATCCTCCTGGTGAACGGCACAGCTTGCGGCGAGATTAAGATCACAGATTTCGGGTTGTCCAAGATCATGGATGATGACAGCTACAACTCGGTGGACGGGATGGAGCTGACGTCACAGGGGGCAGGGACCTACTGGTAAGATTTATGCTGGAAGATGACACTCTGCCACAGGGTTAGGGTTCATGTGTGATATAGTAAACTGTGATGAGTATTTTTTACCGCTGAGCTTTAATCCTCAAGGGTCAGATGTTTCGTGTTGTCACTGCTGAAGTAATTTTCCATGGCCGTGCTTCTCCCACCCACAGGGGACTTGAAATGAACAGCCTTTATGAAGACATCTTATGATATAGAGGGGAGAAAATGTCTGAATCCAGTCTGGTATGAGTGGAATTTTAACTCAAAATCAGAGCTGAGCCAGAACACCTCCACTTCAAATAATGTCATGTTAACTGGAAAATGTAACATTTCAAGAGCCATATAACACAAGAGGGGAGGGGGATTTTGTTCAATGACAGATGCCTTTGACAGGGTTTGAAGACTCTCTGTTTGAACTTCACTGCTACACCTAAATTTAAGCTCTGTCATGTCCTACATCTATACAGGCAAGGTGGCAAAATCCCTTCTAGCCACTTGGTTAATGCGACAGCAGTGAGATTTACACTTGGCATGCAGAACCGTGTCTTTTATGGTTACTTTGTTTGACAGCACACTGAGTCGTTAGTAGTTTGCCACCTAAAGGCACACCACTATGGACACTTTTAGGGCTTAAACACAGCAGATTTTGTAGCAGCATCACTCAAAACAATAATTTATCAAAGGCAAGGAGTACAGAGTGTAAACTTTAACAAGAAAATGTAATGAACATGTGCGTAAATTACTGTCATGATTTTATGATAGAGCATCTGCAGGTGAATAATAGACTTCAAATCAACTCACTGTCACAGATTTTCACATTACAGATTTTTTTTTCTGTATGAGCAATAAGCACCATGTTCAGTAACGTTTGATTTAATTAAGTCACACTTGATATCCATGTAGATGTTGAGGATTCAGAGTTATTTAAACATTTGCGACACTTGCATTTGGGACTAAAAATAGATGTGTGTGAATTGTAAAATGTATTTAGGGGCACACGTGAGCATAAAAAAATAAGCTGAGGCCACAAATGTTTACTCATGTAAATACGGCGGTGAAGTTAGTTTTAGGATGGATACTCGATGGACGTTCACTGCAGATCCAGCGGTGTCTTCTCACTCTCCATAATTGGGAATAGCAACAGTAGTGCGGTTAAATCTACTTGGCCTTCTCGCTGTCAACATTGGGTGTTTGAATAAGGGACCATCAATAAATTACTGGTTGATGTTTTCAGAACAGGCTGTTTTCATTCAATAGCTTCCATGTCATCTGACCAAAAGACCTAATATTGATTTCAAATAATTCCCTAATTTGTCCTCAAACAAATGTTATGTTAAATTTAAAGGCAAATCTTAAACATTTTCTTTAATAGCCTCCATGGCATGTGACCAAAAGACCTAAAATTGATTTCAAATTTTCCATTTTATTATGGAAAACACAATTTTCATTGTGCCCCTAAAGTTCTTTGCGTGCTCCTAGTGAAAAAAGTTGATGATTAGCCCTGATTTCCCTAACACCACTTGTCAAAAAGGAGCTTTTGTGGCTTTTTCTTAATGAACTACTTTCAGTTGTCATCTTGCTTTCCTCCCAAGGCTCAATCAATCATTTAATTCAACGTTGATAACAAGTTTTAGTGTCACAAGGTCTACAAGCACCCAATGGTCCCCCAAAAGCAATATGCCCAACTTGTAAGGAATCCTGTTCTTGCAAACCTCCAGGCCCTGACAACCGATTAAAGTCCACATCTCTGGTTTTCTTCTTTAGGTATCTGCCTCCTGAGTGTTTTGTGGTTGGGAAGGAACCGCCCAAAATCTCCAACAAGGTGGACGTGTGGTCTGTGGGGGTCATTTTCTATCAGTGTTTGTATGGTCGAAAGGTAAGGGAGACACACAGCGGAAAATACTTGTGATACCATTTACTCTCCAGTACCAATCTTAAGTAATGTGTTACTGCAGCAAAGTAAAAATAATATGTAATTGGAATAATTTGCCTAAAATAAATGCTACTGTGATTTAACACTGACAGATATGTGAATTTAATTTTAGTCTGTCCTTATACCGACAAAAAGTTACTCTCCTTAGTAACCCTTTTTGTTTAAGACTTTCTTGAGTCTCTTTGCTCATCCAAAATAAAACACCATTAATTTAGAGTAAAAATTGATTAATCCATGTTAATTTTGACAGTCCTGGATCTAACTAAAAATAGTGTCAACATCAGCAAACATTCATTCCTTCTTCTCACTTTATTTATTTGTTTATTTACTGCGATTAATTACATTTTTTTTCTTCCTCTGTTTGCTCTCCAGCCTTTCGGTCACAACCAGTCCCAGCAGGACATCCTGCAGGAGAACACCATACTGAAGGCAACAGATGTGCAGTTTCCCCCTAAACCAGTAGTCACACCTGAAGCTAAGGTACTGGGCTCGAACCTTCCCACTATAGTTCAGTAAATCTAAAGTTTAAACAATATTTGTGATTTCAAGTGGATCAGAGCTGATCTAGTGATTTAAAGTTTGATCACCTCCAGTGGTTTTTATGTCAGCTGTTACTATTTAGATGCAAAAGTGCGAGTTACTTAGTGTGACGGAGCGATCAGTGTGCCTAGCTGTGTTAATTCAAAATAATAAATGGGACCTCCATGTTGAACTGTAGCCAAAGTTTAAAAGTTATTACACAAACACTCACACAGCCAGCTAGATTACAACAACAAGAACTGCTTTATGGCAGCCTGCGGTAACTTTCAAGGGACAGATGGTTCAGAGGGGAAAATAAAAACAGGACAGTCTGTCACATAAGCATCCCTGCAGCTAAAACATCCCCGGTGTGGAAATATCTTAAACTAGGCAGTAAAAACAGTCCAATAGCCACTTCCATGATATGCAATACACTTGTTTTGCGAGATGGTGGCTGTAGAGCTGCGTTCAAAACGACCAATTTGATACATTGTAAAAAACAAAACATGCAATATGATGAGACATGCTCTTTAAGCATCAGGACAAAGGCAGATTTCCCAAAGCAACAATAAGGTGAAGCATGGTGTGACATTTGGGTTTCACAGCGCTCCACTTTTCAGTTTACGGTGAAGCAGGTCAGTTGATATTTTAATCGAGTTTGTGGGGGGAAAAAAAAGTAAAATGGAGAATATCATAAGATAGGCGAGTTAATCTCCAATATTTATGTTCTTGATCTAGCAGTGATGTTAAAACTTGAGCCATCTTGTGAGAGTTGCGTTCACAACAGCATTTCCTCATGATTTACATGCACACCAGTTTTGTGGCTCTCACGGCAGAGAATGTAAAACAGACCATATGCGAGTTGTGCAACAGTTCTAAAAGGACTAAGTTAAATGGAATAAACCGAAGATGTCTTTTTGTTATTCTGTTTATTTTACCATTTAAAAAAAAATATATATATATATAAATTTGTACTTAGTATCAGCCAACAGTTTTTATTGAAAAATCCAGTTTGGATAGGGGCCAAAAACGCTGAAGCTGACATTCCCAGTTTGTGTTGTAACTACTTGTATTCATATTAGTAGTTTATCCTCCCTTTTTTACTTTTTTAATTCTACATTTACACACTGATTACTGTTCTTAAGAGTTCTAATTTGTCACTCACTTAACTCTTATTCTGTCCTTCTTCAGGCCTTTATAAGGCGCTGTCTAGTCTACCGTAAGGAGGACCGCATCGATGTGCACCAGCTGGCCAGTGACCCCTTCCTCATGCCCCACATCCGCAAATCAGTGGCCTCATCCGGCACTTCAGGCATGGCTGTGGCCTCCACATCCAGCTCCTCAAACAGCAGCGCCTCAAACTGAGCACACGACCCTTAATGACTGACTGACCTGTTTGAAAGAGTGGGGTAGTGGCGACACCATACTGTGTCCTCCCCTTCCAACTGCATCCCACCTTGCCATGAAGAGCCTAAGAGAAACCGGCCAGACGATGAAGAGGGGTGGGTGAGAAGTCATGGAGAGGGTTGAGAAGGGAGACCTGTATCACCCTTCATCCCTTGCATGTCCACCCACCCCAGCCTACCTGTCGTCCTTTCTCAAAGGGGTGGCGTTGTTCTGGGGGTTCAAAGCCCTGGATGAAGTAACACAGCTGGGGGCGAAGCTTGGCACTGTGTTGGTGGAAAGTTGGGTTCAGTGTTTGGGGTTATTCCTTTCTGCTTAAAAAGAAAAAAACGAAGTACAGAACTGCTTCAGCTTGGCCAGATGGGAAGGACTGCGGACGGCCTCATACCCATACACACTCACACACACACACACACACACACACACACACACCCATGCATGAGCCATTCTGGTCGGAGGTAGTCCGAACTCTCCAAGAGCAAACATTTTGTTTGTACTCATCTCCCAAAACTTTCTCTGAGAAAACTGGTCTGGCCTGTTATTGTATTGAACCCTAAATATCTATGGCACTCTGTCGTCCCTCCCCGCTGTTCTGGGATCCCCCTGCCCTGCTTAAATTCCAGCCCCAGATAGTTTGTGACGAGGAGGGACAGAAGCTACTATCCCCTTTAGCCTCCCCTCTTTCTCCTTGTCAAACTCCTGTGACCAAAGCTTATAACTTCCAGCTGGTGGCAGTGTTCCACCTCAGTTTTTATAATGAATGGTTTTAGAGACGTGTTACTTGATATGGAGTGGAAGATGATGAGAAACGACCCCTTTTACATTTTTTTAAAAAAGCGTTTCAATTTAACCAGTTTTATGGACAAAAACTGTTGTGTTTTTCAAGTTGCCTTTAATTAGAACTGTTACTGTTTTGATTGACCCCCTACCATAAACACATATTTATTTAGGTATGTTTGAATTTATTTTGGCCAATAAAATGCAAGGGACTGGTCTACCTAATAGTACCATTGGGGGGAGATTGGGCCTTAGCAGAGAGTTGCATAAACCATTAAATACTATTGGTTAAACATGTCTGTTGTCTTGGGCTCGTGTTTGGGTTCTTGCATCACTGCTTTTATTTTAAAGGATGACTTCCATTAGTGTCCGTAAGCCTCAACTCTGTCCTTGTATTTTTTTTTTTTTTAGAGAAATATTATCATTCTAGAGATTCATGAATTTGTCAGTAACCAAAATGTTAGTTACAGTGCTACAAAATTAATGTAAATCTAGTTTGGCTTTATGATGAATGCTGGCTCATTCATAAATCCATTTCTCATAGGATTTACTGTGATTCTATCAAGCTAACAAGCTAATCAAGCTTATACACACATTATAAAAAGCCCTTTTTAATGGGTTCTTATTTGTCCTCTGTCTCTGTGATAGTGTGTTGAATGTTTTAGTCACAAAATAAGCACATTTCCACAAAAACTGGCATTTTTGAAAAGCTCCATAAAAGGCCAAAAAAAGTCCAATTTTCCCACACACTCTTGGAGCAGACCTCATACATGACTTTTTTTTTCTCTCTGCAAACACCCAGTAGCTATTTCTCACTGATAGTCTATATATTTATGAAATACATCAACACAAGAGACATCCAGACTCCATCAAGTTAGTCTGGATGTCCTCCTTCTGAACAAACCACTTGTCATGTAGACCAACTTAACCTTTTCTTATCGACAGGACAGAGCCATGGCTCTGCTCCAAGTCTAACATAAGAAGTCTACTCTCTTGTTTGTGAGAAGGGGATCACCCTAGACATCAGCAGATTTCCCTGTTCATTTAACTTCCTCTTTAAATGATTCATGCCACCAGCTCCACTCTCTTTAGCGAACAAAACTACAAGATACTTAACTTTTTCACCTGGGGCAGCAACTCACTCTCAGACTTGTTAGTGCATGCTGCCAGGTCCAGGCAGAAAACTGTGGCGTCAGATTTGGAGGTGGTAACTCAAACTTCTTCATGTTTAGTTGCAAACCACCAAAGAACATAATCGTCTAAATCGTCTGGGCTGACAACCTTAATGGAACTCATGTTTTGAGTTATGTGAAGAAATAAAGGCAGACGAAGTTTAGGGGGTGGGTTCAGGGGGTTCACTGAACCCCCTAGTGGCCCATGAGTGTTTGTCTTGAAACCATGTGGCATGCTACTATTTTCTGGAGGACTCAGACTCAGAAAGCTGCTAAAACCTGGAAGAAAGTCAACTGAGCTTTTCTCACTATGTAAAGGGTGGATTAGTTGTGTACAGATGTGCACAGCAGTGCTCTGAATCATGAGGCTTCATCAGTTTATAGAAACGGATTATAACTTTTTTTTAACAGAACAGGGGCTTGGAGATGGCAGGTTTTTGTTTCTCTCATCTCACATTGTGTTACTGCTTAGAGTATGAGACCTAAAGAGTCCTTTATTGGCCCAAAACTCTAGCTCTTAGTTAAAAACCTTGACACTGATACCAAGCTGTGCATTCTCTTTCAGGTACACACACTCTCACACATGCAGAAAGAAACAGACACACACAGTCAAAACAACCATCCAAGCAGAGAAAAAAATAGAGCTCACATAAGTGATCTTTATTTGATCTTTCACTTGGTTCTTGATGATGCTGTTGGTGTGTGAAGAGATTTCAATGAAAAACTATAACTACTCCAACTTGCCTCAGTTGTTCAATATCTTAAAGTCATTCAACACACCTATATTGGATAGGCTAACTGGTGTTCACATGCTAACTTATAAGTATAAAGCTCTACAAACTCCCACAAGCTCTGTACTTTGACAGTTGTTTCATGCCCATTACTAGGTACCCTGTGAAAGAGTAGTGTGTTTTTTCCACCACCCAAGGTTGGTCTGCAGGTAGGTTCAGCTTTTCTCCACAGCCTGAGCCTGAGTCCAACTTTCCCCTACAACGTCTCTGACAGTTTTCCAGAACTTTATGAAGACCAACTTAAAGTTTGGTCGTAGGCTAACAACCTGTTTTATGTTTCTGAGATACCAAAACCGGGGTCTTCCATGCACCCTTGAAATTACCAGCTACTTAATGCTCAAAGACTTCCACTTCGAGGTTGACAGCCACCCTAAGTGCTGCTTTTGTCCACTAGCCTGTGAAAACCTTTGGACATGGCCTCCCTCAATTCTTAACCTATTTAGTTGACCTTATTTCATGGGCCTGACTGATCTATGACCACCATAAAGGGTCAGATTGGGCTTACATGGGTAGTATACCTTTATGGATTCTGTAAAAACTCCTTCAAAAGTGAAATCCCCATACCTTCCTGCTCTGACCTGTTCATGGAAAATACAAACCATGGAGCAGAGGTGATGCAAAGTTACTTTAGAACATGCAGTAACTTTTCCCATTGGAGGCTTGAAAACAAGTCTGTGGTGCAAGGGGGAAGTTCAGAAGGTTCACTTTAGGTATACATGTTATGAATTTAGTTATTCACTTGTTTTTGAAATGTATCTTTGCTGTGTTAACAGAGAGAGCTACCATGCATTATAAAAGCTCAATTTTATTTGTTGGGAAACCAGATCTTATCAGCGCTAAACTTTGAGACTCTCTGGCAAAATTGATTAAACTCTTAAGGATCATTTGTTTTAACTTTGTAAAAGCATGATTAGATCATTGTATAAGGGAGAGTGGGGTAAGTTGAGCCCTGAGAAATTGATCATGTGACCAAATATTTAGGAGATGGGCATCAATTCATGGAGTCTTTGAAGGTTAGAAGCACATAGGAGAGGGGGTTAGAAATGTATTTCCAAAAAAACATTTTCACTCTTGAAAGTGAATTTAGTCCGTCTTACTTTTTATTAGAATTGTGTTCAGACCAAAAATGATCATTTTAAATTTGTGGTATCTATGAGCTACAACATGAGGTCAAAAACCTAGCATGAAAGTCCACCATTTTAGCTTAGACGACTAATAAAGTCATAATAGTAGTTCAGGGGTAAGTTGAGCCAGTGGCTCAAGTGAGAAAGTAAAAAAGTCTGATGAGAGGATCAGAGTTTCAGTTCAGATTGTTGAAATGTGTTACTTTTTCTTTTCAAAAATACAGCTGTGAATGTTCTGAATCACTTAAAGGCATTCTCATGTTAAAATGGCTTTTTACAAAACAGCTTTTTAGCAGTTAAAAAACAAAAATAAAAGAATTATTGTTCCAGTTGAATAGTGTATAATATAGGGGTTGTAAGGATACGGCTCAACTTACCCCGCTCTTATGGTCAACTTACCACATACACAGGGTAAGTTGACCATTGGAAATTACTTTTTTTGGCATGCTATATTATCAAGACAGTTATGTTTACACTCATTCTGTTGGTTTGCAGGGATGCACAACATCTTGAAATATATGCAGATAAACTAGTTAGAGACAAAACTATGATTGCCTTGATGTAGTGATCAGAAACATGAAAAATGACTTGTCTTACCCCGCTCTCCCCTACATAAGGGAGAGGAGTGACAGAGATGGAAAACATGATCTGTTAATAATAATTAACCCTTCATCTGGTCAGACACTCGTGAATCAAATGTAATGGAATAAAAGTGACACATTAAGGACTGGGTTATTTAAATAAATAGTGCAGCACTGATACCTTGTAGGTTGACTACAAAAGGAGACTCTTTTCTCTCGATTATAGTTTAAGAGGTATGTCGCCAAGAGACAGTAAAAAGACCTAAAAGCCAATATTTTCACTCACTTTAAAAAAAATATCTTTAAATGTAACAGACAAATCATACAATTTCAGTGTCATTGTTTCTCTACATTGAGCTGCAGTCTCGGGTCCTCTTACGGATCCGCGGACCCTATGTTGGGAACCATACAAACACACGTACACATACACATTGTTGACGCGGCTCCATTCATTCCAGTCTCATCTGACTGTGAGGCAGACGGAGCTCTAGCGGTCAAACTCTCCAAATCTGCATCCTCCGTCCTCAAAGTAAAACCCTGGCGCAGTCGCTCCAGCTTCACTTTTTTTTCCTTTGGGTCTTTGCAACGTGTGTGTGTGTGTGAGTCTGTGTGTGTGTTGTAGTTTTTGAGCATGCAAGGCAGCGGTCCTCACCGAAACAAGGAGTTAAAAAGAACATGGACAAACCGGCAACTTATATTTTACAAATGCACTTTATATTTATTCGTCTTTAGTCTGGAACTGAAGAGCGGCGTTACTGGTGAGTCAAAAAAGCTCAACTTTTGCTTCATTTCATTCAAGTAAAAGTGCAAATCCTGGGCAGACATTAGACGGGCTGTGCATGCTTTGGATTTAGTAGCGACTTCCAGTCAGAAAAAGCAGCAGAAAGCAGAAGGAGATGTGTATTTTCTGAGTTTTTATGCTGGATTTGGTGCCTCGGTATCCCACGAACTAGAAGTCCGAGCTGTGAGTGGAACCAGATGTGGAGAAAAACAGGGGGAGGAGGGACGGGGCTGCTGGCTTAGTGTCTCTTTTGTCATTATTACCCACATTTAAAGTTAATTCAGAGCTGCAGAGCATGGCACAGTTGGTGTTGTTGCTCCATATTCGGACCGGATGGCAGTTTTTTTAGGCTAGAATGCAAAGCCGACGTAGAGTGACGCTTCATTTGGCACCCTGCGGGCAGATGTGACCTTTACATCCTGTTACAGGCTGCAATTAACACATTCAGCCCAGTCCTCTGCAACTAGCTCACTACACCGTTAGGCTGCATGTTATGTGATGCCACGATGCTGTTAACTGTTTGGAGACCAGGCTTTCAGCTGAGTCCGACATAACATTAGGAGGACTACACTAAAGTAAAGACTCATCACGTGTTTTCTATAAAGAGTTAGGTTGGGGTTAAAACAAAGTGATTCTAGTCTGCACTTTAAAATCCTTGGTATCAGGACACTGTGCTGTCTCTTTTGTTTTAACTTCAATCTTATAATTATGCCTTACAGTCCCACTTTTGTCTCTCCCAGAATAACTGCAAAATCCACATCCTGAATTATTTAAGAGACTCGTTTTTTTGTTTGTTTTGTTTCCAAATGATCTATAGAGGGTGACTTTTCAATCACTTTTGAGTCAAACGGATGAGCTGCAGAGAAATCTTTGGTCCAAATAACTGTTTCTGATTTGTTCTCTTTAGATTTGTTGCATGAACGGTTTAAAAATTGAAGTTACTATGAAAATTTGAGATCTTTTCTGCTTGATAGAGGTTTTTGCTGTCCTGTTTGCCTACAATATACCTTTTGAAACCAGCAAAGGAAAGGACAATTATTATGCTGTATTGTTAATGGACAATGGCTCTTGATCCCCCTTTTAATTGCATTTTCCCTTTTCCTAACTATTTTATGTTTTTATTTTGGCCCTCATGGTCTCATTTTATGTTGCATGGTTCTTGTATTGTCTGGGTTCCCTATGCCATGAAAATGCCCTTCAATTCCGTTTTAACTGAGCTTTTTGTTTTAATCTGTGTTTTTCCATGTGCTTTATGACTGTATGTCAAAGCACTTTGTGAACTTCTGTTTTTAAAAGTGCTATACAAATAAAGTTATTATTATTATTATAGTGGGGACTGCGTCAGACTTAAGACTCAAAATTACAGTCTCACACACTTTATTTCAGCAAAATGAGTTTTTATAAGCTGCAAAGACAGCTCTGTGGCGTCCTGTTGTCTCGACCTTTACAACAAATCTATCGCCAGTTCTCTGCTCATCACATTATTGGATGCCCCTCATCATCAGTTTAACTTTGACTGTGATAAGTTGTTATTTCTGTTCTACCATGCACAAGTGTGGGACTGAAGGAAAAGAAATAACAGCATGCTCTCATTCACACGTTGGTTTCTAAATTCATGGGGGTTTGTGTTTGAGTGTAGCTGCAATATGCAAACATGCTCCTCTCTCCAGAGTCACCCTCCCTGCGCTCCCATGCTTCTCACATGAGGTAAAAACCTATCCACTGCTCTGCTGCCGTGGAGGCAAGACCACCATAAAACACCAAAGAAACAAACACAGCCTGCTGGAATTTCCTGTCTGTTTGTCTGTTGCCATTGTATCAGTCTGACCAGTCACAGTCCTGTTTTTGTAATCTCAGACATCTGTCAAAATAAGAAAAGCTTACGGGAAAAGCATGCAGTGTAAACCGCACATGAGATAAACTAGTCCTGATAAAATACAGAGATGGAGGAGAACAGAAAGATCTTTTGACAGTGACCGTGAGTCACAATGCAGCCGACAGTGTGGTGTCAAGAAGTTAGTCCAGCTGATGAAATCTCAGTCACAGTCTCCTCCATGATTGGTCTCTCAAGTTTCAGCACTCTCCTCAAACCAGGTCCAACTCATAACCGGACTGAGGAGGTGGAGGTTCTGGGAATATCTGCCTCTCTTGGCGAGTTTTGCTGGTTGTTCTTGGCTGTGGGTTTGAGCCTCGCTCTTCAGAAGAAAACTGTCTTGCGCCTTGAAAAAAACGGGGTGACGGGGCAAAGAAGTGGATGAGATCACAGCAGGAGAGCTGTTGTGGCTAAGCTTTCACAGGGCTCAATGGCTTAAAGTTAATCTGGAATTCTGCACTCTCTCTGATTGCCCGCGAGTTTTCTCACATCAAACATCCAGTTGTGTCGCCCTGCAGACTGGAATTAAAACTTCCTTTTTGAATTGGTGTCTTGCTGTCTGGGCCTTCGTCTTCAGGTTGCCTGGTGGCTCAAAAGCTTCTGCCTTGAAAGTCTCACATCGCCACCATGTTAATACTGAGCTTATAATCACATACTGAAGAGAATTCAACCCACAATGCACTGCTTCTTTCTACAGGGCTGGCTTTGGTGTGAAAATCTGCCCACAGGCACCGTTGGAGCTGACTGTGCTCTATTTTTAAAAAATGGCTTTAATTCCCATTGTGGAAATGACAAAATGGCATCAGACTGATTTATAGCTGCGCTTTGTTAACTACTCAGTGTTGTGTAAGTCAAACCATTGAAGTATCCGTAAGGATTTACTCACATTGAGGAGTATAACTAAATCCTGAGCTGTGATTATAGTGTGTCAACATTTTATTGTCTGTTGTGGCAGACATGACTCTGTATTTGCAGTGTGGAGATAAATCACAACAGAGAACTGAGGAACTGAGGGTCAGATTGAGTCTAATCCCAACTAACACCTAAAGTAGAAGAAGAAGAATAGGGTGCTGCTGAATCTGCAGAAACAGAAATCAGACAGTGCAGCAAATGGCAGTGTAGCAGTTGGTCATACCACCTTAAAAAAAGGAAGATGCATGTGGAAAAATTTATTGAGATGTGGGGATTTGATAACCCACGTGGTTAGTTATTCTTTAGAACTAAAGAGGAAGGAGGTAAAGAACAAGGGTGAACAAAGGTCATCATGTTACATCAGCAAAATAAAATTTCCCTCTTCAAACCCAAGAACAATCAGGCTGTCTAGATGCTGGATCAGCCTTTTGATTTTTAAAGCATAAATTAAATGACATCATCTGATTTAACAAGTGTTAATTTTAGAAATAGTAATGATGTGCATCAGGGGCGTGCAAAGACTGGGGTGGCCCAACTCAGGCATTAATTTAAGAGTGAATTAATCTACTTTTTCAAATCAACATATTATATTTGTTTCAATGATGTTGTGCCAGACAGATATTTCATTTCTTTATAAATAACTTAGCTCAGAAAGAAACATCTCTGGTACTGAAATGGTTCTAATAGATAAGTTTTTGAATAGTAGCTAGTGTACAGGAAAACCTCTTCTGCCCTTGCTGAGGCCAAAACTGAGGAATTTAACATCCAACGTCTGACAAGGCAAAAAAACTGGATACACATCAGTATTTAGGGTGGCTTACAAGCTGTCCAGAAGGGCCCATACCAGCCCTCCAGAGGGGTGTCCAGAGGGCTGGCATGTAATATAAAAGCATGTATTGGCGTGTATTACTGTACAGGGTTTCTCAAAGTAAAAACAATGAATCAATTCACTGGCAAAAAAAGATTTCTAAGTTTTTCCGAGGATGGATTCAACAGACTCTAAATTTCTTTTCTGGCGGTCACTTCCTCATTTGATCCGGCTCTGGATTGTGTTGCATTATTAAGAGTGACCAGAGAATAACAGCATCATGGAAAGTCTGAGCCCAAAAACAATAGTGATGTTTTAAAATGTTTGGATCAGTGTTTGGGTACAGTTAAAGTTCATTCCTCCTCTCTGGTTTTTGAAAATGATGTCCAGTAGACTTAAAAGGATGAGCTGACAGCACGCAGGCCTAACAGCTGGGTGTTACTGTGAGCGGGGTGCTGTTATAAAAAGAGCAGGGAGGTGATTACATCTCATTACACCGTAAAGAGCACTTTCAAACTTCAGCTGAACTGCTCTGTCACTGCGCTCTGATCCTGTGTTTGCTACCAAGCAAAGCACTAACACTGCTTCTGAGAAACTCAACCACAGAGGCCGAGGGCAGGAGAAGGGGGGGCGTGTCGGTCGTCTCCTCCAGATTACAGGGTTTTTTTTTTTTTTATGGAGACTCTATTGTCTGTGTGTCTATAAAAGCAGCACGGGAGGTTTGAAGTGTTTTAGCTGAGAGGTAGGAAACGAGGGATTGCTGCAGTGAGTGGTCTGAAGCAGCCACACAGGACAGGAGGGTTGTGTTTTTCGATGGTGATCTTTTCCCACCTTCCCCACTTCCTGGCCTCTCACGGGAGCCCAACAGGGAGGAATGCTGAGGGTCTCACTTTCTCTCCTCTTGATCTGAATCCTGACTGCAGGCGTCTGTGTGGGTTTCCTTTTTACATAATTTCAGCAGGACCTTAATTTAGAGTCACACCTACACTTGTGTGTCTTTGTGTCTCTTTCTCCCACCTTCATGCAGACTCACAATCACACTCACAGTCCTGGCGTCTAGGTTACCGAACTCTGAATCCTTACGGTATAAATAAATGTGGAATAAAGGAAACCACATTCGACAGTGAAATGATGTTTCCCTGAAATTGCTGTCATTGAGGCTCGTGTTCAACATCTGTTCTCAGTAACTCGTAGTTCTCTGCTGATACTGAATGTATTTCTTGGTGTGCTGCGTGGGTAACACCTCACAGGCTGCTATAGCTCCTCAGAGAACCATACAGAGGTAATAGCAATAAAGGCGTCAAAGTACAGCAGCGAGAGAGAGGGCTGCAGACTGGAAATAATGATCCCGTTGACCTCTAAGGATCATTGCACTTACATCAGATTCAAGGCAGTTTGAACATTGAGTTATTGAAATGAAAGGTTTCAGGCACTCTGCAGATACTCATGATCATTCTACTAACATATTTTTTGTTTAAAATCGGTTACTGCTGCTTTACATAATGTAGGTCAAAAGGTAATTCCAGGTCAAACTTCAGCAGTGGTGTGAATTCTTGAGGTAGCGCATGTTGAAATGTTGGAGTTAATCTTGCATTTAAAAAGAAAATCATGTGTTACCACTTTACAGAGTTTATTGCATGATATCCCTTCCTCTTTTTTTTTTTTTACCACAAAGAGCGTAACAAGACTTCAGAATGACGCCAACACCATTTTGGAGGCCTGGTAAAAAAAAATTTGAATTGCGTCACACAGACACACCAGAGGCTAGATCTCACACTAGTTCCAAATGCTGAATCCATCAATAGAGATATTGAACCAGCCTCTGACCTCTTCCCTTTGCCACATTACTGACTAACATGGCATCCTGCTTTCACCAGAGGTATTGACTGATGTTCCCCTCTCTCACTCTCTCTCTGCACAGCGCCGCTGGACTCTGATGGCGACTTTGCTTTTTTTCATGAGGGTGTCCAGGGGTGCCTGGGGGTGCGGGATCACTCCCTGGTCCCGTCCACCTCTTGTGAGGAAAGCCATCAGCGTTGGAAATGGGTGACACGGGGTCGCCTGTTCAACCTCGGCTCCTCGCTTTGCCTGGGCATTACCACTGGGAACCTCACCTCCAGGAAGGACAGGTCTCCTCTGGGTGTGTACACCTGTGATCGTGAGCCGCCAAGAGTGCGCTGGACCTGGAAGTGTGGACAGGTGTTGGAAACCCTTAACAACTACCTTCCCATCCCCTCAATTTGGAACTCCTCCGCAGCCTCCTCGTCTTCAAAGTTTAAATGGATCTTACATGGAGGTTTGGAGGATCTGTGTTCAGAATCATATCGTGGTAAGCACACCTATCATCATCCAGCAGGTCCAGAACTGCACAAAAACCAGTCTTCAGATAGTTGCTCACCTGTACTTGATAACCAGTTTATGAGATTTCCTATAAAAAAAACACAAATTTCCAAAACCAGTAACTCTTGGCAGAGCTTTCTTGGTTATTTTAGCCTCTTACCTTTTTTTGGTACTTGATGAAATTTGGATAAAAGGAAGAATGATTGGGTTTATGTGAAGAGAAGAAGGATATCAAAACTAAACAGCATAAAAAAACAACATGCAGAGTTTCAAAGAACATATCAAACCCCAGATTAGTCATTAAATCCAAATATACATTTAAAAGCTCCAAAGCTGCTGATCACGTTGCAGTGTTTCAGGGATATGCTTCTTCTCTGTAGGTTTTGCTGCCTCTGTGTGGCAGAGGGGTTCAGTGTTGTGAAAGCCACAGCTGCATCTGATCAGATGGATACAGCAAAATATTGCTCTTAGGGAATGGCTGCAGAGAAGAAGTGGCTGTTTGCCAGTCAGAGAGCTAAGCGAAACACTGCTGGTGTTTGTAAACTCCAGTAAACACACAGCTGTCCTTGCTTTAAGATTTTTTTCTATATATGCAGAGTTTTCAGTCCAGATTAAGGCTGACAGGCTGGTTCACAGCTAAGCCTCATCTCCACCGTCAGACCTACAGATTTTCGAACATCACAGCTTTCATTGACATGCTTTCCTGAGAGGCTAAGTCTGCTATTTAAGAGTACAGTACGCTGCATCTGCTTGACTGCAATTAAAACCAGATCTGCTGTTAAAGTTACACAAACTCTCCCTGTACCTCTGTCATTCCTCCTCCTCTCTTTAGTCCTTTATTTCTCGACTGGTTCCTTTAACATCTTTTAGCTTTCAAGTGCTGAACTTTGTTTCTTTGTGAAGTCAGCTGGCTGCTGGGGAGGAATGCCTCTTATATTAGTCAGTCGAGGAGCAACATGGCTGCAGCCAGCCAGTGGTGGAGCAGAGAGGGACGTCAGGGAGGGAGCGTCAGAAATCTTTCCTCCCCCCGTTTAACATGTCTGCCCTACTTTCCATTGGCCTAACTTGTTTTGATAAGTTCACAGATCCAGCCTCTCTTGCTCACTCTCTGCTTCCTTACTCCAAACTTTGCTGTTATAGAGACTTAAACTTCAACCGTATTCAAACTGCGAAAATCTGATGGAGATAAAAATAGCATCTAATCTCCTGAAGTGAACCATTTTTAAGTCTCTTTACTTAAATCACAGCTGTGGAGTCAGTTTTCACATAAAGTTCATGATAAATTTTCCTATTTTCTCTCTAACCTGCTTATTTTTTCATTTCCTCCTCTTTCTGCTGACCTCTATTTGACTGGACTGTTTTCACTGTAACTCCATCCTCTGTTTTTCGCCTGTGTTTAATTATACAAGTCTCTGAGAAAACATGGAAGGTATTTTAGTTCAGCACAGTTCACAGCTACAGCTTTGGACAAAACAAGCTCAGACCGTCTCTCCTGCTTCATGCAAGGATTTAAAATTTCCATGTATTGCTCCCCAGAGATCTATACAATCCAGGGGAACTCTCATGGCCGCCCGTGCTACCTGCCCTTTCTGTACGATGGCCAGTGGTTCCACAGCTGCACAAGTATTGGGCGCGAGGACGGTCACCTGTGGTGTGCGACCACTTTTGACTATGGCAAGGATGAGCGCTGGGGTTTCTGTCCTGTCAAGAGTGAGTAACAACTTCACATGTTAAGGACAGAGCTATCACTTCAGCGGTCCAGCAACCACCTCTCTCTTTCTCTCCCTCTTAGGCAGTGGCTGTGAGACCTTCTGGGATACTGATCCACTGACAGACAGCTGCTACCAGTTCAATTTCCAGGCTACACTGTCGTGGAGCGAGGCTCGGATCAGCTGCCAGCAGCAGGGGGCAGACCTGCTTAGCATCACTAAGGTGCATGAGCAGACGTACATCAATGGTAAAGTGATACTGCAGCTACTTGTTTGAATTAAGTATCCTTCATTTTCCTGTCTTTAATACCCCCAAGCCTTGATCTATGTCTTAAATCACTGTCTATATGTCTGCAGGAGTAGATGACATAATATAATATGAGTTCAGGGTGTTATAAAGCCACCAGTTTCTCAGTTTCTTTTTGTTTGGACTCAATTCATATGAAAAAAACCCTCTCCGTTAAACATAAATATGTATATCTCTATATATATTCATATTTATGTAATTTATTTATTCTCTCTCCCTACATAATTATTGATTCTTTTGGATGTCCTGACTCTGCTGTCAATGTGAAGCCTAACTCATGCTATCCTTACATAACGTTTCTGTTATGTACGTAATACAGTGTAGGCAGATATAATCTTAGCTGGCTCTGGATATTATTAGTCCTGAGTGAAGGCCCCTTATTTAGTGTTTTCTCTTTTGTTTTGTCTTTCTTTACAAAGTTACATAAAGGGTTTGAGCTCTTGTGGTGTTTTGTAGCATTGAAGAGAGCTGTTTTTTTCCTGCTGTTTCAGGTTTACTGACAGGCTACAGCGCTGCTTTGTGGATTGGCCTCAATGACCTGGACATCAATGGAGGCTGGCAGTGGGCCGACTCCTCCCCTCTTAAATATCTCAACTGGGAGCCAGGTTGGACTATATAAATAACCCAAACCTGTCTGTCTGTGTCTGTGACTTTGAAAAGAAAAATATTTACTTCCTACAGAGGTCTGAATATGCATGTTGGCTTATTTTAAGCACCACGCAGCTTTGGTTTTAAATCCACACTCAGTGGCCTGGTCAGTGATGTTCTTACTGTCATCCTGCAGACCAGCCAAACCATGCTGAGGAGGAGAACTGTGCTGTGATCAGAACTGAGTCATCAGGTCGCTGGCAGAACCGGGACTGCTCTGTTGCGCTGCCGTATGTCTGTAAGAAGAGGCCCAATGCTACTCTGGACCCCTTCACTACTGGTGAGAGAGAGAGAGAACCCCTGACCCTGTATGAGAGTCAAATCTGGTTCTGATGGTTGTTATCTCTGCACTTCCACAGACTCGTGGGCAGATGATGCAAAGTATGATTGTGACGTGGGCTGGCAGGCCTTCCAGGCGGGCTGCTACAAACTGACTTCAGAGAAACTGGACTGGGACACAGCTCAGAAAACCTGTCAGAAGAGGGAGGCAAACCTGGTCAGCATCCACACCCTACCTGAGCTGGAGTTTGTCCTGAACAGCCTGAGGAGAGGTGACAAGTCCATTGTGCACCACAGGGCACCACTTTGTAGTTTACTTTCAGATAAATTGTAAAAAAGGATAAGTGCGCTCTTGACAGGCGTTTTGATATATTTCTGTGGAGGTGTTGATAAAAAAAAAGGACAAAGAAGAAGATCAGGAGAGCAGGCGTGTATGTGACAAATGTTGAAGTGAAGGAGGTTCACAAAGAGTTCACAAATCTCCCCAAACAGGCTTTGAATTCTGTTCGTCTGTTACTATTTTCAGCACAGAGGAGCATGATGCTCTGATGTGTCAGCTCTGGTCCCTCCATGGTGCACTTTATATGAAAACAAAAACACAAACACCAAAAAATGAACCCTATTCAGTGAATTTCCATTTTTTTTCCTTTATAGCATGCCCACATTTCTGGAGTTCGCTCATATGTAGTGGAAATCAGGCAGCTCATCCCAGGCAGGAAGAAAAAAATGAGGAGAGGGATAAAGTTTTTAGGTCATGGGAGAGCTCCAGTGTCTGAATGGAAAAGTTTTGACAGTTTCACATGAAGACCAAATTTTTTTTAAAATTTTTACTTTAACTCTATTCCTGTTTACACTGACTTTGCCTTCTGCTTGGTGTCAGACATCGATCAGATCTGGATCGGGCTTCATGACACTAACATGCAAATGGACTTCCAATGGACGGACAACACACCCGTCATCTTCACCTACTGGCACCCCTATGAACCAAACAACTTCCGCAATACCCAAGAAGACTGCGTCTCCGTCTGGGGAGCTGTAAGTGACCTTCTACAGCTTCACACTGACCCCTGAATGTTTGGGGCCTGAATCACCACATAGTAAAGGACTCTCACTGTCAGCCCCGTCCTCTTCGCTTGTGTATATTTGACAGCTGTGTTCTGTCTCCTTGTTTGTGTCCCCCTTCCATGTGCAGGAGGGCCGCTGGGATGACAGCCCTTGTAATATGACTCTGCCCTCCATCTGTAAGAAACTGGGAACAAAGAGTGACGGGAAGCCACAGCATCAAGAGTGCAAAAAAGTAGGACTCTTCTTCTTCTTCTTCTTTTATTGCGCTCTTATTCCCCCTTCCTCACACTGTTAGTGCTTTAGATTACAGCCCCCCCCCCCTGGCTGGACCTTTTGTTTTTTGTTCTGCTCCATAATGAATCCATTTGGATCTCTCGCAGCGTTTTCAGCGCTGTTTTTCTAGCTGCTGATGGTCTGTGGTGTTGGAGCGCAGTTATTAGTATAACCATTTCAGCCATCTCGCCACCTTTAACCCTTTTTCCCAGAGCTCCCCTCAACCCTCAGCCCTCCACTGGTCCACCAGACTGCCCCCAGTCTGTTACTGTAATATAAATCACTCCCTTAAGACTAGAGAGGTTACCAGATTGAACCTTGGACACACAATCACACACACACATGCACACTTCCCCCCTTGGCTTAATACTTACTGTTCTTTTCTGTTGCGCCAAATACACACACACACATGCATTAAAAAGAAACTTGAAGTCTTTGAGGCATTCAAATTTGAACTTGTTTTTTGTGTCTTCATCCCACATGTATAAACAGTAGATAAAACAGAAATGCACTATCATGTGAAGTACTTGTGCCCACATGCTGAATTAAATCCCATCTGGAGGATCCATCTACATCTGTGAGTGATTTCACAGTCTGTAATTCTCCCCAGATGAGACCATAGACTCTCATACCTGACTTGTCTCTACCTGGCCAAAGCTTTTATTATTCACCACTTGTACAGTTCGGTAAAGGTTCCTCATAGAGGTCATACAAGATCATCACAGTCAGAAAAGAAACAAAGCTTTGTTCTTAAACTTCTCTTAGTGGTGTTTTTCTAATTTCTGCAGAGTTGATTTATGAGGCTCAGAGTCGTGCTGTTTCTCAGCTGTTACATTCAACAAAGATCTCTCTATTTGTTTAGCAAAATGAAACCTTACCCCTTTCCCTCCAGGGAGCAAGGCATCATGGGTGGTAATGTGAAGGGGGTCATTTGGTATGGCACAGGCTAGAGGGTGGTGTGGCAGCGGGGTCTGGCTTGAGCAGATGAGCTCACTTCACACAACATGTGTAACAACAATGACAGAAAGCCTGCTGACCGTTTTGGCAATGCAACACCACATGATCCCAGGACGATAGACCCGGTCCAGCTCCGGGCTCATTACTCAGAAATGGAACCCTGTTATTCTACTGGCTCACTATAGTGGCCACTGCTTACATTATGACACATCCCTGCATTCAATTTCAGAGGGGAGTGTATTTATTATCAGCTAAAGGCAGTTGTTTTGTGTGTGATTTAAAATCATCTACTCAGTCAGTGGCAACATGGGGTGTGAGCAGCTGTTATGGGCCCCTCAGCCACCACGGGGCCCTATAATAACTCAATATAACTCAAAAGTAAAAATCAACAAAATCTTACTTTTAAAATATCCAATCAAAAAAACAAAAGGCAAAATCCAACTGAAGACACTGGGGAAAAAAATCACAAGGAACAACTGGGGACACAAGCATGCGCACACACATTGACATACAATGAACCATCAAGGACAGGGACTATAGGCTCACTGGGAAAGGAGTAACAGGTGAGGCAAACACACGAAAGAATATTAGGGCCACAAAAAAAGAAAAAAAACAATTACAGGAGGGAGATTTTTTTTAAATTTCCATTTCAGGATTAAAGTAGAAATCTGGAGATTAAAGTACAATTTTTAAAAATTCGAGATTAAAGATCGAAATTACATGAATAAAGGTGAAATTTTGACTTTTATCTCAAAGTTTTATGTTTTTGAATCTTTAAATTTCAACTTTAATCTCGAAATTTCAAATTTTAATCTAGAAATTTTGATTTTATTGACATCATTTTGAGTTTTTAATCTCAAAATTTCGACTTCAATCTCGAAATTTCGACTTAAATCTCCATCTGTAATTATTATTTTTTTCTTCATGTGGCTCTAATTCTCTCGTATAGACGAGACACAGGTGAAACTCATGGATGATTAAAAAAGGAGAGAAAACTAAGGAAGTAAAACCAGACTAGAAACACAAGGAATCAACTACTACAAAATAAAATAGGAAACACTGAAAACTGATCTAAAGAATAAAACACAGAGAACAGGAGGGAAACAGGGTCAAACACAAACTTAAAACTCACAAGACAAGACCACAGGAACAACAGGGAACAAAAACACAAGGGAAAATACACAAAGAAAATACACTGAAATAACAAAACCAGGGAAAAATTAAATCAACAGAACATGTCATGACATGTATGGGCTCTGTCTGTTCAGTTTTGTAAATATTCTAAGCTCTTCAAGTCCTCATAATTCTATCAACACAAATCTAAAATTAGGCAGATGTGTTTTCTAATCCTTGATATGAATGTAAATAAAAACATTATGACGGTGTGTTTACAGATGATGGTCACATGAGTGACTACAGGCACACTGTAGTTCAACTCGTCTGAATTAATCTCGGTGCTCTTCTGTGAACCTGCTCTGAGTCAGCGTTAATGCCGTGCCTGTAAGACATGCAGAGGAAGGATAAGAACGAGTGTTGAGAAGAAGACGTGAGTTTGAGCAGATCAAGCCTCTCCAGCAGCTATAATCTCTGAGGTTTCTGTTGAGAGTCCAAACGCGGCTGTGCGAAAAAAAGCCTGCGGTTGGGCTTATTCACATGAAGCTGTATACGAACTGTCTCTCACTATCATTCTTGCAATAAATCTCAACTCTCTTGACCTCCTGCGTGCTGGATGCGCTCTGCGTCAGTACACGTCCACAACTGCAGTCGTGAGCTGGCAGGAGGGATTGAGGCCAAGGAAATGTTACTTCTGCATGCTTGTTCTTTTTATTTTCCTGCGTTTAGGATACAGTTTACAGTTATAAGTGGGCTCACGTCTGCTTCAAAATGGCAAATTGGCAATGATTTCTTTGAGGCTCTGGGGGATTGCTCTCTCTCTCTCTCTCTCTCCCCTCTCTTTCTCTGTAGAGAGTCAACGTTGCTCTGAGCTTGGAGTTATCTGCTAATTATGCTGTTGCTGTTTGTTGTGATGTGTAATTTTGAAAATTTCACAGCATTTATAGACAATAACACTCTGCACAGGTTATTTTAGGTTTTGATTTTCTTTCTCCTTCGTCTCTGTTCCTCTCTCCTCTTGTCCCAGGGCTGGAAGTGGCACAGCCCTGCTTGTTACTGGGTGGGAGAGGATCTGCATACCTTTGAAGAGGCCAGGAAATCCTGTGAGGACCAGGGAGCCACCCTTGTAACCATTACCAACAGGTGTGTAGCACATAGACTCTTAACACACCCAACTCCCTGGCAAGGACGAGGAAAAGTATCACCTTATGTTTTGTTCCTTTTAAACCTTCAAAGGTTCGAGCAGGCCTTCGCCAACAGCCTGGTGTTCGGCCGCTCTGGAGATTCCTTCTGGATCGGCCTCCTGGATAAGGGCAGCCCAGGCTCTTTCCACTGGCTCAGTGGAGATGAAGTGTCCTACACCAACTGGAACCGAGACCAGCCAGGTAGCTTAAATGTGTCATATTTAAATTTGTTTTATGGGAACATTACCATTATTGCAGGATGCAGAATAGGGCTGGGCAACATATTGGGTGTCGAAAAAAATAAAGAAAAGTTGGTTTTGGATGTGTGTAGGTAGGCTATGGTGTCCTACGTTGGACATGTGACTCCACCCCATACAGTCTGTAACAAAGAGGGAAAGACAGGAGGATGGAGGGCGGTTCAAAAGTTGTAGCGGCTGGAGCGGCAGCTGAAGTAGACAAAGTTAATGTGATAGGGGGTGAGCAGCTTGTGGAGTAGTTATCGTCCATTTATTGTTATCGAGGTGAACTGCTCAGTATATTGTGATATTGATTTGAGGTCATATCACCCAGCCCTAATGCAGAATGACTATAATGTTTGACAGGTCCACTGCACAGAGACATTTCAAAGATCCACTTGGATATTTGGTCAAAAGTTTACTAATCTAATGGTGCAGCAGGAATATTAAAAAAACAAAGGTCTATTCCTGACAGATCAGGTATCATCTATTAAAGATGTTTTAATATCAGGTAAATCTATTGTAGTTGTGAACACCTCACAAAGCAGGTATATTTTACCATACTCTTTACAAAGATACCCTTCCTTTTCATGGGATAATTCAACTCCAAGTATATCCATTCATACTCTGTAAAGTATTGTGTTTATTCTCTTATATCTCATTTTTACAGCAGCTTTTTTCTCTTTTTAAACAGAAGCAATTAGTCTGTAAATTATTTTCTTGATTATTGGAGAAGGTTGAACACCATTGTTTCATCTAATTATTGGCGTTGGACGTCGTCATACTCTATAAGTGTCCTAGCTGGAGGTTTTCCCTGTTCATCAAACACTAAAAGGACTGACTCTTCCACATATAAATATTTGTAATGCCAGAAACAAATTTACAAGAATATCTGACATATTGATGACTAATAAAGTCCATATTTTGCTAGTACCATGCAGGGAGTACACAGAGCCACAGAGTTTCTAAAAAAAACCAGAAACACTTGCATGGGGGAGAAGTTGCTATTTATATATATATGATTGAAAAACCGTCTGAGTCATGGGTAGACGTCTGACAGTTATCAAGGGATGCACTTAATTGCTACCACAGCATTGTCCCTAGAGATGACAGTAAAACATGGCATTATTCTGAGGAGAGTTAAAGGTCTGATCCATCTCTCATAACTGTGTGAAGAAACATCTTTAAAAAACATCTTTTTCTTTACCTCAGCCTTTAGTTATATATACATCTTATCAGTATAGCTGTTTTTCTTTGTGACTATTCATCCACTTTCCCCTTTCTTTACAGTCAGCGTCGATGGTGGCTGTGTTGTCATGGCGACTGGCTCGGCAACAGGTCTGTGGGAGGTAAAAGAGTGCGCGTCATCAAAGGCAAAATTCATCTGTCGTCAAAATCAGGACACGTCTCTGAGCCCGGAGCCCCCAGTTCCGGTCCCTCAGCCCACGCCGAGCCTCAGCGGATCCTGTCCCAGCAGCTGGAAGAGCAGCCCCAACCTGCGCTACTGCTACAAGGTTTACCTCATCAACGTCTCTCTGCCTCACATCACCTCACTCTGCTGGGAGTGTCACAGGAATAAAGCCTACTTTTTGTTTATCAACTGATTTTGACACTGACAAAAAAATTTTTTCCAACATTCACAAAATAGGGGGGGATGGATAGTAAACAATGATGGAGCTATGAATAAAACAGCAGTGCTCCCTTTGATTTGGTCCATATTTACACTTTTATCCCTCGGTGTGCAGGTATTTCACTCATCCCAGCTGGAGCAAAAGCTGAGCTGGCTGCAGGCTCACCTGTACTGCCGCAGACACGGAGCCGACCTGCTGAGCATCGGCAGCCCTGAGGAGGAGCACTTTGTGCTGCAGGTCCTCCATGAGGCCTTCGGGTGGGTGTGCATTGTTAAACATGATGATTTAATGTGTCTTAAGATAATTTGGTGGTGGTAGTAATGATGACGATAATGATGTGGGCCACAGGGAGTCAGAGGACCACGAGCAGCACTGGTTTTGGATTGGACTGAACCGTAGAAACCCTGCAGACAACGGCAGCTGGAAGTGGAGTGATGGCCTGGCTGTGAGTGATAATAAAATGTAACTTTTGACAAACAGATGCTGAGCACAATATAGCTTTAATAATGACCAGTCCACTCTTTCTTTGTGTCTCAGTTCACATACCAGAACTTTGGTCGATACTACTACAACATCCGGCAGTGTGCTGCAGCAGATTTGGGCACGATGACTTGGCTGGCTATGCATTGTGATTCTGAATTAGACTGGATCTGCAAAATCCCCAGAGGTACAGCAGCACAGGACTATTGTACTTTTTTAAACATTTTCTGCTCATCTTCAGAAAATACACTTTAAGACCTTCAGCGTTATTCTCTGATTGGAGTCTCCACAGACTTTTCTTTCACTGCATTTTCTCCCATTTCATAAGTCATGAGCACTTCTCTCTCCCTCCTTTGTGTGTGTGTTTCTTTAGGTAGTGTTGAGAAGGAACCAGAAGTCTCTGAAGGTCAGTCAGCCTTACTTTCTTAGCTTTGAACTCCTCTCTGCACACTTAAATGATTTCCTAAGGGCTTATTTCAAACCCTTTCTGCTCTCTCTCATGACTTTCTCCCCTTCTTCTCTGATCCCTCATCTGTCAGGCACCAGTTCACCAGAGTGGATTGGCTTTAAGGAGGCTGAATATAAATTTTTTGACCACCGCACCACTTGGGACCAGGCCCAGAGGATTTGCTCCTGGTTTGATTCCTCACTGGCCTCGGTCCACTCTGCTGAAGAAGAGGCTTTCCTGGCTAACACTTTAAGAAAGGCACTGCAAACTTTATCATGAAGTTCATCATTGTTTGCACAAGCTGATTAAATCCAGCTAGCTTAATGAGGGCACGGCCGTAGGAAATACCTTACAAGCACAAACCTGTCTAATTACTATGTCTGTATTCTGCATGGCAACCTCGTGTCTCTGTGTCTGTGGCTTCAACACGCCTTTTCTCAGCCTCTGTCCTATCTTTAGATGGTGAAGGTGGAGGGGGACAACTGGTGGCTGGGGCTTCACACCTATGACAACGATGGCCGTTTCCGCTGGTCTGACCACTCTGTTCTCAATTATGTGTCCTGGGCCCTTGGGAGGCCACATGCACTCAGTCGGGATCGCAGATGTGTTCATTTGTCTGTCGGTAAAGGTAAGAGCAGCCAAAACTGGACTAAATAAGTTCCAAGACTTTTGTTTCACCTTTTCACCTCAACCTGAGAGAGAGACAGAAAACGTTCATGGATTGATCCTACATGCCAGTGCAACAAGAACTGCAGCCTCTGTATGGGGTTCACGTTTAAACCTCTGGGCCAGTGACACCCCCAAACACAACCCTTTTAACAACCTTTTTGTTTTCCTCTCATACAGCTGACTGGTCTGATCAGAAGTGCCCCTCTGACCTCCCCTACATCTGTAAGAGAGTGAACGTCACAGGCACCATTCCCCCAACTCCATCCCTCCCCTACAAACCATCAGGCTGTCCTGATGGATGGTCTTCATATCAGCATAAGGTAAAGCTACAACACACTGACAGATGCATCATCCGGTTACTATTTAAGTCCAACTAATGATTCACAATGTGGAGGATGCATCCTATAAATAACCACACCTCACCTTGACATCATGTGTGCAATGACTTCTGGTGTTTCTGCAGTGTTTCCGAGTGTTTGATCAGACTGACCGGGTCACATGGTCTGCAGCCAAGTTGAAATGTGAAATACAGGGCGGGGTGCTGGCGGTGGTGTCCAGTTTTCTGGAGCAAGGTAATTAAAGCAGAATAGAGATGTCAGAGTGCAGGGTTGTGGTGGTAAAACCAATTAAAATTAATGAGCCCACTTCTCAGAGTGAATTTAGATACTTACTTTTGAACTTTATGAAGTATCATTAATTTATAAAATAGGTTTCAATTATTGGTTAATGTAAGTGGTACATAATTTCACCTAACGAGGATCCAGCTTTTTTATTACTATAGAAAGTGATTTTTTTTCTTTGATTCTCAGATATTCATGTGTCTGTGATCATTTTTATCTCTGATCATTAGGGTCTAATGAGACTGATTATTTCACACACTGGATTTTGATGTGATCTTTACCTCTCCCCCCCAGCCTTTGTCACCACCCTGCTTTATAACACCACTTCAGACCTTTGGGTGGGCCTGACCTCAGACGCCATAGGCCATTTTAAGTGGGCCCAGCCTGGCCAGCTCAGCTACACCAACTGGGCCCCTGGAGAGCCTCTGGACAACAACGGACCACACCACAACAAGACCCCGGTACCCCCCACACTCACCCATCAGCATTTCCTGTCTTTATTTCATCCTCAGCGTGTTCCTGTTGTGTTGACTTTATTGTCTCTTCACAGGGGAACTGTGTGGTGATGATTCATGGGAATCCCCCGAAGAACACTGGCATGTGGGCCTCCCGACCCTGTGAGATGGAGAGTCATGGTTTCATTTGTCAAAGGCAACAAGGTGTGATAATAGTGAGACCACAACAATATCGCCCCAAGACAGGAGAGCAAGTGTGTTGACTAAAGCACTGACTTTATTTCTTCAGACCCAGATCTCCCTCCTGCGCCTCCTCTCATACCTGCCTCTCTGTCAAAGCCTGTGGAGCTGGGTGGAGTCACCTACCGAATTGTGGAGAAGCCTCTTGACTGGACAGGTGCTCTGCACCTCTGCAATTCAGTGAACGGGACCCTGGCCAAGGTGACAGATCCCTACCAGCAGGCATACCTGACGCTGCTGATCAACACCCTGCATCAACCCGCCTGGATCAGCCTCTATAGCTATGGAGTGAGTGCTCTTATAACAACAGTACATCTTCACCAAAGTCATTGTTAAAGTCACACAAGTACAATTTGTTACCAGACTAAGTGGAAACTCTATGTTGTCAGGGGCGGAGCTTCACCTGGTTAGGTGAAGAAGATGTTTCATATTCAAACTGGAAAGATGGGGAGCCTAATCAGCTGGCTGGATGTGGCCACATGACCACAACAGGGCTGTGGACTATGACCCCCTGTGATGCTAAGTTGAAGGCTGCTATCTGTCAGATAAGTGGTATGTGTTTATATCTTAACTGCAGAACTACATGTGGTTATGCCTAAGGATGATCCTGTTGTGAACATTATATGCGCCTTTGTAACTTCTCTATAATGTGTGAGTTCTCTGTTTTAATCTCTGTCCTTTGTCCTCTTCTTAGATGAGCCCGTGGTTCATCAGTGGCTCTACCCGGGTCAGTGTCCTCACTCTCTGGGAGAGTGGGCTTGGGTGCCTTTCAGAAACCACTGTTACGCCTTCAACCTGCAAAGTCTAAGACTGCAGCAGGATGCACAAGTGTCCTGCAAAAAAAGTAGGTTAAAGTTATACAGTCACTCCATCAACCATTCTCACTTTATTAAGCTTTGCTACGCTGCTCAATAAACAGAACTATCTTTTTTTACCTATTTATTTATTTATCTCAAACTTTAAGAACAACAAAAAAAAAACACTAAATACAAAAACACAGAGCAAAATAATACATATGTACACAAAGCAACTTTACATGTCAAAGATAAATTTAAATCAATTTATCACATATGTATGTCAAAAACAAAAAGTTTGAGAAGGAACAGAATGAAGCAAAGAGCTTATCTAGTCCTGCCTCTTCCTTGCAAATCAGAGTCAATAATGTATGGAAATAAGAAAATCTAATTGGATAAATTACAAAGATCTGTATAAATATCTCTATATTATACTCAAAGATATCAGCTCTACACTACATATGTTACTTGATATATTTATTTGCATAATTATAAACTACAAAACTGAAAGTTAATTAGGATCAACACCTCGTAACAATTACAAATGTTGTTGACAAAATGCATTAATGAGCCTTTTTTTAGAGTATCATTCTATGAGTCATCTGCATTATTATCATTTTTTTTATTATTATTATCTCCTTCTGCAAACAATTTTACTTTTTCATTCTTCCTTTTTTTAGTGGGAGCAGAACTCCTCTCAATCCTGGATGAGACAGAAAATGGATTTGTTTGGGAACACATTCAGAGTAATGCAGAACAGGCACATGGAGCCTGGCTGGGCATGAGCGTGAAAGGTCAGGAGACATCATCACCTCCATCTGTCTACATCGCAGCAGACTCATTAACCTTTGGATTGTCTTTGTCAAGCATTTTTTAAACAAGTCTGTTAAATTTCTAGATGCTTCCAGACACATTTTATCATTGTAATTTGTCCAAGTCAATAATTTTGCTGACTTGATTGTGATTTGTTCAGTGTAAAATTGTGAAACAATAATGTGGAGGAACTTGACTGTGACTGTTTCTCCCATGTAAAAGAATAAGACAAATAATGGGCACAGTGTCATAAAAACTAATATGTAATATATGATTTATTAAGTAAAGTGCCCTGAAATGTGCTGTAACTGAACAGACTACTGTAAACCTCTGTGCATAAACAGATCTTGGGAGTGTGTCTGAGCCCCTCTTGATGTATGTCTATATCTGTGTGTTTTTTTTCTGCAGGTAGAGGTCTTGTGTGGAGCGAGGATACAGAGGTGACATATGAAAACTGGGAGGCGCGTGAACTTGCCGCTTCTGTTTTGTCTCCAAACTCCTGCTTCTGGATCCTGAGCAACAGCGGCCTGTGGAAGCCGGGCTCCTGCAGAAACCGCACACATGGAGTCATCTGTAAACAGCCTCGCAGTAAGCACACCTGAGAGGGACTAGTTTTCAAAACAACAAATACAAGGAAGCATCAAGGGTTGGATCACCTGTTAACACAGATGCTAAGATTTGTAGTGCTATACCTGGGCTTACACAAAGAATCTGCTGTATCCACTTCAATAAGTCACAAAAAAAACACATCAGTTTTAATGATATGCTATATTTTTGCCCATCATGTTTCCTTTCTTCATTTTTAACAATCTAACACATCGGTAAATACATTATTCTCTAACTGTCCCCTTTTTTTTCAGCTGCTGAAATGTCAGCTGTAACATGTAAGTGTGCGATTCTGCTTCCATTTAATTTCAGTCTGACGTGACACTGAAGAATATGAACTATTTCTACTTACACTGACGTCTGTCCTCTGCCTCTCCACAGCGGAAAGTGACCACCTGCCCACTGTGATTGTTGTTATGGTTACGGGCTTGGTACTGGTGGTGTTAATTGTTGGAGTGATCTACCTGTACCGACGGCGAACTGTGGGGTCTGGGGGCTCCTATGAAGGAGCCCGCTACAGTCGGACCAACTCCAGCCTGGCTGAGCAGACTGAAAAGAACATCCTGGTGTCAGACATGGAGCTGAACGAACAGCCAGAGTAGCAGCAGCTGATCAAACCTGGACTGGACTGACCTGATACTGGAGAGGCTGACTCTAACACACATTGTGGCATTTATATTTTGTTCTCTTTTGAAACCAAAACAATGTTTTTTAAAGTGCTGAAGAGCTGTGCAGAGCGCAGCGGAGATTAAATTTTTAAATGACCCCACAGATGCTGCCAAGACTTGACAAATCAGATTCATCCAGAAACAAACTAACTTTACCCAAAAGTCTTTCTCAAAGCTCAGTTTATCTTATCATGGGTGTAAAAATTCAAAAATAGAATTGGTTTTATGAAATGACTGCTTTTCTTCAGTGCCAAAGTAAACTTCAACTTGTTGTATATTTTCTTCCTTGTTCCCAAACAATTGGAAGACCTACGAAGCAGAAAAGTGCCATCAGAGCCACAGAGTCTCTGTCCTCCAAACACACCGCCACAGTCGTTTTCAGGACCAAATCTGTTTATTGCTTTGATCTCATTCTGCCATGACAGTATTTACATGACATTGAATTGGTTTTTGTTTTTGTCGTCTCATGTTGGTTCTTTTCTTTTTCCATGATTTGCCATCGTCCGTGCAGCTGTAGAGAACTGTTACCGATGATGCATGTGTGGTTTTTGTGCTCCTGCCTCGCTCCTCCTCTCTCATCGGACACGTCAGCACCAGCTGTCAGACAAGCTGAGGAGGAGGAAGCCCAAATGTGAATGTGTGGAAGGTAACAGGGACCATTTTATTTGGTGACTTTAGACCATGTAAGGCAGTTCCTTAGATGTGGTACAACTGTGCAGGTAGCTGAGCTCTGTACGGGGCTTGGCATTGAAACTGGTCTTCGGTGGACTATTATGTTGGTACTGCAGGGCTGGAAGCTATTATCAAATAGTGACTTTCAGCCTCCATGGCTCTGTGTACATTTTGGTACCTTCTTCTTTTATTTTTCAGCTTATTCAGTATTAGTTATCTGCTTTCTTCTAGTGGTTAATGTTAGGATACAGTTCCTTCCTCATGATTCAGACTTTAAGTTTGTGCTGGCTCTGTGTACCACCATCTGGAGCTGAACTGGCTGTTTTTAAGGACAATAATTCTCTTTGTGTGCACTATGAAAAGGGTTTGCCATAAATGAGTCTGATTCATCTGTTTTATGGACCACAGTTGACTTCTCTGTATGTTTTATCTCAAGGATATTCTCTCTTATCAATGATGCAGGTTTATTATGTTCATTACTCAAATATGGTTTTAAAGACTTTTAGGAAACTTTCCTACTTTTGTGAGACACTTGCCAAACAAAGGAAAAGATCCCTCATGTGAATGACAGCGGTGTAAATATGAGAGCCAAAGACTGTTTGAATATGGAATCACCATGAGAGAAAAAAAAACTCTTTTTTTTGTACGTCATTTTCAAATTTCATATTTGCACAAATGAACAAAATTTTTTTGTCATTTACCTCCTTAAGTGTTTCCTTCTCCCCTCTGCGCTCACATTTCTTTCTTCCTGCACAGAGGAATGCTTTGGAGTCGTGTCAGTCTGAGGCTTTTGGGGTTTCACTGAGCTGCTGTGAAAAAAAATGCTTTTTCTTGCTCCATAAGTTGGACCAAGATAGAGGGGGAAGGGATGAGGGGAGGGTGTAAGGAGAAGTGAGTGTGTGTGTGTGTGTGTGTGTGTGTGTGTGTGTGTGTGTGTGTGTGTGTGTGTGTGTGTGTGTGTGTGTGTGTGTGTGAAAGAGAGAGAGAGAGAGAGAGAGAGTGTGTGCAGTCTCCAGCTGTGGAATGTTGAGTCGGCAAGAAGAGCTCAGTGGCACGTCTGGAACCAATCAGAGAGAGAGGGCTCAGGGACATGAGGGGTCAGAGGGAGGATGGAAAAAAGGAAAACGGGATGAAAAGGGAAAAAGACGGAGTGTGAGGAGGAGTCAGGGATGTAGGAAGAGAGGAAGGGGGAGTGTAATGCTTGGAAGTGGATTGTCCTAGGCCTACCCCGGCCTCTGCTGGTGGCTCACTGTACTTCAACTGTATGTAGTAAACCTGAATTGGTTGTGGAGGTCCGATGCCCCCATAGTTTGTAAATCAGTGAGACTGTGTTGATGATGCAGGCTGGCGCTCATCCCTGTGAAGATTACCTAAAGCACCTATTCAACTTTTTTTTTTTTTTTAACTATTTTGGTGTCATTTTTATATGAAAGAAATAAAGTCTATGTTCTCAGAACTGTTGCTTTGAGCCTTATTTATGGATTTTAGTCATCGTAGTTCTGATTATTTTTGATTTTACAAACACTAACTGTGGGATCCAGACAGTAAGGATGATGGAGGTACACTTTCTATAAATGCACCACTTAAAGTGGATTGTAAGCACATTTATAAAGCCTTGCAAATGCTCCTTATACGTCCTCATATCTAAGAGTGTGAGAGAGTGGAAACGTGGGAGATAGCGTAGGGGGAAGACACGCAGCACAGGGTCATGGCTGGTATTGAACCCTTGACCATTGCAGAGACCATGGTCCCCAACATGGGGCTCGCCTTAACCCTCTTGGCCATCTATGCATTCTTAAAATTACCTATTATGTATACTATTACTTCAATAGTAGTACAAATTTATAAGCAGTACAACCCAAGTATACTTTAACCTAAGGCACAAATACATACTTAAGTACTTAAGTAAATCTTAATCAAAGGTTTAAGTATAAGTATAGGTTTAATATATTTAGACTTTAAGTAAAATTCATAGTTGGAAAGTTGGAAAAGAAAAAATAACTTCCTCCTTATTTCTTCTTCCTCCTTCTCCCCTTGACCCCCTCATCCCTTGATTTCATTCTTCACAGTCTCTAAAACCACCAATTCTCAGAAGGCCTCAATAAAAACAAGAAAAAACAATATATGACAAGAATGTGATTTCAACAGTATAAAATCATAGAGTTTGTATTTAAAACACCAGTGGGTAATTTAAGTTAGTAGTGGCAGCAGTGCTTACAACTTATTTAAAAACCCAACAGCTGATGGGATAAATGAGCTCAGGTATCTGTTGGATTAGCCCTCCTGGCATAAGTAAACCTCAGAAGTCTAAACTCTACATACAGGGGGTGCTGAGGGTATACTAGGATGGCCTTTATGTGAAAAACACGACCAAGAGCATTTAAGTAAAAGTTTAATGATGTTTCCCAGACTGTTTTTGTTAACCATGCTGAGATTACCAAATCAACAGATCATTGCAAATGTTAAAATAGACTCAAAAGATCTTTCGGTGCAGCCACCATAAACAGTAGACTGCTTCTTTGCTGCACAGCACAGGTTTGTTGGTTTCAATGGGGGACAGGGTGTGGCTGCAGAGGAAGAGCGGGGAGATGATGTACCTGTGACTGTCTCATGGTGCCTCTTCTGGTCAGCCTGGACCCCCATCCCTTTAAATCCTGAAAGTTGAATAAACGTACATTCGCACACCCAATAACAGACACACACACACACACACACACACACACACACACACACACACACACACACACACACACACACACTTACGTTTTGCAAGTTGTTGGATGTTGTCACTTTAAATGAGAAATTTCTGTTTAATTTGAGTATCTAGAAGTAAAAAAAACAGCTGTATGTTGGGCATATTTTTCTAAACACTACCTCCAAAAGCCTGTGAGCTATGACTGTAATGTTAGTGTTTAACCACAAGAGAGCGCTCTTTGCTTAATGTAAGTAAACCAGAACTCCTTTTCGCTCTGTGTGGACTTAGTCGCTGGCGTTTATCTGTGTTGGATCATCGTGCGTCTCTGCTGAATAAAATGTCTAAAGAAATGAACAAATCCTCTTACATACTATTGGTGGGTTTCTATTTATCTGTGGCCATTTTTCTGTCAATCAGCAAACTAGTGATTTGGTCTGATAAGTGGCAGCTAGTGTAAGACACAAATCTCCAAAAAGCAGCTACAAGCCAGAACACATAGAGACCATTAGGTATTTGAACCTATGCTAGTTAAACCAAACAGCAAATGTAAAGGCAGTTTGAGGTCTCCACATTTCATCAGAGGAAAACAAAATTTAAAAGGCAAAATTTGCTTAAATTTTAGGGATGCAAATCCTCAGCTACAACTAAAAAATTCAAAACAGGTAAAACAGTAAAAAGAAGATACAAAGGATGACTGTACTGCAAAAAATTAGGAAAAGCAATGGAAGCGAGGGCTCCAAAAATGCATATACTGTATGATGCAAATCAAGGGTGCACAAAGCCAGAAAATAACATTTAAAGGGAAAGGTGCTCAAGCCATCCCAATGAAAGAGCTCAATGCCTTTAGGGGGGGCTACGTGGACCTGTTTCTTTTCAACGATAGGAACAAACAGAGCAATACTAAATTTTATGACACCAATGTGACAAACAAAAAAAAGGGTCATCCTAACTTTGGATTTCTGGTTTTATTTTGAGATCAAACTTAACGGAAAAAAAAATGTTTGTTTTTTACAGATACATTTTTAAACCTCTTACCTGTGTTTGATACTTGATGCTGGTTAGTTAAAGCCTCCTCACAGTAGCCATAAATTCTGGATAGCAAAAGGCAACAACAGTCAACCTGATCATTGTGACACAAATGTCAAATCAGTCTGTGAAGAGGGGATACAACACATGAAATGTGCTGTTCATGTTTCACCTCTTCCTGCTGACAATTTATCAAAAACCTGTATTTAGCACAGCACAGCAGCGCATGATGTTGTTGACATGCTTGTGGCAGAGAGCTCTGTGGGGAGTGCTTCTTGAGTCTGACAATAAGGAGTGATAAAAAAACTACAATGACAAGGAGGCTAATTGACTCTGAGCAGGACCCTGAAACCCAGAGTGTTGCAGAAACTGCAGGACTCATAGCGAAGCAAGAGGGGTGTTATGTGGCATCAATTGGTGTTGGTCTCTGTGGGTCTGAGCAGGTTTTTGTTAGGGTAAGCCCTGGTTTTTGGGGCCACAAACACCAAATTAGTTGTAAGCTCACAGTCACCAAATTTACTGGACTTGGATTCATTCTGTTGTGTCTTGTGTCCGCATGAAAATCTCCAAGTCCATTATGGTTCACCTGCCCCCGTTGAGCCCTGCACCCCTCTAAAAGAGACCTCTTCTGGTCACACAGGTGGAAGTATATGCTTGTTATACAAATCAAAGCATCTCTCTGTAATCCATCTCACTTAAGATGCCTGTCACAACTCACCCACCTGCATTTCCACAACACTCTGTACGAAACATGCAGGGATTGTGGACTCCTGCAGTTATGTATTGGCTTCAAAACCCTACTGCCTGTTGCTTTTTACGTGTCTCTGGTGAATGGCAACTATCCACAAGAAACTCCAACTCATATCTCAAGTAATGTGTATTCTGTCTGCTAAATGTCTAAACTAAGTCGTAGCTGTGGTGAACATTTCCTGTTGTGGCTTCATTTGAATGTTTTCGCTGCAGTACGTGAGCACGATACTTTCATCTGAGAATTTTATTTTACTGGCTCAAATTATTATCATTCAATACTTGCTGCAGTGCTAATGCTTTACCCCTCTTCCTGTCTTTCCATTCTGCAGCATGCACCCTACAAAAGCACGAGTGTGAGTTGAAAAGTGTTGAATCATGAGGAGGTCTTCATGGTGGCCTGTGGGTTTCTCCCGCCCATGCAGCAGCCATCTTGCCTGAGGCACTGTGGATACACCTGCCGGAGTTGCAGTTTAAAGACTTGTGGTGGCAGCAGAGGTCTCAGCTCTGGGAGCAACAGAACAAAATCACTGCTTAAATCCTCCATTCGCCATCTGAGACACTTGAGTGAGACCCTTCATGATTAATTAAGCCACGAAAAAGGTGAGAAAGGAGAGTGAAGCTCTTCAAATGGCTCACTTCATGCCCAATCAATGACCTGTTCATTTGAAAGTTTGGTTTGTCAGCGCTGTTCTTACGTTGTATTCCCTCTCCTGTGGCTCTGCTATGTGGGAGTGTTGGCTCTGCAGGTTGAGGGAGGGGGACCGCCGAGAAAGCTGCGTTAACAAGTGAAATTAAAAACCCATTCACTCTTCTTCAGTCATTCATTTGGAGGCCAGCCAAAGGAGAAACAGCTGTTGGACTGGCAATGGAAAAGAGAGAGCGAGATTTAGAGTGTGTGTGTGTGTGTGAGAGAGAGAGAGAGAGAGAGAGAGAGAGAGAGAGAGAGAGAGGCAGGAGAGGGAAAAAAAGTGACTTCAGAAAAAGACAGGGAGCATTTTTGAAATGAATAGGACCGAACACTCTTCCCTCTGAACACCAGTGCTGGAGTGGATCTTTAGAAAAGGAGCTGCCTCACTAAAAACTTATTCAGCACTCAGAATAGCTTTTGGTTTCTACAATCAACCACTTCTAATGCTTCTGGTCCAAAATGGTATCCATGTGAATGACAGGCCAGCTTATCAGTAAATAGCTGCCACAAACAAAGTCCCTGTTCTTTAAAAGGAAAAGCTAAGGGGTGCTTTTCAGCAAACATAAAGTCCATATAAGAGTGAAAATCTCAGGGACACTTTTATCAAAACAAGGCTGGGAAACAGACAATTCTGCAAATGTATGCTTTTATTTGCTCGGGAGGGCATATTTGAGCCAGAAGAGTTTATTTAATGTCCAATGGGTTAGATAGGCTGACTGATATTCAACAAACAATCACAACGGTTTCAGCTGACAGGAAGTGTCTCCAGCAGCTTAGAAATAAAAACAAATAAAAATCTTCCCTAAAAAAATCCTAAGCTATAAATTAAGACTTCTATTTTCTCTAAATGGTTTACAAAAACAGCAGCTTTTTGTAATTACCATTTTTACAATTATATTGATCCCTACTTTGATTTTCTGGAATAAACAAATCATTAAAAGATCCTGTTATTTATACCAAGTTTCAGTTATGTCGGATGTTGGAGCTGGGAATGACATTACACCCGAGTTGAACGTGTTCCAGTTAACAAGTCAGAAAACCAAGATGGACGACTGCTGTTAGCCGTTGTCAGCTGTTGTTAGCTGTTGTTAGCTTTACCAGTTGTAAACAACACATAACACAGTATTTCACTCACAAATTGTGCAGTTCATAGCTCAAAGGCTTACAACTGTGTTCACAGTAAGACGTTGTGCAGTACAACATATACCACTTACTTAATTTCACAAAGCAAAACAGAAGTGCTAATAAATAAAAATTACAAGAGCTTTCACTGTTACTCTTTACTGTTGATGCACTGCACTGAAATCTTGGAATATGACGTTGTCGTCAAGTCGGGGTTGGTGAAGATCATCCTACTTTCCGAGTTGGAAATCCGACTTCAGCGGGGCATTCCAGATGAATTTCCAACTCAGAAATTCCGATTTCCGAGTACAACTGGAACGCAGCATTACTTACAAGAAACCCCATGACCCTGACTTGTTCTCAAATCTTGTTCCATCTTTCATCTACCCTGACCTTTGTCCTTTTTTACACTCAAACTGTAAAACAAAAAGGTCAACCCACCGTATCTTTTTGAGCCCTCGCTCTCTTGAGAGTCATTTTCCACCTAATGTCAGAGCTGCAGGATCTTTGGATCGCTCTAATTCTCTCATATGGACAAGAATTCTTGTAGCTTCCATTTCTGGCTTGCTTTAGGTTGTTACATTATAGTTTCATCATAATTCCTTCTGCTTTGGTTCTTTTATTTTATCCCTGAGTTTGTGAAGCACCACGTTTTTCAAAGTGCTGTTTCAATAAAGCACTTTTTGAGCCTCCTTCACACATGCTCTGCACTCCTGAAAATGCCCATAAACCATTTGGCTACGCCTTATGATTGAATGCAAACACCCAAATGTTTCCCACTTGACTTTATTTAGACCTTTTTTCTGCAGGCACTCCTGTGATATATCAGCATAAAGTCAGGGTGAGCCAAAGTTTGAAAAAAGTCTGGGATATTTACAGAGAGAATAGTGAGGAAGATGAGGAGATGGATCACACTGAGTGAAGTTTTCCTGCTTCATACTCTTGATAAAAGTTGCTTTTATATTTTTGCTGCTTGTACATGCAAAAATCTTTGTCATGATTTTGAGTAAAGCAAAAAGGAAAGGACCCAAATGCAGGACAACAAAAGATTTATTCAAAATAAACTAAATAGAACAACGAAAACATACTTCAGAAATGTCCAACTAAAAATCCACAAGGGCAAAAAAACCAACAGAAGGCACTGGGGGGAAACCACAAGAAGACACTGGAGACTTTGCAGACATTGCCATACATACCACGCACAGAAGCATTGACACACAATGAACTGACAATGAAACAGGGGAAGACAAGGACTATATATACACACACAGGGAAACGAGCAACGAGAGGCAGGTGAGACACAGGTGCAGACAATCACAGAGAAGGGAAAACTGAGGAAGTAAAACAAGACTAGAAACACAAGGAATAAACTACTACAAAATAAAACAGCAAATATTGAAAACTGATAATGAATAAAACACTAAGAACATGAGGGAACTGGGGTCAGACACAAACTAAAAACTCACAAGAGATGACTACAGGGGAACAGGAACAATAGGGCACAGAAACACTTGGGAAAATCACAAAGAAAATACACTCTCGGGAAACACAAAACCAGGGAAAAACTAACTCAAACAGCACACATTATGACAATCTTAAAGCAAAACCATCACAACCACTAAAAACCTCTCCATGCTTTCAAGACCTGAAATTTTCTTGAAATTTTTGGACATTTATGTGTAAAAAGGGCTTTACTTACCTCTTCATTTACACAGCTGGACTGTTTTTGAGCTGTCCCACAAATAAACTCTGCTAGCTAAACGTTACATAAACCAGATGATAAAGCGAGTTGATGTCCTGATTGGTTTGCTGGAGATGAACTCTTCAATCAGTGCAACTCTTAAAAGGATCGTTGTAATAACACACTCTAACGCGGTGTCAGTTTACCTGCACTGCGCCTTTTTTCCTGTGGTGTAGGCTCCATAAGACGCTGATGTCCTGTCCCTGTTATCTGTCCTGCTAAGAGCTCTTGGCTGTGATTGCATCTGGTGTGTCATCAGGCAGTTTGACAGCTCTCTATCCACCTGTTGTCGATGCTCGTCATCATCAAACCTCTCTAAACTGTGAGTGTGGAGTCAGTATAATAAGGCTCTTGGCTGGTGGGTCTAACTGAGAAACCCAGTGAAGCGCTTCACTTTCAACAGAGAGAGCCTTGTGTGGAGTCAGCCATTGATTTTTAGTCAAAATGATTTTTTTCTTGGTGATGAAAACAACCTATGTGTGCCAGCTCAGTTTTAAATGGGGATCAAATTCCACAATCTTTGTCTAAATCAAAGCCTGCACACTTCAAAGTCACTGGATCAGCAGAGATGCACACAGAGTGCCAACGCCAGAGCAGGAAGACGGGGGTGAAAAAAAAGCTTCGCTCTCACTTTGCTGTCCAAACTCATCTTAACTCCTGTCTTTCTTCTCCCTCCTCATCTTTCCAGAGAGTTTGCAGAGGCATTGTGTGTCTGTGTGTGTGTGTGCTATGTTTGTGTGCACACTGGGATGGACAGCTCTGAGACAGAAGACTTGGAGGGCCAGGAGGACGGATGGTGTGCAGAGGCAGGTTGTTGGTGGTGTAAGGCGGGGGGGTTGCTGGAGTCCGGGTGTGGTGTAGTTATCTCCTCTGTGCAGATGAGGACATGTCTTTGCCTGCAGGATGCTGCTCTTTCTCAGGCCAAGGACGGCAGCATCTGTGTGGTGAAAGGGATTATGGGTACACTGTTCCCAGTCATGCCTTTTGGGAGAAGCCAGGATCTGCGTTTGGTTGTCTTGTTTGTTGGCCATTTTCAGGTGTGTAATTAGCATCCTTAAATGGGTTCAATTACCTGCATAGTTCGCATTAACTCAAAATAACACACATACAGATGATTTGATAAGGGAGCTGAGATTTAGCTGGATAAATGTTTCACAATAACAACCCAGATTTTGCATCAAATATTGAAAGATTGTGTCAGGAGGCTCAGTTTGTTAATGTTTGCAGCTTCATCAAGAGCCAGAACCACAGAATGGTGTAACACAGCAGTGACAGGATCATTTCATAAGCTGCACACTTCTCCACCTGTCTGAATATTCGTGAATGGGAACAACAAAAGGTGCAATTATCACCCCTAAACAGGGACAGGATTAGACTCCTCTTCATTTGCATGGATTTCACCCAAAATAATAATAATAACCAGACACAAATGAGGAAGAAAAAGAGACAAAAGATGGAGTTAATTTATGGAAAGCTGGGCTGCTTCAGTGCTTGATCGGTTATTAACCCTGGTAACATTACGCAAACACACGCTGACACGCATGTTCATACACACCTCAAGATCCCTGAGTCATGGGGACCAGGTATTGAGTCCAGTATTATCCCTCTGGGAAATAAAGACTGGATGCAGGGAGCAGGAGGTATGAGACGAGGGGACCGTAAGGCCGCACAGCAGAGTAACAACTAAACCCTACCTTTGTTTACCTGTGCTGGTTTCCACGGTGATGACAGAAATACGCTGCCTTTCTACGAGAGGAATTGAGAGAGGAAATTTTCAGCCTTGAAAACTAAGTGTTGTTCGGGGGAAAATGTTCTATTACAGTTTTTTTCTCATCATGCAGCACATTTATCTGAACAACACCGAGTGTGTTTTTAATGATCTGAACACAGACTGATGGAATACAAGGTTAGCCATCGATGGGTTATATCTCTGTATGAAGCCACACGTTTTCCTTATTTAGTGTTTTCTCGGTCAATTGGAGTTAAATCCTTTTCCAACTACCTTTCTGTCTTTTTATGAGCGTGTGTGTGTGTCTGTGTGTTTCACTCAGTTGTTTGCCTCTGAGTGTTTTCCACCAGTCAGGATATGCAGAGATGAGCTCCATTGTTGGCATAAATTGCTTGGCCCAGACGTGCTGCCTCTCCACTGGGCATCTACCGCGCCGTCACCCTCTCCACCCCCACCCCAACCGATCAATCTAATCCTCAGCTATAATGAGTTTCCCTTTCCGAGATCGAGGAGTGGGCAGAGCCATGAAGTGGAGAGAAGAGTAAGAGTGAGGAGGAGAAGGAGGAGGAGGAAGAGAAACGAGGGGTATCAGTGGGGCTGAAGGTGTATTAAGTTATTCAGAGAGGTTCAAAGTTATCGTGTTAGGATCTAACAGTTTATCATGTTCCTTAGTGGGCTGATCTGAATCTCTACACAGTAGTTCTTATACATTGAAGTGGGCTGTATCAGCAAATATATGACCCACCTTTCGAGCCATATGAAACATGTTTTTTATAAATACAGTTACCTTATAGCTTTGTTCTAAATTATTAAACACACATATGGGAGGCGACCTAGATGACAGCTGAGCATGAGCACAGAGTGTGAAGTTAGACGGACATCAGGCCACTCTGTCCGTCCCCCATGTCTGTTTACTCTGAAGCTGTTCAACCTCATGGGTTTCTACGAGAGTTCCAGTTTTGAGAGTCGAGACGCTGATTGTTTGTGTATGGAAACAGTAAGCCTCTGGTGTACTGTGTTAGCTGTATTGTTGAACTCCACAAGTCCCAATCCAAACAGTTAAATCGGTCATAACAATTGAAAAAGAAAGATATTAAATTCTTTGCTTTATGTCAGATGTTTGAGCATCGAGCACAATATCATGGCTAAAGAGAGCCTGGATTCTTTTACTCTTGTGAAATTACTTAAAGCTCCAGAGAGGAACTTTAAGTTTGGGCCACTTTTGGTGCCTCCTATGGACAAAGCAGGTGTTTTTCATCTTGCCCTTTACAAGTTTAAATGGTGTTTCCAGCAGGAAAAAAAAACAAAAGCATCTTGCTGGTTTTTGACTGTCAAATGCATATATATTTTTGTCAATACTGAATGTGGAAAAACAAAAAACTGAGCTTTTTCTTCTGACACCTCCCCCTCACACCAGCGCATAAAAATCTTCATTGTTGATGGTCTCGTTTGCTTCTGCATGTCATACAGTCATTAATCTTGATTTTAGTCTGTTTCATATAAAACTTCTGGCAGTAGCTTTAAGATGAGTGGTAGTATTACTTCATGTCAATAAAAGTGCAAATGGGCAAGTATTTGGTAATATTTCCAATATTTTAAATTTAGGATTTGATGGATTTGTTGTATTCACAGCTTGTTTGCCCAAGGCAACAGAACTTGCAGGTCAGAAAATACAGAAACATATGTCTTCAGCAGGTTTTCTTTTGCAACAAACCAGCTCTCTGCAGAGAAATTTATCCGCTTGTTGGGCACTTGTGATAAAAATTGTACAAAAGTTGGTGTTGAGAAGTTGAGAAGCGCCCTGCATGTTTGGCTGAATCTAAGAAGTTAGTGCTGCATTGCATTGTGAAGTCTTCCCTGCAGATACAATAGAGCCAAAGAGGCTAACACTGACGCCGAAGCAGAACAGAGGAGTGCCTCAGTTCACAGACTCACAGTTCATCATCTCACAAAGGGCCAGCACTCTGCACCTGAGGGTGGAAGTCATGGAGATATCTCTCTGCTCACAAAGGCACTAGCAATCAGTCAAAGAGAGCCAACATCTCTGTGAATATATCACCCATCAGCGAACTTTCATATGCTGGGTCTTACAGGCTTCTGCACGCCTGCTCATCTACTGGTCACTTTTTTTTTAATCCCTCATGCGAAGGTTAGCTCTCTGTACTCTGTTCCACAGAAAAAGCAGAACCTCAGTCCTGTAAAGCAGCAGCTGATCACTGTTAATTATTTACTCTGTGAGTAAAACTGAGCATCCTTGGCAGAATTCATAAAGCTTGTTTCATACCAGCCTAGATATTGTGTCTAATGAGCAACTAACCTTGATGTTGGAAAACAGCTGATATTCACACTGATGGAAATGGAACAATTTCTTTTTATATTACTTTGATAAACATGGCAGCTTTTCATTTGATCATTTTTTTCACAGATTTAGTTTCTTTCTGTGGCATTACGATAAAACTCCTCAGCATTTGATCAGATCGGATCAGATCAGATCAAAAGATTGGTCCTGTGCCTTTCACTCCTCTGTGTATCTTTGCATGGCCGAGCATCTCTTAGGGTGTTAGCAGGTCCAAGTGTGGCTAATCTGACCACCACGTGCCTCGAAGGCAGCGGCATAGCGTGACAGAGCAGGACGTGTGAAAGGCCTCTTTGTTGAGCCGTGTCATCATTTGTATTCAGCGGGATCAAAGTCTCTCTGGCTGCTTTAAAATTTGTCCTGTGGCGAGTGTTGCTGGAGCAGTGAATGACAATGTCAACGGATGCAGAAGAGACACGAATTTACATAGAAATAGCTCCAGATATGGCTGTGTGAGGAATAAAATCTGTCCACATTTTGGGACTGTGTGAATCTCTGCCCACCTCTGAGGGCCTGTGTGTAGTATTAAATCTGTGTTTGTTGTGCACATGGGGGTGCAAAAATGAGACAACATTTCCCAACAATCCTATTTTCGAGTTTATCAGAGAGTGTGATGCTTCAGTTAAAGGGTGGATACTCAGACTCTAGACCAATAAAACCTGAACATCTCCAGACTGCTACAGAGGAATGAGAGGAAAACTCAGAAGGGGGTTCAGATAGCAGTTAGGAGCTAATTTAGCTTAAGGTTAGCTAAGTGATCAGGGGGTGTGGGATTTAAGCTTAGCGTTCGCTCAGCAACATTGTTACAGAGGATTTTCAGGCTCTGACTTGCACTAAGCTTAATGACTTTTCAGATTGTTCTTCCTCACACTATCTGTAGACTCAAATCATAACAGCAGCTAAATATGCTACTTTCTTTCCCATCCCGCGGTGATAGCAAGCGTTATCTTGTTTTAGTGCGACACATCTTGTTCTCATAATCATTATCTTCCTGTAACTATCCGAGAAAAAGGAAAACACCTGCAGTATCAGCTGTGTGAAGGAAATAATGACAATTCTTTCCTGAAGGTATCATGGGAAGAGGCAGAGACGGAGAGAAATATCAGTAACAGGACACAAATGTTGAAATGAGTGCTTGAGTATTTTATGTCTTATTTGCATTGCTTTGGCATACACTTCTATCGGTCATGACATCTGAGTCACTGTGCCGACGTCTGGGTAAGATGGGCAAAACAGACCGGGGGGCAAACATGAGCTGTCAGATGATCAAACAGGTTACAAACAAGAACAAAAACAGAGATAGAAGACGGTCTTTTTAAGGGAAGACAAATAACAGGGTGAGGCTAAATTGTGACAGAAGTTTTTACGTCAACACCCGTCAGGGTTTTGAGGCTGACATTTTTGGATGTGCTCATTAAAAACTGCACTTTTGATCACAGATGTTTGACGTAAACAAAAGGTGCAGTCCACCATAAAAACTTTTAATAAGTGACTGATTCAAATGACAAACTTATGGTTTATTTAAAGTTGTTAATACATTTATGACTTATGCAGGGGTGCCAAGAAGTATGGACACTTTCACAGTATGAGGATTTTAGGTGAGCAGGGCTCAGCTGGAGCTGGACTTCAACACTGACCTGATAGACAAAGTGAGGGCGTAAAAAAAAAACTTTTTGTCTTGTGTTTTTAACAAAGTTGTGTTTTTGTTGCTGGGCAGTAGCAGCTATTATTCAGTGATTTTTGGTTTTGAGACATCACTATTAGTCATAGACTCTATAAAGAATGGACGCCGTCTGCCGCCTTGCTGAGTGAAGCCACCCCAAGAACAGCACCCTCTGGTGACAGGCTGCAGTATAGGTCATAAATCCCGCCTCCTCCAGCAAAGCTTATGCAGCTGTGGACAAAATTTAGACATTTATTACAGAGAATATACTTTTTCTCCCCCCTGCTTGCGATGTTGACATGTAGTTACTGTAAGACTGGTTTGTGCGCAAGTCCTCTTTTTTATGTACAGCACCATTTTTAAAAGTTATTTGGGAGTTCATCTTTTCTGTGATTGACACTTGATACAGCCAATGGGTGTACGAAGATTGCATAGCTCACCCAGGGGATACGCTGTTTGAGCCTAGCGTCATCACAGCGACTCTCCTGCCGAATGCGTACAACGCTACTGCACAAGTGGTGATTCCAGGAAGTGGAGAAAATCCCACAAATACCAAGACCAATTCAAATTTGTCTAATGATGGAAGGCGGAGCCAAGTTGTCCATAGTATATACAGTCTATGCTCTGTTCTATGTTTTTTTAATCATATAAAGAAAACTTTACTGAAACTGTGCAGCTCAGACTAACAGATAAAAAAGTGACCTTTCACCTTGAATAACACCAGGAGCTAAATTTGGTACTCCGTAGACTGTTGATATCTTAAACTGTATTTCTACACTAAAACTCTTTTCTTTGACAGAGTAATCCAATCAGTTTTAATCTCACTGGCCGAAACATCCAGCTTAATGTCACAGTCTCCTCGTCCTCACCAGGAGACAGGCTATCAAAGAATTCACTGATTATACTTTGACCGCACTGACATCCGCCATCTTCATTATTATGGCAGACACACAACAGAAAATCAATGGGGTCGTTGTAGACTTAATAAAGGTAATTTTTCTGCACTCCTGCTTTATAGGGAGCCAAAAGAGGGAGGCTTATTTCTGCTCTTATTTTATCCTCCCTCGCTGTTCAATTTGTGACAAAATGCAGGAGGGATCGATTCACGGGCCATTAAAACTCTCAAAAGAAGATTCAGACAGGGAAGGGCACAAGTTTTATTTTGCGATTTGAATGAGGCAGAAATTTTTGACTGAAAGGCTTATTTGTGCTGAGGATTGGACATTTCTATGAGAAATGAGAGAATATCAAGGTGAATTTGAATTGAACTGATCAGGCATTTCACAGTCATCTCTGCAGCACAGCAGACTAGACACTGTTTCAGTACAGAGAGATCCTTTTTAAAGGATTCTGGTTACATGTCTGCTTAAAACCCAGCATTATCTAAGCCTGCACTCCATTTTGACCCATCAGTCAGTGCATACACATATTGCACTATTGTATATGCTTAACTTTGTCGATACATTTTCTTCTTCTTCTTCTTCTTCTTATGCACACTTGGTTGCAACTAAGATTATATCAGCACACATCGATGCGCACACTGTCACATTTCATGTAAATCTGTCTTCACCATCTAGGATTTTTTAATTTTTTTTAGGGAACAGCAGCAAAGCTCTTATTCAAATTTAAAACTGTCTCCATTTTATCTACATCTTTAATTTGAATATTTGATGAGATGCAAAGGTCTTGCACAGTGCACATTTACATACAGAAAGATTATTTCTCTGCATATGAATGGATTATGTTGATAAAAATCACTTTCTCCTGTTAGTTCTGCTCTGATTTATTCATGTTATTATAAAAATGTAAAAAAAAAAAAAAAAAAGCTTAGCCACATGACATTACAGCATTCAGGGCAAATATGTATTTTGTTTGCCGCAGCTGTTTCTTCATTTATTTGTTCAAAGTCTTGTCATACATACACTCTCCATTAACAGTCCCCGATCAACCAAAAAGTAGACAAAGTTCCTGAGAGTAGTAGGAGGAGAATATTTGAATGATGTTGCAGGGCAGACGAGGGGCTGTATGAGATGCTGGTTAAAAAGGATTGTCTGAGCTGGAGTGTAGCCTCTGGCAAGAGATTATTTTATAAATAGGAAAGCGTGGTGGAGCTCGCCTCGCAGCCATGCATCAGATCAAGGACGGACAGCTTCAGCCTGAACACTATTAAGCTATTTTTCTCGATTTAAACTCTTTTTTAAAGAAGGATTTGAGCTCATTGGAAGTTTCTTTTCCTCTTCACTTGGACAAGCAGGTTGATATGCTGTGGCTGCAGCACAGGAGCCATCAGAAACACATAAAAGTCTTCTCATGTGACAGAGGATGCAACTTAAACAGCAGCATTCAAAAGACCTATTACAACCTGCAAATAAAACCCTTTGTTATACCTTTGATCGCATGAGTTTTTGGGGTTGTGATGTCTCAGTCTCAGTCCTGAGTTAAGCAGATCTGCTCTGCGGTGCAAGTGTACATGCCCCCGGCGTGCCCAGGTGAGGCGACCATACAGACAGTGGCCTTGCTTTTGCCTGCGGCTTGTTTTCTGTGCATGTCAACCTGAGGCTCTCGTGTTTATCATCTCATCTCATCTTCTCTCTCAGCAGCTGACATGCCTTTAGATTCAAAGCACTCCTCTATGAATTTTAATGTCCACTTCTGATCTTGACCCACCGGCTAGACTGAAAATCCTGAACGCTTTAAAAACTCTGACATACTTTCCCAGCATGAGTGGGGTGTCTCAATAAAATAGACACATGGGAACACGGGTCAGTGCTGTTTGCTAAAAGCAAGGAGTGTGCTCAATTATTCAGTGGACATTGAGAGGGAGAGAATACCGATAGAGTCTGGATTCAGAGAAGACAGTGATTGTATGTGCAGGGAGATGATAGGTGCACACAATCAATTATAGAGATCCATCTAAAGGTTTCATGTTCACCTGCTGATAGAATTCACTAAACATGTCAGAGCTGACTGTCAGGGTTCATCTTTTCATCTTCTTCACAGCAAGGGAAGCTCTGTTTTATTAAACGTACAGAGTTTGATTGTTTTTCTAGTTTTCACATTGCAGTCAGACCCACTTTGGTCAAAAATAACTATCTGCATGCAGTAGTTATATTTGGTGGTTTGGTCCCTGCCTTTCCACATGTATACCTGATGCTAAAGTTTGAGGCAGGAAGAGCACAACTCCCCTTGACTAAAGTCATTAGTTTGCTCAAACACACAGTCAAGTCATGCTACAGCCACATCTCCCCTCTTCTTCTGAGGAGGTTTTGTTCTCTTCTTAGCTCCCTAGCAACCCATTTATGCTGTTCAACTTCCGGGTCAAACTCAGAGTGCAAACTAAGGAGAATGCATAGAGTGTTTAAACCAGGAGGCATTTTCATTGAAGTGAAAGTCTAACCCCAACTGCAGTATCTACGCATCTTAATCTGACAACGAGAAGTTCAGTTTGCATGTTACAACTACAGAGCAATTCAGTTTGATTCCAGTTGGACTGATTTATTAAAGGGATATTCCAGCTTAAAATTAAGTTAGGGTCAAACACACCATTACACCAAGTTAGACACCCCCTCGAAAAATCAATGCTGCCGACTTCTTGCCACTCTAGTTATACCACCTTTAGCAGCCGCTTGTTAGTGGGGGAGCCCTGACAAGTTGATCACGGAGTGCAGCGGATCATTTCCATGAGGTAATAATAATCATTTTGCACTGCAGACGCGGTAGTTCTTTTGCCTTAGCGTCTTGGTCTGATTGCATTTCCATGAACTGATGATCATAAATGTTCTTCCTTGAGCTGCGAAACTCTGCTGCACTCCGTGATCGACTCGTCAGGGCTCCCACACAAACAAGCGGCTGCTGGAGTAGAGTGGGTGAGCTGTGTTTAGTCTCTTTGCTAAAGAAATTCGGCAAAGCTAAAAAGATGTTTTAAGGCTAGTACTATGGCTGGGACCCTATATGTACTGTTGATGAAGTTAGGTGCTGTTCTGAGCATTATTTGTGGTTATAGAGTGGCTTTTTGGTTGAGGTTTGCGCATGGAGACGTAGACCATTATGTATTGCTGTAACAGTCTGCTCTGCCCCTCTCCTGCTCTGCTGCTCAGCCACACCCCTCATCAGCTAACTGCTTCCACCTGCTGCTCTCACCTGCTCATCATCTCCAATCAGGCCAGTATATATGCAGCTTCTTTCCCCTCACTCTTTGCCAGATTGTCTTCGCTCTCATGCCTGACTCTCCAGCGTTAATTCCCGGACTGCTTACCTGGTATCGACCTGATCTGCCCCTGACCTTTGCTTCTCGCCTCAGCCCCGGTAAACCTACCTGCCTTCTGTCCTTGACTACGAGCTTTGCCTGCCTGGTTCCTGCTATTCGTCTGCCTGCGGCTGAATGGCACTCAGCCTGTTCCTGCTCTGTTGAGATCCCCCTTCTCGTCAGCTTCACCTCGCCAACTCACCTCCTCTGCCGACGTTGGTTCTGCCAGCTCCTCTGCAAGCTCTGGATCCTCGTAGAGCAAATTAAGACTGTGGACAATTCCCTGCTCACGAGTCCAAAACTCTTGCCTGACCTGTGGTTCACTGCTAATCTGCTCGCCTATCACCCGGAAGACCCGAGTTCGAATCCTGCCATACCCACATGCTATACTCTGCTGCTTCATTGCATTTGGTGTTCAATAAAGACTGTTGTTAAAGTGAACCTGCTTGTTTGTGCTGCAATTGGGTCCGGTCAATACCCGTTACAATTGCTATCATGCAGTTGTTGCTAAAGTTGGTATACCTAGAGAAGCAAGCAGTCGGCAACATTCATCTCTCGAGGGGGTATCTAACTCGGTGTTACAGTATCCCTATAACATGTATTTTCAAAGTCTAGTTTTAACTTGTAATTTGATTTTTTGAACATGTAGCCTTGTAAATGCACTGAGCGACAGCACATATGACTGTTAAAATCAGAGGACATGAAGGAGCTGGGCTGGAGGTGGTTTGCAGCAAAAAAAAAAAAAAAAGGCAGGCTGTAGCAGCTTTAATATAACACCTATTTGGACATTTGCCAGCTGCATTTGTATGAAGGAAATTGGTTGAGCTGCCAGCTGATATGGGCTGGCGGGGCTCGAGTTTCTGGCTCGTCTGAACTAACCCAGTGCTTAATATGCTCAGTCAAGAAGTTGCTTGTCAAGATCTGGGATCATGTTTCCATCAGTACAAACCAAGAAGTAAGGCAATGATGGTTGGCTTAGTTTATTTGGAGTAGAAAAGAGATCTTGGGCAGCAGTTACTGTATGAACAAAGCATTCATGTAGTGAGAAGGATTATCTCTAAGCTTGTGTAAAGTCATCTTGATACTGCCTCCTAATAAGACTGCTATGATGCGGCCAGCCTGTTTATCCAAAGATAATATGTGAAAATTATTGTAAAAGTCCAGATATCAGCTGAAGAAAATTTAGTCAAAATTGTTAACATCTATAATGTTGTCCTGTTCTTTAGAGAAAAGAAGCATATCTGTTATTTAAATGAAGGACACAGCTGCTGATAGGGAAGTCTATTTGCATGCAGTATGTGTGTGTATGGATTTTTTTCAATTTGTGTGTGTGAGTGCATGTGTGTGTACAAGGATGTAATTAACAGTGGGGAGTAAATGGGCAACCTGCCCTGACAGAGAGCCAGAGTGACACAATGGCTTGCATCAACATACAAATCCCAGCATGCATTTTTTTTATTCATGCTATCCCTCACACCTCTTCATCCCCCTGCCCTGCTCTCCCCTCACTCATTCCCTCTTTACTTATTCTCCTTGCCCCTTCTCACACACACACACACACACACACACACACACACACACACACACACACACACACACACACACACACACTAAAGCAGACGCTAGTGATTTGCATGGAGCGTTGTGCCCGTCATGCCTGTGAGAATCAGTAATGTGACGCAAATCAGCCCACTTTGTCTCATCAAGAAGTGACACTGAGCCAGTGGGCAGCCTAAAACCAGCACCTCACTGCCTCATGACTGCTGACTTTGACTTTGAAGACTGCGTTTGCTCACCTTTGGTGTCTGTTTGCTAGCAAAGTTTAATCCCAGATCGACAGCTGCATGGCAGAGTACAAGCTGTGAATACTGAGAGGTGTCACTCATTGTTCTGGAGCGTTTGTTTTCCCCCTGTTGTTGGCTTGTTTCTCTCTAACTATAGGCAGGTTGATTAAACTTACATGTCCGTATTGAGCGAACATGAGCAACACGTGCTGACTTTCCTGTCTTGTTTGTGTGTGTGTATGTATGTATTGTGTGGCTGAACGCTTCGTGAGCTCGACAGGCCGGATTATAATGAGATCCCTGGGGCTGAATGCAGGCTGCCTGTAAAACAACAGATGTGACTGGACTCGCTCAGTCTCCCCCCCTCTCCCCACTCGCTGACAGAGCTGTCACTCACCCAGAAGGAGGATGACTGGCAGGTGAGGAGGGCAGGAGATAGGTGAACCACAGTGAGGACAGAGGAGGCTGACATGATCGCACAGCTCTGTGCTCTCAAAACAAAAAAAGGGAAAAATCTGACAGCTGAAACATCCCAAATGTCAACAGCTTTATCGCACCTCCAATGTGATGATGATCAGACCTTCTACTTCTGCTACAGATGTGACACCTCAAAAGCAAACAGAATCATCTGACATTTAAAAGACATTTGGCGACTTTTAGATAAGGTGCCATCTATAATCACATCAGGGATGACCACTTATTAATATTTTAAACACAGTAGACTTGTAAGCTCTGCAAAAGTGAGCAAAAATCTGATTTCTTGGGAATTTCCTAACTGAGATTCATTACATTTTTCAACATTTTCCCAGAATACCACTTAGAATCAAAACTCCTAACAGGACAAATTATCCAGGATGTGATTCTTCACCTGTCGGTCTCCAGAGAAAGCAAGCCAGACATGAAGTTGGCAGAGGCCCCCAGTCAAATGTCACCACAGACTGCCAGAAACATCACAATAGAGGTTCTGTGTGAAGGGGAAGAGCAAATGAGTGTTCACACACATGCACACACAAACACATGTGGAAAAAAAAACATCCCTCTGCTCCCGGGCAGACAGCCATTGGCCCACTGCAGCCTCTCAGTCAATAGACCAGCATTGTGCTTCATCCAACAGGAACCGGCTGCAGAAACCTGTTACTGCACCATGCACATGTAGGCCGGGGCAACAGCGAACAGTTAGCCAAAGGTTGTCTGAGATACAACCCAGTGGATTTGTATTTATTTTTTTATTTGCTTTGTCAACCAAAACACAGACAGCAGACTTCATGTCCTATTTTCATATTTCACTGTGATGTTCTCTCTGGTTAAAGGAGGATCCAGAATAATTGAGGCACCATTTATGGCGAGTGGTCTTTGATTGGTTGATCAACAAGGATACAGCGGACTTGTCAAAGTGATTGCAAACACAACACACTTTAACGCAAGTAAATACAATATTTTTTATCTTTTAAGTAAAATATTACTAAAAGAAAAATTGGATGGATGCAAGGTAATTTTATGCAGGACAACTTTGTTGTTAGTCAGACTTTTCTGCAGGTCAGAATTGGTCCAGCTTCTGAAACTAATACCCCCCCCCCCCCCTAGCTTTCTTACAAGCATTGCAATCCGTTACCGCACACACTTGTCCTAGGATCGTCCTCTCTACTTCTCCGTCTCTGGCCTGCATAGCGGGGCTCTGGGGGCAGAGCTTGGATTTGCAACGTAGGAAATCTCACCAAATCTGAACTTGCTGTTTGGGTCTGCCAGGGATTCATGGCAATTCGAATGGTAAAATACTCAGAAATGCAATTTTGCACTTACTTTTCTCATATGTCCTGTAGCATCAGAAAAATGTCACATGAACATATAAAAAACAAGGAAAACATGATTTTCATTGGAGTGGGTCTTTAAAATCTCATCAGTGAATATAAAACTGTTAGAATGAACAGATGAGTAATTCAGATAATATCCTCCTAGGACCTGGCGTCCACATGTGTGGACATCACATTTTTGGTTGTCAAGACCACAATATTAAATTTTGGTCTACAAGGGCCTTCTCTCAAAATTTAAACGAATGTCCTCATATGTGGACATCATTTTTCTCAGAAACTACATCATGTAAAAAGATCATTCTTTGTTTTTACACTCATCAGGTCCCAATTAGCCTAAATATCAAAGAGAAAATAAAAATGCATGCCTTGCAAGAGTTCGGGTCTTAGGAGGATATTTATTCTTGCTAGGAATAGGGTTATTTAGCCTCCTTTATACAGAGTCAATTATTCAGGGTCAAGACTCCCTTTTCCAAGGCTGCACTCGAGTTTGACTTCAACTTCAGAAGTGGAGTAGTAGTTAAAGGGAAGCATCAATGATGGACCTGTTAACTGCAGATCAATACAAAGCTTAACATTAGTCAGTTGCAAGCTGCTGGGCTCATCTCAGCTAATGTGTTCAGCCTCTTTTTTTCCTCACTTGGACCTTTTATTTCTCCTTAAAATGCGAGTGGTTGATACCAAACATGCCTACATATTCTGCATGTACGTATATGAAGGAGATTAAGGGGACACTTTAACCCCACTCTGACACTGGCCTTTCTACATACAGATACTTAGCCTAAGTCATCTGCCCACACACAATGAAAATGAAATATTTCAGTGTACTCAGTGTTGTACACTAGATTATCTCTGTGATGTTGCACTCTGTTTTCTTTATGAGACAACATGTCATTACTAGATAATCAAGCCTGTTCTCATTATGGCTGCACACTTTAATGAGCTGTGTACATCCACAGCACGGCCTCCAGAGATGAGCCATCACTCAGCCAGGCCTGCGCTCACTAATGCTCTGCTAATGTGTTTGAATAAGAGAGCATCTCTTTGCTTTCTTTCTTTTGGGAGGGCAGAACAATCAATAATATTCAGCCTCAAACTGTTAGCCTTTTTAACCAAACATTTTATTAATAGAAAACTTTGAGCTGCATGGTAACTAACTCCACATCAACCTATTGCCATTCAGTCCTCGCACCGGCTGGATGTTTTTCAGGCAAAATATGCAGCGCCTCCATCATCAGAGTGCGCTATGATGCATGACCTGCTTGACTCGTCTGATAAATGATTTATCAAAAGCACACACAAGCAGTGGAGGTGAGAGTTGTGGACACACAGAGAGATGCTCTCAGGGAGAGAAATTACAGCGAGGGAGGAATCTGAGAGCAGGACGGTGAAGCTCCAGATGGTGCCGATGACAGGTGTGATCATCGTAGGGAATTATGTTCTCTTGTGATACTCCTACTCCACAATGTGAGATATTTCAGCTCTGATTTCGGCTACACATCACATCTCAACGTAAGACCTTGAACATGAATGGCTTTTGAGATGACAGGAGAGAAATGACTGAGCTCACAGCTTTGATTGATAGTCTTTTAACCAGACTGAGGTACAAGTTTAAGTGTGATCATTTCTATTTAGAGTTACAGAGGCAAGCTTGTTCTATTGATATTTTAAGGTTTTCACATTTGATTTAATAATAAAAAACACACACCTGTGCCAATCTACTAGTCTACTTATATTCATGTCCTTCATTTTCCGTTGCATTTGGCGGCCACTATGGACAAAAGCAGTAGTGTTTTGCAAGAATTATGACTGCATTTCCCATGTCGTGAAGACATTTACGAGGTTTTTGGTCTGGTGTGTAGTTGTTTTGGTGGCAATTGAAACAAGACAGGACTTACCGGTACTTAGATATTATATATATATATTTTTGTTTGTTTGTTTGTTTTGTCTATCTGCAGGATGCGTAGTGATGAGGTAATGTATATATTTGCATTTTTATTAAATACAATATGCTGCCGGTGAAACGGAGTAATGTTATATTATTGTGACTTGTACTTTTAGCCTGCAGTTATGTCCCATTCATAACAGAAACATTCAACAAACAAATTAGATAACTCGGCTGTAGAGTAAAGCTGAAGTTGTCAGCTTCCTTGGCAATGCTATCAATAAGCCAGCAGTGTAGAAAAGCACAGTTTACGTTACCTGTCTAGGAAGAATTTGGCAAATCCAGGATTCGACTTGATCCCTTCAAGCCCCGAAACTCTCTCATCTTCACAAAGGAATTATCAATGTTTAATCTTGTTTTTGCCCTTGCTTGATCAGATTTTTTTTTTTTTTTTTGTTCTTTTGTTCTAATTCCTTTTCTTTTTGTGGACCCCGTTCCATTATCGCCATGTATAGCTATTTGTTTTTGCTCTGTTTTCACTGGCTAGCTTACCAACAACTCACTGCTCCTCTCGTGTCCCTGTCTAAGTGCCCTTTAAGAATTTAATGTATGGTGGCATGAGCTCTTGCATATTCAGGTGATTTTAGTTGTTCCAGTTTGATGAAATGCTTAAATTATTGGCAGCTTTGGCCTTTAATATCGACATTAACTAAGCTGAATGTTTTGTGTGTTATCCCAGACTTTCAGAGCTTTGCTTAAAATTTGTCTTTAAAATCAAACACTTCCTGAAACTCTAACGGTTGCTGCTCAATGTGTTTTTATTGACTGACTCATGGGAGCTTTGCAGAGTGTGGATGTTGTTTCTCTAAAGTTTGCAAAGTTTCAAGCACTCTCAAGTGGAAACATTGGGACTTGGTTTGAAACATGAGTCTGGTGGTGTTTTGACAAATCTTAGATATGCTTTGTGTGTGACACAGACTTGCTGCATTAGTGAGTGTTTGGAGATATTTAATGCACTGTCATTTATGACAAAATAACCCTGGTTCAGAGTCAATCTTTTGGCAGCTAAGCGACTACAGCTGTATAGATCTGAGAGGACTTTCTTCCAGCAGAGTACTTTATCACGATTAACGTATCTCCCAAGTGCCGTCATTTTCCCTCAAATTATTCTCTCTCTCTCCTCCAGGCACAAGAGCACTTTGTCTCTATTTTCCTCTGTTTTCCTCCGTCTCCCCCCTGCTGTTTAAGCTCTCATTCATACCGGATGCTGCGAGTTGCCGTTTCCATTATAACAAGCTGCGTGTCTCTCTCTATCCAAACATCACTTCATGGGGATAAGAGGGCATATAGAAAAAAAGGGGGGGTGTAAAGGGAGGGTGGAGGGGGAAAATGTCCTTTTCTTTGGTGTTAACATTTGGAGCTCCTTTGGTTTAAAACATCCCGTCTGTTTTTACTGCATCTTCATCACAAACAGCCACTATAATTGGCATTAATTCAGTGTTGGCAAGCTGTGAAAATGTAATTTCCAGTTCACGAGCTCCAGTTAGAGCTTAGCTGAAGTGGAGAGCATCACTCTGACTACTGAATTGGTTTAGCTAGACAGAGATTGCCCCGGTTCATCTGCTGAGAGAGGACGGGTTAATAGATCAATGGTAGAAGAGGCTGAGAGAGCAATACAGAAAAAAGAGCGGGAGTGTGGTTATTTAGAGGTAAAAGGAAAGAGGGAAGCATTAGGATGTGTGAGGAGAGTGAGGGAGTGAATGATTGGCTTGATTTCCCCCGTGTGTCTGTCATCATCGGGGGGCTGCTCCGGCTCCATCAGCGGGCCTTGGGCTCGGCGGCAGCTCCTAATGCTGCTCCTGCCTACATTACACGGCTATTTGCAGGAAGGCGCTGTGGTTTGATGGTCAGCCATATTGGTCATCATTGCCTCTTTGCAGGAAATGAACGAACAGAGGAAAAGGTAATTTCCTATTTGGCTTTCCCTTTCCATCCTTCCTCCCTAAAAATATGGTGTGAAGATTTGCTATATTGTGCTCATTCATGCTGAAAATCTTCTATGAGGCCTCTGCCTCATCCTCGTCTGTTTGCCATTTTTCTGCCTTGCTTTGCTTTTGTTCTTCCTATTGTCAGATTAATTCTGAGTGTGTGTGTGTGTGCTGCCTTTATGCGTCTGTGTCTTGAAGGTTAGTGGGATTTATTCTTGCCTGTCTGGCTCCTCCCTGAACCGTTTGGCTCCAGCACCAGTCTGTGTGATAGTTGGATGTGTCTCAGGGCTCCACGCAGCTAACCGGGCAACGCTGGCACGTCTCTGTGTTTATGAGACAGCGGGCATGTGTTTGCTCCCACCTGGCAGGGGAAGATAGGGAGGGAGAGAGAGGGGGGCCTTGAGGAGTGTGAATGAGAGGCCTGTTGTGACGCTGCAGGGAGCGGTTGGGCATATTGGAGAGCGGCAGGTGCTCAGCCAATCTGGGAGGTGGTCTGACCCTCCAAAATGTCCATCTCTGAGTAGGGACAGCCCCCTATTGGCTGGTGATCAAAACTAACAGGGGGTAGTGACCATGACGCCCTGCCAAGGACCCAGTTTGAGTGCACCTGGCCTTCAGTCACATGACCGGAGACGTATCAGACGGACCCTGTGTGTGGCGTTTGTGAGCGGCTGCTTTGAAGTCTTCAGATCTGGCTGGTTTGTGAGAGGGGGCGTGGCCTTCCCTCTCAGGAGAGCTGACAGTGGGAGGAGCTTTGTTTCTTTGTTTGTTTGTTTGCCACTCACCAGAGATGTGGCTGCTTTTCATCCAACGCCTCTTTGTTTTTCAGCTAATTTGATTTTATTCTCACATCTCTCATCTCTCCAAGGAGGGCCGGTCAGTGTTCAGCCTCTGTGCTATTAGAATAACAATCAAACACCCACCAGTGCCAAC